ACCCTGATTCAGTCTTCTGAGGCATTAGCTACCCCTCCCAGTTTGGTGTCATCTGCAGATTTGAGAAGCACCCCCTCAGTTCCTTCATCCAAGGCGTTTATAAAGTTGTTGAGCAACAACGGCTCACGACAGAACTCTGTGGCACCCCACTTGTTCCAAGATGACAACGAACCATTTGTGAGCACTCTTTGGGTTTGGTCAGTCAACCAGCTACAATTCCACGAAACAGTTGCCTCGTCCAGCCCACATTTTACCGGCTTCTGCTATCATGGGGGACTTTGTCAAAAGCCTTCCTTAAATCAAGATACACTACATCCATGGTATTCCCCTGATCTACCAAGCTTGTAACTCTGTCAATAAAAGAAATGAGATTTGTCTGGCATGACTTGTTTTTGAGAAACCCTTGCTGGGTCTTAGGAATCACAGCATTCCAGTAATCACTGGAATACAGCTCCCATAATCCTTGACCGTTGGCTATGCTGGTTGAGGCTGATGGTGGTTATGGTGGAGCCTAGGTAGATAATAATAATAATAATAATAATAATAATAATAATAATGAAATTAGCCCTGAGTGCTCACTAGAAGGACAAATCGTGAAGCTGAGGCTCCAATACTTTGGCTACCTCATGAGAAGAGAAGACTCCCTGGAAAAGACCCTGATGTTGGGAAAGATGGAGGGCACAAGGAGAAGGGACGACAGAGGATGAGATGGTTGGACAGTGTTCTCAAAGCTACCAGCATGAGTTTGACCAAACTGCGGGAGGCAGTGGAAGACAGGAGTGCCTGGCGTGCTCTGGTCCATGGGGTCACGAAGAGTCGGACATGACTAAACAACAACAAAATAATAATAATAATAATAATAATAATAATAATAATAATTTATTATTTATACCCCACCCATCTGGCTGGGTTTCCCCAGACACTTTGGGTGGCTTTCAACAAAATATTAAAATACAATAGTCAAACATTAATAGCTTCCCTAAACAGGGAAATCATCTATCACCTCACACATGTGGTCATCTGTACTGATGCACGGAATATTTCTCCTAACACAATGCATTTTTGCACACCATTTTCATTAGTATATTCATCTCGATGCACATTTATATCTTTGATTCATTTTTGTAAACACTGGTTGTTAGAGAACGGCATTGCAGAATTCAGATAAGTGTGGATTTCTATGGATGGCTGCATTCTGGTTCTCGTGTTGTTTTGGAATATCAGATTGTGAATTTGCTAAATCCGGCTTTAAATTTAATTTTATTTCCCCCTGATCCCTAGTAAGGGAACCTGGAGAAGGGGCTCTGACGATCTTAAGGACTGAGCTGGTACATATGGAAGAAGTCAACCTCGTAACGTGATCCCAAACGATTTCTTTGGTTTCCTCTGCAACCAATTCCAAAATCGGGATACTGAGAAAAGACTGATACCATCGGGATCTGGTGCATACGCAAGGTGCCAGTTGTTCCTGCAATGTATTCTGGCCTGGGAAAGAACTTGGTATGAAGACACCCACGAAATGCAAGGTGTGCTCTGAATACGCCCAGAATGGAAAACGGGTTTGCCTGTTTTCCTATGTGAAATTCCTCTGAGGGAATGATGTTCCAAAGATACAGATGTGCGGGTTCCCTGTACACAGGAAGTATAATTCCTCCATCATTGAGCAGGATTTTCCATGATCTTCACCTGATAACTGAGGTCGCCTCTCCAGAAAAGGTCTCTCTTGCACACCACACCACACCACAGGCACACCACTAAACACGCAAAGTCCCCAATATGAGGACAGCAACTGGCATTTATGCACAGGGTGTGGGAGATGCATGTATAAAATAAATAAAATAACTGAGAGCTGTATATCTGAGGGTTGTAGGTGTAACACCTAGTCTCTGTGAGACAGTATGTTTCTTGAGGCGGGGATGTCACTAAGGGAGGTTGTCAGGGAGGAAACACGTGCAAGTTTGGACTGGCCTTTTTTAATCGCATGTTTGAGTGTGTTTATGCCCATATGAAATGCCAAAGGAAAACCAGCTGGATTTTCGCAAGCAGAATTACCACGAAATATTTGTGTGGAGCAGATTAAAAATGTGGTGTGGGTGTTTGGGTCTGCTATCCTGTCAGCAACCAGCCTGTATTTCCTGATAGAAACCTGTCTGGCTGCAAATTCTGATTCTAAGAAAGGGGGGGGGGGGGCATTTTGTTTTTTACGATACAATAATCTTTATTGCTATTGTCCCATACAGAACAACGAAATTGAAAAAAATCTACATCAGACATTCAAAACCAACAAGCCTGCTATCCCAGCCTGTTTAGCTCCCTAAAAACTCTTATACCCCATAATTAAATAATTAAAGACCAACTTACACTGTGTTTAAAACCAAAATCGCGTTTGGATAGAAACTGTTTCTCAGGTGGCTAGTCCTTGTCTTTATAACCCTGTGCCTTCTTCCAGAAGGCAGAAGCTGAAAGACATCATTTCTGGGGTGCGCACTATCCTGCGCTATCTCTGCAGCTTTCTTATGGCACCTGGAAGTGTAGATTTGATCCAAGGTGGGAAGAGTGCACCCAATTATTCTCTCTGCAGTCTTTACAACCCTGGACAGCAGTGTTTTTTCCCTGACCATGCAAGCTCCCAAACCACACACACAGACCATAAGTTAATACACTCTCCACAGTGCAATGGTAAAATGCCATTAACAGGTCCTTTGAGAGATTGTTTTTCCGGAGGATTCTCAGAAAATATAACCTCTGCTGTGCTCTCTTCATGAGGCCTTTACTGTTTTCTCCCCAGGTTAGGTCATCTCTCAACTCCATTCCCAGAAATTGAAACACCGAGACCTGTTCCACACACTTCCCCTCAATAATGAGTGGCTGAATATTCAATTTACATTTCCTAAAGTCCACAATAATCTATTTTGTTTTCTTTAAGTTAAGGAGTAAGTTGTTTTTCCTGCACCACTCCCCCAACTGCTCAACTTCCTTTTGTGTTGTTGTTTTTTTTAAAAAAACTTCTTCTGCCTGTGGGTCCCCAGATGTTGTTGAACTACAACTCCCATCACCCCTAGCTAGCAAGGCCGGAGCTCAGGGATGATGGGAGCTGTAGTCCAACAACATCTGGGAACCCACAGGCTGACAACCGCTGTGTGGGGTAAATTGTTCTGCAGAGGAAGGGCCATAGCACATGATGCTCTGCAGTCCTGACATGTGACCTAAATTTGCACTGAAATGCTGCAGCGTTTTCATAAGGTTTTTTTTTTTATGCAAATCCCTTCAGAAATGCGGAAAACTGAATTTAAGGAATTTAACAAAGGGGAGAATCTTCCACCTCCAGGAACTATGTATAAGCAAAGCCTTGGATTCACACCACAACTATTTCTGCTCTTGAGGTAATTTATTTTCCATCTGATAACTTAAAGATCAGTTTCTACGTGAAGAAGCCCTGTGTAAAGGTTGCGACATCTTTGGTTTTCCCAGGAGATTATGAGGTTGACTGAAATCAGATAACATCAGGTGCTCCCATCAGACTGAAAGGTGCGGTTATTATGTGGGTTTGCGTTCAGACATCATATTCTGTGACCCCAGAAAGCGATGAGCAATGAGGGGAAAATTTGAGCTTCCCAGTACTGCAGTGCCTTGTGTCACCTCACCACCACAACCTCACTCCTTAGCAGTGCCGGATTTATGTATAAGCTAAACAAACTATAGTTTTTGCTTTTTTTCCAAAAAAAATTATTCATTTTATAACACAAATAAAAAACAGAAAAGACAAACAATACGAACAAATTCTTGTCATATCCTTATTTTTCTGAACATTGTTAAGTGGGCTTCCCCAAGTCCCACCCATCTGATTTTCATTTTACTTCATCTTTAGCAGTTTACATATATCATACTTTCTACCCATCTCTCTTTTTTAATCACACTTAAAATAACTTCACATTTTATCACTTACAAATAATACTATTTTAAAATACCCTATCTTCTACTTCTAACCCTACAGCCTATATCCACTTCCAAAGCTATTCTAAGGTTTAAATATTAACATATTTTTTCAAATATTCCTTAACCTTCTTCCAGTCTTCTTCCACCGTCTCTTCTCTCTGGTCTCGGATTCTCCTGGTCAGTCTGGCAAGTTCCATATAGTCCATCATCTTCATCTGCCATTCTTCAATAGCTGGTAAATCTTGTTTCTTCCACTTCTTCACTAACAATATTCTCAACACAAGCAGCTACAGCCGAAACTTAGCTCTGGGCAATTTTGCAGCTGTGTCTTTGGCAGTCAGGATATTATTTCAAAACACTGCATTGTTTCACTCATTGTTGCATGAAGTTTCCATACATACCCCAATTTCCACCCCCTCCACTTTCCCAGAATTTCAGATCAGCTTTCCTTTCCTTTTTTTGATCTTTCTAGAGTTGCTAATCATGCAACTTTACATCTGGAAGGCCACTGGCTCCCCATTCCTTCCCTCCATGGAAGGCACTACAATTCCCATCATCCTTAACTACCACCATGCTGCCTGGGGCTATTGAGAATTGTAACCCAAAAGCATCTGCATGGTGTCATGTTGGCTTCCACCCTTAGACTCTGCCTTGGTTATTATGTAGACACAATTTATGTGTGCTAGGAAATGATGACTCACTGTTGCTTCCCGGCATAAGCCTAGTTATTGGGCTAGCTGGTCTCTTCACTCCTCTATATTTTCGAAAAGATGTAGAGAAATATGCTTGTGGGATCAGCTTCTGCGGCGCTCTGGTGTTTGAAGATTCTTAAGTCCATCAATTATGGAATGGTGTTTTAATTGGATTGAAACTCCATTTCCATGCCACCACCAACACACATCCTTTCCATTCTCTAAGTATCAGGTGTGCCTATTGTTCCCATTCCTTTCATCCCATTGGTTGCCTCCAAATGGAAATCAGTTCTTGACCCTAATACCTCCCATCTCAGGACCTTTTAAGAGGAGTCTTGTTTCAGAGTCAAAGTTAGATGATTCTGTGTTCTTGTCATTGCCACACACACATTCCTCCTCTCTCTCTCGTGAAATTTCTCAAGATGAACAAGCGTCTTCTCCTGGGCTTTTCCCTTCTGCTCTTCTGCACAGTATGTAAGTACCAGGCTTTAAAAGGAAAATAGGGGGTGTTGTTTTGCAAAACATTTGCATGGGAATTTAGCCAGCCAGAGGGCCTTTTCGGTAGTGGCACCCACCCTGTGGAACGCCCTCCCATCAGATGTCGAGGAAATAAACAACCATCTGAAGAAGACATCTGAAGGCAGCCCTGTATAGGGGAGTTTTTAATGTTTGGTGTTTTATTGTGCTTTTAATTCTGTCGGGGGCTGCCCAGAGTGGCTGGGGAAACCCAGCCAGATGGGTGGGGTATAAATAATAAATTATTATTATTATTATTATTATTATTATTATTATTAATTAGCTAGTGCAAATGTGTAAGAAAATGGATGGGTCCATCTTTCTGAGCAGATCAGGCGCTGCATAGTCACCCCAATCTGTGAGCAGTGTGAGATTTCAGCGGTTCTAGGCTTGCATACCCAGGGTTTGTGTTTCCTGCTTGGAATGAGGCACAGCGGAGGTGTCGTTAGGTTTATTAACACATATATACAACCTGAACCTATGATGGAGAGGTTCACAGCATAATCACTCCGAGAGGGTTTGGCTTCTCCCATAGGCGCAACCTTGGATCCAAACAGACATCAAACATCGTGCTGCTGCTTTGTGTCACACCTAACTCCAATTTCTCTGCTCTGAAGTCTGGCTTTCTCTGTTGAGGGAGGGGCCCCACTCATTTGTCCTCCCACACCAGGTCCCTTTGGATCCTTTTTTTTGTTAATGGGTCATCCCCGAGGCCAGGCATAGGCAAACTGGGCCCTCCAGATGTTTGGGTACTACAACTCCCATCATCCCTAGCTAACAGGACCAGTGGTCAGGGATGATGGGAACTGTAGTCTCAAAACATCTGGAGGGCTGAGTTTGCCTACGCCTGCCCTAGGCTATCATCTGAACCCAGGAAGCTAGCCTGGTTATTAAATTATCCTTGTTATTAAATTATTGCTTTGAAAGCGTGCTGATTCCAGCCTAATACCCATGGATCCGGCACCCAGTTTTAACACCCTGAGCCTTAATTAAATTCTAATACTAACTTGATCCGGAGAGAATAGTGGTCTGGCACCCACAAATTCATAACTATATTTAAGTATTTAGGAATGGTGAGTCCTTTTGGGTCGTACCCATCTATTTTTATCTCAGAGTACGTAAATCAATAGGTCTAAGTCGTGTCCACTCATTTAAATGTGTCTGCTCTGAGTAGGACTAACATTGTACACTTTGTTACCTGCTGGTGGGACAGCCATCTTCCAGGGGTGCTGCAACCACAAGATTCCTGCATTGCAGATCTTGAATTCAATGGGGGATTGAACAAGATCAGCCTTGGCCAACTTGGTGCCCTCCAAATGTTGCTCCCATCAGCCCCAACCTGGTTGGCTAAAGCTGGAGTAGATCACATCAAAATTTCTTTCCAACTCGATGTGTTGTGTCCAATGCTAGTCCTAATCAGAGCAGATCCATTGAACATATTTTGGGTTCCTTAATTTCGATGGATCTAGTGTGAGTGGAAGTTAGTTGGAGGCAACCCTGCGGTTCTGGAACCTTTGTCCCTCTAAATGTTGTTGGACTACAACTCCCATCAGCTTTGACTATTGGTCCTGCTGGCTGGGGCTGATGTGAGTCATTGTTCAGCAACAACTGGAGGGACAAAGGTTTGCCGCACCAGATCTATAACTTTTTGCCATTTATGTGTGAGAGTTAGGAAGTGAAATCCAAAAGATTGTTGATGAAAAGAAAGCACTAAGTGCAGAAGAGAGCAGTCAAGATGATCAAGGGTCTGGAAACTCAGCCTTACGAGGAATGCTTGAAGGAATGTTTAGCCTGAGAGGTGATATGATAGCCATCTTCAAATATTTTACTGGCTGTCATATGGAAGAGGGAGCATGCTTGTTTTCTCCTGCTCTTCAAATGCAATGGCTTCAAGTACAAAAAAAAAGGAGATTCCAACTAATAATAATTAAGAAAAAGATTCTGACAGGAAGAGCTGTTTAGCTGTGGAACAGACTCCCATGAGAGGTGGTGGACTCTCCTTCCTTGGAGGTTTTCAAGCAGAGGGTGGCTGGCCATCTGCCATGATTGCTTTAGGTGAGATTCCTGCATTGCAGGGGGTTGGTCTAGATGACCCTTTGGTCCCTTCCAACTCTAAGATTCTATAATTCTAATTACAGAAGTAATAATAATAATTTATTATTTATACCACGCCCATCTGGCTGGGCTTCCCCAGCCACTCTGGGCAGCTTCCAGCACAATATTAAAATACAGTAATGCATCAAACATTAGAAGCTTCCCTAAACAGGGCTGCCTTCAGATGTCGTCTAAAAGTCTGGTAGTTGTTGTTCTCTTTGACGTCTGGTGGGAGGGCGTTCCACAGGGCAGGCGCCACTACCGAGAAGGCCCTCTGCCTGAATGATGGGGGTGGAGATGCTCCTTCAGATATACTGGGCCGAGGCCGTTTAGGGCTTTAAAGGTCAGCACCAACACTTTGAAGGCTTGTTTTCTCTTGAGTTCACTTCTTGCTATAACTTTACAATACTTGGGATTGTCTTTGTTTCTCCACATCAGCAGGACTAATCAGGTCCCAGCGCATAATTTCAAAAAATCAACCACCAAGGGTTTGAATTTTCCTTTGCTGCGTGTCATTCAGTAGAATTAAACTAGGCGACAAAAAACAAGCTGAGAAAACAAAGTGGAGGAGGGAGGGAGAAAGGAAGGAATATTTGCAACAACACCCCAAGCTAATCCTATGCAGGCAACAGTTTTCTTCCCCTGTTGAAAAGGCTTCAGTTTTTCTGCCCCATTCTCAGGGCAACTGAGAATTTTGATACATGTGAGGTTTTGAGCTTATTTTATTCTTGTAAGATGGCTGAGGGTTGGATGCATATTCTTTCCATCAAACATTTCTCAGGCACTAGTCAGCCGCTCCCAATGTGCTTCACCATCTGAAGAAGTCAGATGGAGACATTTTCTTATGATGTCCTCCACTGGGGTTTGATTTAAGGGTGAGCAGCTAGGGGATTATTGCTCTGTGAGATGTAAACCACAGTTCCCAAGTTTCTTTTTTGGGGGGTGGGAACCATAACAGAGTTATGAGTTTGTGGGTGCCAAACACCCTAAATTTCTGGGTCCGATAGCTGTTAGAATTCAACCAATGCTTGGAGTGTTGAAACTGGGGGTCAGACTCATGTGTATTAAACTGTGGGCTAGACAATGCTCATCTCCAGGAATCAGCAAGCGTTAAAAGCTAATTAAGCAAGTTTAACTTCCTCATGAGGTGATAGGGCCATTATGAAGATCAAAAGATCAAGGAACTCTGTCTGGGATGGCAAATGAATGGAGCCCCTCCCTCCCTCAACAGACAAATCCACAGATCTTAGAGAAGTTAGAAACTATGTGACATAGAAGCAGATGAGCAGCAGGCAGACCTACGGCTGATGTCTGTTTGAATTCTAAGCTGCAGCTATGGGAGAAACAAGAACCTCTTCGTGTGGTAGTGCTGTGAAACCCTTCCATCGCTGGCTTAGTTTATATGTGTGTGTTAATAACCCATATATCATAAAGACACCACAATCTCCGCTGTGCCTCATTTCCAATAGGAAACACAGACTTTGGTTAAGCATGTCTTAAAACCCTGACTCTCACACCGCTCAGAGCTTTGGGTGGTGTGCCACATTACTTTAAATGTGTAATAGTAGTTGTTACAATTTATTATCCGCCCTTCACTCTAAAGGCCCCAGTGTGGATTACAATAAGTTAAACACAACATTAATATTAAAATACAATGTTACACAATATTAAAAACAGATTCAAACCATTTAAAATTACAAAAAATAATAATACAGTGGTACCTCAGGTTACAGACGCTTCAGGTTACAGACTCTGCTAACCTAGAAATAGTACCTCAGGTTAAGAACTTTGCTTCAGGATGAGAACAGAAATCGCGTGGCGGCAGCGGGAGGCCCCATTGGCTAAAGTGGTACCTCAGGTTAAGAACAGTTTCAGGTTAAGAACGGACCTCCAGAACAAATTAAGTTCTTGACCCAAGGTACCACTGTATATAGTGTGAATGTGCCCCAGGTCTATATTGCTGTCTGAAGAGGCATTCTTGCCTTATAGCGCAACTAAAGCAGCGGAATAAAATAAACCAGAACGTTTGTGCTATAAAAAGTTGCAGGGTTCCCGCAAGAAATTACACGACGTGCACTTGACTGGAGAAAGGAAGCGGCGTGCCCGCCCCAAAACTTTCGTAGGCGCAAACAGAATGGAAAGTGGGGTCATGTGTAACCACCCAGATACCACCTTGAGCATCTATAATCAGGAATGCACAATATAATGCTGCCCACTTTACATTCTGGGTGCTCCCTGGATTACGAAAGGACCTTGGCAGCCTCGACGGAGATCATCCGCCACCCATTCTTGTTCCAGCATTCCTTGGCACAGAAATCTGTTTACAACAGAAGCCTGGCTGCCATCCATCTGGGAGGGATTCCCTCCACCCTGAATTGTTTCAGGTTTCGCAAGAAGCTTCTGCCAGCGAAAAGAAGCTTAGATTTCCCCATTTGAACTTGCCTGCTGATTAAGATTTTCTGATGAGGCTCTTCTCTGGGTAACCTTCCTGGCTTCTTAAGCCAGGCGAGCAAGGACCGAGAGGCTGACGTCCCCTGGTGTGGGGATTCCCAAATTGTTGGAAATCCAACCTCTGGACCAGTTGGCCTAGTGCCACCTCTGCTATCTTTTGGTCCCTGAGCCCATCTTGCTTTTAAAGTTGACATCTTTTTCTTTTTTTCAAATTTTTATTAACATACAACACACATACATATACATTTACACAATACATAACACACTACCTTATTTTCATAACATAAAACATACCTACATTACTCTATATAATACCTACCTATACTGTACATATCAACATACCTACACACCTACCCCACACGGACACCCGCCAAGTGACTTGACTTCCAGCCATTCTTGTTAAGCTACTTTATTTTTCCAACTAGCTTAAACGCATTTCATTATTTCTTTAATCTCTTCTTCTATCTTGACTTTACTCTCCTTTAACTCTAATCATTTTCTGGACTCACTCAATATCTGTCAGAAATTCTACTTTTTCCACATAAATTTTGATGTAGTCCTTAAAGATAGCCCACTCCTTATTCACTTTTTGTACCATATCTCCTCTTATCCTCCCTGTTAGTTCGGCAATATGGAAGTATTCCATCATTTTAGATAACCAGTCTCTTTTAGTTGGTTTTAAAGTTAACATCTAAGGACCTTCCATAATTTTAGATTTCCTCTTTTCTCCAATTGGCTGGTCCCCTGCTTTTATCTCTGCGGATTCCTAATTGTGGTTTTTAATTGTGTGTGTGGTTGCTTTCTGCTCTCACGTATTATTGCCTCAAGAGATTGCTGTGGACGGCAGCGTCAATATTGCAGTCGTAGAGAAATACAGTGCTGCGACTGCATGCAAATGACTAAGTGGGAGAGGTGAGGGTGAGACAGGGAAAGGATTTGGCACCTGATCCCAAGGCTGCTTCCACAATGGGTATTTGCAGAACAAGCCATGCTTTGCCGTTCGCTCATTTTGTTTTGTAGAACTTAGCATACTGTCATCCTGAAATGGACATACTCTTGTGTTTTCCCCTCTTTCCGGAGTTCAGAAGAACTGACTTTAAAACAGAGCGCCAATTGCATCTAGCCAGGGCCCCAACTTTTATTGCTAATGAATCCATCAGTTATTCTGCCTCCCCCATGACATACCTAACTAAACTCAAAGTCCGTAAGCACCGGAGGGCCTTTACCCTGGAACGTTGCCACGCCCTCCCCTCGGCTCTCATGGAAGGTTGATATAGGAAGATTCCTTACTTGGGACAAACAGAAATAACAGAGCATGTGCTTCTCCAGCACTTACCGTATTTTTCGCCCTATAGAACACACTTTTCCCCCTCCCAAAATGAAGGGGAAATCTGTGTGCGTCCTATGGGGCGAATACAGGCTTTCGCTGAAGCTTGGAGAGCAAGAGGGGTCGGTGCGCACTGACCCCTCTCGCTCTCCAGGCTTCAGGAAGCTATCAGCAAGCCTGGGGAGCTAGCGGGAGTTCCCGCAGGGCTCCCCATGCTGCGGATAGCAGCCTGCCGCCCGGCGCGCGGGGCGCCCTTAAGCAGAGCGCCCCTCACACCAGGCAGACATCTGCAACGTGGGGATGTCAGCGCGGATAGCAGCCTGCCGCCCGGCGCGAGAGGCGCTCTGAAGCAGACCGGGCAGACATCGGCCAGCCCCACAAGCTCGGGGGACAGCTGGGAGGCGCAGCGCCGCCATACCGCTGTTCCCCGACCTGGTTTTGGGGGGGAAATAAAGGAAAAAAATTTTTCCTTTATTTCCCCCCCCAAAAAACTAGGTGCGTCCTATGGGATGGAGCGTCCTATGGGACGAAAAATACGGTATATTATAGAGACATCCATATTAGCCTCATCTCCCCACTATTCCATAAGTACCCAGGGCGCACAGGACAATTCTATATCTCCCTGCTGCTTTCAGATACCAACCCTCCTACAACAAACAGTGTTGCCAGGTTCTGCACAGCAGTGCTCAAAATTCGTCGCTTGATGACCTGCGCCACAAACTAGATTTAATGAGCACTCATATCAGATGTGGGTGGCGCTGTGGGTTAAACCACAGAGCCTAGGGCTTGCCAATCAGAAGGTCGGCAGTTCGAATCCCCGCGATGGGGTGAGCTCCCATTGTTCGGTCCCAGTTCCTGCCAACCTAGCAGTTCGAAATCACGTCAAAGTGCAAGTAGATAAATAGGTACCGCTCAGGCGGGAAGGTAAACGGCGTTTCCGTGAGCTGCTCTGGTTTGCCAGAAACCGCTTAGTCATGCTGGCCGCATGACCCAGAAGCTGTGCACCGGCTCCCTCGGCCAATAAAGCGAGATGAGCACCGCAACCCCATAGTCGTCCACGACTGGACCTAACGGTCAGGGGTCCCTTTACCTTTACATATCAGAGTGCTTTGTACATTTCTTTGTAAATTGATAGTCATAGCGTTTTATCTACTAACCTTTTAAGCTCTTCCTTATCCATTAAATACTCCTAACTCTTCTTTTAGCTTCTTACAGTCTTTTACATATACAGTGGTACTTCGGGTTAAGAATTTAATTCGTTCTGGAGGTCCGTTCTTAACCTGAAACTGTTCTTAACCTGAGGTACTACTTTAGCTAATGGGGCCTCCCGCTGCCGCTGTGCAATTTCCGTTCTCATCCTGAGGTAAAATTCTTAACCTGAGGTACTATTTCTGGGTTAGCAGAGTCTGTAACCTGAAGCCTCTGTAACCCGAGGTACCACTGTACCTTCTGTTTTAATAAATTAAGATTTCCAAAAATGTTTTATAGATTTTAAATGATTGTACCCCGCCCTACTTATGCTGGGTCTATGACTGTAATAAAGATTTGACTGATGACTCTTGGGGGGCCCTTAATCTTGCGCAAGTCACGTAACTCACATGGGAGCATGGAAGGGAAGACGAACATCCCAGTTTTGGGACAGGAAGGCACCAGTTTGAGGAAAGCTGCGCTCGTACCTTTGTGGGCTTAGTGACGCAGCTGCATTAAGGGTTTCAAATCTTTATTCATTTGGGGGAAGTTGGCTACCGCAAGCTTTAAAGAAAAGAAAGATAAATTCAACCCTCAAGCTTGCTATACTTATTCAACACTTATTGCTGCTCATTGCCTGTGCCAGCGCTTGAAAGGACTCCTGAAGTGGGAGAGAGAGAGAAATGCATTCCATTCCCAGTGCATCATCAAGGTTTTTTAATCTCCATAGAAGATTGTGGGATGTTGCAGAAACCAAAAGAACTTCTAACACTAGACAGAGATGGCACAATCTCTGCTGGATGAGGTCCACATGAATGCCACCCCAGCGCCTCAAGCAGTTTCAGGAGTGCTTTTAATAGCATTGTGAAAGAATATTCAAAGCATGTAAACAAGGATCAAGACCACGTGTTCACACACCCTCACAAGCAAGCATCTGGGGGGTGGGGGCGGATCCCTTTAGAAAACATTTTTTGTAAGTCACAAGTGACTTCTTTGGTGATCACTCGTAGCCGAGTAAGATTGTCTTCCATGAACACGGTTTTAACAATGAGTCCGTAAGTGACTGTGGAGGCCAATTCTGGATCCTCACGTCCTTCCACAGTGGGGACATTGGTTTCCAGGCGGGAGTTGATTTGCCAAGCGTGCCTTCCTCTTAGCACGTTTCTTCCTTTTGTCCTGAGTAAAGGCTGTTCTCCAACTGGGGCGCTCGCAGGCCAGTGTTTCCCAGTTGTCAGTGCTTATACTACATTTTTATGGATTTGCCTTGAGAGTGTCTTTGTACCTCTTTTGTTGACCACCAGCATTACGCTTTCCATTTTTAAGCTGGGAATAGAGTAGTTGCTTTGGAAGACCATCATCAGGCATTCGCACAACATAACCAGTCCAACGAAGTTGATGTTGAAGAATCATTGCTTCAACACTGGTAATCTTTGCTTCTTCCAGTACACTGATATTAGTTCGCCTGTCTTCCCAAGTGATGTGTACAATTTTTCGGAGACACCGTTGATGGAATCTTTCAAGGGGTTGGAGATGGCATTTATAAGTGGTCCATGTTTCACAAGCATACAGTAAGGTTGGTAGTGCAATAGCTTTGTAAACAAGCATTTTGGTTTGCTTGAGAATGTCCTGGTCCTCAAACACTCTGCACTCGGGAAAAAGCTGCACTTGCAGAGCTCAGGCGGTGCTGGATTTTGGCATCAATGTTGGCCCTTGTGGAAAGATAACTGCCTAGGTAGGAGAAGTGATCGACATTTTCCAACGTTACACCATTGAGTTGGATTTGTGGTGCTGCAGAGGGGGTATTTTGTACTTGTTGGTGCAGCACTTTGGTTTTTTGGATGTTGAGTGATAGCCCAAGCTTTTTGTAAGCTTCTGCAAAGATATTTAGGATGGTTTGGAGGTCACAAGTGACTAATGCAGGACTAGGGGCAGGTCCGTCTTAAGTCTATCCAGCACTGTGGTACAAAGATTTCTTTGGTGCCGCCCCCCTTTTCCCAGAGTTGGCAACCTTTTTATGGCGCTGCTGGCAGCTTTGCGGGGCTGGAGGAGGTGGGCAGCGGCTGGAGGGTGGCTCCTCTGGCAGGGAAGAGGTGGAGGCGGCATGGCGGAGGCAGGCGAGGGCAGCGAGCTGATGCTGGGAGGCACCACATCCAGCCTCCACCTCTTCCCTGCCAGAGGAGCTGCCCTCCAGCCGCTGCCCGCCTCCTCCAGCCCTGCAAAGCTGCCAGAACTTGGCAGAACTTGGCGCCCGGCACCCCACGCCACTTGCCTCTATGGCAGTGGTTCTCAACCTGTGGGACTACAACTCCCATCATCCCTGAGCTCTGGCCTTGCTAGCTAGGGGTGACGGGAGTTGCAGTTAACAACATCTGGGGACCCACAAGTTGAGAAAGGCTGCTCTATGGGCAAGACGCCCCTGACTGGGGGACCCCAGGACCAGGGGGCAAATACCACCCTATAGATATACAGTCGTACCTCGGAAGTCGAACGAAATCGATTCCGGAAGTCCGACTTCCAAAACGTTCGGAAACCAAAGCGTGGCTTCTGATTGGAAGCTCCTGCAGCCAATCAGAAGCTGTGGAAGCTCCATCGGACGTTCCAAAGAATGTTCGCAAACCGGAACACTCACTTTGCGGCATTCGGGAGCCAAAACGTTCGACTTGCAAGGCGTTCGGGATCCAAGGTATGACTGCATAGGAATGCAGATAAACAGGGAGCTGCCTCACAGTGACTTGGTCTGAAGGACTTTTGGATTTGCTATTGGTAAACAAGATTTCACAAACTGCTTTGGCTGGATGCGTCTCATAAGGGTGTTCTGAGCATAGGTAATGATGAACTGTGTCCCCAGGCTCTTTGTGGCATCCATGTTGGTATTTACATTCAGAAAAGAAGTCCTCTTTGAAGGAATTTTGTCTTGGCTTGTAACTGATGCCTCTTAGTTTGGGCTGCCATGCGTACAGATTTTCCCGGACATTGCTGGGATTTCAGAGGCGGAATTGACATCCAGGGGGGATTTCCAAAAGGCGCCTTGTCCTAGATCTTAGGCAAATCAATTGAAAAATCTTGGGTTTTGTGCATTTTTGTAAAAATAACAACACACCGGTGGTTTCCTAAAAACCTTCGGGTGTCCTGATTTTGAAATATGGCAGCTTGTATGTATTTTACAGGCAAGTGTGTGTTTTAAGGGAAAACCTATAGAAAAAGATACAGATCTGTATTTTAGGGGAAAGTGCTCACTAAATTGTGCATAATTTAAATGCAATGGGACACAGAGAGAGAGAGTGAGAATGAGAGAGAGAGAGTATGTGGGTTACAGGCCACCCCAATCTCTGCCAAGCTGTGCACGGGATTCCAGGGGTCTTGACCCTTCCCCAGGGCCTGTGCTCCTTCAGAGAATCAAGGCTGCAGCAAAGACTGGTGTAGCTTTAAGAAATATGATTTATTCAACGCTTTACACCTTCAGTCCGCATGGTGGGAGTCTGGATCTTACAGCATGGTCATCTCAAGAGAGGCCTGTCCCCCCCCCCACAGCAGTGCAGTGCTGGAATCCAAGGCATCTCTCCCAGCCGGCCTTCAACCAGCCTGCCCAAGATGGATCTTTCCCTTTGTGCTCCCCTTCTTCCTTTTCCCAGCACACCTTGCTAAAGACACACTTTCCCTGTCACCTCAAACAAACGCGCCATCACCTTGGCAACATTGATCTCCCCAGGCCAAAGGAGTCCTTGTCTGGCACAATTATGCAGCTTGCACAGTGGTGCCTCGCAAGATGAAAAGAATCCGTTCCGCGAGTCTCTTCGTCTTGCGGTTTTTTCGTCTTGCGAAGCAAGCCCATTAGCGGTTTAGCGGATTAGCGCTATTAGCGGCTTAGCGGCCTTAGCGGATCAGCTGATAAGCGGCTTAGTGGCTTAATGGATCAGCTGTTAAGCGGCTTAGCGGATCAGCTGTTAAGCGGCTTAGCGGATCAGCTGATAAGCGGCTTAGCGGCTTGGGGAAAAGGGGGGGAAAAGGAAAAAAACCCCGCAGGAACTCGCAAGACATTTTCGTCTTGCAAAGCAAGCCCATAGGAAATTCGTTTTGCGAAGCACCTCCAAAACGGAAAACCCTTTCGTCTAGCGGGTTTTCCGTCTTGCGAGGCATTCGTCTTGCGGGGCACCACTGTATTTTCATTCATATCCCAAACAATCAAAATCCTACCATTTGTTAATTCCTTGGGTTTAGGCCAACCTATAACACTCTCACTGTATACTTCCCGTGTTCCTATGTAAATATGTCCCCTGGTTTCTCTCTCTCTCTCCATATGCATGTATGATCCATAGAACAACAGAATGGAACAGGCTGAATGCATGTGAAACTAATCTGGAATGGAAATAGGCTGATTCATACATTCTTACAAAACAGTTTTGCTTTGACATCTGCTACAAATGGGGAGTGTGGTATAGTGGTTAGATTGTCAGAACAGGTCTGCAGGAAGCTGGTTTCAAATCTCCACCAAAACATGAAGCTCACATGAAGGGGCAGTCACTGCCTCTCAGTCTGACCTACCACACACTGCAAAGGATAAAATGTGGTGGGGAAAACCATGGGCACCATCAAGCACTGAGGAAGAAAGTTGGCATGCAGTTTTTGGCTGTTGTTTTTTAAAGCACTTTTGTGGCCCGTTTATAATTTCTGATTAAAACCATGCCTGTCTTTCTGCTTCTCTCCTGCAGCTGAAGGTCTCGTGTGCAGAGTTTGCAAGTACAAACTTGGCAAGGTCTGCCTGGATACTGACGAACCTTGCAAAGCGGCCGATGGGCAGTTCTGCGAGACAACCAAAGTTTATGCTGGTAAGAACAATTACTGGAAATCCGCTAGTGCTGTATAATCTCCATCAGTTGTGCAGCGAGAGAGCTAGTGTCTTCAGGGAACGGTGTGAGGTGTTGGTATCAACAGGCACCTGAAAAAGCGCTCGCCCCACAGAAAGGGGTCCCCTGCTGACCCCCAGTGTTTCCTGGCCCTGCTCCCGTTCCTCCTTGCGCTTGCTGCCTATTCATTTGCCTTATCTCCAGCTGTGGAGGGCAGGACTCGAACCCAGGGCTTCAGGTTACAAGAAGGGAGATTCATCCTGGCAGTAATTGCATGTCGAGACCCCAAAGCCACCCCCTTGTTGAGAAATAACACACATAAGGACACAGATATTAGGTTAATGTTATTGGGCAAATTTTGGCCACAACTTTATTGATTACAGAATGTGAGCGGTATTGGCTTAGGCATTGAATGGACCAGATTATATCTGACTCCTGCTCAATGCGCAGGAAGTCCGGTAAGGGTAAACCACCGGAAGGGGGAGCCCTGTCGATGCAAACCAACTCAAGCTCCCCCTAGTGTTCCCGTTGGGGTCGTGTCATGGCTCTAGCCCCTGACCCAAGCTTCGGACAAGATCAACACCCCCGGATTCCTTTAATGGAATACCCTTAAGCTTGGAGGGGCAGGTGGTCAAACAATGCCTAACTGCAACCCTAACAAAGTTGTGACGATTGCTACAAGGTAGGAGAAAACCAAATGGCCAGTGCCAATTTGCCAAGTGGGAAAATTCCTACCAGGCCCCTCAACAGCAACCAAGCGAGGTCCATAGCAAGGCCAGTGCCTAAAACCTGAAAATTAGGGAGAGAGGGCAGGTGATTGAGAAAGCGAGCCAAAGAGGAAGCCCTCTGGCTTGTGCCTCTGTTTAAATGGTCCCGGCCACGCCCCCCGGCCAGCGGATTGGCTGGCTGGGCTCTGACGTGGCCGGGATCCCCCGGGCAACGGGGAACTAAGTCCCCTGCCCCCGGAGGGGAGTGGGTGGCCACGCGGTCCACTGCAACTCCTCCCCACAGGGAAGTGGAGCGGATGAACCATTCAACAGCAGAATGGACTCCCTAGGGAGGTGTTGGGCTCTCCTTCCTTGGGGGTTTTTAAGCAGAGGTTGGATGTCCATCTGTCATGGTTGCTTTAGCTGAGATTCCTGCATTTCAACCCCAGCTCCCAGAACTCCGTGATTGTTTAAAGTGACACCGTAGTGCTTTAAACGTATGGTGTGGTCCTCTGTGGCTCCGTGCCCCAAACACCTAGATTTTCAGGGTTATCTGCTATGTGGTGTGACTCACCCTGGGTACAGGGAAGGAGTAAAACTAACACACATCTCGTTCCTCTCCCACCAGGCGAATTATTCCTCTTCAAGCGCTATGGCTGCGGCAAATACGCCGAGCTCTGCAACAAGACCGAGCGGAGGGAAAACGCATTCAACATGTCCTACGAACGCACTTGCTGCGACACCGACTTATGCAACGCTTAGTTCTCGTTTCCTGTCCCTGGGAAGGTTCGGCTTAGCATGGGGCCAACAGCTGGTTCATTTTCAATAAAAGCTGGCAAAAGAGACCCCTTTCACCCAAACAGACAACCCTCAGATTATATGATCCCATCACTTTGACCTTCTGTCAGCGCTCAAGATTTCAGCTTCTTCTTCCCTCCCAAAGGTTCCCCCACCTCATTTGTGGCCTCTCCCACAGGACCTGCTGAAGATGCTTCATAGCTAGTTCTATGTAGCTCACGTTCAAAGCACACAGTTGAAGCACCAAGACACCTCTTTAAACAGTCATGGCTTCCCCCAAAGAATTCTGGGAACTGTTGTCTGTCAAGGGTGCTGAGAGGTATTGAGAGAGACACACACCCCTTTCTCCCTCTCGCAAAACTACAATTCCCAGCATTCCCTGTGAAGAGGGATTGACTGTTAAGCAACAACTTAAATCCTTCAAAGGTAATTAAAATTGGGCAAAAAAACCCCCGCAAATCAAAACACATGTAAGTGGCCCACATGTCTGGGCAGGCTTGCCTAAACAAACATGCTTTTAGCAGGCACTGAATAGTAGATTCATTAATTTCAGTGGCTCTTCTATGAAAAGAACCTCTGTTGTTGCTTTTTCACCCTTTCTTTAAAGTCTTCAGAATTGTTTCTCTCTGCCATCATCACAAGTTTAGAAACCAAACTGCATTTCTCCTGAAGATTGAAGCATACAGTAATGGAATATTTGTATGTTTAAACTCCCCGAGAGAAACAGCATAACTGGAGAGAATCTTTTTCTCTCTCTTTAGCAAATGGCTGAGGGGGGACGACAAGGGGTGGGACATCTTTTTCGGCCTGAGGGCAACATTTTTGAGGGGGGCAACCTTCCAGGGGCTGCATGACAAAGGTGGGTGGTGCTAGTGTGTACACACACACACACACACACACACACACACACACAGCCCTCTGTTCTCCTTCAAGCAAGAAGCATCTTCAGAGTTCAAGGATACATTACAGCTAGCTAAAAACAGTTGAGGCTGCCTAGCAGGTCTGGTGTGGCTTGAGAATAGTCTTCAGGGCCGGACAGAAAGACTTGGGGGGCCGTATCTGGCCTCTGAGCCTGAGATTCCCCACCCCTTAGTTAAAACAATGGCTGTCCTCTTCTCAATCTGAATCCACCCTGAGCTGCATTGCCAGGTGTTTATTTGCTGGGGAGGGGGGAAGAGTCAAGAAAAATATGTATGCAAAGTTTTAAAATGTCCTGTTTTCTTTTATATCTTTTTGTATTTACTGGGGAGCTGTGGAGAGTTGCTGAATTGCTGACTTGGCAAATGATAAAATGGGCGGGGTATAAATAATAAATCATCATCATTATTATTATTACTACTACGCATGCTGCATTTACTCTAGCAGAATCTGAAATCAGATTCCTTAAACTGAACGTCAAAGAGATTGCATACAGTAGTAAAATACCGCGGAGTTTGTACAACGATGTGGTGCTGTGTTTTGCATGGCTTTTGTGCTTCTGGTGTAAACCGCAGTCGCTTTCGAATTGTATTGCTGCCATCTTTGGCTGAAGGAATGAATAAAGTCGGTTGACTTGACCATGCTGCCTCTGTACAAGCCCTTTCCTTCACAGGACTGGCGTCTTGTAAGGCCCATAGATAGATTGGGATCCATTTGTAGATTGCTGGGTGGTTTTCAGTTGATCACCAAGGGAACCTCAGAAGGCCCCCACAGCTGAGTTTCGGGAGATGGTCAGAGCTGAGTTCATCATTGCAAGGACCCAGCAGATGCATAGCTGTCAACTTACAGATTTGAAAATAAGGGACCAGCATTCTCGGAAATAAGGGATCAGCAGCCAAAATAAGGGATTTTTCAAACAGAGGTATGTTCGACTTCTGAGCCCCTCCGAGCCAAAGGCAGAAAGCCCAGCCAGCAGCCAAACGAAGCCTCAAGCGGTGGTTCCCACTGCGCAGCAACCCGGCAAAGGGGATGCAGCAAGGAAAACCACCGTCACCTCTCCGCTGGGAAGCGCTGAGCAAAGGCGAGTCCCCAGGCAACGCGGCCGATTTGATTGGCACAAGGAATGCAAGCTCCACCCCCCAGTCGTTCTTAGACTCCTTATTGGGTGAGTAACGCAGCCAAGCAACACAGTTGGAGCCTCCCTCCTCCCTGGCTGGCAGGGAGGGAGGGAGAGGAGCTGCTTCCTTTGAAACCCGGGAAATTTAAGGGACATCATCAATAAGGGACAGCAGTGGGACACGGCGTTGGGATAAGGGACTTTCCCTCCAAATAAGGGACGGTTGACAGCTATGAGCAGGTGAGCTACACCTTCAAAGACAACCTGGAATAGGAGACATATTTGAGGTATATTCAATTGTGACATCCTACATGTTTGCCCTGGGCTCTCCTGGAAAGACGAGACAGTCCCTAGTTAAACACTGGATTGTGATCAGCTTGTTCTGCTGTTCCCACAAGGTTTTGGGTTCTCCTTCCAATGTCAGAAGCAAGGCAAGCATCTGTCCGCTTGCATGTGATCAACTAGAGCACAACTGCATATATGTGTGGTGCCAGGCTTTAAACTGACTAATGTGGGGGAGGGAGACAGTGCTCCTGAAGGTAGGAGTCTATCAATTGATGAAGATGATCATCCAAATGTCATAGACCAAATGGAGCAAACAGCACACAGACCTAGTGGTGGGAGGAAAAAATCCTTAAATAAGAGACACGGGGGAATGATTAATGGACTTCAATGTCTGTACACTAATGCGCAAAGCATGGGAAATAAACAAGATGAGCTTGAGCTCTTGGTACAGCAAACTAAATATGACATAATAGGCATCACTGAAACCTGGTGGGATAAGTCCCACGATTGGAATGTAATAATGGGGGGATACAATCTATTTCAGAGAAACAGACCAGACAAGAAAGGAGGAGGAGTGGCGTTATATGTCAGGGATGTGTATACCTGTGAAGAGATCCAAGATTTAGAACCTCAAAGCCAAAGTGAGAGCATTTGGGTCAAAAGTAAGGGAGAGAAGAATAACAGTGACCTCATTGTGGGAGTTTACTATAGATCCCCAGCCAAACGGAGGACATAGATGATGCCTTCCTGGAACAGATGGCCAAGCATGCAAAAGGAAGGGAGATAGTAGTAATGGGGGACTTCAATTACCCGGATATTTGTTGGATGTCAAACTCAGCCAAGAGCATAAGGTCAAACAGATTCCTCACTGGCCTTGCAGACAACTTCATTGTCCAGAAAGTGGGAGAAGCAACAAGAGGAACAGCCATTTTAGATCTGGTCCTAACCAATGTTGATGACCTGGTTAGTGGGGTAGAAGTGGAAGGATCATTAGGCGCGAGTGATCATGCTCTTCTGAAGTTTACTATACAGCGGAAAGGAGCAGCCAAGCATACTAGGACTCAATTTCTTGACTTTAAGAAAGCTGACTTCATAAAACTTAGGGAAGTGCTGGGTGAGATCCCATGGACAGTAATACTAAAAAGAAGGGAGTTCATGATGGCTGGGAGTTTGTTAAGAGGGAGATACTAAAAGCACAACGTCAGGCAATACCAATGAGACAGAAACATGGAAGGTGCCTAAAGAAGCCAGGGTGGCTATCTAAAGAACTTTTAACTGAGTTAAGATTTAAAAAGGATGTGTACAAAAATGGAAAAGGGGGAAACCACCAAAGAGGAATTCAAACAAATAGCCAGCACGTGTAGACACAAAGTCAGAAAAGCTAAAGCACAGAATGAACTCAGGCTTGCTAGAGAGGTTAAAAGCAACAAAAAGGCTTTTATGGGTATGTCAGTAGCAAAAGGAAGAACAAAGAAACAGTGGGGTCACTCAGAGGAGAAGATGGTGAAATGCAAACAGGGGACACAGAAAGGGCTGAACTCCTCAATGCCTTCTTTGCCTCAGTCTTCTCCGATAAAGAAAACAATGCCCGACCTGAAGAATTTGGAGCAAATGATTCAGCAAAGGAAACACAGCCCAGAATAACTAAGGAGATAGTACAAGAATACTTGGCTAGTTTAGATGTATTCAAGTCTCCAGGGCCAGATGAACTGCATCCAAGAGTATTAAAAGAATTGGCAGATGTGATCTCAGAACCACTGGCAGTCATCTTTGAGAATTCCTGGAGAACGGGCGAAGTCCCGGCAGACTGGAGGAGGGCAAATGTTGTCCCTATTTTCAAAAAGGGGAAAAGAGAGAACCCAAATAATTACCGCCCAGTCAGTCTGACATCAATACCAGGGAAGATTCTGGAGCAGATCATTAAGCAAACAGTCTGTGAGCACCTAGAAAGGAATGCTGTGATCACTCAATAGTCAGCATGGATTTCTGAAAAATAAGTCATGTCAGACTAACCTGATCTCGTTTTTTGACAGAATTACAAGCCTGGTAGATGAAGGGAACGCAGTGGATGTAGCCTACCTTGATTTCAGCAAGGCATTTGACAAGGTGCCTCATGATATTCTTGTAAAGAAGCTGGTAAAATGTGGTCTTGGCTATGCTACCACTCAGTGGATTTGTAACTGGCTGACTGACCGAACCCAAAGGGTGCTCATCAATGGTTCCTCTTCATCCTGGAGAAGAGTGACTAGTGGGGTGCCACAGGGTTCTGTCTTGGGCCCGGTCTTATTCAACATCTTTATCAACGACTTGGATGATGGACTCAAGGGCATCCTGATCAAATTTGCAGATGACACCAAATTGGGAGGGGTGGCTAACACCCCAGAGGACAGGATCACACTTCAAAACGACCTTGACAGATTAGAGAACTGGGCCAAAACAAACAAGATGAATTTTAACAGGGAGAAATGTAAAGTATTGCACTTGGGCAAAAAAATGAGAGGCACAAATACAAGATGGGTGACACCTGGCTTGAGAGCAGTACATGTGAAAAGGATCTAGGAGTCTTGGTTGACCACAAACTTGACATGAGCCAACAGTGTGACGCGGCAGCTAAAAAGCCAATGCAATTCTGGGCTGCATCAATAGGAGTATAGCATCTAGATCAAGGGAAGTAATAGTGCCACTGTATTCTGCTCTGGTCAGACCTCACCTGGAGTACTGTGTCCAGTTCTGGGCACCACAGTTCAAGAAGGACACTGACAAACTGGAACGTGTCCAGAGGAGGGCAACCAAAATGGTCAAAGGCCTGGAAACGATGCCTTATGAGGAACGGCTAAGGGAGCTGGGCATGTTTAGCCTGGAGAAGAGGAGGTTAAGGGGTGATATGATAGCCATGTTCAAATATATAAAAGGATGTCACATAGAGGAGGGAGAAAGGTTGTTTTCTGCTGCTCCAGAGAAGCGGACACGGAGCAATGGATCCAAACTACAAGAAAGAAGATTCCACCTAAACATTAGGAAGAACTTCCTGACAGTAAGAGCTGTTCGACAGTGGAATTTGCTGCCAAGGAGTGTGGTGGAGTCTCCTTCTTTGGAGGTCTTTAAGCATCAATAGGAGTATAGCATCTAGATCAAGGGAAGTAATAGTGCCACTGTATTCTGCTCTGGTCAACCTCACCTGGAGTACTGTGTCCAGTTCTGGGCACCACAGTTCAAGAAGGACATTGACAAACTGGAACGTGTCCAGAAGAGGGCAACCAAAATGGTCAAAGGCCTGGAAATGATGCCTTATGAGGAACGGCTAAGGGAGCTGGGCATGTTTAGCCTGGAGAAGAGGAGGTTAAGGGGTGATATGATAGCCATGTTCAAATATATCAAAGGATGTCACATAGAGGAGGGAGAAAGGTTGTTTTCTGCTGCTCCAGAGAAGCGGACACGGAGCAATGGATCCAAACTACAAGAAAGAAGATTCCACCTAAACATTAGGAAGAACTTCCTGACAGTAAGAGCTGTTCGACAGTGGAATTTGCTGCCAAGGAGTGTGGTGGAGTCTCCTTCTTTGGAGGTCTTTAAGCAGAGGCTTGACAACCATATGTCAGGAGTGCTCTGATGGTGTTTCCTGCTTGGCAGGGGGTTGGACTCGATGGCCCTTGTGGTCTCTTCCAACTCTAGGATTCTATGATTCTATGATTCTAATTCAAGCCTGGGAATAATGGGAGAAATCTGGGAAGTCATCATGGCTTGTGAGCAGACCCTCCCCAGAGCCTGAAGAGGCTGTCAGTGAGTCAAAAGTCCAGAATTAAAGATTTTAAAGGCTTAAAAGGGGGGGGACTTATGGGCTCCAAAATGGCACACGGGAGCTCTCACTGCTGCCTCGCTACCCCGCTCAACAGCTGTCAGGCAGGAAGCTGCATTAAGCTGGCTTGGATACGCTGTTTCCTGCCCTATTCTGGCAAGCAGAGACAAAAAAGGTATAGTATAAAAGAAAAAGGTATTTCTGATGCCTCTTAAATGACCCCAGTTCCCTTATGCACACGGGGGGGGGGGGGGCAGGAACGTAACTCCCACATAAGTGGGGAGCTGCCTGTATACTATTATTATTATTTATTAAATATGTTAGTCACTTTATCTTGCCCAAGGCAACTCAAGGCAACTTACAAATCCCTGAATACCAGTGGCTTGGAATTGCAGGCGTGGAGAGAGTTGCTGCTCTCATGCCCTGATTGTGAACTTCCCACCGGGTAGGCCACTGTGACACTTACAATTTTTATTTTTATTTTTAAATTATTTGGTTTTTCAGATTAAAATTTAACAGTCACATATCCAACATACAACATAAAAACAAGATTCCAAGGAATCTCTTGGACTTCCCTCCTCCCCTTTGAGGGTCCTACTGTTAATCATTTCCATCTGCATCTTTTATAATAATCCAAATCTTTTACCTCTCCATTTTGCCCAAAATTCACCATTAAACTGCAAGCTATATTCCAATCCTACTAACAATTTTAACTGTTTACAGTGGTCTTTAAGATGAGTTATAAATCTTCCCCATTCCTTATTAAAGCTTTGGTCTTCCTGATTTCTGATTCTTCCGGTCATTTTTGCCATTTTGTCATAATCCATCAACTTGTTTGCCATTCTTCTCTGGTAGGGACTTTATCTTCTTTCCATCTCTGGACCAATAAGATCCGTGCAGCCGTGGTCGCATACATAAATAGTCTTTTCTGCTCCCTTGGGATTTCAGCACCTGTTGTTGTTGTTTAGTCGTGTCCGACTCTTCATGACCCCATGGACCAGAGCATGTCAGGCACTCCTGTCTTCCTCTGCCTCCCGCAGTTTGGTCAAACTCATGCTGGTAGTTTCGAGAACACTGTCCCACCATCTCGTCCTCTGTCGTCCCCTTCTCTTTGCGCCCTCCATCTTTCCCAACATCAGGGTCTTTTCCAGGGAGTCTTCTCTTCTCATGAGGTGGCCAAAATATTGGAGCCTCAGCTTCAGGATCTGTCCTTCCAGTGAGCACTCAGGGCTGATTTCCTTCAGAATGGATAGGTTTGATCTTCTTGCAGTCCATGGGACTCTCAAGAGTCTCCTCCAGCACCATAATTCAAAAGCATCAATTCTTTGGCGATCAGCCTTCTTTATGGCCCAGTTCTTACTTCCATACATCACTAGTGGGAAAACCATAGTTTTTACTATATGGATCTTTGTTGGCAAGGTGATGTCTCTGCTTTTTAAGATGCTGCTGTCTAGGTTTGTCATTGCTTTTTCTCCAAGAAGCAGACATCTTTTAATTTTGTGACTGCTGTCACCATCTGCAGTGATCATGGAGCCCAAGAAAGTAAAATCTCTCACTGCCTCCATTTCTTCCCCTTCCATTTGCCAGGAGGTGATGGGCCCAGTGGCACCTAGGATTCCTAAAAGGAAGGCTTGGGGGGGGTGGTTGTGTTTTTGTATTTGTTTTTAGAAAAGGGTATTTTAAACATTTTTTTCAACTCATTATATATCATTTCCCAAAATTCTTTTACTACCTTATGTTTCCACCACATGTGATAAAACATGGGTAGGCAAACTAAGGCCCGGGGGCCGAATCTGGCCCAATCGCCTTCTCAATCCTGCCCGCAGACGGTCCAGGAATCAGTGTGTTTTTACCTGAGTAGAATGTGTCCTTTTATTTAAAATGCATCTCTGGGTTATTTTGTGGGGCCTGCCTGGTGTTTTTACATGAGTAGAATGTGTGCTTTTATTTAAAATGCATCTCTGGGTTATTTGTGGGGCATAGGAATTCGTTCATTTTTTCTTCAAAATATAGTCTGGCTCCCCACAAGGTCTGAGGGGCAGAGGATCGGCCCCCTGCTGAAAAAGTTTGCTGACCCCTGTGATAAAAGGTGCCTTCTTTTCCCTTACATTTCTACCTTTATGATGTTCTTAGCGACTGCTGGCTTGGCCTGGCCTGCAGTTGCTGACAGGCTTTTCATGGCTTGCTGGATCCTCCCACTGACTCGCTGGCTTGCTGGATCCTCCCACTGACTCCCACTGACTTAATAGGACAAGGGTGGCTTGTGGGTTTTCTTCCTTGCCCACATCTGTAAACAGTCGTCAGGTGCTGATAACTGCTGAGCAAACCCAGGCGTGTGCTGGCTGCAGAGGGGAGCCTTGATCAGCAGTAAGCGTCTGTCTGCACAGGTGTACAGGCTTTGCTCCCTTCTCCTCCTCCTCCTCCCTACCTGTTTACCTGTTGGTGGTGTCCTCTCAATCCACACCCAACCATCTCCTTAAATTACGTTTGGATTTGAATGCAAGGGAATCAACAATGGATGGAAAGCCGCTGGTTTGCTGCTGCTTCTTCATGTTCGTCTTTTGGGGAACTGGTGAGTCATTCCCGCACCCCTTACACAGAAATGTTCATCATCAGGAGGGGGAAATAGGTCTTACAGGTGGGGAGTGACAGCACCCATAGCTAATGTTGTTAGAAGGTGTCAGGCTTCAGGGAATCTGATCCCCACCCCCCTCGTGGCAGGCTGCCAGTAGTGGAAAAAACAAGGATCTCTTAAAGGTAAAGGTAAAGGGACCCCTGACCATTAGGTCCAGTCGTGACCCACTCTGGGGTTGCGGCGCTCATCTCGCTTTATTGGCCAAGGGAGCCATTGTACAGCTTCCGGGTCATGTGGCCAGCATGACTAAGCCGCTTCTGGTGAACCAGAGCAGCGCCCGGAAACGCCGTTTACCTTCCCGCCAGAGCGATACCTATTTATCTACTTGCACTTTGACATGCTTTCAAACTGCCAGGTGGGCAGGAGCAGGGACTGAGCAACGGGAGCTCGCCCCATTGCGGGGATTCGAACCGCCGACCTTCTGATCGGCAAGCCCTAGGCTCTGTGGTTTAACCCACAGCGCCACCCACATCCCTCAAGGATCTCTTACTGAGGTATTTTATTCAATATTCACAGAGAGAGATGTAGAACATCATCTCTGGAATAATGGCGTTGCTCCAAGTAATCTCCTCCCTTCCTTTTACCCTCAGTCACCAGAATCTCTACCCCTTACCATACGGTGGCTGTGTAAGGTCTTTTGTCTATTCATTTTCTGTTCTGCCACTTTCACTGTCCTCCGGGTCCTAGGAGAAGAGGGGTCTGGAATGCTTTCTAAAGATAATGTGTCAGTCAGTTGCCCCAGCCCTGCTGCCTTCCCCTCCTGTTCTTCCATTATCTCCCAGCTTCGTCCCTCTTCTGTCTCAGAGTCATGACAGTGAAGGTCCTGTGTGAGTGCCTGGAGGCGGTTGGAGGATGGATGGCAACTAATGGATTGAGGTTGAATCCTGACAAGACAGAAGTACTGTTTTGGGGGGACAGGGGGCGGGCGGGTGTGGGGGATACCCTGGTCTTGAATGGGGTAACTGTGCCCCTGAAGGACCAGGTGCGCAGCCTGGGAGTCATTTTGGACTCACAGCTGTCCATGGAGGCACAGGTCAATTCTATGTCCAGGGCAGCTGTCTACCAGCTCCATCTGGTATGCAGACCGAGACCCTACCTGCCCATGGACTGTCTTGCCAGAGTGGTGCATGCTCTAGTTATCTCCCTCTTGGACTACTGCAATGCGCTCTACGTGGGGCTACCTTTGAAGGTGACCCGGAAACTACAACTAATCAGGAATGCAGCAGCTAGACTAGTGACTGGGGGCGGCCGCCGAGACCACATAACACCGGTCTTGAAAGACCTACATTGGCTCCCAGTACGTTTCCGAGCACAATTCAAAGTATTGGAGTTGACCTTTAAAGCCCTAAACGACCTCGGTCCAGTATACCTGAAGGAGCGTCTCCACCCCCATCGTTCTGCCGGGACACTGAGGTCCAGCGCTGAGGGCCTTCTGGCGGTTCCCTCACTGCGAGAAGCAAAGCTACAGGGAAGCAGGAAGAGGGCCTTCTCGGTAGTGGCGCCCGCCCTGTGGAACGCCTTCCCACCAGATGTCAAAGAGATAAACAACTACCTGACATTTAGAAGACATCTGAAGGCAGCCCTGTTCAGTGAAGTTTTTAATGTGTGACATTTTAATGTATTTTTAATCTTTGTTGGAAGCTGCCCAGAGTGGCTGGGGAAACCCAGCAAATGGGCGGGGTACAAATAATAAATTATATTATTATTAATTACAATACTGTCCTCCTCTTATCGGGAAGGTTCAAGTGGAGGCGGGGTGGCCTCCACCATTCCTCTGCAGTCCAGGCCTTGACAAAAGGCCATAAGGAAGCATGGTTGGCTTAAATTTGCAGGTGCCATTCAGGGGGATGGGATTGTGGAATTCATTAAAGCCCCTGCCTCCTTTCCCACATAGTGCTATCCAGAAAGGTCTTTGGGGCAGAGGTCCATAGCATTTCTCAGCAGGATTCCTGCATCGCAGGCGAATTGGACTTGATGCCCCTTGGCTTTCCTCCCAACTCTACAATTCTATCATTCTGTTTTCTAAAACAGGATGAACAGGAGCTCACAAACACACACTCAAATGTAGCAGGGATGGCTCACCACATTCTGAAACAAGTGAAGTTATACCCATTGTTATGTACTGAAGTTTTCACCCTGGGCCAGCAGGGGGATACTGTAGATAGTTTTCACTCAGGTCCACATATGCAAATAAGGGATTGAAAGTGACGTTCAGTGATGGTATAGTTACAGAAAATGGTTACTGTTGCGTTGTACTGGAGCTCTATATAAGCAGGCTGGCTGAACCCTTCAATTCAGTTCTGTCCTGGCCTGTGAATAAGCAAGAGCTGTTTGAAGAATCGCTGTGTCGTCTGATATGTTCACCCACAACTTAACACCCATGAACATCTAAAGGCAGCAGAACCTCCTAAAGTCCAGCGTCTCAAATTACCTAACTGCCCCAGTGGCTGCATGTGGAGTTTGTAGCCAGAGTCAAAACTGACCCTTTGGCCTGATATCTCAAGAACTTTTTCTTGGCATTAGAGTCAGCTGCACTGGCCAGAACACCCCCCTCCCTTTTTGCAATTTTGCAGAATCTACCTTGAATCTACCTATGAGCCCCCAGGTTTAGACTGGGCCACTTCTGAACTGGTGCAAATTGCTGTTTGCACTCTTCTGCCTTTGTTTAATACAGCCTGCATCTCTGTTTCTCCTGTCGGCAGCCAGGGCTCTGAAGTGCCATGCCTGTGAGGTTGCGAACCCATACAACGGGTGCATCTGGGGTGAACACGAGTGCACGGCGAAACCAAACGGGACCTGCGAAACGCGGCTCGCAATGTTTGGTGAGTGTCAAGAGAGGAACGTCGTGAGCATAGGAAACTGCCTTTGGTCAGTCCAGCTCAGCACAGTGGTACCTCGGAAGTCAAACAGTATCCGTTCCAAAAATCCGTTCAACTTCCAAAACATTCTGAAACCAAGGTGTGGCTTCTGATTGGCTGCAGGAAGTTCCTGCAGCCAATCGGAAGCCACGTTGGACGTTCAGGTTCCAAAGAACGTTCGCAAACCGGAACACTCACTTCGTTTGATGTAGGTTGCTTATTTTTAAAGTTTTGTTTTATTATCACATTTTTGTATTGCATTAGGTGTACATTTTTTGTTTCTTCAGCTTGTAAACCGCCTTGAGTATTGTAAGATTGGAGGACGGTATACAAATTAAAAATGATGATGATGATGACATGAAAGGAACCTTGCTCTTGGGAATCAGCAAGGAAAGCAGAAGGCTCTTCTGCAGGGGGAGAAAACCTGTATAAAACTGGAGAACAGGTTCTGCACAGCAGGAAACAGTAGTGTATTCTTTTTGTACAACCAGCACCACCCGGTTTAGGGACTGCTTGTACAACAGCAGCCCTGTTTAGGGAAGCTTTTTGTTATGTACTGAAGTTCTCACCCTGGGCCGGCAGGGGGATACTGTAGATAGTTATGAAAATGAAGGATCGAAAGTGACGTTCAGTGATTGGATAGTTTTAGAAAGTTGTTACAGTAACGTGTACTGGAGCTCTATATAAGCAGGCTGACTGAGCCCTTCAGTCAGTTCTGTTCTGGCCTCTGAATAGACTGGAGCTGTTTGAAGAATCGCTGTGTCGTCTGATATGTTCACCCACAACTTAACACTTTTAATGTTTGATGTATTACAGTATTTTAATATTTTTTTGGAAGCCGCCCAGAGTGGCTGGGGAAGCCCAGCCAGATGGGAGGGGTATAAATAATATATTATTATTATTATTATTATTATTATTATTATTACCCTGTGCGCAGAGTCTGGAGCAGCCATCTACTTTTAGATGATCACAAGTCCATTTCTCTCACACTTCATCTTCCAAAGCAAAAGATATTGGTCAATTTAGATAGATGATAGATGACAGATAGATAATTTATAGCAGGGTTTCCCAAACTGGGGTCTCCAGCTGTCTTTGGACTACAATTCCTATCATCCCTGATGACCAGACCTGCTAGCTAGGGATGATGGGAGTTGTAGTAAAAAAAAAAACAGCTGGAGACCCAAATTTGGGAAACCTTGATTTATAGGATATGATAAAGGTTGATAGATCCACAGATATAGAAAAATGGTTGATAAACTATGGTAGATAGACAGATAACAGATAGTGACAGAAATTGGACAGTTGGCTATGATAGATTATAGGCAGATAGGCAGATAGGCAAACAGATCAATTGGCTATGAAAGATAGGTGGAGCAAGATGGCTAGATAGATCAACAGGAGGGAGTTGAGTACAGTGGTACGTCGGGTTAAGAACTTAATTCGTTCTGGAGGTCTGTTCCTAACCTGAAACTGTTCTTAACCTGAAGCACCACTTTAGCTAATGGGGCCTCCCACTGCCGCCGCGCGATTTCCGTTCTCATCCTGAGGTAAAGTTCTTAACCCGAGGTAATATTTCTGGGTTAGCGGAGTCTGTAACCTGAAGCGTATGTAACCTGAAGCGTCTGTAACCCGAGGTACCAGTGTACCGCAGTATTCCTGGGTCAGGTGGTCTTGATAGCGATTCTAAGATTCATGGGTTAATTTGCTGCTAGTCCCACCACAGTGTAACCCTGTCCCCCTCTTTATTTCATGTCCAGGCCCCTTCTACTTCTTCGCCTGGCTGGGCTGCAGCCACCAGTCTCCCAGCTGTAATGCATCGGGCCTGAAGGACTCCTTCTTCGGATTCACCTATAACGCCACATGCTGCGACAGTGACGACCTCTGCAACAAAATGCCGCAGCTGGAGCAGCGGTGGCCGTGGAGCGGGACCAGCCGCCAGGTGCTTCCGAACACCGCGGGGATACTTGCTGGAGCTCTGCTGCACTGGGTGCACCTGAACTGACAAAGACATGCGCAGATCCTCCGCCACAAATAGACTCTGCAACAACATGCCATGCTCCAATGGATCAAAGAGAAGGATCTCTTAAGAATATCAAACTCAGGGCACCTTGAACAACGACGGGCCGGACCCACTTAACATATAATATTTTCATGAGCCATTTCCCCTAACAGAATGCAGGCCGAGTCATTGCCACTAATTTTTGCTACTTATTTTTTTACGCTACCGTTCCCCCAATCTATGCATCCTTGCCCGCATTGGTTCGGTTGGAGAAAAGCATTACAAAATTTGGAAAAGAGACAATTCCGAAGGATTGGTGCCGCTTCAGTTTGTGCACGAATTTGGGAACTGCTGTGAACGCCTCCGCTGTAGGCTCGGGTTGTATATGTGTGTAAATAAACCATATAACATAAAGACACCTCAGTCTCCGCTGTGCCTCGTTTCCAAAAGAAAACATGAACCCTGAGTGGGAGCTTGGAACCCCTGGAATCTCGCACCTCTCAGAGATTGGGCGGTGCATAACAGTATGTCAAGTTCCCCTCTCCCTCCTGGTAGCTCACCAATAAGAATTAACGAGCATCTGGTTGATTTATAGTTGTTTTATTACAGTATCATGTTGCGAACACAGATCGGCCTCCTTTTGCCAGGATCGGAGTAGCCATCTCTGACTCCTCTCCTCCACTTCTGCAGGAAGCAGCTCAGCGACAGGATGTCCCGCCTCCACTGCGTCTCTTTTGTTCTCATAGCTCTGAAATTGGGGGGGGGGGTTTCCCCCCTCTCTATTGATGTATCGCCCAGTTGCTACCTCCCTTCTAGTTGTCCAGCAACAATCTCAAAGCTGGACAGCTCTGTGTCTTCCTGTCTCTCTGCTTCGGGAAACACTGGCAGTGTGTGTGTGGGGGGGCAAATAGTCTCCCTCCTCTTCTGTTAGAAGCTGATCTCCCTGCCCTCCCCAATCCTCAGAGTATTCTCTGACACAGTGTTATAAAGCAAAGTGAATTGAAATTCACCCGCATGATCCTCCCAATTTCCCCCCCTCCCGTAACATTGATATCTTAGCCTACATGAATTGCCCCTGAGAGATCCTGTGATCCTGTGCAGTCTCACAGAGCAAGTTTATACAAGCTATTCACACGTATATTATTATTATTATTATTATTATTATTATTATTATTATTGGGGTTGCCTGCAATTTTTTCCTAACATTGTGTACAGTGGTACCTAGGGTTACAGACGCTTCAGGTTACATACGCTTCAGGTTACACACTCCGCTAACCCAGAAAGAGTGCTTCAGGTTAAGAACTTTGCTTCAGGATGAGAACAGAAATCGTGCTCCGGCGGCGCAGCAGCAGCGGGAGGCCCCATTAGCTAAAGTGGTGCTTCAGGTTAAGAACAGTTTCAGGTTAAGAACAGACCTCCGGAACGAATTAAGTACTTAACCCGAGGTACCACTGTACTATTTTTACTAGCCTGCTGGCCCACACATAATTTCTGGGCTTCATAAAGAGAGAGAGAGACAGAGAGACAGAGAGAGAGAGAGAGAGAGCCCAAATAAACCATGTTCCATTTGATCTCTTGGGTGCCATTCTCTGTCATCGTATAACACCAGCACTTAGAGTGTCGGACTTAAGACAAGAAGACCTGTGTTCAATTCCTTACTACAAAGCTTACTGGAGGACTTTAGGCCACACACTCCTTTTTAGCTTCACCCATATCGTAGGACTGTTTTGAGAATACATGGGGAGCATATGTCATCTTCGGCCAGAGTGTAGGGTAAGATATCTTCCCCAGGGAAGCTCTCCTGGTGCCAAGAGAGAGGTGCCCATTCTGATTTCATTTCCAGGGCAGTTATATGACAATGAGCATTTCTCTTGCTTGACTTGTGGGGTGTTTATACATCTCACCATTGAATCTTTGTTCATACAGTGGTACCTCAGGTTACATACGCTTCAGGTTACAGACGCTTCAGGTTACAGACTCCGCTAACCCAGAAATATTACCTCGGGTTAAGAACTTTGCTTCAGGATGAGAACAGAAATCGTGCTCCGGCAGTGCAGCAGCAGCAGGAGGCCCCATTAGCTAAAGTGGTGCTTCAGGTTAAGAACAGTTTCAGCTTAAGTACAGACCTCTGGAACGAATTAAGTACGTAACCTGAGGTACCACTGTAATGTGTTTTCCGGTCATTTTTCTCCTAACCACAAGAATATCTGCTTCATTTTAAAAGTGGGCTCTTTGCACGAGGGTGGCAGAACCCTTTAATCGCTTTAATGGCATCAACCTAATAAAGTTCCAATATGCACTCACATCCCTCCTGCAAAATACAGAGCAGTTCACAAACACTCGCCTTGGCCAGAAGGTGGCAGCAACGAGCTGCTTTTACTTAAGGATAAGGAAGTGTCAAGTGTGTTTCCTTGGGGTCCATAGCAAAGGTCAAGCTAGATGGGAAGCAATCAAGTTTCTCCATGCTATTTTTTATTTTGGTTAAAAAGAAAAGTGTGTGTGGGGGGGAGGAGTGTGCAATTTGGGTTGGGGCTTTCGTGCAGGCAAGTAGCGTTTACCCTTTCCTCCATGCCCCACCTCTCACTTGCCCCTGCAACCCAACCATATCCACTGACAAGAGAAATTTTTATCTGTATGTTCCCTCCCCTCCAAGGCTAACAGGGTGATTAACGGCTGAGGACATTGTGTGGCGTGGAGGTGAGCTGAACCACACCAGTACCACAATCTGGAAGCAAATTCCGCCGCCCCCAACCCCCATAGCTAGATATAAGTGGCGTCTCAGGTCCATAGATCATTTATTTTTGGTATCACTCTTGCACAATTCATTTGGTGGACCAGCCCCCGGCTTCCTGATCCAGAAACAGCGTCCTGCTCCTGGAAAGCATCCATCTCAGTCCCAGTCCAAGAACTGACCTTGGATGGATCCATCATGTTCACCAGTCCTCCAGATGAGTCACCTTTCTGGACCATCGTCTGCCTGTCTGCTGTCTGAAGACTCCTCTAGAACACCAGGTGGCTCTTCTTCTTCATCATCATCATCATCTTCACTTGATCCATTGGATGTGGGCTCCATTTCTTTCCCAGCCTCCTCCCTGTGTCCATGGATCAACACTTCCTCTGTTGCTGTTCCACTGGGTAAGCTCTGCCACCCAGCATGTTCTCCTTCTTTTCCATCCCTCTCACCAGACCGTTTCCTTTTCCCACTGGTCGATAATGCTTTTGACTTAAGGGAACATTCCCTTCCTGGCGCCCTGGAACTTTTGGACAGCCCCGTATCTGCCCTCTTCTCACGGGAAAAAGTCCTCCCTGTAAACGATGATGTTGTTTCTTCCTCCCATTTCCAAGTACTAGAGGCAAATTCTTCTAATGCGATCACATTGGGCGGCCCTCCTCTCTTAGATCTCTTCCCATTGGACAGCACTTTGAAAGTTCTCCTTGCCTGATTGGACGGGCCCTCCTCTGCCCCTCTCCTCCCTTCCAGTTTCCTCATCCAAACTGATGGTCCTTCTTTCCCTTGTTTCGCAGAGGTCGGGCCTGTTACCCTGCCGGACGACCCGGAATCCGCCAGCGCCAGAACCACTTCTCTTCGGCAATGTTGATCTCCGACAACGTTGAAAACAGAGATCCAGCTGTCTCCGTGCCCGGAAACCATCTTGAAGTTCTTTCCATCGCAGTCGATGAAGATGGTGGCATTGGCCCGGTGTCGTGGAGTCAAAGCATTAAACTCCTGCAAGGCTCGCTTGAGGCAGGCCCGAAGGTCCACCGTACATCCTTTCAGGCCTTCTGTCTCCTTCCACACTTTAAGCAAGTTCTCAGAGGTGAGGGGCACCGCACGGCTGTTCAACCTGTCTACGTAGATGTCCATGCAAGTAACTCGAACCCGGTACCGAGGTTGTCTATCGGAGAAAAGGATGTGGATGCGGGACTTCCCCTTCCCAGAAATGAAATCCAAGCAGGAGCCTTCACATTCAATGGTCAACTCAGCATTGCTCTTCACTGAAGGTGGCTCCTTCTCAATCTCTGTTATGGCTAGATCAAGGCAGGCCCGCAGGTCCTTTGTGACATCCCCCCACTTAAGGAGCTCCTGCCTCACCTTCTCCAAATTCTCAGAGGTCAGTGGAGCTGGGCAGAGGGACAGCCGGTCCAGGTACACCTCCAGGCTGGAGACCTCAATGTTATAGCGGGTTTTCTTCTTTGACCAAGAGATGACTATCTTGTTCTCACCTCCACCGGAGACAAACTCCATCCTTTTCCTCCCTCTCACCTGGACGGTCAAGGTGGCATTGTCCTGGAGGCAGCGAGGCTCACGGGGGAACTCTAGCAAGGCGTGGTCTAAGCAAGCTGTCAGCATGGTGTCAGATCCCCGGTTGGCTATCTCCAAGCTCTCCTTCGCTGAGAGTAAGTTGCTGACACTCAGTGGTGCTGGAGGGATGGGCTTGGGGATGCAGGCACCCATACGAAGAAAGGCCAGGTTCTACGGATGCAACGCCAAACATGTCTTCTCATGCAGTGGCATCAATGGTCCTCCAAGACCTGGAGAAGAAAGCAGGCATCTCAGAATGGAATCCGTCACTGTACAGAAGTGGCAACCGGTGCCCGTTTGATAATGGTGATCATGTGCCTGGTTCCTCCAGGACAGGGACAGCCAATGTGTTGCCCTCCAGATGTTGTTGAGGACCACAATTCGCATCAGCCCCAGCCAACATGGCCAGCCGCCAGGAATTATGGTGGCGCTGTGGGTTAAACCACAGAGCTTAGGACTTGCTGATCAGAAGGTCAGCGGTTTGAATCCCCGCAACGGGGTGAGCTCCCGTTGCTCGATCCCTGCTCCTGCCAACCTAGCAGTTCGAAAGCACGTCAAAGTGCAAGTAGATAAATAGGTACCGCTCCGGCGGGAAGGTAAACGGCGTTTCCATGTGCTGCTCTGGTTTCGCCAGAAGCGGCTTAGTCCTGCTGGCCACATGACCCGGAAGCTGTACGCCAGCTCCCTCGGCCCATAAAGTGAGATGAGCGCCGCAACCCCAGAGTCGTCCACAACTGGACCTAATGGTCCGGGTTCCCTTTACCTTTACCTTTATGGCAAGGCTGGGGAAGAGGCCTTGCATGGGTAAACACTTAGGAAAACCGAGAAGTTTCCTAAGAGAGTGCAAAGGTCAGTGTTGTGTAACTGTCTGGACAATCCCTTTACATCTCCCCAGGGCAGACCTCCTCTCCCCAGGCCCCAGCCCTTACCACCCCTGCTTGGCTGCCTCCTTGAGTCCCTTGAACTGTGATCCTGCCTCTTGCGAGTCCAGATGGAGAGAGGAGTGTTTATGAGGTGCATCTCTGGCCCTGCCCATTTTTGCCTCTGTCCCCCACCCACCATGGACAAGAGAATGTGGCCTCCTTTCTCCCCACCCCTTTAAGGCTTGATCAGTGATTGCATGAGGGTGAGGTCAGACAAAGAAGATGGTCAGACCGGCTGCTGAATGAAAAGCACTACCAGTATTATTATTTTTGCCAAAGACACAGAAACGCAAGAGAAATAAAGCCAATCTGCAAAGGGATGCATTCCAGGATGTTTTCGTACACAACTAGTGATGGAGGTGCAGGCTTCTCCCATGTGTCTGAGCAGTTCTCCACTTAACCCACACTTTCTAAGCACGGGTCTGAGTGGTTTCCTTCTTCCCCAGAGGAAATCTGCTATTTAGTGCTAAATCAGAGCAGGTGTGGGCTTTGGTAATCTTTCATAATATGGTGCCAAAATTCCAAATGCACCTTCTCAGTTATCGATCTTCTCAGTTTCGCACCCCTTCAGCTCACACTGCCCTAAATCTGGTGCTGTTCAGAGCAAATGCAAATCCGGAGAAAAGGTGAACTTCCGTCTGCGCCAACCAAGTGCTAAAGAGTGGTTTGATATTCAGAACGTAGCAGGTGAAGCTCGCCCTTGCATAGTGCTGACTCTTAGAACCTGCGAATGAATGTAACATTTACCTCTATGCAGTCGTAAAGGACCCCGGACGGTTAAGTCCAGTCAAAGGCGACTATGGGGTGTAGCGCTTATCTCTGCTTTCAGGCCAAGGGAGCCGACAAAAAACTTTCTGGGTCATGTGGCCAGCATGACTAAACCACTTCTGGCACAATGGAACACCGTGACAGAAACCAGAGCGCATGGAAATGCCGTTTACCTTCTCACCGGAGCAGTACCTATTTATCTACTTGCACTGGTGTGCTTTCAAACTGCTAGGTTGGCAGGAGCTGGGAGAGAGCAACGGGAGCTCACCACGTCGCGGGGATTCGAACCGCTGACCTTCCGATTGGCAAGCCCAAGAGGCTCAGTGGTTTAGACCACAGCGCCACCTGCATCCCTCTATTCAGTACATGGGCTTGTAAAAATGAACAACAGTGGGTTGTCTCCATTGTCTTATTCAGAGTAGTTCTAATGGAGTTAATGGACATGACTCAAGTCCATTAATTTATTGGCATCTACTCTGAACAGGACTTACTTCAATAACAACTCTCAGGTGCAAGGCTGCACCCTCTCTCCTCCATATCTCAACCTAGAAGTCCTCTGACCTGTCCATGAAGTGGCTTAGAACCTCGGTGTAGCCCACGCAAGTATGCAATGGATGAGCACGCAGCTGGACTTTATCAAGCCAAATGTGCGTATGAAAAGATGCTAATGAAAGGATGCTTGAGGGTTAATTGTTTCTGTCAAATTATATCAGTTGTGAACCCTTAGGAACAAGGACTGAAAGGGAAAGGAGGACAACAAGGGGGTCTTGGCCCAGAACTGAAGTCACGGGCACAGCTGAGGGTAGCTCAGGGCTGAAGGTGAGATTGTGGGGAGAACGCCGCAGTCAGTAACTCGTGGAAATGAACTTACTTTTGTGTCTGGGTTCCTACTAGCATCCATGGGAGTTGGGAAGAGGACAGGAGAGAATGTGGCTTGATTCTCATTGGTCTTTGCAGCTGTGATGTCACAGACCCATCCTTCGGAGTTCCGTTCCATCCATGTGTTCTGTAGAAGAAGAAGAAGAGTTTGGATTTGATACCCCGCTTTATCACTACCCTAGGGAGTCTCAAAGCGGCTCACATTCTCCTTTCCCTTCCTCCCCCACAACAAACACTCTGTGGGGTGAGTGGGGCTGAGAGACTTCAAAGAAGTGTGACTAGCCCAAGGTCACCCAGTAGCTGCGTGTGGAGGAGCGGGGACGCAGACCCGGTTCCCCAGATTACGAGTCTATCGCTCTTAACCACTACACCACACTGGCTCCCAAGAAGGAAGCACCAATCGCTAGCAGACGGGTCCAGAATTAGAAAGGCAAAGCTGCGAAACAGAAATGATACAAGCAAGCAAACGTCCAGCTTCTGCAGCAAACTGCAAAATTTTAACAGGTCGTCCCATTAGAATAATTATACAAGAGGCAATGAGGCTAAGAGTACGTTCTATCATATGTGGTGGACTTGTAAAAGGGCAAAAGGGTATTGGGAAACAGTTTATAATGAATTTTAAAAAATGTTTAAAAGTACTTTTCTGAAAAAACAAAGAACAAAACCAGAGTCCTTTTTGTTGGGGATAATTCAGATGGAAATTCCCAGGTGTCAAAAAAGGCTATTTATGTATGCCACTACTGCAGGCCGTGTTTTGTTAGCCCAAAAATGGAAAATGAGTGAGGTCCCAACTAAAGAAGAATGGCAACTTAAGCTGATGGAATATGCGTAGCCTGCAGACTTAACATATAGAATAAGAGAACTAGAGGAACATACGTTTAAAGAAGATTGGCAAATGTTTATTGAATACAGTGGTACCTCGGGTGACATACACTTCAGATTACAGACGCTTCAGGTTACAGACTCCGCTAACCCAGAAATAGTACCTCGGGTTAAGAACTTAAGTTACACTGTTGAATTTATGCTGCCAACGTTTTCAAGTGTAGGCAATTTTTACCCATATACAGTGGTACCTCGGGTTAAGTACTTAATTCGTTCCTCAGGTCCGTTCTTAACCTGAAGCTGTTCTTAACCTGAAGCACCACTTTAGCTAATGGGGCCTCCCGCTGCTGCTGTGCCACCGCCATGCGATTTCTGTTCTCATCCTGAAGCAAAGTTCTTAACCTGAAGCACTATTTCTGGGTTAGCAAAGTCTGTAACTTGAAGCGTATCTAACCTGAAGCGTATGTAACCCGAGGTACCACTATATTAAAAAACACAACAGACCTGCACTTAAGTTATATGCAGAATCCTGAAAGGAAATGTAGCTAATAATTCTTTGTGAGTTATGAGCTTGCAACAAACAAACACACACACACACACACACACAGACACACACACACACACACACACACACACACACACACACACACCCCTTTTCAATCATGAAGGAAGCCCCTCTTATGAGCAAAAGGCAGTATACTACCCCCTCCCAAATGCAGCAGTCTGGTGGGGAAGGCCTCTCTCCCCTGAAAGGCCATTTGCTTTCCATGCAGAATGCACTGAAAAGAGCACCATTTCCCCCCCCCCCATCCACCATAAACACACAACAGGTGGGTGGGCTGAACTCACGGGTTGCTGCATTCTTCTGTGTCCCGCTCAGGGGGAGGGGCAGGTCTAGCCCGGGTTTCTGCCCCGGGTGAAGCCTCCAGAGGGGTGCCATTGAGTTTCCCGCCAAATCGATTACTGGATCCTGTGATCTATGGTCCCAAAAACAGAAGTCTGGGAGAACAGAAGGATCCAGGACCCCCCATTCTTTTGTATACACTTCCCACCCTTGGCATTAAAGTCTCCAGTCATGTTGATAGGTAAGTCAGGGCAGATGGAGTCCAAATTCTCAAGCACATATGTAATAAGATCCCATTGTAGGTTCCATCGTCCTGCCTGGACACTGAGGTCCAGCGCCAAGGGCCTTCTGGCGGTTCCCTCGCTGTGAGAAGCCAAGTTACAGGGAACCAGGCAGAGGGCCTTCTCGGTAGTGGCACCTGCCCTGTGGAACACCCTCCCACCAGATGTCAAAGAGAAGAACAATTACCAGACTTTTTAGGAGACATCTGAAGGCAGCCCTGTTCAGGGAAGCTTTTAATGTTTAATAGGTTATTGTATTTTAGTGTTTTGCTGGAAGCTGCCCAGAGTGGCTGGGGAAACCCAGCCAGATGGGTGGGGTATAAATAATAAATTATTATTATATTATCTTGGCTGTGACAGCAGGAGTGGGAGGGATATACACATTGAACATTTTCTATTACTGGAAAATGATCAGGAGCTCAACAATTAGTGGCTAAATATCTCTATTTGTTTTTTTGTCATTGAAATACACTGCAGACATCTGATCTCCCTGGAAACCTAGAGATGTGACGATAGACTGCTCTGCCTCCTTTCTTTTAGCACAGCCTTTCTCAATCTGTGGGTCCCCAGATGTTGTTGAACTACAACTCCCATCACCCCTAGCTAGCAAAGCCAGAGCTCAGGGATTATGGGAGTTGTAGTCCAACAACATCTGGGGACCCACAGGTTGAGAACCACTGTTCTAGCAAATGTTTTGTGCCACTGGGGAAGTGGTAATTCTGTATAGATTTGTTTTGGATGTTTGGACGTGGGTGGGTTAAACCACAGAGCCTAGGACTTGCCAATCAGAAGGTTGGCGGTCCGAATCCCCACGACAGGGTGAGCTCCCGTTGCTCGGTCCCTGCTCCTGCCAACCTAGCAGTTCGAAAGCACGTCAAAGTGCAAGTAGATAAATAGCTACCACTCCGGCGGGAAGGTAAACGGCATTTCCGTGCGCTGCTCTGGTTCGCCAGAAGCGGCTTATTCATGCTGGCCACATGACCCGGAAGCTGTACGCCGGCTCCCTCGGCCAATAAAGCGAGATGAGCGCCGCAACCCCAGAGTCCAAGCAACGTATAGCCAAGCAACAACCACGTATATGAACCAACCACACTTTGTCGCCATATTCTCAAATAACATTAATTGTTGTTCCTATGCTATGGGAGTTGAGAGAATCACCTCAGGGATCCATTCCTGGATAGTGAATATAGGGAACGAGAACTTCTCAGCTGTGGGGGTTGTCAAGGAGTCTTTAAGGGAGTACCATATTGTCAGTTTGAATGATGGAATTGGGATCTGGGCTACTGGGAGGATTTCTGCTGGTTCATATTATGCTTCCACTCCTCCTGGTATATCTCTGGGATCATCATCCTTGACAAGCACGCAACCCCTTACGTTCAACCCAAAAGGGATTCGGCCAAAGAAGATCCATGTGCTTGTGAACTATGAAGCAGGATTAGTAACCTTCCATGATCCTGACTCAAATAATGTTCTCTTCACCTTCAATGCTTCGTTCTCTGAGGAGGAAATCTTCGCCTTTCTCTGTGTGGGGAAATAAGATGAGGTTGCCATTTGGTGCAAACTTGACAGGTCAGAGGGAGGTGCCAAGTCCTTTAAAGCAAGGGATGGGTGGGGAAGGAACTGAATCCTGCCCCCATACTTTCCTCCCTCAAATGTCTGGGAAAAGAACTTTTTTTGGGGGGGGATATGTGTGGTGTGGTGTGGAATGGGCTCAGCATATTAAGTCGTCATCCCCGCCAACTTCTTTAGAGGGAATTACCGTATTTTTTGCACCATAACACTCACTTTTTTCCTCCTAGAAAGTAAGGGGAAATGTCTGTGCGTGTTATGGAGGGAATGCCTATGGGTGGCATGCCTACGGATTTTCCTCCTCTAAAAACTACGTGCGTGTTATGGTCGGGTGCGTGTTATAGAGCGAAAAATACGGTAGTAACAGTCTGACTCTGACATGCAGTGTCATTGCTGTCAAGTCTGAATGGGCCCTGCAGGCTTTCCCCTCCAAATAGCGCTCTGTTGTGGGAAACAAAACACATGAAAACTGCCATTCAGACACAGCTACAGGGGGAAGTAGTAGCTGAAGAGGGGAGGCTTTTCAATGAGGAACTGGCATGGGGCTCTGATCCAGATTGACTGCTTGTTCCAGATCACAACCCCTTAGCTGTATTTTATTCAGAACAGAAACACACAAAATAGAAGCACAGTTAAAGAGGAATAGTCTGCAAATACATGATACACAAATAGAGACTTGATATGGGGGCATTTAAATGCCCCCTTAATTATCTAAAGAGGTGGGGTGTTTTATGTGCTTCAAGTAGTTGTTCTATGTCTTTTTATAATTGTTTAGTTGTTGTCACTCACTCTAGGACCTGATGTCGAAAGGTGTGTAAGAAACCTTGTAAATAAATAAAAGCAATTCCGCTTACTGCATTTGTGCGTGCCATTAATCGCTTAATGTTCAAACTGCTCCAGGGATTTGCAGAACCACAGTTAAGTGTCTCTTGTTTGAACAAGTGGAGGACAAGGTGCTCAAGTCTGCTCTTATATTGTAACTCTTAAACTGCTGTTGCTTTCTTTGAGTCTTTAATATATGAAATAAACAAGGGCTGCAGGGAGGAGGTGGGGAGCCGTGGTCTGAACCAGCAAGACTCTTCTGAAAGTAAGTGCTATTAGGTAAAATAAAAATCAAAACAATTCCTCTATGTTTGAAATGACCGGCTTCAGATTTAACATTTCCCAACATGACCCATGTTGATGCAAGGCACAGGTGGGGAGCCTTTTGCAGCCCAGACGTCGCATTCCCTTGTGTCTGGAGTTTGAAAAAATTTGGCCCCACCCCATGGGTGAACTTTGACGGATGGTTGGGACAATCACATAATATCACTATGAAATTACACGATTGACAGATGAGTTCCCTACCCATGCCTTATGGGGAACATTTGAAATAACTTGCGCTGTGGATAGATAGGGCCAGTAGCAAAAGTGAGCAGAGTTCCTGCTATGCTCTCCATCCACACAAGCAAGAGAGATTATCCCTGTCCAAGGATAGATTTTAGTCAGAAGTGCATGCGAGGGATCAGTGAGGCCTGTATCCTGACGGCCATTTTGAGGGGCCTGCGTCATTTGGCTCCTGCAGCTGAGGTTTTCCAACCCTAGTCGGAGCTTGAGCTCTTTTTTTTATTATTATTGAGTGAAAACATTTATTTCAGTAAGCCCACAGAGACACTTCTTTAATTGTGTACACTTGCTTATAAATACTTGCAGATTTCACCTGTGTTTTTATTGAAAATTTTTGTACCACAGCTTAGATTTTTTTAATTAACTGGTTTCTAAACATTTCCAAATAAACAAAAGCATTAACAACACAACAATATTTTGATAACATTTAATAAAAACAAAAGTAGACTATACATCAAATAAAACTGAGAAGTGTACAGAACAGAAAATTTAAATTTGCCAGAATCTAGCAAAACCTGGGTAAACATGTAAGTTTTTAAGAGATGTTTGGAAATCTCTACTGTCTCCATCTCATGAATTATCTGAGAGAGAGCATTCCAGAGGGTGGGTGCTGCACCCACAAATGAAGTGACCACCCATGGGTGTTGGAGTGACCCCAGCAGGGCCACATCAGCTTGAGCTCTTACTGCTGAATTTTGTCTCTCGTTTCACCCAATTCCAAGGGACCGGTTCAAATTTATCCAGGGAACAACTGGTATTTTTATCAAACAAAACGTAGCTGCTTATTCACATTTTCCTGGTCTGACAACAGGGCAAGTGAATGGGATTCTGGCTAACCCTTCTCATGGTTCATGTACTTTGTAAACAGCAGCGAAGGAACACTATGTAAACTCCAACAGGGCAGGCTTCCATCACATTCTGGTCTTGTTTGTTTTGGGGGGAAGTTCCCGCACACTGAAATTTACCGTATTTTTCGCTCTATAAGACGCACCAAACCACAAGACGCACCTAGTTTTTGGAGGAGGAAAACAGGTAAAAAAATATTCTGAATCTTAGAAGCCAAAACAGCAAGAGGGATCGCTGCGCAATGAAAGCAGCAATCCCTCTTGCTGTTCTGGCTTCTGGGATAGCTGCGCAGCCTGCATTTGCTCCATAAGACGCACACACATTTCCCCTTACTTTTTAGGAGGGAAAAAGTGAGTCTTATAGAGCAAAAAATACGGTAAGTTCCATTCCATTTCCTTTCTATTGTTAACACCTGCAGGAAAGCTAAATACATATCCCCACAGTAACATGCAAAACAAGAAGAGTCGTGTTCCTGTGCCACATCCTCCAGCAGTTCATACCTGCTTCAGCTAAGCTGGAGGTCAGCAGTCCTCATGAATCAGGCCAGAGATTCATCAAAGATACCCTTAGCAGGCTGGTAATAATTTAGGGGCATTCTTAGAGAGATGGATTGGCTTATTGTGGGAAAGTTTCTGGGTCAAAAACTCTTGTTTAAAAGTCTCTGCTCTCAGATCCAGAGAGTAACTCACCCACTGAGCATGGAGTCTCTGAGATCTGTGCAGAAACAGTTGCAATGTTATGAGCCAGACACAAGGAATCTGGTCGCATGCTTGGACGTGGCAATGAGGAATTTCAAGCAGGAGCCTACGTGCGTGAAGGAGAATGCCACTTTGTTGATCAAGAGTGATGGGGTCGAGTTGAAATTCTCCTGTGGGAATCAGAAATGTCTCATCTGCATAGATGGCGCTGGTGGAGAGCTCATGTACAATGCCTCTGAACTCTCAGGCGATGTTTATCTATCGAGATTATGTTGCAGGCCCCAGCCACTGAATGTGGCAAGTCTCCAGGGAGTGAAGGGAAGTTTGGAGAAATTGCCTCATTACGTAAATCCTGTTCAGAATACCACAACACACACGTAACTGGCTGTAAAGTAACATAACATATATAATAAAACTGTAATCGTCATATCAAAAAATTTCAAAGCACAGTTCCTGGTGGCAAGAACTGTATTACTATTAACCTTCTATATGTTTTTATTGTCGTAAAGTCCAAGGATAGTCAAGTCCAAAGATTGTCAAGTCCAACGATTACAATGTACAGTTCCTGTTGGCAATACCATTTCATACTGATATCTTCCTTCTGCAGTCCTATGTCTTGAGAGTGTAACAAACAGAACTAGTAAAGGTAAAGGGACCCCTGACCATTAGGTCCAGTTGTGACCGACTCTGGGGTTGTGGCGCTTATCTTGCTTTATTGGCCGAGGGAGCCAGCGTACAGCTTCTGGGACATGTGGCCAGCATGACTAAGCCGCTTCTGGCAAACCAGAGCAGCGCACGGAAATGCCGTTTACCTTCCCGCCGGAGCGGTACCTATTTATCTACTTGCACTTTGAGGTGCTTTCAAACTGCTAGGTTGGCAGGAGCAGGGACTGAGCAACGGGAGTTCACCCCGTCACGGGGATTCAAACCACTGACCTTCTGATCAGCAAGTCCCAGGCTCTGTGGTTTAACCCACAGCGCCACCCGCGTCCCACGAGCAGAACTACTTAGTAACAATAAGGCAGCTGATGATAGACCAGTTCTCAGGATACACCCTTGTTTTGCCCATTGGGCTTCTTCGGCGACAAGGTTTCCAGGAGAATTTTCAGTAGGTTTTTCCAGCCGAAATAGTCCACAGGAACGCAGAAGTTGTCAGTCAGAGATGCTCCGTATCAATGATCATTGAAACTAAGCTATATAGGAGCAATCCCTGCAATGGGGCAGGTGCAGGCAATTAGAATTAAATATTCTTAAACAAAATGAATAAATCTAACCCCTAAAAGGGGGAAAGGGGAAATGAGGAGTGTTATTGTTTGCAGAGAAGTCACAGTATGTGGAGGAATTAAGGAACAAAGAGAAGCAGGAAATGTAAATAAGTGAATAAGCGAGGGCATTTGGACAGAGCAGATCGACCATCTCCATATCACCAAAAACAATAGGTCAGAAATTTAAATGAAAACATACATGAAAGTCAAACATGCATTAGCTGAGAGTCCTGGAACTAGATGACGCTTGGGATCACTTCCATCTCTGCAATTCTGCTATTCTTTGTGCTAATTTATACGTGGAGACAGCAAATTTTAAAATAAGCAGTACAATTGAAATAGAAATACAATAAATCTTACCGTAGCAGGGGGAAAGACTGTGTCTTCCCTCTCAGTATGCTGACTGGATGCTAACTGTGAACAGGGGCTGCTCCAGAGTGCCAACAGCTCTCCCTTCTCAGGGCTCTTTATCCTTAAACCCAACTTGGATTGGATGCTCCTTCAGATACAGACAGTGTGGTACAGTGGTTACGGCGCTGGATCAGGATGGGAAGTTCAGGGTAGACACACAATAAAAACACATGAAATCATAAACTTGAGCAAACACTCGTGTGCATATGTGTGTTTTTGCTTTTCTTTCTTTGGGCTTATTTACTTTAATTATATTTTGATCTAACAGCCTAATCATAGCAGCTACAGTGTCCTGGCTGTGGCAAATTCAAAAGTAAAAGTTAGTTGTCCCCAAATCCTATTAACATTTGGGACTGGAGCAACAGTGTTTGCAAGAGTATACTGTATGAGAACTGGGGGTGGGAGACAGGAAACCAATTCTTCCCTCATTAATTCCTTCTCAGATAAACGATTGGTTTTTCTCAGGCTTTACTTCCTTTTTCCTCCTGTTCCAGTCAGTTCGTATTTGACCTTTTATTAGCCTCATGATGGCCACACGGCTCTCGCTCAATTTTTCCTGGGGACTGTAGTTAGTTAAGGGTGCTGGGAAGTGTAGCTTTTTGAGGCAAATGGCCATTGCCAGGATTCTTTGGCAGATACCATGCACTTTGAATTCATGGTACGGCTGTGAAGCTGCCCACTGTAAGGGTTTCTCCTGGTTTATGCTGCTGCTTTGCAAACACTATGAGTCACCCAGAGGCAGGGAAAGGCCCAACCTTGGACTTTAAACTGGAAAAATGAAACTAAGGCTTTTATTCCCTTTTCAGGCAGACGAAATGGCAGACGAGAGTCCAGTCCAGAACCTCTGCGAGGAAACGACATGCCGCATCTGCCGGGAGTATTTCAAAGACCCAGTGATCATAGAATGTGGCCACAATTTCTGCCAAAGCTGCATCACCGAGACTTGGGGAGAATCAGATGGAGTACCTTCTTGCCCGCAGTGCAGGGAACCTTGTCAGCAAAAGAATGTCAGGCCCAACCAGCAACTGGCGAGCATTGTGGAAATAGTCAAGAAATTCAGCCTTCAGATGGCCAGAGGGGCGGAAGCGCTGGGAAGGGTTTGCGAGAGACACCAGGAGCCCCTGAAGCTCTTCGGCGAAGGCGACCAAGCCCCCATCTGTGTGGTGTGCGACAAATCCAAGGAGCACAAAGTGATCCCAAAGGAGGAGGCCTTTGACGAGTATCAGGTAGGGAGCTGTAGGACTGGGGACCAGACTTCCAAGGGATGCTCAGTTATCCTAAGGATGGGGAAAATATTTCAGCCTGAGGGCTGCTTTTTTCTCTAGCTGACATTCAGGTGGGTGCTTTCAGGGGTGCAGGGAGGGGGTGGAGGTGTGGGTGGGTGGGCCGCTCCAAGTGCCCTCACTGAGGGGGGTGACATTTGGTGCACCGCCTGCCCGTGACCCCCAAGCCTACCCCGAGCCGTTGGGGTAAGGAAGGGAGCTACGCCGCTATGCCGGCAGGATTCCTCCCTTCTCGCTTCGTTTTGCCAGCTTGGGGGAGGCTTGGGAGTTGTGAGCGGGTGACGCGCCGAATGTCCGCCATGGGTGGCTCATTCTGCCCCCGTGAAAAGAAGTAATACCGGCAAAAAAATAATGGCAAGATAAATTATTTGACTATGTAGAATTGGTCTGAAGGACAGGTGCAATTAAAGGTCAGACCAAACCAAAATTCCGAAAAGAAAAATATAGAGATTACCGTAAAAAGCAGTGCCCTCAAATTAATACTTGGACTTGTTTTGATTAACTTTTGCAAAACGAACTAGGGGGTAAAAGCTAAAAACAGAAAGAAAACAAGGTAAAAATGAAAAGAGAAGGAAACAGTTTACTAAATATGAAAGCAGAACTGTACTGAGGATGAAGGAAGTCATTTAGAAGAAAAGAAGAACTGAAATATGGTATATACATATTGTTTAATATTTGCTTAGTATAAGATTTTGTATTTACCTTTGATATTGTTTTTTTTCTTTTTTCTTTATGTTTTATGTTTTATTTTTCTTTTTGTTAGTGTGTGTGTTTGTGCTGCAAAATTTAAATTTAAATTTATTTCAAAAAATAAAACGTGGTTCTTTAATGGTGGGTATGGGGTTGTTTTTATTTTGATTACATATTTTGTGGTTTTATATTCTGATTTTGTTCTGTGAACTGCCCTGAGATCTTCAGGTATAGGGCAGTATATAAATTAATTAAGTAAGTAAACAAGTAAGTAAGGAAGGAAGGGTCACAGTAGCCCAATCTTGCATGCAGAAATCCTTAGCATTTCTAGGTAGGGCTGGGGATATACTGGACCTGAAATCCAGTCAGTACAGCCAGTACATAGCTGTCAACGTTTCCCCCTTTTTAAGGGAAATTCCCATATTCCAAATAGGATTCCTTGCAAGAAAAGGGAAAAGTTGACAGCTATGAGCCAGTACTGAGCTAGTTGGACCAGAGGAACATATAACTAGTATAAGGCCACTTCCCCTCTTTCTAGATATGTCCAAAAAACCCAGAGCATAGGTATCAGGTATTAGCAATGTAGCCATGTGGCGCACAATTCTGCTGCAGAACCATATCAAAGCTTCCTATTTGCAGAGGCCCAGGAAGTTCTACCTGCAAAATACTGCAAGGGGAGAAAGAAGGAGCAAATGTTGTGAAGTTATGAGGGGTAAAGGATGTTATAAGGGGCAGTGCGGTTTCTTCTGGGGGTACTCAGCGGAACCAGCACCTTTCCACCCCAAATGTGAAAAGTGTGGCACTTCCTGTGATAACTTCATGGTGAATACTGCAAGCTGTTTTTCTTACAAGAAAAAAGAAAAAGAACGAGCTCTGAAAAGGACTGTGCACCAGCCACAACCTTTTGTTCATACCCCAATTTAACTTTGGAGCATGTTTTGGTGCAGAAAATGTGAGAGGGTGACTGACTTGGCTCAGGATCTGAATCCAAATCCTGTACAGATATTCTGTTTTGTGCAAATCTGGTATATGAGCAAACTTTTTATCTCTTACACTGTGTCCCCATAATTTTGAGCCCTCTTGTTTCCCCCAGATTTAATCAGAAAATGAATTATTAGCTATATAAATATGCATATGTGAACACTGATTTAATTCTACACTGAGAATGGAAGTTTCCTAGAAGCTATACATAGACTCTCCTCGTCCTTCATGTTCTTGGTTTCTTGAACAGACATGGCCGTTACAGTTTATGAGTATGTCTCTATTGCCAAAATTAACCGAAATGCCTTTTTGGCCACCCCAGGGTAGAATCCTGCGTCATTTGGAATTCCTGAAGGAACAGAGAGAAGAAATTCTGTCTTCTAAACTGAAGAGGGAGACCGAAAGTCAGTATCTGCTGGTAGGTGCAAATCTTCCTGCCTCTCCAGGATGGTTATATTGACAGAGTGAGGCCTTAATTCTGTGGTGGAGCCTATGCTTCACTTGCTCAGCGTCCCAGGTTTGATCATTGGCATTATCAATTAAATGGATAATGGGTGGTAGAGTTGAGAAAGGTCTCCGCTTCAGACCTTGAAGAGCAGGACTGGCTAAAACTGGTAGGGCTGTCTAGGGGCGAATGTAGTCCTTGAGACCAAAAATGTCCAGCCATGCCAGCGTTAATCCTTTAAGAATGAACCCTACAAAGCCAGCCTTCTTCCTCCTTCTCATCACTTCCTCACGGCCCTACTATTAGGCAGAGTGAGGTGGCCAAGCCATGCTGAAGATGGCAGGGAATAGAGAACAGCAGCAGCTTAATAGATCGGTAGGTGAGCAGCAGGAAAATACTGAGGACCGAGCCAAGCAAAGAGGTCGTGTCCTGCTAAGCCAGCCTGCCTGCCGCCCTCAACTGTGACTGAACCTCTGTACCATTGTGAGTGTTGAAGTAAACATCAACTGCCCTGCCAGTCAAGTTGCGCACATGGAATTAAGGGGACATCTAAATGCCCTTTTCTGGCCATGACTCTCTCCTTGCAGAAGCAGACAGACATGGAGAGGCAGAAACTCATGGCTGATTTCAAGCAGTTGCACCAGTTTCTGGAAGAACAAGAGCACCTCCTGCTGGCTCAGTTAAAGGAACTGGACGATGAGATTAAATCCTGGGAGGACAAGCATATTGCAAAACTCTCTCAGGAAATGTCCTCTATCGATGACCTTATTAAGGAGCTGGAAGAGAAACAGAAACAGCCAGCAACTGAATTCTTGCAGGTAAGAGTTGGCACAATTACCGTATTTTTTGCTCTATAAGACTCACTTTTTCCCTCCTAAAAAGTAAGGGGGAAAGTGTGTGAGTCTTATGGAGCAAGTGCAGGCTGTGCAGCTATCCCAGAAGCCAGAACAGCAGGAGGGATTGCTGCTTTCACTGCACAGCGATCCCTCTTGCTGTTCTGGCTTCTGAGATTCAGAATATTTTTTTTCTTGTTTTCCTCCTCCAAAAACTAGGTGCGTCTTGTGGTCTTGTGCGTCTTATAGAGCGAAAAATACGGTAAATATTTCAGGTTGTCCTACAGGTAAGGGTTGTACCCCCAACCACTCTATTGGTTTATAGAAGTACGGTAGTACCTCGAGTTACAAACGGCTCAGGTTACAAATGCTTCAGGTTACAAACTCCGCTAACCTGGAAGAGTTAACTCGAGTTGAGAATTTTGCTCCAGGATGAGAACGGAAATCGTGTGCCGGCGGCGCAGCAGCAGCAAGAGGCCCCATTAGTGAAAGCATGCCTCTAGTTAAGAACAGTTTCAGGTTAAGAACAGACCTCCAGAACGAATTAAGTTTGTAACTAAAAGTACCACTGAATTCATAGTAGGGATGTGCATTGGTCACACATTTTGTTCAAAACTGTGATTTAGAGGTTCATCAAGCTGCATGATTCAAGTTGACCAATGGGAAGGCTTCCCTGTTCTGCTTCTGGTCCAGATCTGCTTCACTCTCCTGCTTCAATACTTTGAAATTTTAAAACATCTATTACTCCCCATCCTCCCTTTTGATAGAAGTGGATGGAATTTGCAGGCAAAGCTGCTCCTGCAGTATGGATGAAGCCTGCACCAGCAACACTGGTCAGTTGAGTTCTCCCTCTACCCAATTCAAACATGCCCTCACTGTTGTGTGTAGAGCAATGTACATCGTCAGCAGTAGCAGGTAGACATCTGCTCTCAGGCTGGCGGCACCAGTGGTGGGAGCCAGCAGCAGAGCATAGCCTGGGATCACTTGCAATTGGCAGAAGATCCCATTCCAGAATGAAGCATAATTGGGGGAGGTTCTGGGGCAGAGAGGGGGGCCTACTACATGCCCATTCAGGGGGATTTTCAAATTTAGAAGTAAATCTCTGGCTTTTGTAGTTTAATTAAGCAGCTGGAGGAGAAACAGAAGCAGCCAGTGACTGAATTCTTGCAGGTGAGTGATGGCACAATGAAACGTTTGTCCTCTGGGGAAGGGCTGTACCATCACATTCTCTGTTCATTGGTCTATAGAAGTATTTACAGTAGGCGTGAACACTTCAGTATTTGGTTGATATATAAAGCAAAGGGGAAAGTAATAATAAACTGCTGGAGGCAACTGGTGCAAGGGACTGAATTTCTCTCATTCTGTCTCTTCCATCTAGAATACGAGAAGCATCCTGGAAAGGTATGTGGCTTTGTTATGAATAGTGGGCTGGTATTGATTTCCTTCCTCGGAGATAAGGGATAATTTAATTTGGTCTATACTTTTATTTGAACCAATCTAATTCAGAGTTTACAGAGCAATAAGCAGATCAAAAAAACAGTTACCAATCTGACTGCACAATTTTACAAATGTTATGATGCATTTTTTCGTATGGGGAAATGCACAAAAAGCGCATTGGGGTATACATAGAACAGCATACCAAAATGGATAGGGTTTTTTGGGGGGAATGCATATAAAATGCATATTTTAGGAAGGAGTGATGATATTTCTTCATCTACTGTATACTTCATATCATATCAGAGATGTTGGTGGTGGTGGATTATTAGATTTCTTACTTGCCCTCCACTGTCTGGTTCCAAGACAGCTTGTGATTTAAAATACAATATTAAAAATAGTTAAAACAAATTACAATCCAAGAAAACAGGGTGGGTCCTAGAATACATATCCTAGATGACAAAGGCCAGGGTAAAGAGATGCTCTTAATTACTGTATACACTATGTGCAGACATAATTTGTTGGGGAAAATATTCAGTAAGGTTGTGCTCCAGATTCAGCTGGATCCTCAACCAAATTGGGCCAATTTATACCCTGTTCTGATCAGGCAGAAGCAGCTATCATAGAATTTCATCCACACATCCGCTTTTCCTGTGATTTCTAAGCAAAGGTCTGAGAAGCTTTTCTTTTGTCCCACCGCTTTTCCTCGGAAAACCTGCTGCTTACCACTGAATTGGAAGAAACATAAATCCGTAGAAAACCTAATAAATGTTTGCTTCTATTCAGCTGTCAATCCACAGAAAACCTGATTCAGAAAACACGACTGACCTTGGTTCTGATTCAGTGGTAAACAGAGGGGATTTTCGTGAGGAAAATGGGGGGAATGAAAGAAAAACCTATCATGGACGAGCCCTTGGTATATTCCTGCTGTTCCCACTTTTCTCCTTCATTCTGATGTCTGAATTAAGAATGACTTGAGAATGACCTGATGGATCACAATAAACCTCACTTTCTTCTTCCTAGGTGTAATGAAAATGAAAATAAAACCATGGATGCTTTTCCTCCTGGATTAAAAGACCAAATAGGTAAATTCTCTAAAATACATCCTTTTTTGGAGAAGAAGACCAAGAAATTCAAAGGTAACAAGGGTCATTGTATGATGTTTTAGATGTGAGATGATAGATAGATAGATAGATAGATCGATAGATAGATATCAATATAGTTGCATGCCATGCCAATTTCCAAATGGTGAATATTCCAGGGGTCCCAGGCTGCTTCCCCAGGGTTCGAGCTTCCTATTGGCAAATGAGGCACAGCAGAGACTGTGGTGTCCTTAGGATATATGGTTTATTTACACATATATACAATCTGAGCCTACAATGGAGGGGTTCGCAGACACCCCAAGAGAGTCTTGTTTCTCCCACAGCCACAGCCTTGGATCCAAAACAGGAATCAACCATCGTGCTCTGATTCTCATTCTGACTTGCTGCCTTTTACAGCCTGTCACATCCCTAAACTCTACTCCAAAATACTGGTTTTGTCTTCTAACTCTCTCAGAGCTGGGGGAGGCAACTCTTCTCTGTGCCCCCCACCCCAAATATGCTTTCATAACACTTAATGCTAATTCTGGAAGAGGGAGGAAGATGGAGAACTATGGCTAAATTTTAGATTTAGACACGAACACTCTTGCAGACATTCTAAATCTAAAGCAATGCCCTTGGAGCCAAGTACGAGTATTGATTTTTTCCTCATTTCACTTTTTTCCTCAGACGTTGTGCTCTCTGGATCTCAAGACGAAAAAGGTACATTTCCAGGTTTGGCAGATCTTTAAACAATTTTTGCAGATGAGATATGGGATGTTTTTGCACTTCAATCTCCCAGTAGCACAAGATTTCTGGGGTCCCGAGCTGCATCCCCTGGGTTCGTATTTCCTTTTGGGAAATGAGAGACAGCAGAGACTGTGGTGTCTTTAGGATATATGGTTTATTCACACATATATACATTCTGAGCCTACGATGGAGGGGTTCACAACATGGACACCCCAAGAGAGTCTTGTTTCTCCCACAGCCCCAGCCTTGCATTCAAAACAGGAATCAACCCTCGTGCTCTGATTCTCTTTCTGTCTTGCTGTCTTTTACAGCCTGTCACATCCCTAAAATCTGCTCTACTTCAAAACTCTGGTTTTGTCTTCTAACTGTCTCAGAACTGGAGGACTGGGAAGCAAACAAGAGTAGCTGAAGCTTGACATTTGAGCGTTCTTTTTATCTATTTCTCTATTTAAAATTCTGAGTAATCTTCATTATTTGGCATTGATTTTTCTGAAACACTCCCCACCCACCCAAGGTTTTCATAAAATGTAATGGGAATGCTGGAATGCTGTGGCTTGCTGACGTCAGGTGGGAGTTCACCACACCTCAACTGGTGTGTGTTATGAGCACAGCAAGCAGAGTCATCAGAGATTTCCTTCTCCCATCCGAACAGCATCTTCCAGAGTTCGTTAAGGGGGAAACTCGTCACACGCAGTTCAAAGTAACCAAGTGTTTAATGTCTCGAGACACAAGACCAGTCCTTCATCATCTCTGAAGTAAAGATACGTACGATCAGATCCATTGACACTGATCACCATGCTAGCTAATCCTTCTGTGCAAAACCCACAGCCTCTTTCCCTGAGTCTCACAGAGTCAGACCCTTGATAGCAAACGGGACAGGGCACAGACAAGACAAACAGGATGAAAGCAATGCCCTAGTCCAGGGGTCTGCAACCCACGGCTCCGGAGCCGCATGTGGCTCTTTTACACCTTTGCCGCGGCTCCGGGGCGGATACTAGCGAGGGGAGGAGGCGCATTATGCGCCCCGACACTCCCCACTGTGGCGGGCGCTGTACTGGCTGTAACATCACATGGGGGCTGTGCGTGCGTTAGTCACGCACCGTCCCAACGTCACCTTCCCGCCCGCCCGCCCTCTACATTGTAAGGGGCATGTACGCTGGTCACTGTTTTGAAGAGGAGTGAAGAACACACACACACACAAAAAGGTAACTTGTTAATTTAACGTTTATTTCTATGAGAAGAAGTAATTCTGAGGGGTCAAACAAAGAAATAATAAAAAAGTGACAAAAAAGTTATTTTTATAATGATGAGTTTTGCGGCTCCCAGTTTTTTTTTCTTCGGAAACGGGTCCAAGTGGCTCTTTTTGTCTTAAAGGTTGCAGACCCCTGCCCTAGTCAACCAGAGCACAACTGTTCCGTGTCTTACTTGGCCATTTTTAAAAGATGTCCCCAACTAATCATGTTCCTTGCTGCTGCAGCTGACTCTGTCATGCTCTCCTCAACACCAGAGACCATACAACAAGGTGAAATGAGCATCGTGAGAAAGAAGAGCAACGTGGGAACATTTGGGAAGATAGCATCAGGTACGCTGCTTGGGGGCGGATTTCCCCCCCTCCCCATTTGTGTGTGTGAGAGAGTGTGGGGGAGATTTTGCAGTCAAATCTACAGTACTAATGCACATACTTACTAGTTAGCATGTGAATGAGTTAAGACCATAGAGCTGTCTTGCTGATAGGCCATAGACCATAGAAATGTAATTGGTAGAGAGGGCAATGTGTGGTGTCATTTCCCCTTCTCTCCTGAGGGGGAAGAAGCCAATAAATATTTCCTGTTCTCTCTCTCTCTCTCTCTCTCTCTCTCTCTCACACACACACACACACACACTCCCCCCCCCTTTGACCAACAATGGAGGCAATGTTAATAGTTAATATATTCCCACACTTACCTAATAAGAACCCATCAGAGACCATAGAGGAGTGTGAGCCATTCCCTCCCCCTTTTTTAAACTCTCTCCTGCTCCTTTTTCTTCTCTTCCCTCTTCCATCTGGTCTTCCTTCCTTCCTTCTTCATAGCTCCAGAGGCTGTTCACCCCTCCCACCAGCAGATGGCGATACACAAAGCAATCCTACCTGGGTCTGCCCAGGGTCTGCTTAGCACGTTTGCAATTAGAATCTCCACAGCATGGGAATACAGGACATGAAAGGAATCTGCCTAGAGATAAGGAGACCCAGCAACAACCAAGTGATTGTCTGAGTTCCTTATGCAGGCATGACCTATAACACTGGTGTGTGTTGGAGAGGGTTGGTGTGGTGTGGTTAGTGCTGAGGAGTTACTGAGAGTGAAGAAATTGTGTTGTGAAAAGTAACTTGTGAATAGCTTGTATGTTTGCTGCTGTAAATAATAAAACAACAAGAACCGAGTTACTACTCAGCAGTTTTTGTTCCTGCTCGTTGTTCAGCTGGGCAATCTCAAGAGTTGCTCAACAATCGCTGTGATACTCTTCTATACTCTGCTGTGCAACAGGCGAAAGCACTTCAAAGGTTCATCGCCTTCCAAAAGTTTTAACAATAGGTTCTACAGAATTCAGAGGGATTCATTTCCAAGCTAGCAAGTGTAGGAATGCAGTCTCCTACTTCGTTCCTTGGGCAAGTCACTGCCCTCTGAGCCTCACCACCTTAACAAAATCCATAAGCTCCGCTCTGACTAAGGATGGGGAGAAATTCAGGTCAGTTCACGTGGAAAGGCGAATCTTACCTACCTCCTTTGGAATTTGCACTCCTCCGAATTTTGCAGCACAGTTCTCCAAGGATGCAATGTGTTAAAAAGAAGGGTAAAGGACCCCTGACAGGTAAGTCCAGTTGCGAAAGACTCTGGGGTTGCAGCACTCATCTTGCTTTACAGGCCGAGGGGGGCCGGCGTTTGTCTGCTCCGCAGACAGTTTTCCCCCGGGTCATGTGGCCAGCATGACTAAGCCACTTCCAGACTAACACCGAAACCAGAGCAGCGCAAGGAAACGCCGTTTACCTTCCCGAGGGAGCGGTACCCATTTATCTACTTGCACTTTTTGGTGTGCTTTTGAAATGCTATGTTGACAGGAGCAGGGACGGAGCAACGGGAGCTCACCCTGTCATGGGGATTTGAACCGTCAACCTTCTGATCAGCAGGCCCAAGAGGCTCAGTGATTTAGACCACAGCTCGACCCACGTCCCTATGTGTACAAACATGCAAAAAAAAATGTGTGTTAGGAGAAATTCACACTAGCAACACAGATGGATTTTCATGAGTACTTAAAAAAAAAAGAAAAGAATTTGCAAAGCAATGTGAAAGTGTGGAGAACTGAATTTAGGAGTAGAAAATATAAGAAACCAAAAATTGATAATTTGCCATTTCCTAGCCCTGATTCCCATTCCATCCCTCCAAATTGTAGCCAACCCATAACCCCCTCAGTAGCTTCCTAAACACAAAAAACTATAGGTTATCACAAAAGATAGATGCACACATGCACCTTGCCCTATAATTCAAACACTGACCCGGCTCCCCCTCTCTGTGTGTGTCTCTCTTACAGTGAATATAGTTTTGGATCCAGAAACAGCAAATCACTACCTCATTCTCTCTGAAGACAGGAAGAGTGTGAGATGTGGAGGGGAAAGGCAAAATCTGCCCGAAAGCCGAAAGAGATTTGATCCGAAGACCTACGTGCTGGGCAGCGAGAGATTCCGTGCAGTAAGAAAATGGTGGGAAGTGGAAGTTGGGGGAGAGAAAAATGCCACGTGGGCTGTGGGGGTGGCACGCGACTCCACCCCGAGGAAGGGACAGGTCAGCCTTAAACCCAGTGTAGGAATCTGGGCTGTCGGGAAAGCCATAGTTGGCTCATTGTATGGACTTTGGGCTTTTACTGCCCCTGAGCGGACGCCGTTGCTCTTAAATCATGAGCTCAGGAAGATCCGGGTGACTCTGGACTGTGAAAGGGGTTCTGTGGGATTTTTTGATGTCGAAGGAGATGTCTTGATCTTCACTTTCCCAAACGCGTCCTTCTTTGGGGAGGAAATCCGGCCCTTTTTCTTGGTCGGGCAAGGAGCTGAACTGAGCTGCTGAATCTTGAGGGCACAACTACTCACAGCCCCCTTCCCAATAGCCCCCAATGCCCCGAAAAAGAGGAGTTGTTTATGCACTTCCCGTGCAACTGTATGAGATCCAAGCAAAGAGCTGTGGAATGGCACTCAGGGAGGAATGGCCACAGAAATTTGGGCTTTTCCATCTGTGGGGCAAGAGCGGGTTGGCATGGGGGAAGAACAGTGTTCTTGTGCTTTTAACAATGGCGTGGCAGGCAGAAATCCAACAGGCTAAGCCTCTTCTAGTATGAAAATACAGTCATGGGAAAAGCTTCATCACGACTGTATTCCCTCTCATTTTGTATTATGGCGGCCATGTTTTGTTATGGTTCTGTGGCAGCCATTTTGTTACTGGTACCAACAGCACTCCCTCAAAACTTGAGATGTGCCCTCATCCAAAAAAGTGAGCACCCGCTGGTCTACAATATCAGTACTGTACTGTACTGAGCATTTTGCATCAATAAACCATCTCCTTGTTTTCAGTTGCAATGTTTAGTCTTTGGTCCTTATCCCTGGCTGTGTTTCGCCTACAGAGGTGAAAATCTGAGCCTAGAGTAACAACCTAAAGGGAAAATGTCCTTGAAACTTAAAAACGTTGACAGCATTAAGATAAATTCAACAGTGTAGATAAGTTTTGATGGATGCAATAATGGAATGCTGAATGGTTTAGTTTATGTAAAATATGCAGGGATGTATGGTATGCAAAATGAACCATGGAAAGAGAAGAAGGGAAGTTAAATGAATACAGTGGTACCTCAGGTTAAGAACTTAATTCATTCTGGAGGTGTGTTCTTAACCTGAAACTGTTCTTAACCCGAGGTACCACTGTAGCTAATGGGACCTCCCGCTGCTGCCACGCGATTTCTGTTCTTATCCTGAGGTAAAGATCTTAACCTGAGGTAATATTTCTGGGTTAGCGGAGTCTGTAACCTGAAGCGTCTGTAACCCGAGGTACCACTGTATTCTAAAATGTAAAACAAAAAAATTATACCAAAAAATTATTATTATTATACAAGAAGGCTCGAAGGATAGAGATCCTCCAGCCTGCAGGCCAGATTTGACCCAGCACTGGTCCCAAATTGGAACTTGAGGCAGTTTCCCTCAGTGCATACCTGTCATCAAATGCTGTATCCGGTGTGGGGCAAGGAGATGGACATTGCTGGATCAGCTGCACAGCAGAATTTCGCGCGAGGAAGCCAGTTGCACAGATGATCCCTGAAGGAAGCAGCTTTGGCTTGGTGCCTGGAAAGTGCCGAATGGGTCGGTGGGCATTTGGGAAGCATGGTGCAAAGGTGCTTTGCAAGCCCAACACTCAGCACTTCCTAAGCTTTCCGCTGAGCAAAGGGCCACCGGAAACCCCCTGCAATGCGGCTCCCAAGGACCTGAAAAACTGCCGTCCGTCGGGTGCTCAGGAAGTAGTGCACAAGGGACTTTGACAGGTAGGTGGAATAACCCACTCAAGGGGCCTTATTCTTGATCGGAGATCCTGCTGGCAATTTGTGTATTAAAAAAACAGTCCTGCACTTAAGGGCTCAGATTTGAAATTAACACAGGGTAGTTTTGCCCTAAGACGGCCCCTTCTTCTTGAATATATGCTGTGCACATAGCAAGGAGGTGACAGTAAGATCAGATAAGGGAAGATTGAGGTTGGTGGCCCTAAATATAGACTTCTTCACACCACTGCACACCTTCCAGGAAAGCAACAATGTTGTTGCTCTGCCCGCCCGCCCCAACCCCAGGTAGGATTTTGAAACCCCATAGAAGAAACCTCCTTTTTTAAAATAGTTTTTATTAATATAAAGTATAAGCAATCAAGAAAAAAAAACATTAAAAGTTACAAAGCATAGGAGCAGTACTGGGATTGTCTTTTTCAAATAAACAGAGAAAAGACAGTAGAAAAATAGAAACAGCAAGACATGTCGTGAAAGCCAAATTTCACAATTTGTTGGGGGGAGATTTATTTCTTCGCCTTACATGGAACCTAAAATGACTACAAAATTATCATTTCCTAAAATGAGCAATCAGACAAAAATAAAATTGAAAGGAATCTTGAAAAGGTTTGCGCAGAACCAGGAAGAGGGGTGGGGTGGCAAAAAGCCTCAAAGAGAGACAGAGAGAAAACATTTTAAAAGGAAACCAGAACATTGTGGCTGATCTTATGAAAATGCAGTCATTAAACGATCCTGTGACCAAATAAATCCAATTCAAAACCTGACCTCAGATAGACAATTGTTGCCCATGGAAGTTCTACTTTTGACAAACAATTTGCCAAAGAGAGAGGCTGCTAATTTTCCATTTGGTCATACAGTCATAATAATGCTTAGGGTTCCTTTGTATTCAAATGATATATTGTCTACTTTTTATGCCCTGTACAAATAAATGTGTTGAGGGGTGTGTGTATTTATGTATGTATGTGTATGTATGTACACAAACACGCATCCGGGGGGTTGGGGTGCCAAACTGGGTCTTTGACCGGGGTGACAGAAAGCCTAGTTTCAGCTCTCTCTTACCTGTTTTTCCCAAGAGGGAAAATACATGACTATGAGCAGTGTGGCTGAGAGATGCAGCATTATTTAGTTGTAGCTGTTGTTGTTGTTGCTTTTATTGCAGTGGTACCTCAGATTACAAACACTTCTGGTTACAGACTCCACTAACCCAGAAATAGTACCTCAGGTTAAGAACTTTACCTCAGGATGAGAACAGAAATCGCGCAGTGGCAGCAGGAGGCCCCATTAGCTAAAGTGGTACCTCAGGTTAAGAACAGTTTCAGGTTAAGAATGGACCTCTGGAACGAATTAAGTTCGTAACCAGAGGTACCACTGTATTATTATTATTTATACCCCGCCCATCTGGCTGGGTTTCCCCAGCCACTCTGGGCGGCTCACAACAGAATCTTAAAAACAGAATAAAAGATCAACATTAAAAACTTCCCTAAACAATAGTAGTAGTAGTAGTAGTAGTAATTTATTATTTGTACCCAGCCCATTTGGCTGGGTCTCCCCAGCCACTCTGGGCAACTTCCAACAAAGATTAAAAATACATTAAAATGTCACACATTAAAAACTTCCCTGAACAGGGCTGCCTTCAGATGTCTTCTAAATGTCAGGTAGTTGTTTATTTCCTTGACATCTGATGGGAGGGACACAGGAAGAATTTCATTCAGTTCAAAGGCATATCTACCTAATTCACATTCTCTAAGACAATTTGTGTGCTGAAACGCAACCTTGGGAGGTGGTGGACTCTCCTTCCAGGGAGGTTTCTAAGCAGAGGTTGGACGGCCCTCTGTTATGGATGCTTAGCTGAGATTCCTGCATTGCAGGGGTTGGACTAGATGACCCTCGAAGTCCCTTCCAGTTCTACGATTCTATGATCCTATGATTCTTTGATTGTAAGAGCAGGGAACATCTTATTACTGATGTTTGTAAACTGCTCCAAGAGCTGTTTTGGCTGAAGAGCAGGGTAGAAATGCTTTAAATAAAGAAATAAAGTAAAGGTACTTGGCACCATCTTCTTTTATTTCACTCACAAAGGAAATGAGATTAAAGTGAGGCCCCAACAGCTACAGATGGATGGATGTGGCAATTTCAGTTTCACTCTGATTTTGTTCCCCCCAGGCTTAAATTCAGTTCTCTGCATTCCTACATCAGTTAGTGGTTTTGTTTCATTTTGCTTTGCTTTGTTTTAAAAGTCCTGGGCATTTCTGTGCAATCTTCTAATATACACATTTATTTACTTAAAATAAATAAACAAAAAATTTCTTTAAAAAGATAGCTCCTAAAAACTCCCTTAAAAGAATCAAATCTTATTGTCCCAGGAAGTCTTTAAAAGAATCCTTCAAAAAAAAATTATTATTATTTTGAAAAAAAGGCAATTTTCCAGTAGCATCTTAGAGACCAACTAAGAACAAACATACCCAGAACAAACTTAGTTGGTCTCTAAGGTGCTACTGGTGCTTGAAATTAACAGGCTTGCTATTTGATAGCCTAAATAACAGATACATTTCTGCAAAGCATATTTCCCCCTAGATTTATATTTCCCTAAAATAATTCATATTTGTATGTTATTTTTACTCACGTTTGCACACTTTACTGCACTTTACCACCCCAAAGTGTCCCGAACAGCACCTGCATATTTGTGGGCTTGTGTCAGGGCCCAGCCCAGTTCTGTTCCAAACCATCAGGGAGCCCAGAGTTCAAGGGAAGCTGGCCAGAGATCAGGATCCAATGGCCGGAGACAGGGGCATCCACAACATAAGGTCCAGTTTCAGAGAAGTCGGATCTGGATCAGAGCTCTCAGAGGCAGGAGCATTGTGAAGGTCAAGCAGCACGTGAGATCTTAGGCAACAGTACCAGGGCAGAAGGTCAGCAACATCAGCGAATAGAAGGTCAAAATCAGGTGGGGGTCGTGATCCTAAGAAAATGGCAGGAAATGGGGAGCGGTCTGAGCAACTCCCATGCCAGAAATTTGTAGGACTTGCTGAAAGCAGATAGACCTGTGAGGTTGAGCTGACAATGTTTAGGTACGTAGGTGGTGCCCATGAACAACAAAGCTTAGCGCCACAAGAAGAAACTCTGCTGGTCTTCTTCTTCTTTGGTGATCACTCATAGCCGAGTAAGATTGTCTTCTATAAACACAGTTTTAACAATGAGTCCGTAAGTGACTGTGGAGGCCGATTCTGGATCCACACGTCCTTCCACAGTGGGGACATTGGTTTCCGGGCGGGAGTTAATCACGGTGGTAGCGTGGGTAGGGCTGGTAGCGTTGGAGATGGCGTCCTCGTGCCTGCCTGCTTTGAACCCCTTTCCTGTGCCTTGGAGCTGGACGGCTGCATCTGTAGGATATTTCCCCACCGACGCAGGAGACATCGATGCAATTCTCTCTGGTCCCAGAGATTAGCTCCATCTCCCCTCCTTCCACTTCAATCACCATGCGGGCATTCTTCTTCACATCCTCCGGTTCCTGGCAGAACCTGTGCAAGGCAATATTAAGGCTCTTCCGGACATCAGGAGGCGTCCCTGCTAGGGATCTCACTGTTCTACGGATCCTTTCCAAATTCTTGGCATTCAGGTGTTCCTTGTGGAGTGGTAGCCGTTTGCGATACATTTCCCAGGTCTTTGGTTCAACCTCATAATGAGGTTCCCCCTTGTCAAAGCACACCGATATCTCACATTGCCCTGTTCCAGAGATGAACTCCAGTTGAACCTTGCGTTTCCTAATGATCAACCGGGCATTTTCCTGCACTAATAAGGGTTCCTTAGGGAACTCCTTCAGGGCTAGCTTCAGACATCTTCTCAAATCTTCTCCCATCTCCCATTTCTCCAAACTTTCCTTCACTCCCTGAAGACTTGCCACATTCAGTGCCTGGGGCCTGCAACATAATCTCAGCAGATAAACATCCCCTGAGAGTTCAGAGGCATTGTACATGAGCTCTCCACCAGCGTCATCTATGCAGATGAGACATTTCTGATTCCCACAGGAGAATTTCAACTCGACCCCATCACTCTTGATCAACAAAGTGGCATTCTCCTTCACGCATCTAGGCTCCTCCTTGAAATTCCTCATTGCCACTTCCAAGCATGCGACCAGATTCCTTGTGTCTGGCTCATAACCTTGCAACTTATTCTGCACAGATCTCAGAGACTCCATGCTCAGTGGGTGTGTTTCTCTCTGGATCTGATAGCAGAGATATTTAAACAACAGTTTTTGTCCCAGAAACTTTACCACATTTTCCATCTCTTTAAGAAAAGGAGTCTACTTTTCTTTAAGAATGCCCCCAGATTATTACCAGTCAGTCGCCTGTTGAGGGTATCTTTGATGGATCTCCAGCCTGATTCAGGAGGACTGCTGATCGCCAGCTCAGCTGAAGCAGGTATGAACTGTCGGAGGACGTGGCATAGGAACATGACTCTTGTTTTGCATGTTACTGTGGTGATCTGTATTTAGCTTTTGTGCAGGTGTTAACAATAGAAAGCAAATGGAATGGAACTTAAATTTCAATGTGTGGGAACTTCCCCCAAAACAAACAAGACTAGAATGTGACAGAAGTCTGCCCTGTTTGAGTCTACATACTGTTCCTTCACTGTTGTTTACAAAGTACAGTGGTACTTCAGTTTACGAACTTAATCCATTCCGGAAGTCCGTTCTTAAACCAAAACCATTCTTAAACGGAGGCGCGCTTTCCCTAATGAGGCCTCCTGCTGCCAGTGCCCTTCTACCGTTTGGCTTCTGTTCTGGGACACTACTTCCGGTTTTGCGGAGTTTGTAAACTGAATACAGTGGTACCTCCGGTTACAAACTTAATTCGTTACGGAGGTCCATTCTTAAGCCAAAACCGCTCATAGCATGAGGTGCGCTTTCGCTAATAGCGCCTCCCGCTGCTGCCACACTGCCGGTGTGCAACTTCCACTCACATCCCGGGGCATAATTTGCAACTGGGAGCATCTACTTCCGGGTTAGCGGAACTCGTAACCCGAAGTGTTTGCAAGGAGGACGGTACATAACACAAGTTTCCACTGTAGTTCGTAAAGAGGGCTGTTCTTAAACCGAGGTACCACTGTACATGAACCATGAGAAGGGTGAGCCAGAATCCCATCCGCCTGCCCTGTTGTCAGACCAGGAAGATGTGAATAAGCAGCTATGTTTTATATGATCAAAATGCCAGTTGTTCTTCAGATGAAATTTGAACCAGTCCCTTGAAATTGGGTGAAACGAGAGACAAAATTCAGCAGTAAGAGCTCAAGCTGATGAGGCCCTGCTGGGGTCACTCCAACACCCATGGGTGGTCACTTCATTTGTGGGTGCAGCACCCACCCTCTGGAATGCTCTCTCTCAGATAATTCATGAGACAGAGATAGTAGAGATTTCCAAACATCTCTTAAAAACTTACATGTTTAGACTCTGGCTCCTAATTTTTTAAATTTTCTGTTCAGTTTTATTTGATGCATAGCTTACTTCTGTTTTTAGTAAATGCTATTGAAATACTGTTGTTTTGTTTATTTGGAAATGTTTGGAAACCAGCTCCTCAAAAAAAAAACAACACCAAAAAAAACTAAGCTGTGGTAAAATCTGCAAGAATTTAAAAGCAACTGTACACAATTAAAGATGTGTCTATGTGGGCTTACTGAAATAAATGTTTTCACGCAATAATAATAATAATAAAAGAGCTCAAGCTCCCACTAGGGTTGGAAAATGTTAAATCTGAAGCCAGTCATTTCAAACATAGAGTAATTGTTTTGATTTTTATCTCACTTAAAAGCACATACTTTCAGATGAGCCCTGCTGGTTCAGACCACAGCTCCCACTTCCTGGATCAATGGAGCCCTTGTTTATTTCATATATTAAAGACTCAAATAAAGCAACAGCAGTTTAAGAGTAATAATATAAGAGCAGACGTGAGCACCTTGTCCTCCACTGGTTCAGACTAGAGATACTTAACTTTGGTTCTGCAAATCCCCTTGTTGCAAGCCAAAAATGGCTTACCTTCTGAGTTTACGCCAATAAAACTCAGAGACAAGAGGAGTTAAGAGTCCATTGTTGTTTATTGCAAAGCAATAGGTTACAGTCGAATCTTTTCGCAAAACTGCAACCCCGCCCAAGGGTCAGGGCGGTGGTATTTATAACATTTCAAACAAAGGATTTCAATTTTCACCAGTCATGTACATCATTACCTCATTTCATGTTTAATACACATGCACAATAAGCATTGCTAACTAAACTTTGATTCTCACCGTGCTCTGTTACAGTGTCTTAGTATGCAAGTTGGGAACCTGTGTTACGTGCAGCCATTTGCACCGTGTATCAACTTGCGTTCTAACTTATGAGCTGTATCTTCGTGATTCACGCATTGGCTGCCCTTCTGTCCCAGTGGGGGACGGCGTCTTGCAAAATCCTCAGTTTCTTAAAGCAACAGGTTACCATAACTTCTCTATTAGAAGCATATTGAAGGATTTATAGGGGTTCACATTATCACATTCATTATGGCCCTTTGGGCCACTACCACACCCTGAGCAGTTTGGACATTAAGCGATTAATGGCACGCACAAATGCAGTAAGCGGAATTGCTTTTATTTATTTACAAGGTTTCTTACACACCTTTCGACATCAGGTCCCAGAGTGAGTGACAACAACTAAACAATTATAAAAAGACACAGAACAACTACTCGAAGCACATAAAACAACCCACCTCTTTAGATAATTAAGGGGGCATTTAAATGCCCCCATATCAAGTCTCTATTTGTCTGTCATGTATTTGCAGACAATTCCTTTTTAATCATGCTTCTATTTTGTGTGCTTCTTTTCCAAATAAAATATAGCTATGGGGTTGTGATCCGAAGCACGCTGCCAATCTGGATCAGGGCCTCATGCCAGTTCCTCGTTGAAAAGCCCCCCCCCCTCTTCAGCTACTTCCCCCTGAAGCTGTGTCTGAATGGCAGTTTTCATGTGTTTTGTTTCCCACAACAGAGCGCTATTTGGAGGGGAAAGCCTGCAGGGTCCATTCAGACTTGACAGCAATGACACTACATGACAGAGTCAGACTGTTACTAATTCCCTCTAAAGAAGTTGGCAGTTTGGGGCGGGGACTTAATATCCTGAGCCCTTTCCACACCACACATACCCCCCCCCCAAAAAAAAGTTCTTTCCCCAGACCTTTGAGGAAGGAAAGTATGGGTGGGGAGAGGATTCAGTTCCTTCCTCCTGACCCCCATGCTGTTTTTTAAACTTCCCCACCCATCCCTGGTTTTAAAGGGCTTGGCACCTCCCGCTGGCCTGTCAAGTTTGCACCAAACGGCAACCTCATCTCATTTCCCAACACAGACAAAGGAGCAGATTTTCTCCCCAGAGAACAAAGCACGGAAGAAGGTAAAGAGATCATTATTTGAGTCAGCATCACGGAAGAGTATTACTTCTGCTTCATAGTTCACAAGCACACGGATCCTCTTTGGCCGAATCCCTCCTATGTAGAATGTAAGGGGTTGTGTGCTGGCCGAGGGTGAGGCTCCCAGAGATATTCCAGGAGAAGTGGAAGCATAATATGCATCATTAGAAATCCTCCCAATAGCCCAGATCCCAATTCCATCATTCAAATTGACAATATTGTGACCCCTTAAAGACTCCTTGACAACCCCCACAGCCCAGAAGTTCTCGTTCCCCACATCCAATACCCAGGAATGAGTCCCTGAGGTGATTCTCTCAACTCCCATAACATAGGAACAACAATTAATGTTCTTATTTGAGAATACGGGGACAACGCGTGATTGGTTCAAATACGTGCCTGTTGAGAATCCGAAGGCAAACGATTGTGGCTCCATTAATATGCCTCGGGTTGGTGCTTGGCCATACGCTTCTAGGACTAGTTTAGGAATGGCCATGTCTTCACCTACAAGAGAAAGGAAACGATTAGGGAGGGAGCGCCCAAAACCTGCATCCAAGTTTTGTGCAGCTCTGAGTGAGGAGGAGGTTTGAAAAGCCAGTGTACTAATGGGGTGACCCCATGCAGGTCAGTTCAGAAACTCAGGGAACGCCCCTTGAGGGCAAGGATGCTAGCTCAGAGGTAGGCTTGCTTGCAAAGGTCCCTGGTTCAATCCCTGTAGGGTGAGTTCCCAGGATAAAACCCTGGAGAGCTGTTGCCAGTCATTCCTGGCAATATGAAGCTAGATGGGCAGTTGGCTTGGCTCTGCAGAAAAGCTGCTTCCTGTGCTCCTGTGCTCAGCCCTTCTCCCAATCTCACATGTAAAACCCAAAACAAAGAACCCTACCCAACCTGGAAATGTACTTTCTTTTCTGGAGGTCCAGACAGCTGAAGTAACGCTGCCCAATCTGGAACCATATGTTTTACTTGAGGTCCAGGGAGCACAACGCTTAAGGAACAAAACCGATATGAGGAAGAAGTTGAGACTCACACTTAGCTCCTAGGTAATGCTTTAGATTAGGAGTGCTTGGAAGTGTGTTCACGCCAATATTTAAAATGTAGTCATCGTATAGGACCGTTTGAGCTCTTCCATGTTGCTGTAATGCGCTTGGGGCTCGTGCGTTGAGGAGCACATTTCCCACGACTGGATGCCCTGAGATAAGGGAGCCGGGTGCACTGGGTTGCCATAGCAACACCAGCAGGTCGAGTGTGCGACTTGTGGAGTCATTCACCCTCCCATTGGTCCAGGAAATATGCCCACATGTAGAGACAGGAATAGTAGCCTCTGGGGCATTGCTTTCATCCTGTCTGTCTTGTCTGTGCCCTGTCCCATTTGCTGTCAGGGTCTGACACTGTGAGACTCAGGGAAAGAGGCTGTGGGTTTTGCACAGAAGCATTAGCTAGCACGGTGATCAGTGTCAATGGATCTGATCGTACATATCTTTACTTCAGACCAGAAGGACTGGTCTTGTGTCTGGAGACATTAAACACTTGGTTACTTTGAACTGTGTGGGAGGAGTTTCCCCCTTAACAAACTCTGAAGATGTTGTTCAATTGGGAGCAGGAAATCTCTGATGACTCTGCTTGCTGTGCTCATAACACACACCAGTTGAGGTGTGGTGAACTCCCAGCTGACTTCAGCAAGCCACAGCATTCCAGCATTCCCATTACATTTTATGAAAACATTGGGACGGGGGGAGTGTTTCAGAAAAATCAATGCCAAATAATGAGGATTACTCAGAATTTTAAATAGAGAAATAGAAAAAAGAACACTCAAATTTCAAGCTTCAGTTACTCTTGCTTGCTTCCCAGTCCTCCAGTTCTGAGACAGTTAGAAGACAAAACCAGAGTTTTGACGTAGAGCAGAGTTTAGGGATGTGACAGGCTGTAAAAGGCAGCAAGACAGAAAGGGAATCAGAGCATGATGGTTGGTTCCTATTTTGAATGCAAGGCTGGGGCTATGGGAGAAACAAGACTCTCTTGGGGTGTCCGTGTTGTGAACCCCTCTATCATAGGCTCAGATTCTATATATGTGGGGAAAAACCATATATCCTAAAGACACCACAGTCTCTGCTGTCTCTCATTTCCCAAAAGGAAATATGAACCCAGGGGAGGCAGCTTGGGACCCCAGCAATCTTGTGCTGCTGGGAGATTGAAGTGCAAAACCCTCCCATATCTCATCTGCAAAAACTGTTTAAAGATCTTCCAAACCTGGAAATGTACCTTTTTTGTCTTGAAGTCCAGAGAGCACAGCGTCTGAGGAATAAAAGTGAAATGAGGAAAAAGTCAATACTCGTACTGGGCTTCAAGGGCAATGCTTTAGATTTAGAATGTTTGCAAGTGTGTTCAGGCCTAAATCTAAAATTTAGCCATAGTACTCCATCTTTCTCCCTCTTCCAGCATTAGCATTAAGTGTTATGAAAGCATGTTCGGGGTGGGGGACACAGAGAAGAGTTGCCTCCCCCAGCTCTGAGAGAGTTAGAAGACAAAACCAGAGTTTTGGAGTAGAGTTTAGGGATGTGACAGGCTGTAAAAGGCAGCAAAACAGAAAGAGAATCAGAGCACGATGGTTGATTCCTGTTTTGAATGCAAGGCTGTGGCTATGGGAGAAACAAGACTCTCTTGGAGTGCCTATGAATCCCTCCATTGTAGGCTCAGAGTGCCTATATGTGTAAATAAACCATATATCCTAAAGACACCACAGTCTCTGCTGTGCCTCATTTGCCAATAGGAAACTCGAACCCTGGCGAAGCAGCCGGGGACCCCTGGAATATTCACCGTTTGGAAATTGGCATGGCATGCAACTCTATCTATCTATCTATCTATCTATCTATCTATCTATCTATCTATCTATCATCTATCTCTATCTATCATCTATCTATTTATTTATCTATCTATTGATCTAATCTGTCCCACATCTAAAACATCATACAATGACCCTTGTTACCTTTGAATTTCTTGGTCTCCTTCTCCAAAAAAGGATGTATTTTGGAGAAATGATCTATTTGCTGTTTTAATCCACGAGGAAATGCTATTGCATTGATGGTTTTATTCTTATTTTCATTACATCTAGGAAGAAGAAAGTGAGGTTTATTGTGCTCATCAGGTCATTTCAAGTCTTTCTTAATTCAGTTGTCAGAATGAAGGAGAAAAGTGGGAACAGCAGGAAGATACCAAGGGCTCGTCCATGACAGGTTTTTCTTACATTCCCCCCATTTTCCCCACGAAAGTCCCCTCTGTTTACCACTGACTCAGAACAAAGGTCAGTCGGGTTTTCTGTGGATTTACAGCTGAATAGAAGCAAACATTTATCAGGTTTTCTGCGGATTTATGTTTCTGCCTATACAGTGATAAGCAGCAGGTTTCCCCAGGAAAAGCGTAGGGACAAAAGAAAAGCCTCTCGGACCCGAGACTAGAAATCACAGGAAAAGCGGACTTGTGGATGAGCCCTGTGATAGCAACTAATGGTATTGTCTGCCCTGTGACCATTACAAAGACCTATTACAAACTAGAAAATGATGTATAAGGGGGTGGAGAGTATAAAGTGTAAATTTACATACACATTTTTTCATTTAAAAATTACATATAAATGATCAATCCGTAATCTATTTTACCTCTTTTTTTAAAATAAACTTTACTGTGAAGATGCCAAAATATTTTCAAACTATCTGCCTGAAATTTTGACGCACACGTTGCATACCGTACCATGTTTAAAATTACAGCTAGGTCAGAAGTGCCTGATTAACTTGTGTCAAAGTTGTGATTTGTCGTTGCTTCTTCCTGATCAGAACAGGGTATAAATTGGCACAACTTGGTTGAGGATCCAGCTGAATCTGGAGCACAGCCTTACTGAATATTTTCTTCAACAAATTATGTTTGCACACAAGTAACTAATAAGAGCATCTCTTTACCCTGGCCTTTGTCATCTAGGAGATGTATTTTAGCACCCACCCAGTTTTCTTGGATTGTAATTTGTTTTAACTATTTTTAATATTGTATTTTAATTCACAAGCTGCCCTGGAACCTGACAGTGGAGAGCAAGTAAGAAATCTAATAATCCACCACCACCACCACCAACTCTGCTATGATATGAAGTATACAGTAGATGAAGAAATATCATCACTTCTTCCTAAAATATGCATTTTATATACAGTGGTACCTCGGGTTACATACGCTTCAGGTTACAGACACTGCTAACCCAGAAATAGTACCTCGGGTTAAGAACTTTGCTTCAAGATGAGAACAGAAATCGTGCTCCAGTGGCGCGGCAGCAGCAGGAGGCCCCATTAGCTGAAGTGGTGCTTCAGGTTAAGAACAGTTTCAAGTTAAGAACGGACCTCCGGAACAAATTAAGTACTTAACCTGAGGTACAACTGTACATTCTCCCCCCAAAATCCTATCCATTTTGTATGTTCTTCTATGCATCCCCCAATGTGCTTTTTGTACATTTCCCTGCATGAGATACACAGTTTTGGGTGGATTTTTTAAGCCAAAACAAAATTTGTAAAAGTGTGCAATCAGATAGGTAACTGTTTTTTGATCTGCTTATTTTTCTGTAAACAGTGAATTAGATTGGTTCACATGAAAGTATAGACCAAATAAAATTATCCCTTACCTCCAAGGACGGAAATTAATATTATTCATATTCATATCAAAGCCACATACCTTTCCAGGATGCTTCTCATATTCTAGATGGAAGAGACAGAATGAGAGAAATTCAGTCCCTTGCACCAGTTGCCTCCAGCAGTTTATTATTACCAAATACTGAAGTGCTCATCCCTACTGTAAATACTTCTATAGACCAATGAACAGCCCTTCCCCAGAGGACAACCTGGACGGTTTTGTTCCACCATTGCTCACCTGCAAGAATTCAGTCACTGGCTGCTTCTGTTTCTCCTCCAGCTGCCTGATTAGGTTGTCAAGGGAGGCCATTTCCTCACAGAGTTTGGCAATATATTGATTCCTACAGTTTTTAATCTCATCGTCCAGTTTCTTTAACTGAGCCAGCAGGAGGCGCTCTTGTTCTTCCAGAAACTGGTGCAATTGCTTGAAATCGGCCATGATTTCCTGCCTCTCCATGTCTGTCTGCTTCTGCAAGGAGAGAGTCATGGCCAGACAAAGATGTTTAGATGTCCCCTTAATTCTATGTGCACAAGCTGACTGGCAGGGCAGCTGATGTTTACTTCAACACTCACAATGGTATAGAACATCAATCACAGCTGAGGGTGGCAGGCAGGCTAGCTTTGCAGGACACGACCTCTTTGCTTGCCTCTGTCCTCAGTATTTTCCTGCTGCTCACCTACCGATCTATTAAGCTGCTGCTGTTCTCTATTCCCTGCCTTGGCCACCTCACTCTGCCTAATAGTAGGGCCGTGAGGAAGTGACGAGAAGGAGGAGGAGGAAGACTGGCTTTGGGGGGTTCACTTCATTCTTAAAGAATTAATGCTGGTATGGCTGGACATTTTTGGACTCAAGGACTACATTTGCCCCTAGACAACCCTACCAATTTTAGCCTATCCTGCTGAATGTTGTCTAAACTTCCAGGCAGCTGCTCTTCAAGGTCTGAAGCAGAGACCTTTCTCAACTCTACCACCCAATGTCCATTTAATTGATAATGCCAATGATCAAACCTGGGACACTGTGCAAGCGAAGAATTAAGGCCTCACTCTGTCAAGTATAACCATCCTGGAGAGGCAAGAAGATTTGCACTTACCAGCAGATTCTGGCTTTCGGTCTCCCCATTCAGTTTAGAAGGCAGAATTTCTTCTCTCTTTTTGTTCAGGAACTCCAAATGACGCAGGATTTTACCCTGGGGTAGGTGAAAAGGAATTTGAGTTAGTTTTGGCAGCAGAGATATAAACTGTAACAGGCATGTCTGTTCAAGAAACCAAGAACACAGAGGTTGAAAAGGGTCCATGTACAGCTTCTAGGAAACTTCCGTTCTCAATGTGGAATTAGATTAGTGTTCACATATGCATATTTATATAGTTAATAAATCATTTTCTTATTAAATATGGGGGGAATCAAGGAGACTCAAAATTATGTGGACACAGCGTAAGATATAAAATGTTTTCTCATATACCAAGTTTGCACAAAACAGAGTATCTGTATGGGATTCAGATCCTGAGCCAAGTCAGTCACCCTCTCACATTTTCTGCACCAAACCATGCTCCTTTCCAAAGTTAAATTGGGGTACGAACCAGAGGTTGTGGCTGGTGCACTGCCCTATTCAGAGCTCGTTCTTTTTCTTTTAAGAAAAACAGCTTCCAGTATTCACCATGAAGTTATCACAGGAAGTGCCACAATTTTCACATTTGGGGTGGAAAGGTGCCAGTTCCCCAGAGTAACCCCATAAGAAACCACACTGGCCCAATAACATCCTTTTTACAACTCATAACTTCACGGGATTTGCTCCTCCTTTCTCCCCTTGCAGTATTTTGCAGGTAGAACTTCCTGGGCCTCTGCTAATAGGAAGCTTTGATATGGTTCTGCAGCAGAATTGTGAGCCACATGGCTACATTGCTAATACCTGATACCTATGCTCTGGGATTTTTGGACATATCTAGAAAGAGGTGAAGTGGCCTTATACTGAGCTATATGTACCTCTGGTCCAACTAGCTCACTACTGGCTGTACTGACTGGATTTCAGGTCCAGTATATTCCCAGCCCAACATAGAAATGCTAAGGATTTCTGCATGCAAGATTGGGCTACTGTGAACCTTCCTTCCTTCCTTCCTTACTTACTTACTTGCTTTAGATGCTGACCTATACTTCAAGATCTCAGGGCACTTCACAGAACAAAATACAAATATAATACCACAAAATATATAATCAAAATAAAAACAACTCCATACCCACCAAGAAAGAACCACGTTTTAAAAGGGCATAGGATGTCAATCAAATCAACCAAAGGCCTGGTTAAAAAGAACGTTTTTGCCTGGCAGCTAAAGGTGTTTAATGAAGGCACCAGGCGGACTTCCTTGGGAAGAGCATTCCACAGATGGGGAGCCACTGCAGAGAAGGCCCTGTTCTCGTGTTGCCACCCTCCTGACCTCTCAAGGAGGGGGCACACGAAGGAGGGCCTCAGAAGATGATCTCAGGGTCCGGGTAGGTTCATATGGGAAGAGGCGGTCCTTGAGGTATTGCGGTCCTGAGCCATTTAAGGCTTTATAGGTCAAAACCAGCACTTTGAATTGGGCTTCGTAACTAATTTGTAGACAGTGGAGTCAGACTAGGATTGGTGTAATATGCTCAAGCTGTCTTGCTCCAGTGAGCAACCTGGCCACTGAATTCTGCACCAGCTGAAGTTTCCAAACCGTCTTCAGAGGCAGCCCTACATATAGCACATTGCAGTCGTCTAACCTTAAGATTACCAAAGCATAGACAACAGTAGTTAGGCTATTCATGTCCAGATAGGGGCGTAGCTGGGCCACCAGCCGAAGCTCCTGACAACCTTTCCACTGGGCAGCCCTCCTAGACTATTGTGGGGGGGGGAAACTATCCTGAGTAAAAAATGGTGGGCATAACATCCGTTTCCCAACATAAATTCTGAGACTAGAGAAAAAGAGAAACTGCTGGGACCTGGGGAACGTCAAATGCTTCCACAAGGCTGGCTCATACAGAGTCAGACCTCTGGTCTGTTTTCTATACTGACAGAAAGTTGCTTTGGGGCAAAGGCTTTCCCTAGCCCTACATAACAAAGCAAAGGAATCAGGTTAGCCATGTTGATTTGCATGCTGTTGGTGGATTATTGTCACTGTCTTGTTGGGCTGTGTATGTGATAAAGGGGAGCCACCCCACTCACACACGAAAACAAAGATCACCACAGCCAATCACAAACAAACAACCACACCCTAGGTCAACCCCAACCTCTCTCACCACCAAAGAAACACAAATGAACAGCACGAGCAGCGCTGACACCAAACCCTACATACATTAAGCAAAATAGAAACATCGCCACCCGACCCCCACCCATCTTCCCCCCCCATGTCTCAACAAATGAAACTGATTTGTAAAAATGTTACATGGAAAAAATACGAGAGACATTGCACATACTTCTGTAAAACAAGAAAATCTTTAACAATGCTAAGGAATGAACCTGGGACCTTCTTCGGTCTTACTGTTGAGATATGGCCCTCAGATCAGCCTTCCAGCGTTTCCCTGCCCTGGTAGTTCTCTGGGCTCCTGGGGCAGGAAAAGGTGGGAGATGGTTGAAATGTGCATTTTTCAAGTTCCCTTGGAACTTCCTGCGAATGTTCCTACTACTGAATGCTCAGTACAAGATAGGAGCTGCAGGCCTCACTATCTGGCCTCTCCCCAGGCTGCAACATTCGCCAGCTCCAGTTCACATCCTCCCCGAGTCTTTTTTTGCCTGGCTAGAATGTGTCCCTGAACTCCACTAATGCTTCCCACTTACTTAGGTGGTGAACATAGATGGCCATGAGAGCGTTTGTAGGAACTAGCCTACTGCAAAAAGGTGAAATTTTCAAGTGTTGCTCTGTCCCCTTTTGCCTCAGGCCCCAATAACCAGCAGCGTTTGGGACACAAACACTCACCCACATGCCCCGCCCGAATTTCGCAAAGAGAAAAATGCAGCCCTCGGGCTGAAATATTTTCCCCATCCCTTGGATAACTGAGCATCCCGTGGAAGCCTGGTCCCCAGTCCTACAGCTCCCTACCTGATACTCCTCAAAGGCCTCCTCCTTTGGGATCACTTTGTGCTTCCTGTGCTCCTTGGATTTGTCGCACACCACACAGATGGGGGCTTGGTCGTCTTCGCAGAAGAGTTTCAGGGGCTCCTGATGTCTCTTGCAAACCCTTCCCAGCACTTCCACCCCTTTGGCCGCCTGAAGGCTGAATTTCTTGACTATTTCCACAATGCTGGCCAGTTGCCGGTTGGGCCTGAAATTCCTTTGCTGATGAGGTTCCCTGCACTGAGGGCAAGAAGCTTCTTGGTCTGATTTTCCCCAAGCCTCGGTGATGCAGCTTTGGCAGTAATTGTGGCCGCATTCTATGATCACTGGATCTGTGAAATACTCCAGGCAGATGGAACATGTTGTTTCCTCGCAGAGGTTCTGGACTGGACCCTCGTCTGCCATTTCGTCTGCCTGAAATGAGAACAAAAGCTTTAGTTTCCTTTCTCCAGTTTCAAGTTACAGGGCGGGCCTTTCCCTCCCTCTGGGTGACTCATAGTTTTTGAAAAGAAACAGCATAAGCTGGGGAAAACCGTTACAGTGTGCAGCTTCACATCTGTACCATGAATTCAAAGTGCATGGCGTCTGCCAAAGAATCCTGGCAATGGCCATTTACCCCCAGAAGCTACACTTCCCAGCACCCTTAACTAACTACAGTCCCCAGGAAAATTTGTGGGAGAGCCATGTGGCCATCATGAGGCTAGTAAAAGGTCTAATACTAACTGACTGGAGCAGGAAGAGGAAGGAAGTAAAGACTGAGAAAAACAATTGTTTACTCGAGAAGGAATCAGTGAGGGAAGAATTGGTTTCCTGTCTCCCACACCCAGTTCTCAAATAGTATCTTCTTGCAAACACTGTTGCTCCAGTCCCAAATGTTAACAGGATTTGGGGACAACTAACTTTGACTTTAGAATTACCACAGACAGGACACCGTAGCTGATGTGATTAGGCTTTTAGATCAAAATAAAATTAAATAAGCCCAAAGAAAGAAAAGCAAAACCACATGAGTGTTTACTTAAGTTTATGATTCCATGTGTTTTTATTGTGTGTGTCTGCCCTGAACTCCCCATCCTGATCCAGCGCAGTAACCACTATACCACACTGTCTGTATCTGAAGGAGCATCCAATCCAAGTTGCGTTTAAGGATAAAGAGCCCTGAGAAGGGAGAGCAGTTGGCACCCTGGCGCTGCCCACGGGCACAGTTAGCATCCAGTCAGCATACTGAGCTGGTCTTTGTTCATAATTTAGAGACACACTAGCTGCAGTTTCCACAATTGCACTGGGGGCCGGAGTGACTGACAGTTGTATCTTTGCTGAACCAAGGAAATGGCCCCGGAAATATTTTTCACCCTGTTTGGGAAGGTTTACGGGTGGAGGAAGTGGAGAGGAACCACCTGCATCTCCCATCCAAGGCCGCATCACAAATGGAATGATGCCTTTATTCTCCAATGTTAAACATTCACTGTTTTATTCGTGTTCAGATGTTCATGGTGTTTCCTTTCACTATGATGTCTTTATTAATATAGAACTGCAAAAACACACACACACAAAATACACCAAACAGAAGCATTGCTGAATATCGGATTTCTCCTAGGGAAACAACTGCAGACTTTTTCATATATAGAACTCTGAAAACTCCACTGAGTATTAATGAAGGACAGGAAGAATGAAACTGAAACCTTCTTTCCGTGAACCTCGTTCCCCAAAACAACAGGAGGCCATGATCCAGATTTTCCCCAGGACAGACAACTTGCATGGGGGCAGGGGGAGAGAGAAAGAAGAAATTGGTGGCTGCAGGGTAGCTTTTTAAAATGTTTTGCCACACATACCATAACATTATTTGGCACGGGACGCTCTCAGGCCCAAATCAGACGTGGCGGCAGTGACACAACATGTCAGAATCCGTCTGTTACAAACTCCCCGTAAAGTGGGAGGAGGGCACTTAGAGTGCTGAACCCTTTCCCCCACCTACGGGACCGCCTCTCCTGGTATGCCCCGCGGAGGACCTTAAGGTCCACAAATGACAACACTTTGGAGGTCCCAGATCGCAAGGTGGTTAGATTGGTCTCAACTAGGGCCAGGGCCTTTTCAGTACTGGCCCCAACTTGGTGGAACGCTCTGTCACATGAGACTAGGGCCCTGCAGGACTTGACATATTTCCGCAGGGCCCGCAAGACAGAGCTGTTCCGCCTGGCCTTTGGTTTGGACTCAGTCTGACCCTTAAGTTTCCCTCCCCTTATGGTTTTGAACTATGGGCTACCATTAAAACGAGGCTGCATTTTAAATTGTATTTTAACCCGTATTTTAATAAATTGGTGTTTTGTGTGTGTGTTTCCTCCCATTATGTTTTTATTGTAATTTTACTGGTGTTAGCTGCTCTGAGCCCGGCTCTGGCCAGGGAGGGCGGGGTATAAATAAAATTATTATTATTATTCTTATTATTATTACACATACAACCTTCCCTACCAAATGCCAGACATTTCCCCCCAATGTAAGAAACCTACAGTGGGGAGTAAACAGCTGGTAGGTTTTCTCAGGGGCCCTTTCACCTGTCTCCCAATACTTTTGTCCTGTACAAATAAGCATGAATTCAACTTGTTGGGACAATATATTATTTAGTTCAAATTTCTTCTTTCGCCTCTTACTATATAATTCATCAGTTGGCTTGTTAATTATCAATGTCCATGAGTCATTTATTTCCTATTTCAGTTTCCCCTCCTTATGTGATGAGTAGGCTATAATTCAATCTCTAATAAAAGCTTTATATGCTTCCCATTTGTAGTAAAGTTAGTATCGTTTAGAAGCTGTTCCTTGGTCAAGCAATGAGAGTGAGGCCTTGTGGGTAACCAACAAGCCACAAGGACCATGGGAAATAAGTTCTGTCCCTTTAACCCCAGACTAACAGGCACCCAGGGTGTGAAAGTTTTATTATGGGAAAGGAAACCCCTGATTTAATGGAAGGCTTGACACCTGGGTCCAAGTTCTGTGCATTCCCTTAGCGATGTTATCTGGCCTTGATGGCCTGGGAATGTGCATCTGCAGAGGCGCCACGGAAGGGAGGACAACCTTTGATTGAGGCTCTGGGTTCTTAATTGGCCCAGCTGCCAGAAGTTAGATTGATTAGCCCGCAAGCCGGTCATTGGAGAATTTAAAAATAATCAAGAGTTATGATTGGTTTTGGGGGTTCCGACGCCACGTGTGAATCAGGGATAAAAAATCTGGGAAATGGCTGAGAAAGTGCGCTCTGCAATCCGCCCGGCTGCTGATGTTCCATCTAAGTAGCTGTCTTTACATCCTTTGTGATGGAGAACTGCGAAAGCTTCTGAACTGCGGAATCTTGAAAGGACTCTAACTATCCCTTTTGTGCTTTAGTTGTGAGTATGTAAGCCAGTTAGATTTCACAATGTTTTTATTTTTCTTGTCTGTAACTTACTAAAGAAGTGCCTGCTATTTTAGCATGTTTCCTTATGTTCTTTTAAAATAAATCTTAAATAAGAAACTGTTTTGGTTTGTGTGCCTTTCCGGGGGGAAAAGTTAAGTCCTAGCCTTACGCTTAGTTACGCTCTACCGTAGAATTTCTGTCTGCAAGTTTGTGGATTCAACTTGTGGAGTGGGGATAACCAGTAATAACAGGGCACAGCCTTCTCCCTGGGTTGTGACTCTGGGTTCCCCGGAACAGAGGGAGTGGTGGCAGCTCTACCGGTGTGATTTTGTCCTGCTTCTGTATAACGTAACTTTGCCTGCCAGCCCTGTTCAAGAAACCTGATCTGGCCGGAGAGCAAAGACAGGTGAGGGAGGAGCGAGCGGCTGGGGGCAACTTTACTACACCATTCATATATCCTAGCAGTCAACGTGTCAGTATTTATATCAAAGAATTGTTCAGTCTCGATCTTCATTTGTTTTACAAACTGGTCACCATTAAGTACAGTGATACCTTGGCTTAAGGCGAGGATCCGTTCAGGAGCCAAAAATGACGCACGCCAAAGCACTGCGTGTGCGCAAAGCACCAAACCTGGAAGTAACCTGTTCTGGTACTTCCGGGTTTGGTGCCGATATTTGGCGGAACAGACTCCCACCAGAGTGGACGCCGCACGAAGTACGACTGTAATGAGATGTTAAAATACCAGTTTCTTGGTATCTTAGCTGTATTATAATACTTCCAATCCAAGCTAATTGCACTGTGATCAGATACACAACATCAATCAATCAATAATCTTTATTACGGTCACAGACCAGCATAAGAAAAACATATGAATAAAATACAGCGGTACCTTGGCTTACAGCAGGGATCCGTTCCGGAGCCCCCGCCGTAACCCGAAAATGACGCAGGCCAAAATGTCGTGTCTGTGCAAGCACATGTGTGATTTAGTGCTTCTGCACATGCACGAGCAGCAAACCCGGAAGTAACCCGTTCTGGTACTTTCGGGTTTGCCGCCGACGTTCCGCGGAACGGACTCAAGCCAGGGCAGACTCAGACCAAGGTATGACTGTAGAAGTTAGGATTTACACAGGTAATTGTTAAAGCAAGTAAGAACAAGAAAACAAGCATAGGATAAATATGTGAATAGAATACAAGGTTAAACACAGATAATGGATGGATAAGAACTGATAATGAAAACTTTTAAGAACTAGAAGACATGCAGCTAAAACAGCTATAAGTGGTGGAGCTTAAGGGAATACAGGTCTTGCAACATATATCAATATCACAATCTTGAATTTGATGGACGCTGATATTAAGAAAAAATCCAACCTAAAACAGGGTCAACCAAATTCAACTCTTGCATGTACTTTTTGAGAGTTTCTCTAACTAATGAAACTTTTTTTCATGGAGGCTTGCTTCTATCCAGGTTAGGATCAATTATTTCATTGAAATCACCTCCTATTATAAGTTTATTGTAAGTACTTTGACTTAGATGACCAAAACACTGATAAAATATATCTGGAGAATCTACATCTGGCCCATATATATTAATCTACATTATTACCATTTCGGCAATTTTCACACACAAAATTAAATACCATCCATTTTCATCAGTAATAACTTGTCATATATCCACTGTCAATCCTTTTCGTATCAAGATAGCAAGGCCTCTAGCACTGGAAATATAATTTGCAGTATATTCCTTTCCTACCCAATTCTTCATTAACACTTTTTTGTCTTGATTTAACAAATGTGTCTCTTGTAAATAACCAATGTAATTATTTAAAGATTTTAAGTATTGCAGAATTACTCACTGTTTTTTGGACTCTCTCAGCCCTTTTACATTCAAACTAACTAACTTCATATTATATTATTAACTTCCTTTTGGCCCCTCTTATCTTGGTTGTAAATCCAATATTCATTGTTACAAGGTTTCTTGTATATGCATGTATATAAAACCTGCCATTCATATACCTCAAATACTTCTTTCTTATCAGCTTGACTCTGACTTGTTAATATTTCTATTCAAAAAGCAGTGGTGACTTTTGCTGCTTCACTAGTCAATAAACAGGCAGTATAAAACATTCTTTTGTTGTTGATTTTCACTGCTGACTGTTTACACTCCATTCTATTGGCCGAACGCCCAGACTGGCAAAACAATGTCTTCAACAGTGTATCCTCTTATTAATCAGTTAATGGAGTCATCCAAAGCTTCAGTTCCAGGGTGTCAACTGATTTTAGTGAGGAATGCTCTGCAAAGTCTGGATGGTTGTGATTATGAGTTTGACCAGAATATTGAATACAAGACTTTGCCAGGAACTGAATGTAGCATTCCATATTCTTTGCCCTAGCAAGGGCTTTTGCTTTAACAAATTTAGAGTGCGCTGGAATCACATCCCTGGAGAAGTCCAGAAAGAGAAATATCTTCACCAGGGCTTCTGTGGATTTTTGGTGGAATTTGTCTTTCTTATCTTGAGGTCAGGAGAACGAAACATCTAAGGAAAAACAGTGATATGAAGAAGAAGTCAATACTCATACTTCCAAGGTAATGATTTAGATTCAGAGTGCTTGGAAGTGTGTTCACGCCAGAATCTAAAATTTAGCCATCGTATATGATCGTTTGCCCTCTTCTGTGTTGGTGTAATGTGAACAATGGGTGAAATTGCACAGTGCTTGGGCTCGTGCCTTGAGGAGCACATTTCCCACGTCTGGATGTTCTGAGATAAGGGTGCCGGGTGCACTGGGTTGCCATAGCAGGACCAGAAAGGTCTAGTGTGCGACTTGTGGAGTCATTCACCCTCCCATTGGTCCAGGAAATGTGCCTACATGTAGAGACAGAAATAGTAGCCTCTAGGGCATTGCTTTCATCCTGTCTGTCTTGTCTGTGCCCTGTCCCATTTGCTGTCAGGGTCTGACTCTGTAGGACTCAGGGAAAGAGGCCGTGGGTTTTATACAGAAGCATTAGCTAGCATGGTGATGAGTGTCAATGGATCTGCTCATACGTATCTTTACTTTAAAGACCAGCAGAATTGTGTTTGTGTCTGGAGACATTAAACACTTGGTTACTTTGAACTGTGTGTGAGGAGTTTCCCCTTTAACTGGGAATCTGGAAGATGCTGTTCAGTTGGGAGAAGGAAATCTCTGATGACTCCGCTTCTGTGCTCATAACACACACCAGTTGAGGTGTGGTGAACTCCCAGCTGACTTCAGCAAGCCACAGCATTCCAGCATTATCATTACATTTTATGAAAACATTGAGGGGGGTGGGGTTCAGAGAAATCAGTGCCAAGTAATGAAGATTACTCAGAATTCTAAATAGAAAAAAGAACTCTCAAATGTCAAGCTTCAACTACTCTTGCTTGCTTCCCAGTCCTCCAGCTCTGAAATAGTTAAAAGACAAAGCCAGAGTTTTGGAGTAGAGTTTAGGGATGTGACAGGCTGTAAAAAGCAGCAAGTTGGATAGAGAATCAGAGCACGATGGTTGATTCCTGCTTTGAATCCAAGACTGTGGCTATGGGAGAAACAAGACTCTCTTGGGGTGTCTGTGTTGTGAACCCCTCCATCGTAGACTCAGATTGTATATATGTGTAAATAAACCATATATCGCAAAGACACCACAGTTCTCTGCTGTATCTCATTTCCCAAAAGGAAATACGAAACCTGGGAAAACCGCTTGGGAGCCCTGGAATTTTGTGCTGCTTGGAGATTGAGTTGGGGTACAGTCCTGTCTTCCTTTTTATGAAGTCCAGAGAGCACAGCACCTAAGGGGGAAAAAAGTCAAATGAGGAAAAAGTCAATACTCATACTTGATTCCAAGGGCAATGCTTTAGATTTAGAATGTTTGCAAGTATGTTTATGCCAAAATCTAAAATTTAGCCATATTACTCCATCTTTTTTGAGAGTCTTTTCTTTTCTTGAGAGTCCCATGGACTGCAAGAAGATCAAACCAATCCATTCTGAAGGAAATCAGCCCTGAGTGCTCACTGGAAGGACAGATCCTGAAGCTGAGGCTCCAATACTTTGGCCACCTCATGAGAAGAGAAGACCCTGATGTTGGGAAAGATGGAGGGCACAAGGAGAAGGGGACGACAGAGGACGAGATGGTTGGACAGTGTTCTCGAAGCTACCAGCATGAGTTTGACCAAACGGCGTGAGGCAGTGGAAGACAGGAGTGCCTGGCGTGCTCTGGTCCATGGGGTCACGAAGAGTGGGACACGACTAAACGACTAAACAACAACAACTCCATCTTTTGCCCTCTTCTAGCGTTGGTATAAAGTGTTATGAAAACATGTTTTGGGGGGCACTCAGAGAAGAGTTGCAATCAATGCCAAAGACCGCAAGGTCACTCAGAATTTTAAACTGACCCTCACATAGAACCCTCAAATGTCAAGATATCAGATATCTAACAGGAAATTCTACATGTGAAAATTAAAATTTCCATACACTGCTCTTTCCTTCCGGCATTCTATTCCCTGCCCCCAATCACATTAGAATCTCATGTAGGATCTTCATGTGATTTAGAGCTCCCTTCTGTGGTCAGCGCCAATAATGGGGTACACTAGAGGGGACAGAGCTAGTGCACATATCTCTGATCTCCCTCGTGTGGTTCTAAGCATGCGGGAGAAGTGAACAGCACAAGAGAGCCACAGTCGTCCCTCCACATTTGTATTTGACGAGTCTAAACCAGCTTCAGAGCAAGCAATGGTCCACTTCAGAACTTCCTTTCAATGCAGAGCCAGTAGCTCCAGCTATTCTTGCTTGCTTCCCTGTCCTCTCATTCACCAGATTGCAGTAGGAAGTATGAATGAATGAATGAATTTATTAATACGGTCACAGACCAGCGACAACACACACAATATCACAGATCATTAAAAAAAAAAATATCAAAAATACAGAGGACAATATGAGTGTAACAAGCATTTAAATATAAAAAATTAAAATTAATTATTAGCGTGCCCCCTGTAATTAACATTTAGGGGTTTGGTCATTATGGGATACCACTTGCTTCCTGCGATTAATTGCAGCCGCACAGAATTTGGCTACATTTAATGTAGTCTTGGGATTCTTGTCCTCTAGCAGTGGTTTTAAACCATGGTGTTCCGATTCTTTCCTGGACTTTTGTAAAACAGGTGTAATAAAAGTCAAACGTATATCCTCATAAAGACGACAACGTAATAATACATGTGAGGTAGTTTCAACTTCCAACGAGCCACAGGGGCAGACCCGTGCTGTGTATGGTTTACCCTCAAATCTGCCCGCAGTAGGAAGTAGTATTCATCTGTTTGTCCTAAAGCAGACAGGAGAAGGGAGCCAAGCGAAAGGAGGGCAAGCGGCATCAATGTGTAGTAGCCAGGAGAGTTAGTCCCATGTACACAGTTAGTCTGGGCCATTAACCAAGAGCAAAGGAAAGGAGTTGGGCCATCAAGAAAGACAGAGAGGGGGCTCTGTGCCAGACAGCTCTTTGGAGGGCCCGTTCCCCAGCTCTGATATAGTTGGAAGACAAAATCAGAGTTTTGAAGTAAAGTTTAGGGATGTGACAGGCTGTAAAAGGCCTGAAGATGGAAAGAGCATGAGAGCACAATGTTTGATTCCTGTTTTGAATGCCAGACTGTGGCTATGGGAGAAACAAGACTCTCTTGGGGTGTCTGTGAACCCCTCCATCGTAGGCTCACATTGCATATATGTGTAAGTAAACCATATATCCTAAAGACACCACAGTCTCTGCTGTCTCTCATTTCCCAAAAGGAAATACGAACTCTGGAGATGCAGTTTGGGACCCCAGCAATCTTGTGCTACTGGGAGATTGAAGTCCAAAACGCTCCCATATCTCATCTGCAAAAATTGTTTAAAAATCTGCCAAACCTGGAAATGTACCTGTCTTTCCTTGAAGGCCAGAGAATACAGCATCTGAGGAAAAAAGTGAAATGAGGAAAAAGTCAATACTCGTACTGGGCTTCAAGGGCAATGCTTTAGATTTAGAATGTTTGCAAGTGTGTTCAGGCCTAAATCTAAAATTTAGCCACAGTACTCCATCTTTCTCCCTCTTCCAGCATTAGCATTAAGTGTTATGAAAGCATGTTTGGGGTGGGGGGCACAGAGAAGAGTTGCCTCCCCCAGCTCTGAGAGAGTTAGAAGACAAAACCAGAGTTTTGGAGTAGAGTTTAGGGATGTGACAGGCTGTAAAAGGCAGCAAGACAGAAAGATAACAGAGCACGAGGGTTGATTCCTGTTTTGAATGCAAGGCTGGGGCTATGGGAGAAACAAGACTCTCTTGGGGTGCCTGTGAATCCCTCCATTGTAGGCTCAGAGTGCCTATATGTGTAAATAAACCATATATCCTAAAGACACCACAGTCTCTGCTGTGCCTCATTTTCCAAAAGGAAATACGAACCCAGGGGAGGCAGCTTGGGAATCCAGAAACCTTGTGCTGCTTGGGGTACAGCTGTCTCTTTCTTTTCTTGAGGCCCAGAGAGCACAACGTCTAAGGGAGGAAAGCGAAATGAGGAAAAAGTCAATACTCAAACATGGCTCCAAGGGCAATGCTTTAGATTTAGAGAGCTTGGAAGTGTGTTCATGCCAAAATCTAAAATTTAACTATAGTACTTTCAAGGGACGTGGGTGGCGCTGTGGGTTAAACCACAGAGCCTAGGACTTGCTGATCAGAAGGTTGGCAGTTCGAATCCCCGTGACGGGGTGAGCTCCCGTTGCTCTGTACCTGCTCCTGCCAAGCTAGCAATTCGAAAGCACGTCAAAGTGCAAGTAGATAAATAGGTACCGCTTCAGCGGGAAGGTAAAAGGCGTTTCTGTGCGCTGCTCTGGTTCGCCAGAAGTGGCTTAGTCATGCTGGCTACATGACCCAGAAGCTCCCTTGGCCAAAAAAGCGAGATGAGCGCTGCAACCCCAGAGTCAGTCATGACTGGACCTAATGGTCAGGGGTCCCTTTACCTTTTACTCCCTCTTCCACTCTCTTCCGGCATTAGCATTAGGTGTTATGCTAGCATGTTGGGGGGTGGGGTACTCAGAGAAGAGTTGCAATCAATGCCAAAGGTCACTCAGAATTTTAAAATGACCCTCATACAGAACCCTCAAATGTCAAGATATCAGATATCTAACAGGAAATTATACGTGTGAAAATTTAAATTTCCATACACGGCTCTTTCCTTCCAGCATTCTATACCCTGCCCCCAATCACATTAGAATCTCATGTAGGATCCTGATGTGATTTAGAGCTTCCTTCTGCAGACAGCGCCAATAATGGGGTACACTAATGGCCCCCTCCCCCGGCTCTGAGAGAGTTAACCAGAGACAAAACCAGAGTTTTGAAGTAGAGGTTAGGGATGTGACAGGCTGTAAAAGGCAGCAGGCCAGAAAAAGAAGAAGAAGAGTTTGGATTTGATACCCCGCTTTATCACTACCCGAAGGAGTCTCAAAGCGGCTCACATTCTCCTTTCCCTTCCTCCCCCACAACAAACACTCTGTGAGGTGAGTGGGGCTGAGAGACTTCAGAGAAGTGTGACTGGCCCAAGGTCACCCAGCAGCTGCATGTGGAGGAGCGGGGAAGCGAACCCATCGCTCTTAACCACTACACCACACTGGCTCAGAGCACAAGGGCTGATTCCTGCTTTGAATGCAAGGCTGGGGCTATGGGAGAAACATGACTCTCTTGGGGTGTCCGTGTTGTGAACCCCTCCATCGTAGGCTCAGATTCTATATATGTGGGAATAAACCATATATCCTAAAGACACCACAGTCTCTGCTGTCTCTCATTTCCCAAAAGGAAATATGAACCCAGGGGATGCAGCTTGGGACCCCAGCAATCTTGTGCTGCTGGGAGATTGAAGTGCAAAACCCTCCCATATCCCATCTGCAAAAATTGTTTAAAGATCTGCCAAACCTGGAAATGTACCTATTTCGTCTTGAGGTCCAGAGAGCACAACGTCTGAGGAAAAAAAGTGAAATGAGGAAAAAGTCAATACTCGTACGTGGCTCCAAGGGCATTGCTTTTGATTTAGAATGTTTGCAAGAGTGTTCGTGTCTAAATCTAAAATTTAGCCATAGTTCTCCATCTTCCTCCCTCTTCCAGCATTAGCATTAAGTGTTATGAAAGCATGTTCAGGGTGGGGGGCACAGAGAAGAGTTGCCTCCCCCAGCTCTGAGAGAGTTAGAAGACAAAACCAGAGTTTTGAAGTAGAGCAGAGTTTATGGATGTGACAGGCTGTAAAAGACAGCAAGACAGAATGAGAATCAGAGCACAATGGTGGGTTCCTGTTTTGAATGCAAGGCTGGGGCTATGAGAGAAACAAGACTCTCTTGGGGTGCCTGTGAACCCCTCCATTGTAGGCTCAGATTGCATATATGTGTAAATAAACCATATATCCTAAAGACACCACAGTCTCTGCTGTGCCTCATTTGCCAATAGGAAACTTGAACCCTGGGGGAACCCCTGGAATATTCATCATTTGGGAATGGGAATGGCATGCAACAATATCTATCATCTATCTATCATCATCATCTATCTCACATATAAAACATCATACAATGATCTCAGTTACCTTTAAATTTCTTGGTCTCCTTCTCCAAAAAAGGATGCATTTTAGAGAATTTATCTATTTGCTGTTTTAATCCAGGAGGGAAAGCTATTGCATCTATGGTTTTATTTTCATTTTCATTACACCTAGGAAGAAGCAAGTGAGGTTTATTGTGATCCATCAGGTCATTCTCAAGTCATTTTTAATTCAGTCGTCAGAATGAAGGAGAAAAGTGGGAACAGCAGGAAGATACCAAGGGCTCAGCCATGATAGGTTTTTCTTTCATTCCCCCTGGTTTCCCCACGAAAGTCCCCACTGTTTACCACTGAATCGGAACAAAGGTCAGTCGAGTTTTCTGTGGGTTAACAGCGAAATAGAACCAAACATTTATTGGGTTTTCTGCGGATTTATGTTTCTTCCATTTCAGTGGTAAGCAGCAGGTTATCCCAGGAAAAGCGGTGGGACAAAATAAAAGCCTCTTTCTAGAAATCACAGGAAAAGCTGAAGTATGGATGAGCCCTGTGACAGCAGCGAATGGTATTGTCTGCCCTGTGCCCATTACAAAGACCTATGACAAACTGGGAAGTGAAGTATAATGCGGGGGGGGGGGGGAATGTAAATTTACATAAACATTTTTCATATAAAATTTACATATAAAAGATCAATCCATAATCTATCTTACCTCTCTTTTATTTTTTTAAAAAATAAACTTTACCGTTAAGATGCAGAAATACTTTAAACAATCTGCCTGAAATTTTGACACACGTTGCATACCGTACCATGTTTAAAATTACTGCTAGGTCAGAAGTGCCTGATTAACTTGTGACAAAGTTGTGCTTCTACCTGGTCAGAACAGGGTATAAATCGGCCCAATTTAGTTGAGGATCTGGGTGAATCTGGAGCAGAGCCTTACTGAATATTTACTCCAACAAATTATGTTTGCAGATAATGCACACAAGTAACTAATAAGCGCATCTCTTTACTCTGGCCTTTGTCATCTAGGAGATGTATTTTAGGACCTGCCCAGTTTTCTTGGATTGTAATTTGTTTTAACTATTTTTAATATTGTATTTTAATCCATAAATTGCCCTGGAACCTGACAGTGGAGGGCAAGTAAGAAATCTAATAATCCACCACCACCACCATCTCTGCTATGATATGAAGTATACAGTAGATGGAAAAAATATCATCACTCCTTCCTAAAATATGCATTTTATATGCATAACACACACACATACACACCAAAATTCTATTCATTTTTGTATGCTGTTCTAGGTATCCCCCAATACGCTTTTTGTACATTTCCCCACACGAGATACGCAGTTTGGATAAAAAACGCATCACAACATTTGTATAAGTGTGCAATCAGATGGGTAACTGTTTTCTGATCTGCTTATTGGTCTGTAAACTGTGAATTACATTGGCTCACATAGACCAAATCAATTTCTCCCTTACCACAGAGGAAGGAAATCAGTACCAGCCCACTATAACAAAGCCACATACCTTTCCAGGATGCTTCTCATATTCTAGATGGAAGAGACAGAATGAGAGAAATTCAGTCCTTCTTTTTTAAAAAAATCATTTTTATTGATTTTCCAATAAAAAACATCCAGTTAATATATCCAATCATAATACTCCAATTAAAATAAAAAAACTAAAATAAAAAAGACCAAATTATAGTCCAAATTATAATTATTAATTTCTCAGGGGTCCCCACGGTCTGGGGAAATTCAGTCCTTTGCACCACACATCAGTTCACAGAGGGGACATACTGTATCTTTCTATGTATAACACAATGTTTTCTGCAGAGACAACGGGCTAGTCCAGGGACCACGGGCCCCACTGAGCAAGGCAGGCATGAGAAGCTGCTCTCAGCCCTTGCCATGTTAGAGCCTTAAGGGGGAGCAGGCTGGAGTGGGGCCCCACCCATCCTCCGCAGGCTTTCTCTTCCACATGCCTCCTTGCCTCCTTTAAATGCTACAGGTTTCCATCTGCTTGTAAGTTACAAGGTCATGTGTGGTTTGGCAACCCTGCTTTAAAATATTGATTTCTTTCACCCTGAAGTACTTCGTACTCTGCCCAGTGCAACAAAGGGTCCAGATCCAATTCTACTTTGTCAAAAATTAAGCTCCACCAGCACAAATGGTCCATATTATGGCTCTAACTTTGTTTCTGTTTGACAGAAGTGGATGAAATTTGCAAGCCTCTTTGTCCCTCCAGAGTAGCTTAAACCTTGCAAATTACAGGCAAATAAATTCAGGGGGCGTCCCATTGGGCAGATTTGGCTCCCTTTCTCTCTTTTTAAGGAAACCTCTATAACCTGTAATAAAAAATGGATGAAATTAGTGCCCATTGTTGCTTCTTCAGAGGGAATGAGTGATAACTGCAACAGTTCTCCCACTAAGGTAGAATTTACAGTTCTGGAGTAGGTAAAAAAGGAATCACTTAACTTCCCGTAGTGTTTTATGGACAATCAGTCTGAAAGTAGGAAAACATGAGAGACAAGTGTAACTGGAGTAAAAGAAGGAAGGAAGGAAGGAAGGAAGGAAGGAAGGAAGGGGACAAATAGTTCTAGGGGTTGGTGTTATGAGTCTTTAAAGTTGATTTTGGGAAAATGAAAAATAAAAGGGATTCCATTTTCTCCCTAGGATTGAGCTGTGCACACACACAGGTATTTTTGATTTGACAATTAGGCTGACTTTAGGTACCTGTTCGCAGGTAGAAGGGATGCCAGGACAGGGTCTTGACACTGACAGATGTAAGGAGACACCAACAAGATGCAACTTGAAGGGACATTAAATGGACTCCTTGTTTTTGTCAAGCTTTCTTTGACCAAGCCAGTTCCCTGCAGCAGTTTATTACTTTCCCCTTTGCTTTACATATCAACCAAATATTGAGGTGCACACACCTACTGTAAATACTTCTATAGACCAATGAACAGAGTGTGGGGTGGTACAGCCCTTCCCCAGAGGACAACCTGGACAGTTTTGTTCCACCATTGCTCACCTGCAAGAATTCAGTCACTGGCTGCTTCTGTTTCTCCTCCAGCTGCCTGATTAGGTTGTTAAGGGAGGCAATTTCCTCACAGAGTCTGGCAATATATAGATTCCTACAGTTTTTAATCCCATCGTCCAGTTCCTTTAACTGCGTCAGCAGAAGGCACTCTTGTTCTTCCAGAAACTGGTGCAATTGCTGGAAATCAGCCATGATTTTCTGCCTCTCCGTGGCTGTCTGCTTCTGCAAGGAGAGAGTCATGGCCAGAAAAAGACGTTTAGATGTCCTTTTAATTCCATGTGCACAAGCTGACTGGCAGGGCAGCTGATGTTTACTTCAGAAGTTCAGTCACAGCCGAGGGCAGCAGGCAGGCTAGCTTAGCAGGACACGACTTCTTTGCTTGCTCAGTCCTCAATATTTTCCTTCTGCTCACCTACTGATCTATTAGCTGCTGCTGCTGCTGCTGCTCTCTGTTCCCTGGCATCTTCATCCTGCCTTGGCCACCTCACCCTGCCTAATAGTAGGGCCGTGAGGAAGTGACGAGAAGAAGGAGGACTAGCTTTGTGGGGTCACTTCGTTCTTTAAAATACCAGGTGCACAGCCTGGGAGTCATTTTGTGTCCAGGGCAGCTGTCTACCAGCTCCATCTGGTACACAGGCTGAGACCCTACCTGCCCGCGGACTGTCTTGCCAGAGTGGTGCATGCTCTGGTTATCTCCCGCTTGGACTATTGCAATGCGCTCTACATGGGGCTACCTTTCAAGGTGACCTGGAAACTGCTACTAATCCAGAATGCGGCAGATAGACTGATGACTGGGAGCAGCCGCCGAGACCGCATAACTGTTTTTAACACTGATTGGGAGCCGCCCAGAGTGGCTGGGGAAACTCAGCCAGATGGGTGGGGTATAAATAATAAATTATTATTATTATTATTATTATTATTATTATTATTATTATTATTATAACACCAGTCTTGAAAGACCTACGTTGGCTCCCAGTACATTTCTGAGCACAATTCAAAGTGTTGGTGCTGACCTTTAAAGCCCTAAACGGCCTCGGCCCAGTATACCTGAAGGAGCGTCTCCACCCCCATCGTTCTGCCCGGACACCGAGGTCCAGCTCCAAGGGCCTTCTGGCGGTTCCCTCGCTGCGAGAAGCCAAGTTACAGGGAACCAGGCAGAGGGCCTTCTCGGTAGCGGCGCCCGCCCTGTGGAACACCCTCCCATCAGATGTCAAGGAAATAAACAACTATCTGACTTTTAGAAGACATCTGAAGGCAGCTCTGTTTAAGGAAGTTTTTAATGTTTGATGTTTTATCGCTTTTTTATTATTATCATTAATTCTGTTGGGAGCCGCCCAGAGTGGCTGGGGAAACCCAGCCAGATGGGTGGAGTATAAATATGATGATGATGATGATGCTGGCATGGCAATAATAATAATAATAATAATAATAATAATAATAATAATAATTTATTATTTATACCCCAGCCCAAATGGCTGGCATTTTTGGACTCAAGGACTACATTCGCCCCTAGACAACCCTACCAATTTTAGCCGATCCTGCTGAATGTTGTCTAGCCTTGCAGGCAGCTGCTCTTCAAGGTCTGAAGCAGAGACCTTTCCTAACTCTACCACCCAATATCCATTTAATTGATAATGCCAGTGATCAAATCTGGGACACTGTGCAAGTGAAGCATAGGCTCCACCACAGAATTAAGGCCTCACTCTGTCAAGTATAACCATCCTAGAGAGGCAAGAATGTTTGCACCTACCAGCAGATTCTGGCTTTCTGTTTCCACCGTCAGTTTAGAAGACTGAATTTCTCCTTTCTGTTTGTTCAGGAACTCCAAATGACGCAGAATTTTACCCTGGGGTGGGCAAAAGGGCATTTGGGTTAGTTTTGGCAGCAAAGATATACTCATAAAATCGTAGCAGTCTCATAAAACTTTCTGCACCAAACCATGATCTTTTCCAAAGTTAAATTGGGGTGCGAACCAAAGCTTGTGGCTGGTGAACAGCCCTATTCAGAGCTCGCTCTTCTTTCTTTTCTTTTTAAAAAAAACCCCTTCAAGTATTCACCAAGAAGTTGTTACTGTAAGTGCCACACTTTTAACATTTGGGGTGGAAAGGTGCTGGTACTGCGTATCACTGAGTACTTATGCAAAGTTTATTGCAAATGGCATACTTTTCATTTCGTCACATGGATGGCAAATCTAAACAGGTGTTAAATCACTCTGCCTTTCATATCTGATGGCGGGGGGAACACAGGAAGCTGAAATATATCAGAAACATTGTAAAGTACATTACATATTATTGGTAATAAAGGTTGCCTGTCAACTTTTAAGTTCAAAAAATATGAACAGGAGCATAACACCAGGTATACATGTTGTGTCCAAATATATTTATACCTGATTTAGACCAACTGACATTAACTGAGATTTTACAATGTATTCATCTCAATTGGAAAAACAAAACTTGCCTGCACTAATGTGAAGGGTGAAACTGAGATCTGGACATAGGCTAGGTCTGGTTCAAAGGCAGTGGTTTTGATCTGCAAAATGCCACACAGGTGACAGTCATTTAGTCTTGTCCTCACACTGTTCTTGTTAAAGTTCATAGCAGAGAATGTCTTCTCACACAAATATGTTGAGCCAAATAAGCTCAGCATTTTCTACATGGATAGGATTGCACCTAATACTTTCCTGATGGCACAACAAAACCAGATGTTGTCTGTATTAGAATATCCAAAGGTACCATGTGCTGGTACCTACTGCACCAAACAGCTAAGGTAAAGGTAAAGGGAACCCTGACCATTAGGTCTAGTTGTGGCCGACTCTGGGGTTGTGGCGCTCATCTTGCTTTACAGGCCAAGGGAGCCAGCGTACAGCTTCTGGGTCATGTGGCCAGCATGACTAAGCCGCTTCTGGCGAACCAGAGCAGCGCCCGGAAACACCATTTACCTTCCCACTGGAGTGGTACCTATTTATCTACTTGCACTTTGACGTGCTTTCGAACTGCTAGGTTGGCAGGAGCAGGGACTGAGCAACGGGAGCTCACCCCGTTGTGGGGATGCGAACCGCTGACCTTCTGATCAGCAAGTCCTAGGCTCTGTGGTTTAACCCACAGCGCCACCCGTGTCCCCTACCAAACAGCTACAGCTCCCAAAATGCATATGAGAAAATAGCTAATGAACTCACATGTTTGCAAGCAGTGCAAATGTAGGCTTTCAGAAATCCATGGGACTTCATGTCCAGCAAGATGGAGTTATGAAACAAAGACTTCTATCCTAGCGTTATCCACCCACCCATCTTTCCATTTTTGTCTCACCTGTCTGCAAGGAACTCAAGTCAATCTACATGGTCCTTCTCCCCTGCCCTCACTTTAACTCTCACAACAAGCCCTGTGAGGTGGGTTAGGCTGGGGAAAAGTGACTTCCGGCCACAGCAGTGAGTTTTAAGTAAGAGTGGCAATTTGAAGCTGATTCTCTCCCAGGCCTCTAACCACTACATCACAATGGCTTTCAAATTTCTGAAAGGAAGGAAGATATGAGTGTGCCAGAGCATAGACAACAGTAGCTAGGCTATCCCTGTCCAGATAGGGGCATAGCTGGGCACCAGCCAAAGTTGAAGGGAGGCACTCTGTGCCACTGAGGCCACCTGAGCCTCGAGCGACAGCAAAGGATCCAGGCCAGGAGGACCCCCAAGCTACGAACCTGCTCCTTCAGAGGAAGTGTAATCTCATCAAGAGCAGATGATCTCCCACCCATCTGGTCTAGGGAACCACCCACTAACAGTGCCTCAGTCTGATCTGGATTCAACTTCAGTTTGTTGACCCTTGATTATACGCTATGGAGCTTGCACATGTCTTTAGTGCTGAATACTGCCAGAAGACTTTGGAAGTAAGTGTTCCTGTTTTCGAATATTTTTCAGAAGCCAAACGTCCGATGCGGCTGCCAGCTATTGCTTCTGGGACGCCTGCACCAATCAGAAGCTGCGCCTTGGTTTTCGAAGATTTCGGAAGTAAAATGGACTTCCGGAACGGATTAAGTTTGGCACCTTTGTTTTTGCTATCTATTTTGAATTTTTGTTTTTGAGGCTTTTTCAGTTGATTTGTTTTTGTGACTGTGTGGAACCCAGTTCAGCTACTGATTGATTGATTGACTGATTGATTGTGTGACTACGGATATGGATAAAATAAATCTCCCCATCCAAACAATGACTGAAGTGAAGAGCTTTTACAATTTTTTTTTTACAATTTTAGGCTTTGTTACTTTTCTCTGTGGCTGAAATACTGAGGGACATGGAAGTTAGAATATTTGAGCGGGAGCGTGTGCAAAACAAACCTCCTTGTTTGAATCCTTTGCAAGCAGGACTGAGTCACGTGAGGCCCCGCCTGCAGATCCCTGCACACCTTGATCCTGCAAGCCACCACATCCCAGCTCCCTTCCCTAAGAGCCCAGAAGCCCACTTTGTGGCATGAGAAGATGACAGTGGTGTTTCTCTCCAGGCAACGATGGTGCAACCTTTTCCCACTGAGGACTGGATTGCGAGTGCTAATCTCTGCATCCGCAGCACCTGAAAACCTTTCCACTGGGCAGACTGCCCTCCTAGACCACCGGGGGGGGCTGGCCTCCTGAGCAGAAACTGGTGGGCATAACATCTGTTTCCCAACATAAATTCTGGGACTAAAGAAAAAGAGAGACTGCTGGGACCTGGGGACATCAAATGCTTCCACTAGGCTGGCTTATACAGAATCAGACCTCTGGTTTGTTTTCTATACAGACTGCTTTCCAGGATTTGGGACAAAGGCTGTCTCCAGCCCTACAGAAAAACGCTAAGGAATGAAGCTGGTACCCTCTGCTGAGCTATGGCCCTCAGACCAGCCTTCAAGTTTTCAAGTTCCCTTGGAACTTCTTGCGAATGTTCCTGCTACTGAATGCTCAGTAGAAGATAGTGAGTCCTGCAGCTCCTAATTCGCTTCCGGCCTCTCCCCAGGCTGCAACATTCCCCAGCTCCAGTTCACATCCTCCTCGAGTCTTTTTTGCCAGGCTAGAATGTGTCCCTGAACTCCACTAATGCTTTCCACTTACTTAGATGGCGAAAGGAGACGGCAATGAGAGCATTTGTAGGAACTAGCCTACTGCAAAAAGGTGAAATTTGCAAGTGTTGCTCTGTCCCCTTTTGCCCCGGGACCCAATAACCAGCAGCGTTTGGGACAAAAACACCCACCCACCCACATCACCCACCCACACACCCCACCCAAATTTTGCCTAGAGAAAAATGCAGCCCTCAGGCTGAAATATTTCCCCCATCCCTTGGATAACTGAGCATCCCGTGGAAGCCTGGTCCCCAATCCTACATCTCCCTACCTGATACTCCTCAAAGGCCTCCTCCTTTGGGATCACCTTGTGGTCCCTGTGCTCCTTGGATTTGTCGCACACCACACAGATGGGGTCCTGGTCGTCTTTGCAGAAGAGTTTCAGGGGCTCCTGGTGTCTCTCACAAACCTTTCCCAGCGCTTCTGCCCCTTTTGCCATCTGAAGCCTGAATTTCTTGGCTATTTCCACAATGCTCGCCAGTTGCCGGTTGGGCCTGACATTCCTTTGCTGACGAGGTTCCCTGCACTGAGGGCAAGAAGCATCTTGGTCCGAGTTCCCCCAAGCTTGGGTGATGCAGGTTTGGCAGAAATTGTGGCCGCATTCTATGGTCACTGGATCTGTGAAATACTCCAGGCAGATGGAACATGTTGTTTCCTCGCAGAGGTTCTGGACTGGACTCTCGTCTGCCATTTCGTCTGCCTGAAATGGGAACAAAAGCCTTAGTTTCATTTTCCCAGTTTCAAACCACAGGGCGGGCCTTTCCCTCCCTCTGGGTGACTCATAGTTTTTGAAAAGAAACAGCATAAGCCGGGGGAAACCGTTACAGTGTGCAGCTTCACATCTGTACCATGAATTCAAAGTGCATGGTGTCTGCCAAAGAATTTTGGCAATGGCCGTTTACCCCAAAAAGCTACACTTCCCAGCACCCTTAACTAACTACAGTCCCCAGGAAAATTTGAGGGAGAGCCGTGTGGCCATCATGATGCTAGTAAAAGGTCAAATACTGACTGACAGGAGCAGGAGGAAAAAGGAAGTACAGTGGAACCTCGACTTACAAATGCCTCAGGTTATAAATGCTTCATGTTACAAACTCCACTAACCTGGAAGAATTACCTTGAGTTCAGAACTTTGCCTCAAGATGAGAACGGAAAATGTGTGCCGGCGGTGCAGTGGCAGCAAAAGGCCCCATTAGAGAAACCATCCCTCTAGTTAAGAACAGTTTCAGGTTAAGAACGGACCTCCGGAACGAATTAAGTTCGTAACTAGAAGTACCACTGTAAAGCCTAAGAAAAACAATTGTTTACTTGAGAAGGAATCAGTGAGGGAAGAATTGGTTTCCTGTCTCCCACCTCCAGTTCTCAAACAGTATCTTCTTGCAATCACTGTTGCTCCTGTCCCAAATGTTAACAAGATTTGGGGACAACTAACTTTGACTTTTGAATTCGCCACAGCCGGGACACCGTAGCTGATGTGATTAGGCTTTTAGATCAAAATATAATTAAAGTAAATAAGCCCAAAGAAAGAAAAGCTAAACCACACATATGCACATGAGTGTTTGCTTAAGTTTATGATTTCATGTGTTTTTATTGTGTGTGTCTGCCCTGAACTTCCCATCCTGATCCAGCGCTGTAACCACTGTACCACACTGTCTGTATCTGAAGGAGCAGCCAATCAAAGTTGGTTTTAAGGATAAAGAGTCCTGAGAAGGGAGAGCAGTTGGCACCCTGGCGCTGCCCGTGTTCACAGTTAGCATCCAGTCAGTATACAGAGCAGGAAGACACAGTCTTTCCCCCTGCTGAGGTATGATGGACTGTATTTCTATTTCAATTGTATTGCTTATTTTAAAATTTTAAAATTTGCTGTCTCAATGTATAAATTAACACAAATAATCGCAGAATTGTAGAGATGGAAGGGATCCCAAGCGCCATTTAGTCGCAGGACTCTCAGCTAATGCATCTCTGACTTTCATGTACGTTTTCATTTAAAATTCTGACCTTTTGTTTTTGGTGATACGGAGATGGTGGATCTGCTCTGTCCAAATGCCCTCGCTAGTTCACTTATTTACAATTCCTGCTTCTCTTTGTTCCTTAATTCATCCACATACTGTGACTTCTCTACAAACACTCACATTCCTCATTTCACCTTTCCCCCTTTCAGGGGTTAGATTGATTAATTTTGTAGCTATATGGCAGATCTTCAACATATTTACACACCTACATTAGTAATAAGCTTGCATGGGCATAGAGAATCACACATATAATGGAAATAGAATCTTCTCTTTTCCGTATTAAACCTCTGTATTATATACATTGTGGTGGTGCTCTTCTTGCCACCAGAGGCAACTGCCTCACTTCGCCTCATGGGTGTGCCATCCCCCGCTGCCTAATCAGCATATAACCATCTGCATGTATTATCGGTGCGGCTGATACAGTGGTACCTCGGGTTAAGTACTTAATTCGTTCCGGAGGTCCATTCTTAACCTGAAACTGTTCTTAACCTGAGGTACCACTTCAGCTAATGGGGCCTCCTGCTGCTGCTGCGCCGCCGGAGCACGATTTCTGTTCTCATCCTGAAGCAAAGTTCTTAACCTGAGGTACTATTTCCGGGTTAGCGGAGTCTGTAACCTGAAGCATATGTAACCTGAAGCGTATGTCACCCGAGGTACCACTGTATCTGGCTAATCCTCCCGCCTCCAGTTTGGGGGAATTGCTAGTTGTGAGCTGTGACGCTCTCTGCTGCTTTTGAATGTTCTATATAATCTTAACCCCTAACACCCCCTCATGCAGCTTAGTTTCCTTCCTCACCCAGCCACCCACCCTCCTCCAAACCCCACCCACCCACATCATCACCTAAGTGAAAAGTCACCTGGGACTGTTTCATGCAACTGTTCTATAGCTCTCGGGGGGGGGGGCGGGAATAATTCATTGGTCATTTCTTCATCAGCTTTTGTGGGGAGCACGGTTTCCATTACGTTTGTACCAGAATGCCACCCACTTTTATATGGGCTCAAATTCTACATACCCTTCTCCAAGTGCATAAGCTCCACAAACCCTTTCGTAGGAAAAACAATTGGAGACAAAAACACGGGATAGGTTTCAGCTCTCCTATGAAATTTCAAGTTGCCCTTGAAATCTTGCCCCTCTAACCTGTTTTATATGGATTTGGTGCCACCCACATTCTTAGGAACTGCCCTGAGACCCCCGGGTATAGGGCAGTATTATAATAAATAATAATAATAATAATAATAATAATAAAAATAAAATAATAATAATAATATTGCTTCTTCCCATCACATTGAGTTGTGTCTCGCTAATCTGGGAGATCCTCTTGCGACAGAATGGGGCATTGTTGAAAAAGTGAAGGGATATCTTTTGCCAGCATTGAAAAGATTGCTGATCTTTGTTCATAATTTAGAGACACACAGACACTCTCTAGCTGAAGCTTCCACAATTGCACCGGGGGTGGCCGGGGAGTGACTGACAGTTGTATCTTTTCTTTTTACTTTACAAGGTTGTTATTGTTCTTCACCAGAGCTTAACCTAACTACCTATTTATAAGAATAACCTATTTATAAGAATGGATTCCAAATATCATTGAATTTACCCATGGCAAGTCTGCGGTTATATGAAAAGTCGTTCGTATGTTGCGAGTTTGTATGAGTCTTCAATCCAATCGTAGAAGGGAGACTCATTTTTATATTTGTATCTTTGCTGAACCAAGGAAATGGCCCCGGAAATTATTGTTGCCCTGTCTGGAAAGGTTTGGGAGGAGGAGGAAGTAGAGAGGAACCCCCTGCAGCCAAGTCAACTCCCCAATAAGGCTGCATTGCTCCAGTATATTTGCATCACAAATGGAATGATTCCTTTATTCTGCAATGATAAACATTTACTGTTTTATTCATGTTCAGATGTTAAAGACATAGTAGTGGAAGGAAACGCCATTATTAATACAGAACTGCAAAAAGAAAAAAACACAAAATACACCAAACAGAAGCATTGCTGAATATCGGATTTCCCCTTCTTTGGAAATAACTGCAGACTTTTTCACATATAGAACTCAGGAAACTCCACTGAGTGTTAATGAAACAGGAACAATAAAACTGAAATCTCCTTTCCGCAAACCTCAGATTTGTAAGCGCCCTCGTCTCTGTTCCTGCCGAGAATGAATAAGGTTGCACCACTTCTTGTACCCCACTATTCCAAACTAAAATGAGAAGGTTCACTTTTTTTCCAATGAAAGGGCAATTTGCCAGTCTTTACCCTCCTTCATACTTACTTTATTGGGAAGTTTAGTGTTGTATGCTATGTCCCAAATTGAATCAGTGCTTCATTTGGGGGTTTTTGGGGGTTTTTTAATCGTTGAGCCCTTACCAACAACAGACTCGCACAAACTACACATCAGGGTAGCAGAGCCATAGTGTTGTTGACATCCCATCAGCCCCAGAGAGAGCAAGAAGGGGAACAATGTTGTTCCCCAAAACAATAGGAGGCCACGATCCAGATTTGCCCCAAGACAGACAACTTGCAGGGGGGGCAAGGGGAGAGAGAAAGAAGAAATTGGTGGCTGCACTGTAGGTTTTGCCCCACATACCATAATATTATCTGGCACGGGACACTCTCAGGCCAAAATCATACGTGACGGCATTGGCACAGCATATCAGAATCCATCCATTACAAACTCCCCGTAAAGTGGGGGGAGGGCAGCACTTAGAGTGCTGAACCCTTTCCCCATCACACATACAACCTTCCCTGCCAAAGGCACTTTTGCCAGACGTTTTCCCCCCATGTAAGAAACCTACCCTGGGGGGTAAACAGCTGGGAGGCTTTTTTGGGTGGGAGGGAGAGGGAAGTCTGACGAGGGTGGGAGGGAAGAGGGTTCAGTGCCTTCCTTCCTTCCTTCCTTCCTTCCTTCCTTCCTTCCTTCCACCTACCCCTCCCTTGCTCAAAAGGATTTGCCCCAACCAAGTCAATTTTGCCATTCTCAGATGGATCTTGACTGCCCCCCAAAGACAACCTCATTTCATTGCCCCACACTGAACCAGGAGCAGACCCCCTCCCCAGAAAACGCAGCATTGGTGAAAGTGAAGATGACGCTGTGAGAGTCGGCGTCAGAAAAGATCACCCATCTTTTTTTATAGTTTACACACACACAGATCCTCTTGGACTGGAGCTTCTCCAACTTACAGGCTGTATTGCTAGACACGGGCAATGGACCCAGGGATATTCCAGGAGCTGTGGTTGGGTAATAATCACCAGCGGAAGTCCGGACGATAGCCCAGATCCCAAGACCAGCGTTCAAATTGACAATATTGCATCCCCTTAAAGTCTCGTTGGCCACCCCCACGGCCCAGAACTTTTCACCCCGCAAGTTGGCTATCCAGGAATGGGTCCCAGAGGTGATTCTCTCAACTCCCATAACATAGGAACAACAAAGCAATTCGTTGGGACCTCTGTAAGAACCCCAGGGCAAGGTGGAATATGATGATAGTACTAATTTGGGCATGTCTTCACCTGCAAAAGAAAGGAAAGGATTAGGGAGGCAGGCTCCCAAAGGAGTTAGCATCTACTCAGCGGTCAGCAAACTTTTTCAGCAGGGGGCTGGTCCACTGTCCCTCAGACCTTGTTGGGGGCTGGACTATATTTTGGGGGGGGGGGGGAATGAATGAATTCCTATGCCTCACAAATAACCCAGAGATACATTTTAAATAAAAGCACACATTCTACTCATGTAAAAACACCAGGCAGGCCCCACAAATAACCCAGAGATGCATTTTAAATCAAAGGACACATTCTACCCATGTAAAAACACGCTGATTCACAGACCATCCGTGGGCCAGATTTAGAAGGGATTGGGCCGGATCCGGCCCCCGTGCCTTAGTTTGCCTACCCATGACCTACATCCAAGTTTTATGCAGCTCTGAGCTAGGAAGCGGCTTGAGAAGCCAATGTACTCCTGGGAAAGTATCCCCCCCCCCATAAAAATAAATTCAGAAGCAGAGGGAGAACCACTTGCATAGGGCATTTGGTTTCACAGAGTTATAGAAGGGGAGTGACCCCAACAGACATCTAGTCCAACCCCCTGCAATGCAGGTTTGTATGCAAACAGCATGGATAGCTCAGCTAGTTAGAGCGTGGTGCTGATAATGCCAAGGTTGCAGGTTTGATCCCTGTATGGGGCAGCTGCATCTTCCTGCATTGCAGGGGGTTGGAATTGATGATCCTCAAAGTCCCTTCCAACTCTACAATTCTATGATTCTACTATATCTGGGGCGCGGGCGGTGCTGTGGGTTAAACCACAAAGCCTAGGACTTGCCGATCAGAAGGTCGGCGGTTCGAATCCCCATGACAGGGTGAGCTCCCGTTGCTCGGTCCCTGCTCCTGCCAACCTAGCAGTTCGAAAGCACGTCAAAGTGCAAGTAGATAAATAGGTACCACTCTGGCAGGAAGGTAAACGGTGTTTTCGTGCGCTGCTCTGGTTCGCCAGAAGCGGCTTAGTCATGCTGGCCACATGACCTGGAAGCTGTACGCCGGCTCCCTCGGCCAATAAAGCGAGATGAACGCCGCAACCCCAGAGTCGGCCACGACTGGACCTAATGGTCAGGGGTCCCTTTACCTTTACCTTTACTATCTCTAGGTAGGGCAAGGAAAGGACCCCTGTATAAATCCCTGGAGAACTGTTGCCAGTCACTAAGCTAGATGGGTGAAATGACTTGAGCTTGTATAAAGGCAGCTCTTCACTTCCTGTCATTAGGCGTCACAGATTATCTGCTCGAGACATCAGTCTGTGCACATGCACGGATGGAAAGGCGAAGGAAGCATGAAAGACACGCAGAGACTACTAAGCTTTTAATGTTTTGTTTCCTGACACCAAAACACAGCTGAAGTTTTCTCTTCAGTGCAAAAACCCTCCCATATGGGCCTCGGCCCAGTATACCTGAAGGAGCGTCTCCACCCCTATCGTTCTGCCCAAACACTGAGGTCCAGTGCTGAGGGCCTTCTGGCGGTTCCCTCACTGCAAGAAGTGAGTTAACAGGGAACCAGGCAGAGGGCCTTCTCGGTAGTGGCGCCCGCCCTATGGAACAACTACCAGATTTTTAGAAAACATCTGAAGGCAGCCCTGTTTAGGGAAGCTTTTAATGTTTAATAGGTTATTGTATTTTAATATTCTGTTGGAAGCCACCCAGAGTGATTGGAGAAACCCAGCCAGATGGACAGGGTATAAATGATAAATTATTATTATTATATCTCATCTGCAAAAATTGTTTAAAGATCTGCCAAACCTGGAAATGTACCTTTCTTTTCTTGCGGCCCAGAGAGTACAATGTCTAAGGAAGAAAAGTGTTATGAGAAACGAATTACTACTAATACTTGACTCCAGGGGTCAGGCTTTAGATTTACAGTGCTTGAAACTGTGATCGTGCAAAAAAGGGGGGAAAAGCTAACGTTTAGCCAACGTATCCAACCTTTGGCCCTCTTGCATCATTACTGTTAAGTGCCATGAAGAAAAGCAAGGGAGAGCGCAAACCATTGCCAAATACAGATGGTTTGCTCAGATTTTTAAAGAAAGAAAAGGTCCTGTACGCAGATCCCTCAAATGCTGAGATTTCGAGTATCTAATGGGAAATTCTAAATGCGAAAATCTTAAATTCCATGCACCCATTTTTCCATCAAGCAGTCAATTCCCACCCACAGTTAGACTCGCAACGGGATCAGATGAGCTATATTTTTCAAACCCATTTTCCAGAAGTTAACGCAATGACCCTTCGTTACCTTTGAATTCCTTCATGGTGGTCTCCAGAAAAGGATGCATTTTAGAGAATTTCTCAATTCGCTTTTTAAATCCGGGAGGAAAAGCTATTGGATCCACAGCTTTATTTTCATGGCACCTAGGAAGAAGCGAACAAATTTTATTTGCAATTCATCTCTTCGTTCTCAAGTCTCCTATCAGCAATTGGGATGAAAAAGAAAAGTGGGAACAGCACAAAAGCAGAGAGAAAGAGAAAGGAGGCAGGCAGCAAAATTATCTGCCCAATTACAAACACCTATTATACACTGAAAAAATTTCTATCATGAAATATAAGAAGAATAAAGGAGAAGAATAAAGAGTTAGCTTACATATACTTTTCATATAAAATTTGCAGATGAGATAAAATTATGTATATTTATTTTGGTCAATAACCAGTAGAGAAGATAACAGAGCAGATACAACACAATAATACGTTAAGTCTACTATTAAATGTAGAGTTAAAAACAATGTAAAATGTTTAAAAAATGAGAAGTATAAAATAATTACATTAAAATGTAATTTTAGATTTTAACTCATTTTTTTTCAACCTTATTGTCAATATAAAACAATATTTTCAAACAACCTGCCTATATTTTAGATGGAGACATTGGTTAGCATACCCTGTTTAAAATTATAACTAGGTCAGAAATGCCTAAAACCTAAGGTAAATTGATTTTTAAAATGCTGAATATTTTCCCAAAGCACAGAATGTACATTGCATCTAATAACAGCATCATTTTACCTTGGCTTTTGACACCTGGGATATGTATATTAGGGTTATTTTGAGATTGTTGTAGTCTGCCCAAAAAGTGAAGGGCAAGTAAGAAATCTAATAAATCACCATCATAATGTGCTCTGAAATAAAGTTTACAATAGGTGGAGGAACACCATCACTTCTTCCCCTAAAATAAACCTTTTATGTGCATCCTCCCTTCCCCAATACAATAGTTTTCCATGAAAGCTACATCACAAAATGTCAGAAAATCTGCAATCCAATGAATAACTGTATTCTGACTGCCATATTTGTCTGTGATCCATGAATTAGATTGGCACATGGTTTTAAGTGAAGCAATCTAAACTCTCTTCGGAGAGACAGGAGATTCATATCAGCCCACTGTGCGTAACAAAGCCACATACCTTTGCAAGATGCTTCTGATATCCTAGAAGGGAAGAGAGAGAATAATATTAATCCAGCCTCTTGCACCAGTCTCCTCCTACATATCGGACAGATGGAAACTTCGCATCGCATGGTCCTATACTTCCCCGATCCCATATCCTCCATTGTCTGCTCACTAAGCTGCAGAGTCTTCTGCTTATTTGAGATGGAGGGGGTGAAAACTTGAGATAGGGTTGACATATTGCAGGAATTTGGACATTAATTGAGCTTTTGGGGGGCAATCGCCCTCTGACCCCGAGCTGCCAGTACACACACACCCCACACACATACAATTTAAAAAACTACAGAAGCCCAGACATTTGCTTTCAAATTTGAAAATCCCCCTGGATAGGCATGTAGGCCCCCCAAAAAGAGGACATGTCTGGGATTTCCCAGATGCATGGCAACCCTAGCTTGAGACTGAGAGGGGAGCTCTCTGCCACACAACCTCCCCCAGTTATGCTTCTTCCTGAAATGGCAGGCAGATGGCACGCCTGGGATCTTCTGCCAACTCCAAGTGATCCCAGGCTATGCTCTGCTGCTGCCTCCCACCACTGGTGCTGCCAGCCTGAGAGCAGATGTCAACTTGCTACCGCTCATGATGTATATTGCTCTACACACAACAGCGAGGGCATGTTTGAATTGGGTAGAGGGAGAACTCAACTGGCCAGTGTTGCTGGTGCCATTGCCAATGCTAGCACAAAAACTCCCTGGATCCATTGTAATTTGGCAGGCTTCATCCATACTGCAGGAGCGGCTTTGCCTGCAAATTTCATCCACTTCTATCAAACCTGAATCATGCCGTTTGATGAAGCTCCAAATCACAGTTTTGAACAAAATGTGTGGCCAGTGCACATCCCTACTATGAATACTTCTATAAACCAACAGACAGAGTGGTTGGGAGTACAACCTTTACCTGCAGAACAACCTGGACTATTTAATTGTGCCAACTCTTACCTGCAAGAATTCAGTCGCTGGCTGTTTCTGCTTCTCCTCCAGCTCCTTCATAAGGTCATCGATAGAGGACATTTCCTCAGAGAGTTTTGCAATATGTTGGTCCCCACAGGATTTAATCCCATCGTCCAGTTCCTTCAGTTGAGCCAGCAGGAGGCGCTCTTGTTCTTCCAGAAACTGGTGCGATTGCTTGAAATCGGCCATGATTTTCTGCCGCTCCGATTCCGTCCGCTTCTGTAATGAGAAAGTCAGAGCCAGTCAAATATATTTAGGTGCTTCCCTGATTTCACGTACGCAAACTGACTGGGGTGGCAGTTCACTTCAGCACTGGCAACGGGACAGCGCTTCTTCCACAATTGAAGAGAGCAGGCAGACTACCTTAGGGGAATCAAGGCAGACTGCATGGCTCCGTTGCACACCCATAATAATATTAGATGCTACTTCTTTCTTTCTGATAGTGGAGCCTGGCTAAAGTGGGAAGAAGAAGAAGGGGTGGCTTTGCTGCGTTCAGTTCTTTTTAAAGGATTAACGGGAGAGCTGGCCTATTTTTTTCGCCCAGGGGCAGCATTAATTATTGGCTTAGCTTCCAAAGTTTGCATGCCAGCAGTGGGTGTGGTCAAATGTGAATGTGGCCACCCTCCTCTCTCAAAGTCACATAGCCTCCTGCCAGCTGATTCCTGTCAATCAGCTAAGGTTTTTGTCTTTCTACACGCATCCAGTGATCATCCCGATGGCCAGGGAAGCAGCATTTCTATTACCATCAGGGTGCTGGGCTATAGGGACACAAGTAGTGTTGTGGTCTAAACCCATGAGCCTCTTGGGCTTGCTGATCAGAAGGTCGGCGGTTTGAATCCCTGCAATGGGGTGAGCTCCTGTTGCCCTGTCCCAGCTCCTGCCAACCTAGGAGTTCGAAAGCACACCAGTGCAAGTAGATAAATAGGTACCACTCTGACAGGAAGGTAAACGGCATTTCCGTGCGTCGCTCTGGTTTCCGTCACAGCGTTTGGTTGAGCCAGAAGCGGTTTAGTCCTGCTGGCCACATGACCCAGAAAGCTGTCTGCGGACAGACGCCGGCTCCCTCGGCCTGAAAGTGAGATGAGCGCCACAACCCCATAGCTGCCTTTGACTGGACTTAACCATCCAGGAGTCCTTTCCCTTTCCCCTACCTGCTGGGCTATGCTTTTCCTATTTCTATTTTTTCTCTTCTCGCTGCCCAAGCAACTTGGATGGGAAGAAAAAATTGTTGTGGGTCGGGTAGATCAGGCATTCAAATGTGGGACTAAACCCAGGACACTGTGTAAGTGAGGCACAGGCTCCACCTCCATGTGGGATATTTAAGATATAGTCAAATCCAACAATTCATGTTTTCCTAGCTAGGCACATGATAGGAGCTGAAGCTCAGAGTTTTCCTGTAAGTTTGCTAGAGAAGACTCTGTGAGAGACACTCCCACTGCCTGCCTGGGTACACTTTTGCTTTCTGCTCTTCATCACCATGCCAGCAACATGAGAGTATCTGCTAAGTCTGAGTTCCATGCTCAGGCTCCATTTTTAAGCTAGGCTTAAGAACGTCTTTGTAACTGAATTACCATTTTAAGCCTGCCTGACAAACCTGCTGTATCTGTTACTCTTCAGCAAGTATTTCGAGTGTGTAAATGTTATTTGTACTTGTTATGAGACGTTGTTATTTTAAGGTTTTAAAAGGGGGGAAACAGCAGGAAAATCCAGCCTGTCTTAAAGCATTCTGGATTACTTAAACTAAAAGGAGCCTATCTAAGCTTCCCTTCTAAGCTGCAAAATGATGTACTCTACTGAAACCACAAATGTGAGGAAGGAAGGGTAATATCTAATAAATATATCCAGGGCTTTTTTTTAATCCAGAACTCACCAGAACTCAGTTCCGGCACCTCTCAGGTGGGCACCATTGCCATTACAGGAGAACAAGGGAGGCGTTTGTGGTGAGTTCTGGCACCTCTTTTTTCCAGAAAAGCAGCTCTGGATAAATAGCATCTATTCACATCCCAGCGCTCAGAACTAAGGCCTCATCCTGGAAGTATAAACATGCTGGAGCCTCTACAGTCGAGTACCTACCAGCAGCTTCTGGCTTTCAGCCTCCCCACTCAGTTTAGAAGCCAGAATTTCCTTTTTCTGTTTGTTCAGGAATTCCAAATGACCCTGGATTTTACCCTGAAAAAAGGAGGCATTTGAGTTCATTGTTGGGACAGAGATCTTTTTTAAAAAAGGATTTGCAATGTCAGTTCAAGGCTCTTAAGTACACAAAGACAGAGGAGAGTCGGGGACATTGGTGGGGAACCACAGGCCCAGTGGCTCAAAACCTCTCTGTCTGATATTCAGGACTCTAGGCCCCAGGCCACCCCGACCCCCACCCCGCTGTTCATGCTATGCTTCTAAATTACCATATTTTTCACTCTATAAGACACACTTTTCCCCTCCTAAAAAGTAATGGGAAATGTGTGTGCGTCTTATGAAGCGAATGCAGGCGGGAGGCTCTGCTCTGCGCTCCCTTTAAAGAGATGCACACATGCTCCGCTCACTCTTTAAAGGGAGCGCGGCTCTTGGGGGAGCCTTCCTCCCGCTGCCCGGGAGAGGCTCACACGGCTATCCCATAAGCCAGAACAGCAAGAGGCTATCCCAGAAGCCAGATCCCTCTTGCTTCTGGGATTCAGAATATTTTTTTTTCTTGTTTCCCTCCTCCAAAAACTAGGTGCATCTTATGGTCTGGTGCGTCTTATAGAGCGGAAAATGCGGTATTTTGCTTATTTACTTATTTCATGAAATTTATACACCGCCTGATTCATACCCGCCAACATTTCTCCGATAAAAATAGGGACATCCTATTCCATACCCTCCAACATTTCCCCAGTGAAAACAGAGACGTCCCCTCCAACATTTCTGTGATGAAAATAGGAACGTCCCAATTGCAGAAAACAAAACAAACCCTTTAAGCAGTTTATATTTTTTTAAAAATATAAATAAATAAAGCTGCTGTGGTAGCTCTCTCGGCCCTTGGGATGGGGAAAGGAGAAGGCTGTGAAGGTTGCACACTGCAACTCTCCTTCAAACTTTGTACAGGTGTTTGGTGGTGGAGGAACCCCTCTCCGTCACCCGGGGCGGTAGGCTGAGGGGTGGGGTGAACCGCACGGCAGCCCGATCAGATGCCTGTACGGACCCCATGCAAGCAGCGCCCATACTGACTGTGCGCATGCTCTTCGCCGCTCCACAGCTGGGGGGAGGCAGCGGTCCATCTTGTCACACACCCCCTCTGGGTGGCACCCTGGGTGGCCCGCCCCCTCCGCCCCCCCCTTGTACGTCACTGCAGGGGTTCGCAATATTGAGCACATAGCCTGTGGTTGGAGGCAGCATGATTCCCCTAACAGTGGCTGGAAACTGAAGGAGGGCAGATTGCGGTTCCACTCAGCTTCCTGCTCCAGGGCTTCTCATAAGCATCTATATGGTGGACCAGTGTAAGAACAGGATGCAGAAGTAGATGCTCCCTTGGCTCCATTCGGCAGGACTCTCCTTATGTCCTTACAGCATTTGCTTGGGATGCTCAACGAGGGTCAAGACACTTAAGGGAAGCAGATGGATGGGTCCCCCGTTCCTCATGCCCTCCCACCTTCCATCTCCTACCTGATACGCTTCAAAGGCCTCCTCCTTTGGGATCACCTTGTGGTCCCTGTGCTCCTTGGATTTGTCACACACCACACAGATGGGGTATTGGTCGTCTTCGCAGAAGAGTTTCAGGGGCTCCTGGTGTCTCTCGCAAAACCTTCCCAGCGCTTCCGCCCCTCTGGCCATCTGAAGGCTGAATTTCTTGGCTATTTCCACAATGCTGGCCAGTTGCCGGTTGGGCCTGACATTCCTTTGCTGACAAGGTTCGCTGCACTGGGGGCAAGAAGCATCTCTGTCAGGTTCCCCCCAGGCCCGAGTGATGCATGCTTGGCAGAAATTGTGGCCGCAGTCTATGATCACTGGGTCTTTGAAATACTCCAGGCAGATGGAGCATGTTGTTTCCTCGCAGAGGTTCTGGACTGGGTTGCCTTCTGCCATTGTGTCTCCCTGAAATGGTAACGAAGGCTTCAGTTTCCCTTTTCTCATTTCACAACACTGGACGGGCAGTTCCCTCCCATTGAAAGAAAGGTGTAGATAAACCTTTATTGTGTAGGCAGAAAATTACTTAATTTAATACTAAAAATGGGTTAGTGCTGCAAGTCGAAATGGACTGTTCTCTGAAATTCCAAATGTGATAGCAAAATGATAACAATAATAATAGCAGCATATGGAACCCTAAGGTAAAGGTAAAGGGACCCCTGACCATTAGGTCCAGTCGTGACCGACTCTGGAGTTACGGCGCTCATCTCGCTTTATTGGCTGAGGAAGCCTGCGTACAGCTTCCGGGTCATGTGGCCAGCATGACTAAGCCGCTTCTGGCGAACCAGAGCAGCGCATGGAAACGCCGTTTACCTTCCCGCTGGAGTGGTACCTATTTATCTACTTGCACTTTGACGTGCTTTCAAACTGCTAGGTGGGCAGGAGCAGGGACCGAGCAACAGGAGCTCACCCCGTCATAGGGATTCGAACCGCCGAGCTTCTGATCAGCAAGTCCTAGGCTCTGTGGTTTAGACCACAGCGCCACCTGCATCCCTTTTAGGGAACCCTAGACAACATTAAAATATAAGCCATGTTGGGCCTAAGAAAAATCTCAAAAGCCCTAATAGGAGGGGTGCTTTTATCAGGCTGCAAGTTTTGGAAACTCTTCATCAGGCAAGATGGTAAACAAAGTGGGAAGAGTTAATTCCTAGTGAGCAAATTAGAAATAACTATTGAAAATAGCTTCCAAGTTCAGTCCATATTCGGTTGGTTCAGTGAGCATAGGGAGAGCAAGCAAAGAGCCAAACCCATATCAAAATGAAAGTCAACTTAAAATTTACCTGCGACTAGACAAATGGAGAAAAATCACAAGCATTCATTTGAAACAGTGAAAACCTGATGCAGAACAAACAGCACTTCATATATAAAACACAAGTACAAAACAATGGATTAAGCAATTACAATGGGGCTGCAACAAAACTGAATAGCAGAAACGTATAACTATTTACATTCGCGGTTTAAGGCACCTAATAAAGCATGGATGTAAAATAAAATATAAGGAAGCAATTCCCCTTCCACCCGCCCCCTCCTCTAGTTCAGCTAACTTAAGAGAAGGAACAATAAGTAGGTTTATATTACCCCTAGGATTGGAAGAGTTTAAGAAAAACAAAAAAACTTCATGGAGTAATGCCTAAATAAAATTATTGCGAATTGGGAATGTATTGTTCAAAAAATCCACCAGACTTATTGTGGTCCCCACTGATTCCTAATGGAAGATTGCCTAGGCAAAAATCACCCATGAGGATCAGGGTGGAGGGAATCCGTCCCAATAAATAATTGTATCAGAAGTATAAATGCGTCGAGATGTATAGTTTTTTGATACTTGATTTTTTCCAGAAGCTATCAATGGATGTATTAGTTAATTATGTATGCATTTGTATGTTTGAAAATAAATAAAATAATAATAATAATAAATTGTATCAGAAGTAGAATGGAAAAGGAAATCTCCCCCCCCCCCAAAAAAAACCACCCCAAAAACCCACCAAGCCAGCATACCTTTGACATTCATGAGAGATGCCATATGTCGGGGACAACAGTATAGCTTAAAGGTTGATTAAGAAGGAAACAAGAATAGGGTATAGAACAGATATGCAAGACGAAGTGCTTTGAATGAACGAGTCGCCACCTTGCTCCTAAAACACTGGCTTTTTTTGTAAATTTACTCCCCTTCCTTCTACAAACACCATCACACACACAGACACACACACACCCTGCCCTTCTTTTCTACTCTTCCTTCTCAAATATCTGCCCCACCTACCTGAACTCTTCTTGTTCCTGTTTTCTCCTTTTTCTGGCAGCTCAGCTTCTTCCCAAAAGAACCCCCTGGAAAGTCAGCCAGGGCTGCTCCGCACCAACTAATCTGTAGCCCTTTGAAATGCCACGTGCAAAGGCAAGAATAGCCTGACCTCAGCTGGGGCTTGCTTCTGAAGTGAAAAGGCTGGGCTCAGGCTAGAAAGCTCATCCCAGGTGCTGAGCTTGGTGATTGGGTGCAAGATCAGGTTCAGCTGTGCCTTCTGACAAGCGAGGGGGGAAAGGAGGACTGGAATTTGACTCCTCAGCAACTACAAACATCTGCAGGTGAAGATGGGGGCAGAAGGTGCCTGCTCTCCACCCCTTTGTTCATTCCCATATGGGGAGGAGGCTGATCACAGAGCAGCTGTGAGCTCTCTCTATTTCAGGAGAACAACCATATTGCTGAGTTAAAGGAGCTTCCCCACCCACAAACCCCACTGTGTATGTTGTTGCAGGGGTGCCAACCTGAATAAAATATTGGGGGCCCAGTAAGCCCCACTCCACATAATCAATCACATGATATGAGTATTGTTGGCCCAGAAATGGAAACAGGAAGAATTACCAACGAAAGAAGAATGGCAGACGAAATTAATTGGACAAGATGACAGGAAGGATTCGAAACCTGTGGGACCAGAGATTCTTGGAAGACTGGAATAAATATGTGAACTATTTAATAATTATAATAATAATAATAATTTATTATTTATACCCCTCCCATCTGGCTGGGTCCCCCCAGCCACTCTGGGCGGCTTCCAACAAATTTTTGAAAACAAATATTTGAACAGCAATTGTAATCAACAAATTATGCTAGTAGGACTACAAGAAGTTTTGTAAGGAGGAAAATATGAAATATTGCAAGGATGGTTACGAAGAGAGTTGTTAGTTAAGATAATTAAAAGTAATAGTGAAATTAAGAAATGTAAGCTAAGTGAAGATATATATATATATATATATATATATATATATCACATGATATGACACACACACTATTTCAATGGCAATGTCCATCAAGGGGGGGGCTGGCCCTCTCAAATATTTTATAGAGGGGTGCGACGGTACCTCGGCCTCTAGAAGTTGGCTCCTATGTGTTGTTGTAAAAATACAGTTGCGGATCAGGGCCCCCTCATGGGTTGCTAAGCAGCCTGAAAAGTCAGGGGACTACCACAACCGAGAAAAAGAAGAGCATGGCAGCTTTAAGCTGTGATCCTGTTTATTTCTTTGCAGCTGGGTTCTCCGCAGGTGAGCAGCATAGAACCCGTTACAAAAGTAACTTGGAGTAACTTTTTAATACCTTAGGTGAAGCCGCTGGGAGAGATCATCAGGGGATTTGGGCTGGGTGTTCATCAGTATGCGGATGATACCCAGCTCTACCTCTCTTTCAAATCAGAACCAGTGAAGGCAGTGAAGGTCCTGTGTGAGTGCCTGGAGGCGGTTGGAGGTTGGATGGCGGCTAACAGATTGAGGTTGAATCCTGACAAGACAGAAGTACTGTTTTGGGGGGACAGGAGGCGGGCAGGTGTGGAGGATTCCCTGGTCCTGAATGGGGTAACTGTGCCCCTGAAGGACCAGGTGCGCAGCCTGGGAGTCATTTTGGACTCACAGCTGTCCATGGAGGCACAGGTCAAATCTGTGTCCAGAGCAGCTGTTTACCAGCTCCATCTGGTACGCAGGCTGAGACCCTATCTACCTGCGGACTGCCTCGCCAGAGTGGTTCATGCTCTGGTTATCTCCCGCTTGGATTACTGCAATGCACTGTACGTGGGGCTACCTTTGAAGGTGACCTGGAAACTACAACTAATCCAGAATGCGGCAGCTAGACTGGTGACTGGGAGCGGCCGCAGAGACCACATAACACCGGTCTTGAAAGACCTACATTGGCTCCCAGTACGTTTCCGAGCACAATTCAAAGTGTTGGTGCTGACCTTTAAAGCCCTAAACGGCCTTGGTCCAGTATATCTGAAGGAGCGTCTCCACCTCCATCGTTGAGCCCGGACGCTGACGTCCAGTACCGAGGGCCTTCTGGTGGTTCCCTCACTGCGAGAAGCCAAGTTACAGGGAACCAGGCAGAGGGCCTTCTCGGTAGTGGCGCCTTCCCTGTGGAACACCCTCCCACCAGATGTCAAAGAGAACAACAACTACCAGGCTTTTAGAAGACATCTGAAGGCAGCCCTGTTTCGGGAAGCTTTTAATGTTTGATATATTATAGTATTTTAATATTCTTTTGGAAGCCGCCCAGAGTGGCCGGGGAAGCCCAGCCAGATGGGCGGGGTATAAATAATAAATTATTATTATTATTATTATTATTATTATTATTATTATTATAGGTTTTGGGTGGTATAAAGTGACACAGGCTTGTCAAATTACAGGTAAAATGGGGCAGGTTTTGATTAGATTGGAGAGGGGTGCAAAAGGTTGGCACGAGTGCAAAGCAGAGGTGCAGTGCGCAAGAGCGTTTACACTTGACAAGGCTACACCGGTGTGACAATCTGAAGTGGTTTGGGGAGGCAAAGCTGGTAGCCGGGTTTGGGAGAAGGTATGGGAGCAGCGGGCAGGCTGCTTGACAAGAGAGGGGAGGAAGAGGACAGAGAAGAGGGGGACTAAGAAGCTGGGTGAAGGGAGAGGAGGTAGGTTGCCATGAGTGGAGAGTCATGGTAGGGAGCAAAGGAGAGGCAGCAGCAAAGGGGAGAAATTGCAGGCATCACCTGAGGAGTTTGGGCGAAAGGCGTGGAGAGGAGGAGGCTGGAAAAGGGGCCTGTGCTGCTTGGGGAGGGGGAGAAAAAAGTGGAGAGAAGGAAAGCCTCCCAAGGTGTGATTCAGAATATTTTTTTTCTTGTTTTCCTGCTCTAAAAACTAGGTGTGTCTTATGGTCAGATGCATGTTATGGAGCGAAAAATACGGTATATTGATCTCCTGTCACCTAGATTATATCAGTTATATGATGGGATATTTAAAGATGGAATCATCTTGACATTATTCAACCAGGTTTAGATTACTGTTATTCCAAAGCCCGGCAAGGACCTGACGCAATGTGCCAACTATCGCCCAGTTTCGTTGATAAACATTGATGCAAAAATCTTAACAGCGATATTGGTAAATAGACTGCAAGGAGTAATACCAACTATTACTAAAAATGACCCAACAGTGTTTATAAAGACGAGACAAGCTGCAGATAACAGCAGGCTGATGCAATATGGACAGTTTGAATGCTGGACATGGGATCTGGGCTATCATCCAGACTTCTCTTGGTGATTATTACCTATCCACGGCTCCTGGAATATCCCTGGGGCCATTGCCCCAGTCCAGCCTGTAAATTGGAGAAGTTCCAGTCCAAGAGGATCCATGTGTGTGTCAGCTATAAAAACAGATCAGTTCTCTCTTCTGACACTGACTCTCACAGCATCACCTTCACTTTCACCAATGCAAGAAGATCAAACATATCCATTCTTAAGGAAATCAGCCCTGAGTGCTCACTGGAAGGACAGATCCTGAAGCCAAGACTCCAATACTTTGGCCACCTCATGAGAAGAGGAGACTCCCTGGAAAAGACCCTGATGTTGGGAAAGATGGAGGGCACAAGGAGAAGGGGACGACAAAGGACGAGATGGTTGGATAGTGTTCTCAAAGCTACCAACATGAGTCTGACCAAACTGTGGGAGGCAGTGGAAGACAGGAGTGCCTGGCGTGCTCTGGTACATGGGGTCACGAAGAGTCGGACACGACTAAACGACTAAACAACAACAAAATGTTCTCTGGGGAGGGGGTCTGCTCCTGGCTCAGTGTGGGGCAATGAAATGAGGTTGTCCTTGGATGCAATCAAGAGCCATCTGACAGTAGCAAAACTCACTTTGTTGGGCCAAATCCTTCAAAGCAAGGGAGGGGTAGGTGGAAGGAAAGAAGGCATTGGACCCTCTTCCCACCCACCCCATTAGACTTTCTTCCCCCTCCTATCCCAAAAACTTCCCAGCTGTTTCCCCCCAGTGCAGGTTCCTTACATGGGCAGGAAATGTCTGGCAAAAGTGCCTTTGGCAGGGAAGGTTGTATGTGTGATGGGGAAAGGGTTCAGGACTCTAAGTGCCCCCCCCTTTACGGGGAGTTTGTAATGGATGGATTCTGACATGCTGTGTCATTGCCGCCATGTGCAGCCACCAGTTTCTTCCTTCTCTCTCCTCTTGCCCCCCTGCAAGTTGTCTGTCTTGGGGCAAATCTGGATCATGGCCTCCTGTTGTTTTGGGGAACAACATTGTTCCCCTTCTTGCTCTCTCTGGGGCTGATGGGATGTCAACAACACTATGGCTCTGCTACCCTGATGTGTAGTTTGTGCGAGTCTGTTGTTGGTAAGGGCTCAACGATAAATAAAACAAAAACCCAAATGAAGCACTGGTTCAATTTGGGACGTGGCATACAAGACTAAACTTAAGTTAAGTAAGTCTGAAGGAGGGAAAAGACTGGCAAATTGCCCTTTCACTGGGAAAAAAGTGAACCTTTTCATTTTAGTTTGGAATAGTGGGGTACAAGAAGTGGTGCAACCTTATTCTCGGCAGGAACAGAGACGAGGGCGCTTACAAATCTGAGGTTTGCGGAAAGGAGGTTTCAGTTTTATTGTTCCTGTTTCATTAACACTCAGTGGAGTTTCCTGAGTTCTATATGTGAAAAAGTCTGCAGTTATTTCCAAAGAAGGGGAAATCCGATATTCAGCAATGCTTCTGTTTTGTGTATTTTGTGTTTTTTTTCTTTTTGTAGTTTTGTATTAATAATGGCGTTTCCTTTCACTATTTTGTCTTTAACATCCAAACATGAATAAAACAGTAAATGTTTATCACTGGAGAATAAAGGAATCATTCCATTTGTGATGCAAATATACTGGAGCAATGTAGCCTTGTTGGGGAGTTGACCTGACTGTAGGGGGTTCCTCTCTACTCCCCCCCAAAAAAACCTTCCCAAACAGGGCGACAATTATTTCCAGGGCCATTTCCTTGGTTCAACAAAGATACAAATATAAAAATGCGGCTCCCTTCTACAATTGGATTTGAAGACTCATACAAACTCGCAATAGATGAACAACTTGCATATAAACACAGACTTGTCATGGACAAATTCAATGATATTTGGAATCCATTCTTACCAATACTGTAGTTAGGTTAAGATCTGGTGAAGAACAATAACAACCTTGTAAAGTAAAAATAGAAAAGAAAAGATACAACTGGCAGTCAGTCCCCCCCCCACCCCCCGCTGTTGTTGTTTTGCAGTTTTGTATTAATAAAGACATCATAGTGAAAGGGAACGCCATTAACATCTGAACGTGAATAAAACAGAAAATGTTTACCACTGGAGAATAAAGGAATCATTCCATTTCTGATGCACATTTACTGGAGCAGTTCAGCCTTGGTCAGGAGACGCAGGTGATTTCTCTCCCCACTTCCTCCCCCCCCCCAACCTTCCCAGGCAGGGTGAAAAATATTTCCGGGGCCATTTCCTTGCAAAAACTATGGAAAAGAAAGAAATAACAGAGATGGTAGGGGTAGAGGCATATAAAAAAGTAAAATATTTAGGAATACGGATAACATCAAAAAAAATATTTTTAAAGATAATTATGAAAAAATTAGGCAGGAAATTAAAAGAAATTTGGAAACATGGAATATGATGAACCTCCCTTTAATGGGAAGAATTGCAACTATAAAAATGAATGTACTTCCAAGGATGTTATAGTGGTACCTTGGGTTACAGATGCTTCAGGTTACAGACGCTTCAGGTTACAGACTCTGCTAACCCAGAAATAGTACCTCGAGTTAAGAACTTTGCTTCAGGATAAGAACAGAAATCGCACAGCGGCAGCAGGAGGCTCCATTAGCTAAAGTGGTGCTTCGGGTTAAGAACAGTTTCAGCTTAAGAACGGGCCTCCAGAACGAATTAACTACTACTGTAGTTCTCTTCCAAACTGTTCCAGTAATAACAGGGAATGCATGCTTTAAAGAATGACGGAGAGAAATATCAAGATTTGTCTGGAATGGGAAAAAGCCAAGGATAAAAAACAAAATTTTAACAGATGTGAAAGAAAGAGGCAGATTCTCATTTCCAGACTTAAAATTGTATTATGAAGCTGCATCCCTAATATGGATCCAAGATTGGATCAAGTTAGACGGGAAGGAAATAACAGACTTGGAAGGACATGATAATAGATTTGGATGACATGCCTACCTCTGGTATGGAAAAGCAAAAGTACATAAAGGATTCCACAACCATTTAATAAGAAAATCATGGTTCAACGTATGGGAGAAATATAAAGATTTATTAGAACTGAAAACACCTTGGTGGCTATCACCTATTGAAGCACTATCACTTAAAATATTGGGGGGGTGGGGAGAGTGGCCAACATATAGAGAACTGCTGGTGGAACAAGAGGGAAAGTTAAAATTGAAAGAATATGATGAAATAAAAGAACATCTTCAAAGCTGGTTGCATCATAGACAATTACAGGATATTTTTAAGGAGGATAATAAAAAAGGCTTCTCATATTCGGTTTCCAACTTCCAAAAGTAAGTGATAGAAGAAAATACAAAATTATTTTAAAAGGCATATAACGTGGGAGACCAAAGATGAAGAAGCAAAGTCAGCAATGATCAAATGGGCGCAAGATGTAGGACATAATATAAAATTTCAGGACTGGATAAAATTGTGAAAAGTAAATTTGAAATTTACAGATTGCATATTATTGAGAGAGAACTATATGAAAATGATGTACAGATGGTATTTTTCACCGGTTAAATTGGCAAAATGTATAAAAAACATATAAAAAAAGTACAAAAATGTATAAAAAAAGAAAGAGTGTCGGAGATGTGAAACAGAAGGTACGTTTTATCATATGTGGTGGGATTGTAAAAAGGTAAAACCCTACTGGGAAATGATATACTATGAATTGAAGAAAATATTGAAAATAACTTTTGTAAAAAAACCCAGAAGCCTTTTTGTTAGGTATTTTAGGTCAAGACATACCAAAATAAATGAGGACTTTATTTATGTATGCCACTACAGCAGCAAGAATGTTGATTGCACAAAATACCAACTAAAGAACAATGGCAAGAGAAGTTGATGAGCTATGCAGAACTGGCAAAAATGACAGATAGACCAAGAGAAAAAGACAACAGAGACTTTGAAAAAGATTGGGAACCATTCATATTATATTTGTAGAAACAAAGAAAGTCACTAGACTTGATGGCAGGATGTACATTATTAGCATTAGAAAATGTTTAGAAGATAGTGAAATATGATGGTGTTATTTTTATGTTTTTAGGCTTGATGTTATGTTATTAATGATTTTTCTGTTAAGAGATAACAAAGTGGGTGAAAATAGAAGCAAACCAGAAGCGGAAGTTGGGGGAAGCACTGGAGGGGAGGGAGGGAGGGAGGAATATATAGTAAACGTTAAGAATTTGAGATGTATGTAATGAATGAAACAGAAAAATGATTTTTCAATTTTTTTAAAAAAAGTGCTGGGAAGTGTAGCTTTTTGGGGTAAACGGCCATTGCCAAATTTCTTTGGCAGACACCATGCACTTTGAATGCATGGTACGGATGTGAAAGTTGCACACTGTAAGGGTTTCTTCTAGTATATGCTGCTGCTTTTCAAAAACTATGAGTCACCCAGAGGCAGGAAATGCCCGCCCTGTGGCTTGAAACTGGAGAAATAAAACTAAGCCTTTTATTCCCTTTTCAGGGAGACGAAATGGCAGACGAGGGTCCAGTCCAGAACCTCTGTGAGGAAACAACATGTTCCATCTGCCTGGAGTATTTCACAGATCCAGTGATCATAGACTGCGGCCACATTTTCTGCCAAAGCTGCATCACCGAGGTTTGGGGGAAATCGGACCAAGATGCTTCTTGCCCTCGGTGCAGGGAACCTTGTCAGCAAAGGAATTTCAGGCCCAACCGGCAACTGGCCAGCATTGTGGAAATAGTCAAGAAATTCAGCCTTCAGATGGCCAGAGGGGCGGAAGCACTGGGAAGGGTTTGCGAGAGACACCAGGAGCCCCTGAAACTCTTCTGCGAAGACGACCAAGCCCCCATCTGTGTGGTGTGCGACAAATCCAAGGAGCACAGGGACCACAAGGTGATCCCAAAGGAGGAGGCCTTTGAGGAGTATCAGGTAGGGAGCTGTAGGACTGGGGACCAGACTTCCAAGGGATGCTCAGTTATTCTAGGGATGGGGGAAAATATTTCAGCCTGAGGGCTGCATTTTTCTCCAGGCGACATTTGGGTGGGGTGTATGGGTGGGTGTTTATGTCCCAAACGCTGCTAGTTATTGGGGCCTGAGGCAAAAGCGGACAGAGCAACGCTTGAAAATTTCACCTTTTTGCAGTAGGCTAGTTCCTACAAACGCTCTCATTGCCGTCTCCGTTCGCCATCTAAGTAAGTGGAAAGCATTAGTGGAGTTCAGGGACACATTCTAGCCAGGCAAAAAAGACTTGAGGAGGATGTGAACTGGAGCTGGCGAATGTTGCAGCCTGGGGAGAGGCCAGATAGTGAGGCCTGCAGCTCCTATCTTGTACAGTGGTACCTTGGTCTATAAACAGTCCTGTTAATGAACTATTCGGGCAACGAACTCCGCAAAACAGGAAGTAGGTGTTCCAGCCTAGTGAACTTTGCCTCGGAAGGCGAATGGAGGCCAAACAGTGGAAGGGCATCAGCAGCAGGAAGCCTCAGTAGGGAAAGCGCGCCTCAGTTTAAGAACGCTTTGGTTTAAGAACGGACTTCCAGAACGAATTAAGTTCGTAGACAGAAGTACCACTGTACTGAGCATTCAGTAGTAGGAATATTCGCAAGAAGTTCCAAGGGAACTTGAAAAGTTCTCATTTCAACCATCTCCCATCTTTTCCTGCCCCAGGAGCCCAGAGAACTATCAGGGCAGGGAAATGCTGGAAGGCTGGTCTGAGGGCCATAGCTCAACAGCAGAGCTTCTGCTTTGACTGAAGAAGGTCCCAGGTTCATTCCTTAGCAATATTATGTAGGGCTGGGGACAGCCTTTGCCCCAAAGCAACTTTCTGTCAGTATAGGAAACAGACCAGAGGTCTGACTCTGTATGAGCCAGCCTTGTGGAAGCATTTGATGTTCCCTAGGTCCCAGCAGTTTCCCATTTTCGCTAGTCCCAGAATTTATGTTGGGAAACAGATGTTATGCCCACCATTTCTGGGGGTACTCAGCTGTACAGGCACCTTTCCACGCCAAATGTTAAAAGTGTGGCACTTCATGGTGAATACTGCAAGCTTTTTTAAAGAAAGAAAGAAAGAAAGAAAGAAAGAAAGAAAGAAAGAAAGAAAGAAAGAAAAGAGCAAGTTCTGAATAGGGTTGTGCACCAGCCACAAACTTTGGTTCGTACCCAGTTTAACTTTAGAAACGCGCATGGTTTGGTGCAGAAAATGTGAGAGGGTGACTGACTTGGCCAGCGGCGTAGCGTGGGTTGTCAGCACCCGGGGCAAGGCAAGTAATTTGCGCCCCCTAACCCGGGGCAAGGCAAGTAATTTGCGCCCCCTAACCCCTAACCTGCAGTCGCTGCCAGCTTCTTCTTGCTGCTGCCTGGGCTGGTCTGGTGTGGTTCTCTCCCGCGCTCAGCGCTGCGCTGGGCGGCCGCTGCACTGTCCCTCCCCCAGATAGTCCCTCGCTCTCTCTCCGCACCGCACGCCTGGCACCCACCCCTCCACAGTGGGCGGCGACCCAGCGGCTCGGATCGGATTCGCACAGCCAGCACTGCAGTGAGAGAGAGTGAGTGAGCCAGGTAGGGGCAGAGAGCTGCGAGTGCGAGCGCCCCCCCCAGATGTTGCGCCTGGTGCGGCCGGCCCCCCCTGCACCCCCCACGCTACGCCACTGGACTTGGCCCAGGAGCCGAATCTCATACAGATACTCTGTTTTGTGCAAACCTGGTATATGAGAAAACATTTTATCTCTTACACTGTGTCCCCATAATTTTGATCCCCCTTGTTTCCCCCATATTTAATCAGAATATTAAATATTAGCTTTATAAATATGCATATATTTAATCTAATTCTTCATTAAGAATGGAAGTTTCCTAGAAGCTGCACGTAGACCCTTTTCAACCTTCGTGTTCTTGGTTTCTGGAACAGACACGACTGTTACAGTTTATATCTGTGCTGCCAAAACTAACCCAAATGCCTTTTCGGCCACCCCAGGGTAAAATTCTGCATCATTTGGAGTTCCTGAACAAACAGAGAGAAGAAATTCTGTCTTCTAAACTGAAGGGGGAGAACGAAAGCCAGAATCTGCTGGTAGGTGCAAACCTTCTTGCCTCTCCAGGATGGTTATACTTGACAGAGTGAGGCCTTAATTCTTCGCTTGCACAGTGTCCCAGGTTTGATCATTGGCATTATCAGTTAAATGGATATTGGGTGGTAGAGTTGGGAAAGGTCTCTGCTTCAGACCCTGAAGAGCAGCTGCTTGCAAGGCTAGACAACATTCAGCAGGACAGGCTAAAACTGGTAGGGCTGTCTAGGGGCGAATGTAGTCCTTGACTCCAAAAATGTCCACCCATGCCAGCATTAATCCTTTAAGAATGAACCCCACAAAGCCAGTCTTCCTCCTCCTCCTTCTCGTCACTTCCTCACGGCCCTACTATTAGGCAGGTGGCCAAGGCAGGATGAAGATACCAACAAATGGAGAGCAGCAGCAGCAGCAGCTTAATAGATCGGTAGGTGAGCAGCAGGAAAATACTGAGGACCGAGCCAAGCAAAGAGGCCGTGTCCTGCTAAGCCAGCCTGCCTGCCGCCCTCAGCTGTGACTGAACTTCTGTACCATTGTGAGTGTTGAAGTAAACATCAGCTGCCCTGCCAGTCAGCTTGCGCATATGGAATCAAAGGGACATCTAAACGTTTTTGTCTGGCCATGACTCTCTCCTTGCAGAAGCAGACAGACATGGAGAGGCAGAAAATCATGGCTGATTTCCAGCAGTCGCACCAGTTTCTGGAAGAACAAGAGCGCCTCCTGCTGGCTCAACTGAAGGAACTGGACGATGGGATTAAATCCTGTGAGGACCAACATATTGCAAAACTCTCTGAGGAAATGTCTTCTATTGACGACCTTATTAAGGAGCTGGAGGAAAAGCAGAAACAGCCAGCGACTGAATTCTTGCAGGTAAGAGTACGACAAAATACTCCAGGTTGTCCTCTGGGGAAGGGTTGTACTCCCAACCACTCTGTCTGTTAGTTTATAGAAGTATTCATAGTAGGGATGTGCACTGGCCACACATTTTGTTCAAAACTGTGATTTGGAGCTTCAACAAACTAGTCATGATTCAGGTTGACCAATGCAAAGGCTTCCCTGTTCTGCTTCTGGGTCCTGGTCTCCTTCCTTCCCCAGCTTCAATACTTGGTAATTTTAAAACATCTCTTACTCCCCATCCTCCCATTTCATAGAAGTGGATGAAATTTGTAGGCAAAGCCGCTCCTGCAGTATGGATGAAGCCTGCCAAATTACAATGGATCCAGGGAGTTTTTGTGCTAGCATTGGCAATGGCACCAGCAACACTGGCCGGTTGAGTTCTCCCTCTACCCAGTTCAAACATACCCGCGCTGTTGTGTATAAAGCAGTATACATCATGAGCGGTAGCAAGTTGACATCTGCTCTCAGGCTGGCGGCACCAGTGGTGGGAGCCAGCAGCAGAGCATAGCCTGGGATCACTTGGAGTTGGCAGAAGATCCCAGGTGTGCCATCTGTCTGCATTTCAGGAAGAAGCATAACTGGGGGGTGTTCTGGGGCAGAGAGCTCCCCTCTCAGTCTCAAACGAGGATTGCCATGTTTCCTGGAAATCATGGACATGCCCTCTTTTGGGAGGCCTACATGCCCATCCAGGGGGATTTTCAAATTTAGAAACAAATGTCTGGGCTTTTGCAGTTTTTTAATAAAGCAGCTGGAGGAGAAACAGAAGCCGCCAGTGGCTGAATTCTTGCAGGTGAGCGATGGCACAATGAAACCGTCCAGGTTGTCCTCTGGGGAAGGGCTGTTCATTGGTCTGTAGAAGTATTTACAGTGGTACCTCGGGTTACAGACGCTTCAGGTTACAGACTCTGCTAACCCAGAAATAGTACCTCAGGTTAAGAACTTTGCTTCAGGATGAGAACAGAAAACGCGTGGCAGCAGGAGGACGCCCCATTAGCTAAAGTGGTGCTTCAGGTTAAGAACAGTTTCAGGTTAAGAACGGACCTCTGGAAGAAATTAAGTACGTAACCAGAGGTACCACTGTAGAAGTATTTACAGTAGGCGTGTGCACTTCAGTATTTGGTTGATATATAAAGAAAAGGGGAAAGTAATAAACTGCTGGAGGCAACTGGTGCAAGGAACTGAATTTCTCTCATTCTGTCTCTTCCATCTAGAATATGAGAAGCATCCTGGAAAGGTATGTGGCTTTGTTATGAATATGAAAATGAATAATATGAATTTCCTTGCTCAGAGGTAAGGGATAATTTGATTTGGTCTATACTTTTATGTGAACCAATCTACTTCACAGTTTACAGACCAATAAACAGATCAGAAAACAGTTACCAATCTGATTGCACACTTTTACAAATGTTGTGATGCATTTTTTATCCAAAACTGTATATCTCGTGCGGTGAAATTTACAAAAAGCACATTGGGGGATGCATAGACCAGCATACAAAAATGGATAGGATTTTTTTGGAGGGGTGCATATAAAATGCATATTTTAGAAAGAAGTGATGATATTTTTTCATCTACTGTATACTTCATAGCAGAGATGGTGATGGTGGTGGATTATTAGATTTCTTATTTGCCCTTCACTGTCAGGTTCCAGGGCAGCTTGTGAATTAAAATACAATATTAAAAATAGTTAAAACAAATTACAATCCAAGAAAACTGGGTGGGTCCTAAAATACATCTCCTAGATGACAAAGGCCAGGGTAAAGAGAGGCTCTTATTAGTTACTTGTGTGCAAACATAATTTGTTGGAGAAAATATTCATTAAGGTTGTGCTCCAGATTCACCTGGATCCTCTACCAAATTGGGCCAATTTATACCCTGTTCTGATCAGGCAGAAGCAGCAACAAATCACAACTTAGTTAACCAGGTGTTTCTGACCCAGCTGTAATTTTTAACATGGTATGGTATGCAATGTGTGTGTCAAAATTTCAGACAGATAGTTTGAAAATATTTCTGCATCTTAACTGTAAAGTTTGGTTTTTAAAAAAATAAAAGAGAGGTAAAATAGATTACGGATTGATCATTTATATGTAAATGTTATATGAAAAAAATGTTTATGTAAATTTACACTTTATCCCCTCCCCCCCCCATTATACTTCATTTTCCCGTTTGCAATAGGTCTTTGTAATGGACACAGGGCAGACAATACCATTCGCTGCTATCACAGGGCTCATCCACACTTCTGCCTTTCCTGTGATTTCTAAGCAAAGGTCTCAGAGGCTTTTCTTTTGTCCCGCCGCTTTTCCTGGGAAAACCTGCTGCTTACCACAGAATTGGAAGAAACATAAATCCGCAGAAAACCCAATAAATGTTTGCTTCTATTTTGCTGTCAATCCGCAGAAAACCCGAATGACCTTTGTTCCGATTCAGCGGTAAACAGTGGGGACTTTCGTGGGGAAACCAGGGGGAATGAAAGAAAAACCTGTCATGGACAAGCCCTTGGTATATTCCTGCTGTTCCCACTTTTCTCCTTCATTCTGACGACTGAATTAAGATTGACTTGAAAATGACCAGATGGATCACAGTAAACCTCACTTGCTTCTTCCTAGGTGTAATAAAAATAAAAATAAAACCATAGATGCAATAGTTTTTCCTCCTGGATTAAAAGAGCACATAGATAAATTCTCTAGAATGCATCCTTTTTTGGAGAAGGCGACCAAGAAATTCAAAGGTAACAAACATTATTGTGTGTTAGATGTGGGATAGATGTGGGATAGATGATGACTGATGATAGATAGATAGATAGATATCAATATAGTTGCATGTCATGCCAATTTCCAAACAGTGAATATTCCAGGGGTCCCAGGCTGCTTCGCCAGGGTTTGAGTTTCCTATTGGCAAATGAGGCACAGCAAAGACTGTGGTGTCTTTAGGATATATGGTTTATTTACACATACAGTGGTACCTTGCGTTAAGTACTTAATTCGTTCTGGAGGCCTGTTCTTAACCTGAAACTGTTCTTAACCTGAAGCACCATTTTAGCTAATGGGGCCTCCTGCTGCTGCCACGCCGCCAGAGCACGATTTCTGTTCTCATCCTGAAGCAAAGTTCTTAATGTGAGGTAATATTTCTGGGTTAGCGGAGTCTGTAACCTGAAGCATATGTAACCTGAAGCGTATGTAACGCGAGGTACCACTGTATATACAATCTGAGCCTACAACTGAGCGGTTCATAGCACAGACACCCCAAGACAGTCTTATTTTTCCACAGCCACAGCCTTGGATTCAAAACAGGAATCAAGCATTGTGCTCTGATTCTCTTTATGGCTTGCTGGGATTCAGCCGTCAGAAACAGTTTTTGGGCAGCAATCACTGAAATGGCAACTCACGTTGAAAATGTACATTTTGGCAAATTGTTATTAAAATAGCTCCAAAAAAAAAAAGAAAAGTTCAACCATTTTCTTCAAAAAGGTCAATAACATTTGTGTCCAGACTTTCACTTTTTGAAATATGGCAACCCTACCACAAGGAAAACCAAAAAAGTTATGTCCCAATCAAAGCAGGAAAATATAGTTTGACATATCTGCTCAGTGCATCGGGGTCTGGTTTTAAATTTCTCCCTCTTAACTTTAAAAGAGAATGGGAACCATTTACAACATATATGAGGAGGCAACATAAAGAAATGGACTCATTGGCAGGGTTTGAGTAAACAATCACAACTGTATACAATGAAAAATGAGACTATATGTATTGAGAAATTTTGGGGGAAATAATACGCAGGGTGAACAATATGGAAATAAAACAAAATGGGAGTATGAGGGAAGTCCAGGGGAGGAGGGTCAAAATATGAAAAATTGTTAAAAATATATTGTTAGAAGTGGTATACATGGAAAAATCAATAAAAATGATTTAAATAAATAAAATAAATAAATTTCTCCCTCTTTCTTCTTCATAACAGAGTCCCTGGAAGAAGTACAGAATAAGGGTAATATTCTGGGATTTAATGAGATGGGAGGATTTTGAAGGGAGGGGGTGCTTGGGTAAGACCAAGAAGGGGTATTTGTGCTAATGGCAAGGGTTCACATCTGACAAGCAAACAAATATTGGTACATTCTGTATAGCCCTTAATGAAATTCTCTTCAATATCAAAGATTCTCCTTGATAAAAGTTAACATGAGATGCAGAAGAGGCTCTTTATTAACAACTGGTAGGGCAGTGACTGTGCCCCGGCAGTCTTCAGAGCTAAGGCCCACATTCTCTCATTTGCAGATGGTCGTTTGTTCCAATTTATCACCAAAGAGCAGGTTTTCCCTGAGAAAGCAGAGAGGCAAAGGCAAAACCGCTCAGAGCCATGCCTGGGAAGCACAGGGCAAGCCCAAAACCACCCAGATGCATCCTTTCTAGGCATGGGACAAATGGAAGGGTTGACAAGCCTTTAGCTGAGCATTTATTAAGGGCACCTCACAAGCAATAAAATTTCTTCTTCTTGCAGCTGACTCGTTGCTACTCTCCTCAAGGACAGAGAGTGTGCAACAAGATGAAGGGAGAAGTTACTCAAGAAAACTCCAGAGGGTATCATCAGGTACATTGCTGTGTTACTTACTTATAGGGGGGTTTGTGTGTGTAAACGAGAGAGAGAGAGAGAGAGAGAGAGAGAGAGAGAGAGAGAGTTGGTGACGGGACATATATGTGTCTGTGGGTGGGATATACCGTATTTTTCACTCTATAGGACACACTTTTTCCCCTCCAAAAATTAAGGGAAAGTGTGTGTGCGTCTTATGGAGCGAATGCAGGATCCTTGGCTTCAGTGATAGCAACGCGAAGCCTCCGAAGCGCAGTGGGAACGCTCCCTCCACGCTCCGGAGGCTTCACGTTGCTTTTGCTGAAGCCTGGAGAGCGAGGGGGGTCGGTGCGCACCAACCCCTCTCATTCTCCAGGCTTCAGGGATAGCCGCCTGAAGCCTCCAGAGCGCAGCAGGAACTCCCGCTGCACTCCTGAGGCTTTGGGTTGCCTTCACTGAAGATGAAGGCAATGTGGGAGAGGGAGACCTGCGCAGCACCCCTTCAGTGAAGCGGGAGGAGAAATGGAAGGGGCTCCGTTTCTCCTGCCGCTTCGCTGAAGGGGCACTGCGCAGAGAGCGGGAGAATTTTTTTTCTTGTTCTCTCCCTCTAAAACAAGGTGCGTCCTAGGGTCAGGTGCGTCCTATAGAGCAAAAAATATCGTAGAAAGAAAATGCTAGAAAAGTATGTTTGCAGGTTGCCAGTAAGCCGAGGCGCCAAGGTCTGCCCAACATGGGGGAGGGGGCACCTTGTTGCATGCTTGCTCATGATGTCAGAAGTGCAACACGCATATGTGATGTCACGTAAGTCAGGAGGAGGCCCTGTGGGGCTCTCCGCCATTGTGGGGAGAACTGGTGGAGCCTGCCACCACCACAGGGAAGCCCATCAGGACTGCCGCCGTGGCCCAGCCTCTCAAGGTTGGGAGGCTCAGCCCCATCCCCACAGACTTTGGGGGGGCTGAGGTGTCCTCATTGCCATAGAGTTGGTGCTTGTGCTGGTACGAAGCCTTGAGTCTCCTCTGGCAGAGGCATCAGAGCCAGTGCTCATGCTCCCTTTCTCCTGCCCACCCCACCACTTGTAGGCAGTGGCGGAGGAACCCTCTCCGGCACCTGGGGTGGGACGCCGAGGGACGGGGCAAACCGCCCGGTGGCGCACGCACGGCATCCCATACAGACACCCGTATGGATGGCGCGCGAGAGCTGCAGCTTGTACTGACACCGTGAGAGTGGCGCCCATGCTGACTGTGCATGCCCTCGGCTGCTCTACAGCTGGGGGGAGGCAGGGGCCATCTTGTCACACACACCCCAGAGTGGCACCCGGGGCGGCACTGTTAGGATCGTCCTACACTCGTTTAGGACCCTGGTAGAGACACATGCCTGACTGGCATGTTCTCTCCCTCCTGGTCAGTCATTCAGGAGCTTCAAAAGCTTTCTCCTGCCCGATCTTCACAGCGACTGATACCAAGTAACATCAGCACACTTACAGTATTTGCAGTTCGCGTAACAGAACTCAATAGCACAGCATTTTGGCTAATCTACTTTATTTACATATAATACACTTGGAGCATTCTGCCTTAGCTTCTTCCTCTTTCTCATCAGACAGCAAAGAGAGAAAGGACAAAAGACAACAGTCCCACTCCACGGAATACAGTAATATAAACATCCTGTCTCCGTCACTTCCCACTCTGTGGAGTGAAAACATACACCGTTGTGTGATAGACAACAATCTCATGACTGCAAACACAGAGCAAGAATCCTAACAGGCCGGCCCCCTCCGCCCCCTACTTTGTACGCCCCTGCTTGTAGGACACCTGTCCTTCCCCATAGCAGCTTCTGAGGTCTCCCACAGCTGCACATGTGGTCCACACCTTTGCCACTTCCTGCCCTGTGCCTTGCCTCCCACTACCCACCCCCAGTCCTTAACAACACCCGGCAACACTTGGCTGTTGTCAGGGCAAAATTCAGTGGGAAGAACCCTTAACTATTTTCCCCAGTATTGCTTCGTTTGGTCCCCAATCGCGTCCCTAAACCAACCAGAGCACAACTGTTTGCGTCTTAGTTGAGCGTTTCTTAAGGATGCCCCCAGCCACTTGTGTTGCTTGCTGTTGCTGCAGGTGATTCCTTCCAGCCTTCCTTGAGGTCAGCAAGCATGAGGGAAGGGGAAGTCAGGACAGGGAGGCAGGGGAGCAGCTTGGGAGCGCTCCGGAGAGTGTCATCAGGTACGTTGCTTTGTGACTTTTGATTTTTTGTGTTTGTGAGACAAAGAAAGGGGGGAAGAAGAAGAAGAAGAGTTTGGACTTGATATCCCACTTTATCACTACCCAAAGGAGTCTCAAAGCGACTAACATTCTCCTTTCCCTTCCTCCCCCACTACAAACACTCTGTGAGGTGAATGGGGCCAAGAGACTTCAGAGAAGTGTGACTAGCCCAAGGTCACCCAGCAGCTGCATGTGGAGGAGCGGGAAGCGACCCCGGTTCACCAGATTACGAGTCTACTGCTCTTAACCACTACACCACACTGGCTCTCCTTTCCTTTCCCCCACCCACTTTTTTTTTTTTTTAAAGAAACCCTCCGACCTATCCCTCTGTTTCCCCGACTTTCATTTCCCTCTTCCCTCTGGTCTTTCTTCCTTTTCCCCTTCCCAGCCCAAGGGCTCTTCCCCCCTCCCATCAACGTATACATGGGGTATGTGGTTCAACCCTATCTGGGCCTGCTCAGACGTAAGCTCTCCCGAGTAAAATGTGGTTTAGTCCTGAGTAAACATGTACAGTGGTACCTCGGGTTAAGTACTTAATTTGTTCCGGAGGTCTGTTCTTAAACTGAAACTGTTCTTAACCTGAAGCACCACTTTAGCTAATGGGGGCCGCCTGCTGCTGCCACTCCGCCGGAGCAAGATTTCTCTTCTCATCCTGAAGCAAAGTTCTTAACCCGAGGTACTATTTCTGGGTTAGTGGAGTCTGTAACCTGAAGCGTATGTAACCTGAAGCATATGTAACCAGAGGTACCACTGTATAGGATTTCACCCTTGTGCTTAGCTTCTTGGGCAAGTTGCTCACCCTCACCACTTTGCTCTTTGTAAAACGGGTTTTAGGGACTCTTTGGTTTGGTGAATGTCCATTTGGACATCTGGAACACGTTGGTTATGTTTCTGCAGCACGGTGGGTTCCCCCTCAGACCTCAGTGTTGGAGCAACAACTTCTCACAGAAACTGGGGACACTGAGTTTTTACTTCAAAGGTAGAATTTGGATGAGCAAACAGAAACCAGTCTAGTACAGTCATACCTAGGGTTACAGACGCTTCGGGTTGCGCGCTTTCGGGCTGTGCACCGTGCTGAACCCGGAAGTACTGAAATGGGTTACTTCCAGGTTTCGGCGCTTGCGCATGCGCAGAAGCACTAAATCGTGCTTTGCACATGCGCAGAACTGCCGAATCGCGACCCGTGCCTGCGCACACTCGGCGCTGTGAGTTGTGGACACTGCGGGTTGCGAACGTGCTTCCCGCACGGATCACGTTCACAACCCACTGTACAAGGCTTCAATGCAAAGTCTCTCTCTGTCTCTCTCTCTCTCATGAGAGGGTGCAGTCCTTTAAGCACAAGAAAACTTGTAAAAGAAGGACACCTGTACTTTGCCTGTGGCAATTTCCAAGGTCCTTTCCTGGTGGGCATGAAGTCCACATCTTGGTCACTTCCTTGAATTTCCCGCGTTGTGCTTTGCCTCCTCACACCTTGCCTTTAACAACACTTTGCTGTTTCAATGTAAACTTCCCTTAGGCAGGACCTCCTGGGAGGAACATCAGTGTTGCTTTGGTTGATCCCTGATCATTTCCCTCAGTCAACCAGAGCACAACTGTTACGTGTCTTACTTGGCCATTTCTTAAGGATGTCCCCACCTAATCATGTTCCTTGGTTCTGCAGTTGGCTCTGTCATGCCCTCCTCAACACCAGAGAGCATACAACAAGGTGAAATGTGCATTATGAGGGAGAAGAGCAACTCGGGAAGACTTGGGAAGATAGCATCAGGTACGCTGCTTGGGGGCGGATTCCCCCCCCCCCTATTTGTGTGTGAGAGAGAGTGGGGGGGGAGATTTTGCAGTCAAATCTACGGTAATACTGCACATACTTACTAGTTCGCATGTGAATGAGTTAAGACCATAGAGCTGTCTTGCTGATAGACCACAGACCATAGAAATATAATTGGTAGAGAGGGCAGTGTGTGGTGTCATTTCCCCTTCTCTCCTGAGGGGGAAGAAGCCAATAAATATTTCCTGTTCCTTCTCTCTCTCTCTCTCTTCCTTCGACCAACAATGGAGGCAGACATGCCTCCACTTGCTCCAAATTCTGGTGCATGCCTGAAGCTGGTTTTGTTTTGTTTTTTAAAAATACAAGTATTATCTTTAATGCTGTTGCTGCTAACAATGAGTATATGTTTTAAACTTACTTTTCAGTCTGTGGCCCGTTTTGTTTTGTTTTGATAGACAGGGGAAACAAAGGAAGAGATCAGCCTAACGGCTAATTCCTGGCTAATTCACAATCTGTCCTTCCAGTGAGCACTCAGGGCTGATTTCCTGAAGAATGGAGAGGTTTGATCTTCTTGCAGTCCATAGGACTCTCAAGAGTCTCCTCCAGCAAAAAAAACCTGGAGCAGGAACCAGCAAGCCACTCCAGTATCCCTGCCCAGAAAATTCCATGGACAAAGACAACAGGCATATAAAAAAACTATAGGGTATCACAAAAGATAGATGCACACATGCACCTTGCCCTATAATTCAAACACTGACCCGGCTCCCCCTCTCTGTGTGTGTGTGTGAATCTCTCTCTCTTACAGTAAATATAGTTTTGGATCCAGAAACAGCAAATCACTACCTCATTCTCTCTGAAGACAGGAAGAGTGTGAGATGTGGAGGGGAAAGGCAAAATCTGCCCGACAGCCGAAAGAGATTTGATCCGAAGACCTACGTGCTGGGCAGCGAGAGATTCCGTGCAGTAAGAAAATGGTGGGAAGTGGAAGTTGGGGGAGAGAAAAATGCCACATGGGCTGTGGGGGTGGCACGCGAGTCCACCCCGAGGAAGGGACAGGTCAGCCTTCAACCTAGTGTAGGAATCTGGGCTGTCGGGAAAGCCATAGTTGGCTCACTGTATGGACTTTGGGCTTTTACTGCCCCTGAGCGGACCCCTTTGCTCTTAAATCATGAGCTCAGGAAGATCCGGGTGACTCTGGACTATGAAAGGGGTTCTGTGGGATTTTTTGATGTCGAAGGAGATGTCTTGATCTTCACTTTCCCAGAAGCGTCCTTCTTTGGGGAGGAAATCCGGCCCTTTTTCTTGGTCGGGCAAGGAGCTGAACTGAGCTGCTGAATCTTGAGGGCACGACTCCTCACAGCCCCCTTCCCAATAGCCCCCAATGCCCCGAAAAAGAGGAGTTGTTTATGCACTTCCCGTGCAGCTGCGTGAGATTGGCATGTGGGAAAAACAGTGCTTTTAACAGTGGTCCAACAGGCTAAGCCTCTTCTAGTATGAAAATACAGTCATGGGAAAAGCTTCGTCACGACTGTATTCCCATCATTTTGTATTATGGCAGCCATGTTCTGTTATGGTATGATGCTATATGCTCCTATGGCAGCCATTTTGTTACTGGTACCGACAGCACTCCCTCAAAACTTGAAATGTGCCCTCGTCCAAAATAGGTGGCATCCGCTGGTCTATAATATCAATTCTGTACTGTATTGAGTGTTTTGCATCAATAAACCATCTCCATGTTTTCAGTTGCAATGTTTAGTCTGTGGTCCTTATCCCTGGCTGAGGTGAAAATCTAAGCCTACAGTAACAACCTAAAGAGAAAATGTCCGCCTTCCTAAGCAGAGAACAAAATTCATGGAAGATTAGGGTATGAATGGCTATTGGCCTTGAGGACTATGTATTTTCCCTGCCTGTCAGTCTGAATACCAGATGGCGGGAAAAAAGAGTGCTTTTCCACCCTGGGCTTCCAGAACATGGTTGGCCACTGTGAGAATGCAAAATTGGGCCAAATGGGCTTTTGACTTGATCCACCCCCCCACACACACAACGTTCTTCACACACACAAAGCTATGTCACCCCACAGAGTTGCCACTGCAGACCACCTGAATGAAGCTCATAGACCTCTGACGGTCCACAGACGCACTCCGGGAACCCTTGGTCTAGAATCCTAGAAGCCATCTGTGATTATAACAGGTGTGCAGGCTACTCCTGGTTTGGCAACACGTATATCCTCTGTTCCACAAGGACAAAATTAATCAACTCCACATTTATTGTACACCTGGCCTTGAGATGAGAGGTAAAGCGATGCATTTAGCATGGACAGCGCCATGTCACTAGCTCTACTCATTCACAGCCATTCCAACATGCTTCCATGGTCAGAACAGAAATAGCTCCAATTCCTTCCTCCTCCTCCTCCGGGCACTCAAACCTACACACAGTGATCAACACAGAATTCTTCCCTTGTAGATCACCAATACATGAACTAAAAGCAAAACAATGTGCTATTGTGAGGTTGCCCGAGGTGGGCGCATGGCCTGTTCTGTAATGACTCGTTGACATATGTTCTTCTTCTTCTTTGGCGATCACTCGTAGCTGAGTAAGATTGTCTTCCATGAACACGGCCTTAACAGTGAGTCCATAAGTGACTGTGGAGGCCAATTCTGGATCCATACATCCTTCCACAGTGGAGACATTGGTTTCCAGGTGGGAGTTGATCACAGTGAAGGTTTGCCAAGCGTGCCTTCCTCTTAGCATGTTTCTCCCTTTTATCCTGAGTTCAAGCATCTTCAAAGTCCATGACACCTTTGGTAAAGGCTGTTCTCCAATTGCAGCGCTTGCAGCCCACTGTTTCCCAGTTGTCAGTGTTTATACTACATTTTTTAAGATTTGCCTTTAGAGAGTCTTTTAATCTCTTTTGTAGACCACTAGCATTACGCTTTCCATTTTTAAGTTTGGAATAGAGTAGTTGCTTTGGAAGACAACAATCAGTCATCTGCACAATATGACCAGTCCAACGAAGTAGATGTTGAAGAATCCTTGCTTCGACATTGGTGATCTTTGCTTCTTCCAGTACACTGGCATTAGTTTGCCTGTCTTCCCAAGTGATGTGTAAAAAAATTTGGAGACCCCGTTGATGGGATCTTTCATGGAGTTGGAGTTGGACATTGACATATGTCTGATGGCCTGAATGTAATGTTCTCACATTTTCCCTTTATGTAAAAAGGTTTTGGAAGCTGGAACAGACCAAAGGTAAATAGTTGCAAATTGAACGAGCAAATTGTATCAAAGATATGGGAAGCATATGACAGGGGGAGAGGGGGGAGGCTTGTCAGCCCCAGCTCATTTAAGCACTTAATTAGATTTCATCATGCAGACAGCCAGACATTTCCCTCTTCTGCAATAATGATTGCCTTTGTATGGCGGACAAGATGCACGGGTCCACAACAAATGTGCCATGAGCAGGGTAGGACTAGGACCAATGGCTTTGTGATGGCCTGGGACTCAGGCTCGGACCAGAGGAGTCTCAGTCTGCAGCGGATCCTTTGCCTCAGGCATCATCTGAACCAAGTCTGGGGCCTGGTCCTGAAGAGTCCCAGTCTGCACAGGTGCCCCTGCAACAAACACCAGCTGGGGCGAGTCAGGGGCCTGAGCCTGCCCTGGCTCCAGATGTGGGGATTACCTCGTTGCCTTCAGCTGGGCCATCACTTACAGCTGCTCCACTACCGGTTGGGTCAGGGGAGGCTGAGGCGGCCCCTGGGTCTAGTAACCCTCCGACGTCTCTCCAGCTGCAGAGACTAAGGTCTGAGAGAAGGAGTACTCACAGGAGAAGTGCTCGCCTTCGGGCGAAACAGGGAGGTGAGTCGCCAGGGGATCAGGATCGGCTGTTACCCCGACAAAGGCTGTCGGACCCCACACCAGGTTGCAGGAGCAACATTGCTGTATGCCTGAGATCCTGTACCCGTCCTTGCCTGGTTTCCTGCCTCGTGTCCTGCCTTGGCCCTGTCAGACTGACTCCTAGCGGAACCTTTGGATTCTGAACCGGATTCTCGGGTTACCCCTGGGCCCAGCACAGGCTTCAAGTTACAAGAAAGGCAATTCCGACTAAACATCGACAGTGGAACAGACTCCCTCAGGAGGTTGTGGACTCTTCTTCCTCAGGGGTTTTTGAGAACAGGTTGGGCGGCCATTTTGTCAGGAATGCTTGAGTCGAGATTCCTGCATTGCAGGGGGTTGGACCTGATGACCCTCGTGGTCCCCCCCAAAAAACTCTACAGTTCTATGATTCTATGACTGAGAAAGGTGCAAAGATGAGGCAAAGAGAAAACAAAAGGTGTGGAGAGAGAAGCAAAAGCAAGACAGGTGACACGAGGACAAAAAGTACCAGAAGGTTGAGGGGGAGGGGGAGGCACCAGCAGGGGGCAGAGAAAGAAAAGAGTTGGTGGAAGTAACTGAAAGCCAAAGGAGATGAAAAATGCAATCATTTTGGGTGCCATGGGTGCTTTCTTGATAAGAAAACACAAACATCATGGTGATAGCTTCTCGCCTTTCTGCTCAACAAAGAGCAGCCCCCCAGAAAGTAAAAAGAAGGCACAACTACTGAAAGGGTCTGAAGGTTTGACCCACAACACTTGAAAGAGAGGTTCTCTTGTACAGTGGTACCTCAGGTTACAGACGCTTCAGGTTACAGACTCCGCTAACCCAGAAATAGTACCTCAGGCTAAGAACTTTTTTTCAGGATGAGAACAGAAATTGGGCGGGGGTGGCAGGAGGCCCCATTAACTAAAGTGGTACCTTAGGTTAAGAACAGTTTCAGGTTAAGAACAGACCTCCAAAATGAATTAAGTTCTTAACCTGAGGTACTACTGTACTAGAAGAATAGCAGGCCAACACCTCAGTGTGCGAAATGTCCTTAGCAAATGAAAGTTTGGAAACATAAGAACCATCAAAGTGTTTAGAAAGAAAGCACGTCGGATTGAAAAACAAACCACTTGATTATTATCTTTCAAAAAATGGACACCCGGTCTTTGAAGAGCCCTTTGAAGAAAACCAAAACTTTGAAGAACAATTTGCTCCATTTGTAATAGGAAGGGAGAATGGCCTGGTCCAACTTGTTCACAGAGTTGCTCCAAAGGCTAGTTGGATTCATTGCTTCTTCTACAAGAAAGTTAAAAGCAAAGCACTAGCTTCCAAACCTATGAGTGGCAGGCCTTCTGTTCTAGGACATGTGAAAACCATTAACTTTATCAAATTAAGTACTTGTGATAGAAGTTCTCTGCCAAGGATTGGGTCCTGAACACAAAACTCTGTTGATATTGCACAAAGAGATGAGACGATGATTGTTATGATTGCCAGCATGAGTTCATACGCTTCTTCATTAAGTTTGTTCAGAAAACAAACGGTTCAGTGTACAGCCCAAAAAATCTTTATCAACAATTTTCAAGACAGATGCTTTAAATAAAGAACTGATTACATTTCTGCTGATTGCATCCCATCAAAATTGGAAAGGTTTATATAACTTGCTGTTATCTGTTTGGAGTCAGAAGGTTTTGGCAATGGCTCTCGTGGAAAGAGCTGGCTGATGTATAGATGGTATTTGACTCCTGTAAAATTAGCAAAGATATATCATAATGGTGACAATATATGTTGGAAATGTAAAGAAAAGGAAGGAACCTTTTATCATATGTGGTGGACTTGTCCCAAGGTGAAATCTGGGAAAAGATTTATAATGAATTGAAAAAAATGTTGAAATATACATTTATAAAGAAACCAGAGGCCTTTCTTCTTGGAATAACAGGTTTGGAATTGCCCAAGAAAGATGTTAAATGATTTTTGTATCCCACAACTGCTGCTCGTATTTTGTTAGCTAAAAAGTAGAAAACCCAAGAATTACCAACAATAGAAGAATGGCAGATGAAGATGATGGAATTTTCGGAGCTAGCCGACCTAACTGGAAGAGTCCGCGACCAGAAAGAGGAGTATCAGGAAGAGTGGAATAAATTTAATGATTATTTAGTTAAATTTGTTAAGTTAAACTAACTGAAAATAGCTTGCAGATACTCAGTGGGCTTAGGATTTTATTTATGTTAAGTGATGAATTAATATGTTTAATTCCATAAGGTGAAGATCTAAGGATGTTAATGTTTTAAGTTAAATTTCATAAAAATTGGAATTTGGAAAACCGTTAAAAGGACATGCAATTAAATTCAACCAAGGGGAAGGGAGGAAGTCACTTAACAAAGTTAATAACTGTAATTTTCAATAAGGCTATGATTTATGTTTGTTTGTCTTGTGTGTTTGTTTGTTTGTTTGTTTATAATATTGTGAAAACTAATAAAATTTTGGGGAGGGGAAACAAAGTTGGAAAGGTTTATATAACTTGCTGTTATCTGTTTGGAATCAGAAGGTTTTGGCAATGGCTCTCGTGGAAAGAGCTGGCTGAAGACTCAATGGGTGGTATATGGGAAATGACACTTCAGGGATTCTTAGCACTGTTTATAACTCAACATGGATCTGGTCGGCCACTGTAAGAAGAGGATGCTGGACTGGAGGGGCCATTGACCTGACCCGGCAGGCTCTTCTTATGTGCAAGGGGGTCCTGTAGTGAGTTTAAGGAGTGAATCAGAGGTGGGTCTCGGGCAGAGGTACCAAGTTGCACCCAACATTTGAGAGAGCCTGTTCTCCATGCGTGACATCACACACGTGCCGCCCCCTCCAACCCGGCCAGGCTGACTTGGTCAACCCCACCCACCCACCCATCTGCTGCCCACTGCTTTAAGTCGCCACCACCATGAGGCTGAGGCTGCCTTGCTGAGGCCACGGCCTCCCCCTCTGCAAGGCCCACCAAGGCACTTGGGTGCGAGACTATATAACACTGGTCTTGAAAGTTCTACATTGGCTCGCAGTATGTTTCCAAGCACAATTCAAAGTGTTGGTGCTGACCTTTAAAACCCTAAACGGCCTCAGTCCTGTATACCTGAAGGAGTGCCTCCACCCCCATCGTTCTGCCTGGACACTGAGGTCCAGTGCTGAGGGCCTTCTGGTGGTTCCCTCACTGCAAGAAGCCAAGTTACAGGGAACCAGGCAGAGGGCCTTCTCGGTAGTGGCGCCCGCCCTGTGGAACGCCCTCCCACCAGATGTCAAACAACTAACAGACTTTTAGAAGACATCTGAAGGCAGTGCTGTTTAGGGAAGTTTTTAATGTTTGATGTATTACAGTATTTTAATATTTTGTTGGAAGCCGCCCAGAGTGGCTGGGGAAGCCCAGTCAGATGGGCGGGGTATAAATAAATTATTATTATTATTCCTTTGAGAGGTCAGCGTGACTAAAGCTGTTTCACTGTCTAAATGTAGGTCAAAAGAGGCCTCTATAATCTGCTTCGTTCAGCACATCTGCAGATGAATATGCGTAATGCATGTGGAATATTTTCAATATTTAATAACTCTACATGAGTGTTTGATGGTATGCTGCTCTTGATTTTTATGGAGAGTTGGACTATGTTTGGCTTCTGTCCCTTATATAAAATAATAATAATAATTTATTTATACCCCACCCATCTGGCTGGGTTTCCCCAGCCACTTTGGGCGGCTCCCAACAGAATATTAATAATAATAATAATAATCAATCAAACATTAAAAACTTCCCTATGCTGGGCTGCCTTCAGATGCCTTCTAAAAGTCAGGTAGATGTTTATCTCCTTGATACAAGGAGGGCAGGTGCCACCACCAAAAAGGCCCTCTGCCTGGTTCCCTGTAACTTGACTTCTCACAGTGAGGGAACCACCAGAAGGCCCTCAGAGCTGGACCTCAGTGTCCGGGTTGAATGACAGGGGTGGAGACACTCCTTGAAAGTTTTGAAATTCAGTGGTACCTCAGGTTAAGTACTTAATTCGTTCCGGAGGTCCGTTCTTAACCTGAAATTGTTCTTAACCTGGAGCACCACTTTAGCTAATGGGGCCTCCTGCTGCCGCCGCGCCACTGGAGCACGATTTCTGTTCTCATCCTGAAGCAAAGTTCTTAACCTGAAGCACTATTTCTGGGTTAGCGGAGTCTGTAACCTGAAGCGTATGTAACCCGAGGTACCACTGTATCCTGCTTACTGAGCCTCAAGTGCTTCCATTCAACTATACTCATCTTTCAAAATGTTCTTATGCATAAGGAGCATTTGCACACGCAGCCCTTTTTATATCACTTTAGGGACGTTCTGTTTAAGCAGATGTTCCAGCACATTCCAACAGTTGTTATGTGGCTGATTCCTCACCCAAGGCCTCTACGTGTGTTACTTGTGTGTAGGGATGGGTGACTCTGTCCATTCCAGTTTCTCTCAGTTTCTCATCTTTCTAGTCTTCCACATCAGTTTGCTATTATTGTTCAAGTCACCATCAGTTTTCTCCTAATAGGAACAAATTTCTCCTAATACGAACAAAATTGTACACAATTTTGCCTGGCGTGCAAATTTATCAACAAAGCCGTTTCGCTCAATACCGTATATTATTTTCAATAAGAGATTCGATTTTATGCCCGGTTCACCCTAGCACATGAATCTTTGCAGAATATCCCTTCTGACTGGAGATCTGCACTGCAAAATTCCAAGACGTGAAGATTTCAAAGAATGGCTGTGTTTCGCTTCCTGTGTGGTTTCAGAAAGGGCTGGTTCAGCACGGTGACCTTTAGAAGAAGAAGAAGAAGAGTTTGGATTTGATATCCCGCCTTTCACTCCCCTTCAGGAGTCTCAAAGCGGCTCACATTCTCCTTTCCCTTCCTCCCCCCCAACAAACACTCTGTGAGGTGAGTGGGGCTGAGAGACTTCAGAGAAGTGTGACTGGCCCAAGGTCACCCAGCAGCTGCATGTGGAGGAGCGGAGACGCGAACCCGGTTCCCCAGATTACGAGACTACCGCTCTTAACCACTACACCACACTGGCTCTTTAAAACGTGAACTGAATTGCATTTCTCCCCTGCCTCTACTTCCGTGTAAAGGGCAGTCACGGACACACAGGATCCTGAAGTGCTCTGGGAATCTCTATGCAGAGAGAGAGGTCTCTCTGCTCCAGGGTGTTAGCTTGTCACAGCAACAGCAGAGGCAGAATCAGCCGTGTAGTGTCAACGTTTGTGCAGCCACTTAGTTTGTGTGATTTCCAGGAACCGCCTGAGAAAAGGGGGAGGGCATTGAACCCTCCCACATTTTCAGACCAATCCTGGAACTCTGACACCAAGACCCTGGCATCCCAAATGCAATATAAGTCCCTCATTATGTGTTGAGGAAAGACAGAAAGACAGAAAGACAGACGAAAGAAAGAAAGAAAGAAAGAAAGAAAGAAAGAAAGAAAGAAAGAAAGAAAGAAAGAAAGAAAGAAAGAAAGAAAGACAGCCATGGCTTCAGGCTCTCTCCGTGAGTTCTCTGATCAGATTTGTTCCATCTGCAAGCAATGCTTTGACGATCCTGTGACTATTGACTGCGGGCACAATTTCTGCCAAGCCTGTCTCCCCTCGCTGCCTCACTGGGGAGAGCCCAACAGAGACCCTTCCTGCCTGCTGTGTGGCGAAACCGTCCATCAAAGGAACTTCAAGCCCAACCAGCAACTGGCCAACCTTGTGCAGCTTGTCAGGAAACTTCAGGAGGGGGCAAAAAGAGATGCGGAAAGGAAGGAAGTGAGCAAGAGTCACCAAGAGCCCCTGATGCTCTCCTGCAAGGAGGATCGAGCCCCCATCTGCACCATGTCCAAATGCAACAAGGAGGACAAAATCCAAGATGTGGTTCCTGCAGAAGTGGCCGCTCAAGGGTCCAAGGTAGGAGATCTCCACGAAGGAAGAGGACAGGGAAATAATTGGGTCTTCTTCCTGGAGGTTCAAGCTGAAGATATCACACACACACACACACACACACACACACACACACGGACAGCTCAGTTGGTAGAGCATGAGACTCTGAATCTCAAGGTTGTGGGTTCAATCCCCACGTTGGGCAAAAGATCTCTGCATCGCAGGAGGTTGGACTAGATGACTCCACAATTCTATGATTCCATGTATTCCATGTACACTTTCATAGGACCATTTGAGCTGCAGGGGAAAACTGAGACTTCTTTTTGTTACTTTGGGGGTCTGGGGGTTAAATTCGAACACCTTTTGTAGAGAGGGAATGTGGCAGTCAAGCGTGGTGGAGGTTTTCCTCTTTTGTCTAACTTCAGAACATCTTGCCATCACTTCTAGGAAAGGTTCAGCCACTGCCATTGGCCATATTTGGGGGAATAGCAGAATAATCTTGGGTACGAGACTAAATGATGGCTAAGCAACCCTTGAGCTGATTTTGAGGGCATGCAGGGGGGTGGAGGGGACGGGAGAGGGAGAGTACGTCTCACTGCATGTGCAGAAATCTGTTGCCCAAGCAGAGATGCTTTCAGCCCATTGTCAGGAACATCCCGAGGGAAAGTTGTTAAAGTCTCCTTGGTGTCCAAAGTGTAGGAACTGATAAAAAGAAGTTCTGCAGGCGTGTAACTCCAGGCATGTAGGATGTTGACGTGGGTTTTAATCTGGGTTTTGGCTTATCTTTGATTCTAATTAATTTCTAAATGTTGTAAATAGCTGCTTTTATCTCTCTCCTTTTGCCACTATTATATATTTTTTTTATTTTTGTAAATGACTTTGAGGTTTTATTACAACCAAGCGGGATAGAAACCTTTTGCAATAAATATGGATAAATAACTTAATAAATGCCTAAACCAATCTATCAGCCACCATCCAACACACCCTCCAAATAAAAACAGACCAAAATCACAACATCGCTAAATGCATCGGCAAATCGGGTTCCATATTTGATCTGTTAAATCTGAAGCTGTGTTTCTGACCCCATTTACTATAATGGGGAATTTAAAAATCGCTATAATCTCTCTTCCTTTTCACATAAGTGAGTGAAATATCTGAAGGCCTGTTACGTACTAAGCTTTGATCCTAGAACAATAGGCAGGCAGGATCCTAGAATGCTACAACTGATTGGCCTGCAGGAAAAGACCAATCAGGCTCCAGGAGGGAAGCAGAATCAGCCAATCAGACAGGACTCGTTGTGTAAATAACGTACCGTATTTTTCGCTCTATAGGACACACCCGACCATAGGACGCACCTTGTTTTACAGGGGGAGAACAAGGAAAAAAAAATCTCCCCCTCTCTGCTCAACGCCCCTTCAGCGAAGCGGCAGGAGAAACGGAGCCCCTTCCATTTCTCCTCCCGCTTCGCTGAAGGGGCACCGCACAGCTCTCCCTCTCTGCAAAAGGAACCCGAAGCCTTTGGCGCGCAGCGCGAGGTCCCGCTGCGCTCCAAAGGCTTCAGGCGACTATCCCTGAAGCCTGGAGAGCGAGAGGGGTCGGTGTGCACTGACCCCTCTCGGTCTCTAGGCTTCAGCAAAAGCAACGCGAAGCCTCTGGAGCGCGGAGGGAGCGCTCCCTCTGTGCTTTGGAGGCTTCGCGTTGCTATCGCTGTAGCCAGGGAGCCTGCATTTGCTGCATAGGACGCACACACATTTCCCCTTAATTTTTGGAGGGGGAAAAGTGCGTCCTATAGAGCGAAAAATACGGTATATAAAAGCCTGAGGTTTGGGGGGCAATTCAATCACTGTTTTACAAGCTGCAATAAAGAGCATGAAATCACTACCTGACTCTGAATATATTTCAAGGGCTATGTCACATGGAAGATTGAGCAACTTTGTTTTCTCCTGCTCTAGAGGGTAGGATGCAAACCAATGGCTTTAAGTTACAAGAAAGGAGATTCCGACTGAACATTCGGAAAAACTTTCTGACAGCTAGAGCTGTTCAGCAGTGGAGCAGATTCCTACGAGAGGTGGTGGACTCTCCTTCCTTGGAGGTTTATAAGCAGAGATTGGATGGCCATCTGTCAGGGATGCTTCAGCTGAGATTCCTGCATTGCAGGGGGTTGGACTAGATGACCCTCAGGGTCCCTTCCAATTCTATGATTGTATGAAATTTGCAGGCAAAGTTGCCCCTCCAGTGGGAGAACAATTCTTTGCCCAAGCAGAAATCCTTGTGCTGATGAAACGATTGCCTTAGTGCTATGTTGGATTCCATGCAATGTATTAGAGGACATGCAAGCCGACTCCATAGAAGTGATCTTTCTGGGCTGTTGGGAGAGGTGCTTTGTAAATTGTGGTGAACTATGTATGTTTTTTGCCCGACTGCTATTTACGTTTATCTGAATATAGTTATTGTCCTACAGCAATTTACGCCAGTGTGGTGTAGTGGTTAAGAGCGGTAGTCTCGTAATCTGGGGAACCGGGTTCGCTTCCCCGCTCCTCCACATGCAGCTGCTGGGTGACCTTGGGCCAGTCACACTTCTCTGAAGTCTCTCAGCACCACTCACCTCACAGAGTGTTTGTTGTGGGGGAGGAAGGGAAAGGAGAATGTGAGCCGCTTTGAGACTCCTTCGGGTAGTGATAACGTGGGATATCAAATCCAAACTCTTCTAAAACATACCCATTCTGCAGGTGACCCAAGCTGCACCTCCTAACATCAATGCCATGAAGACCCCAGTTCTGGGCTCACCAACCACAAATGAGGAACAGGAAACCACTTGCTCCATCTGCAGGGAGTATCATACAGACCCTGTGACCCTGGACTGCGGCCACAACTTCTGCCGGGGGTGCATCACCTGCTATTGTAACATATGGGAAAATCAGGATGGGGGAGCGTTGAAGTGTCCTCTTTGCAAATCCCGGATCCAGAAGTGGAATTTTCAATCAAATGTGCAGCTGGCAGAAACAGTAGAAGGCCTCAAACTCCTTCCACTGAAATTATATAAGGTAAAGTAAGGTGGGGGGGTCATGCTGGGATCCTCTGTTCCTATTATAGTCAGTGCTGAATTATGAAGGGAGGGGAGGAAATTACCGTATTTTTCACTCTATAAGATGCACCAGACCATAAGACGCACCTAGTTTTTGGAGGAGGAAAACAAGAAAAAAAATATTCTGAATCCCAGAAGCCAGAACAGCAAGAGGGATCTGGCTTCTGGGATAGCCTCTTGCTGTCCTGGCTTATGGGATAACCGCGTGCAGCCTCTCCCGGGCAGCAGGAGGAAGGCTCCCCAAGAGCCGCGTTCCCTTTAAAGAGCGTGCGGAGCGTGTGTGTGTGTGTGCGGCTCTTGGGGGCTTTTCCCTGAGGAGGGAAGAGGGCCGCCCTTCTCCCTCCTCGGGGAAAAGCCCCCAAGAGCCGCACACACGCTCCACGCGGCTCTTTGAAGGGAGCGCTGAGCAGAGCCTCCTGCCTGCATTTGCTCGGTAAGACGCACACACATTTCCCCTTACTTTTTAGGAGGGAAAAGGTGCGTCTTATAGAGCGAAAAATACGGTACATATAGAAGACTCCCGATTCAATCCAGGGCTGGATCTACATTGATCTTCTAAACGTGATTGAATATAATGTTCTCTAACGCTTAATGGTAGTTTTCCATTGCTGGAGGCTCACTGCTCTGCAGAGCCCTCTGTTAATGCATTTTAAACGTTATAAATGACGAGTATAGATCCGCCCCGGGTAATCTCAGTCTATAAAATTCTGCCTGAGAGTTTGGAGAGTAATAATAATAATAATAATTTATTAATTATACCCCTCCCATCTGGCTGGGTTTCCCCAGCCACCTTGGGCAGCTCCCAACAGAATATTAAAAGCACAATAAAACATCAAGCATTAAAAACTTCCCTAAACAGGGCTGCTAAATGTCTTCTAAAAGTCTGATAGTTATTTCCTTGACATCTGGTGGGAGAGTGTTCCACAGGGCAGGCGCCACTACCAAGAAGGCCCTCTGCCTGGTTTCCTGTAACCTCACTTCTCCCAGGGAGGTTGTTGGCTGTATGGCGCAGATTAACGCTTAGGCTCAACAGTGCATCTGCTTCAGATTTGCTCCAGATGAGCCTTAGTAATAATAATAATAATAATTTTATTATTTATATGCAGTCATGAACATCAACCATTAAAAACTTCCCTGAAGAGGGTTGCCTTCAGATGTCTTCCAAAAGTCAAATAATTCTTTGACATCTGATGGGAGGGCTTTCCACAGGGCAAACTAAGATCCCAGGTTCAGTTCCTTCCAATTGGGCTGAGAAAGTGAAATAATTCTATCTAATATCCTACAAACCTGAAGGCAGCTTTTTGCTAGAGGAACAAATAGTTTGATTCAGAATCAGACTGGATCATATAATATGTATCTAACATACTCAGAAAAGGGGTGGGGGTAGGGGGATATGGCAAGCATCCCCAACCTTTGGCCCTCCAGATGTTTTGTACTACAATTCCCATCATCCCTTACCACTGGTCCTGTTAGCTAGGGATCATGGGAGTTGTAGGCCAAAACATCTGGAGGGCTGCAGGATCGGGGATGCCTGGGATATGGTCTTTATTTTCCAAGGAAGGAGTAGGAAGAAACCTCTGCAAATTACTAGATCTTCACGCTTAGATGAGACATAAGCCCTTTTCGGTCTGCTGCGTAGTACAAAGACATGGGGAAGCGTCACCACAGCAATGGCCTCTGCCCTCTTAGCTACCCATGATCATGTCAATGTTTCAGACAAACCTACAGGGTGGCCCAAAATCACTTTTTCTGAAAGAATGGAATGACTTGATAGGGTGAACATTTTCTAAGGAGATCTGTGTTTGGCATCACACGGGCTGCCCTCCTGCCAGAACCAAATTATCGTTACGAGTTTGCCAGTGCCAGACCTCTCTAATCCCAGGATCCAGCAAGTGTTAAAATAGGGATCAGCAACCTTTTTCAGCCGTGGGCCAGTCCACCATCCCTCAGACCATGTGGTGGGCCAGACTATATTTGGGGGGAGGGATGAACAAATTCCTATGCCCCACAAATAACCCAGAGATGCTTTTTAAATAAAAGGACACATTCTGCTCATGAAAAACACGCTGATTCTTGGACCATCCGTGGGCCAGATGGAGATGGAGATTGGGCCACATCCGGCCCCCGGGCCTTAGGTTGCCTACCTGTGTTAAAATCTAACCAAGGTTTCAAATTTTTGTAATAGCCATGTGAATCTCCGGGGGGAGGTGTAAGGAGAACAAAGGAAGGGGAGATGGCAAATGCCCCTCCCTCTGCTCACAGATAGTTGTATATATGTGTAAACAAACCACATATCATAAAGGCACCACAGTCTCTGCTGTGCCTCATTCCCAAAAGGAAACACAAACCCTGATGAGAAAGCGCCCGGAACCCCGGGAATCTCTCGCCGCTCGGAGACTTGGGTGGCACACAATGTTATTTTCAATCTGTGCAGGAAAGAACCCAGAGCCAGCTGAAGTCTTTGGAGAAAGAAAAGCAAAACCTTGTCAATCAGAAACAGTCCGAAGAAGAGGAAAAGGAGAAATGTCTGGTAGGTTTTTTTCATTCAAGATCTTTGCAAGCCAAGGTTGTGCGTAGACAACAGACTCTCAGCCAAGGCAGGGATTGTGGAGCAAACCTGAACCCCAGAAAGCCTGTCGCTTTAAAACTGCCTCGCACTTGGCCAGACTAACCAGAGGCTATTCCACAAAGCCCTCTAAATCATGTACATAAAAGGTGAAGGTAGAGGTAAAGGACCCCTAAGGGTGGCGCTGTGGGTTAAACCACAAAGCCTAGGACTTGTTGATCAGAAGGTCGGCGGTTCGAATCCCCGCGATGGGGTGAGCTCCCGTTGCTCCGTCCCTGCTCCTGCCAACCTAGCAGTTTGAAAGCACGTCAAAGTGCAAGTAGATAAATAGGTACCGCTCCAGCGGGAAGGTAAACGGCGTTTCTGTGCGCTGCTCTGGTTCGTCAGAAGCAGCTTAGTCATGCTGGCCACATGACCCAGAAGCTGTACGTCGGCTCCCTCGGCCAGTAAAGCGAGATGAGTGCTGCAACCCCAGAGAAGGCCACAACTGGACCTAATGGTCAGGGGTCCCTTTACCTTCAGTTAAGTCCAGTCGCGAACGACTCTGGGGTTGTGGCGCTCATCTCGCTTTACAGGCTGAAGGAGCCGGTGTTTGTCCACTTCCGCAGTCAGTTTTTCCATGTCATGTGGCCAGCATGACTAAGCCGCTTCTGGAGAAAACAGAGCAGCGCACGGAAACTCCATTTACCTCCCCGCCGGAGTGGTACCTATTTATCTACTTGCACTTGCTTTTGAATTGCTAGCATAGCATCCTTTAAACCCACAGGCTGGTATGGCAGGAAAGGCTAGAACTTTCCTACTTCCTACTTTCCTAAAATTTCGGAACTAATCGCTTCTTTCCTTACCCATTCCTTGCCCTGTGTGCAGCCTGAAAGTAGCTGCATGTGTGTGCAGTCATGGGTCAGCTGGATGTGTGTAAATGGGGCATTGCCAGTACTGGAGGTGTGTTGTGTTACCTGTGCATGTTGCACGTCTGATATGTGGAGTGGATTTATGTGTATGTGTGGAGGACAGGGGGGGGGTTTTCCATGTTTGTTCCAGGTGCATTTGTGACATCTGTGTGGATGTTCTTTCCTCAGAAACAGTTAAACAAAGAAAAGCAGAAAATCAAAGACGCCTTTGAGAAGATGCAAAATTCTCTGGAGGAAAAAGAGAGTTCCTCACTGGCCCGCCTGCGAAACCTAGAAAAGGAGATTAAGAAGAAGGTGGCGGAAAATGGCAACAGACTCTCAGAGGACATTTCTTACCTCACGAAATTGATCGCTGAGCTGGAGGAGAAGTGTGAGCAGCCCCCACAGCTGTTTCTTCAGGTGAGATGGAGCCAATGTCACCTGAACGTGACATTTGGTTTTCCACAGAGAAAACGGGGCAAATCAGTCCTCCTGGTAACACAAATATGAGACAGACTTCTCTGTATCTTTCTCTTTCAGGACATCGAAAGTACCTTGCTCAGGTATGCAGCTCCTTCTCCTGCCATTACTGACTCTTAAAAATAAATAAACCCCTGCTTATTCCCCAGAAAGTCTTGATGCAGCTAACAGTAGCAAAAGCAGAATAAACAAACATTAGAATGTCCATAGGCTGCAGGGCAAGGTGAGCAATAACTGGCTTATCTTCTTCTTTTCTGTTACAGTTTTTAGTCTAGCTTCTACACCCTTTGGATCTGACATTATTTGGCACAGATAATTTGTCCACAGCTACATTTGTCTTGACAGGGATGATGATGCTGATGATTTATACCCCGCCCATCTGGCTGGGTTTCCCCAGCCACTTTCGGCGGCTCCCAAAAGAATATTAAAAGCACAATAAAACATCAAACATTAAAAACTTCCCAAAACAGGGCTGCCTTCAGATGTCTTCTAAAATTCAGATAGTTGTTTATTTCCTTGACATCTGATGAGAGGGCATTCCACAGGGTGGGTGCCACTACTGTGAAGGCCCTCTACCTGGTTCCCTGTAACCTCACTTCTCTCAGTGAGGGAACCGCCAGAAGCCCTCAGAGCTGGACCTCAGTGTCCGGGCTGAACGATGGGGGTGGAGATGCTCTTTCAGGTATACTGGGCCGAGGCCGTTTAGGGCTTCAAAGGTCAGCACCAACACTTTCAATTGTGCTTGGAAACGTACTGGGAGCCAATGTAGGTCTTTCAGGACCAGTGTTATATGGTCTCAGCAGCCAGTCTAGCTGCCACATTCTGAATTAGTTGTAGTTTCCGGGTCACCTTCAAAGGGATGAAGCACATTCTTGTGTGAGCCCAAGAAGCCCCTCTATATAGAACTGTTAAGTTGTGGGTGAACATATCAGACGACACAGCGATTCTTCAAATAGCTCTTGTTTATTCACAGGCCAGGACAGAACTGAACTGAAGGGTTCAGTCAGCCTGCTTATATAGAGCTCCAGTACAATGTAACTGTAACAATTTTCTAAAACTATCCAATCACTGAATGTCACTTTCGATCCCTTATTTGCATTACTATCTACAGTATCTCCCTGCTGGCCCAGGGTGAGAACTTCAGTACATAACAAGAACCAGGCTGTAGACCCCTCGAATCCTCCCTCTCTACTTCCCCCAAAAGCACTGGCTGCCTAAAACCCTTTTCAGATGACAGGTGCGACGCATTGAGTCTATAAAGCATTAGAGGAATTACCATTCTTTAAGCTTTCTTTTCGCAAAACCATCTTTCCTTCCCGGGTACAGGGAGAAACGAGCGGAGCATTCAGCAGACCTTTCCACCTGGTTGGAGGAGAGACTCAAGATCTGTTGTCAGAAAAATTCAACGCTAGTAAACGCTATGGTGAAATGTGCAGGTATTTGGGGCAGCTCGGGAGTCGGGGGGGGAGAGAGAGAGAGAGGTTGAGCTCTCAAAGATATAACTGTGAAGGAAAGCGATCTAGGGCCCGGGGTGGAATATGCAACGGAAACATCCACCCGGCTGTGAAAAAGGCAAAATTCCTTGCCAGCGAAAGGCATAGAAACAAAAACATTGCGATGCCTTTCTGCAAATCGATGGTGCAAACCTGAGAGATTCTGGAGAGGCCTAGCAACTGCATCTTGGAAGATTGCAGTAGAGCTGGAAACATTGCAGTAAATATGATTTTTTTTCCAAAAAAATGAAATCTACATTATTTATTACATACTGATAAGCTCTTTGAGCGAATTTGTCATTTTTAAACCTAACACTTCCTTCCTTCTCCCACCTCCTCAAACAGATTCTCTGGAGGAAGCATTGAAGAAAGGTAATTTTGGGGGGACAGAATACCAAGGGATATTTTGATGGGATAAGTTGCCAGTGGGTCCATCTGCTGACCACAGAAAGTCACCCCACTTTAAAACTGTAGCACATCTAATGTAATTCTAATTTATGTGATGGTCTTAATGGAGGTCAAGTTGACATATTGCTATTTTGTACATTGCTGCTGCTTCTTGCTTGCTTGTGAGTCACACAAAGCAATAATCAACCTAAAAAAGCAAAAGAACCCATGAAATACAGTACCTCATTTTTATATTACAGAAGGTTTGAATAAATTTCTCACTCACACTACAGCGCCTCTGGAGCAAAAACTGGAGAAAGGTAATATTATGGAACTAAATGAGAACTAAATCTTGGTGGGAGATGGTGCATGGAAAAGAGTCAAGGGGCAGAACTGGTTTTATTCTGGGAATAAATTCAGTAAATTGAGTCAATAATAATTGTTTCTTAACTGTGCCTGACATGCCATCCAAAAGTTAATTCATTCAGCATAGCCCTATATTTAAATGCCGATCTTAATCAGGGAAGTACTGTAACAGGGCTTTTTTTAAAAGAAGCAACCGCTGAAACATGTATGATGATTGTTTTATTCTATTGCTTCTTAAACGAGAACTGAACAAAAGTAAGTTCTGGAAGAATTAGATGGAAACACAAGCCCTCCAATGAAAATAAGGACACCCAATGACACATAAAACATTAACCATAGTCGCTGAGAGCATGTCATTCAAATAAAAACTACCAAGTCTAACAAATGAGTAATTATTATTGTTGTTGTTGTTGTTGTTGTTAATTGTTGTTGTTGTTGTTGTTAATTGAATTTATATACCGCCCTATACCTGGAGGTCTCAGGGTTAGGTTAGGTTAGGTTAGGTTAGGTTAGGTTAGGTTAGGTTAGGTTAGGTTAGGTTAGGGTTAGGATCGCAATATATAAAATCAAAATAAAAAGAATAACCCAGTAATGCCCCACCCCAAAAAAGAGCTACATTTTAAAAGGGCATAGGATGTTGATGAAGTCAACCAAAGGCCTAGTTAAAAAGGAACATTTTTGCCTGGCACCTAAAGGTGTATAATGAAGGCACCAGCCGAACTTCCCCAGGGAGAGCATTCCACAGACGGGGAGCCACTGCAGAGAAGGCCCCATTCTCGTGTGACCCCCCTCCAAACCTCTTGAAGAGGAGGCACATGAAGGAGGGTCTCAGAAGATGATCTCAGGGTCTGGGTAGGTTCTTATGGAAAGAGGCGGTCCTTGAGGTATTGCGGTCCTGAGCCATTTAAGGCTTTATAGGTCGAAACCAGCACTTTGAAATGGGCCTGGAAACTAATTGGTAGCCAGTGAAATCGGACCAGGATTGGTGTAATATGCTCAGACCGTTTTGCTCGAGCAACCTGGCTGCTGAATTCTGCACTAGCTGTAGTTTCCAAACAGTCTTCAGAGTCATCTCTACGTATAGCTTTCAACCACCCCTTATTTGGCGGGAAACTCCCTTATCCCAGCGCCGTGTCCCGCTGCTGTCCCTTATTGATGATGTCCCTTAAATTTCCCGGGTTTCATGCTCGCCCAGCTCGGGAGGGAAGCAGCGGCTCGGGGTCCTCCGCTGCGAGAGAGAGCGCGCGAGGAGTTCCATCGGCCCTTCCCTACCCGAGAGAGAGGGGGTGAGGGAGAGAGACTCTCACCCACGCCGCCCACAAGCCTGGAGGCGGGGTGGCGGCAGCTGAGGAGGCGGCCTGAGGGAGGAGGAAGAGGAGGGGATGGGGAGGCACGCAGAAGGGCGGCACTTCAGCGGCCGCCGCAGCGCCGCAACCGCCTCATGCCGGATTGACAGACTCTGTCAATCCTACTCTTTACAATAGCAAAATCCCTTATTTTGGCTGCTGATCCCTGATTTTCGAGGCTGCTGGTCCCTTATTTTCAAATCTGTAAGTTGACAGCTATGATGTAAATATGTCTCTGACTGGAAATGGGTAGAAACCATAGCTAAAGGTGGTATTCCCAGGTGTAGCAGACCCAAAGGGATCGTTCCTTCTCATCTGCTTAGGAGTGTTCACTTACTCGCCGGGAGATTTAAGCCCACGTTTATTTTCCCTTTGTCTGTGTGCCCTTCAGTGAGCGTGACTCTGGATCCACAAACGGCACACCCTCTGCTCGCGCTGTCTGCCGATCTGAAGAGCGTGAAGGTTGGGGAAGCGTCGGATGACCAGGCCGAGGACACGGACGAACTGACCTGCATACCCTACGTGCTGGGCCGCGAGAAGTTCACGTCCGGGAGACATTGGTGGGAGGCCGAGCTGGATTTAAACGAAGAAGACAAGGAATACATGGATCAGGAGTGCTTGTGGATCGTAGGGGCGGCACGAGAGTCCTTCCAGAGAAATAAAGGTTTCAACCTGAGCCCTAAAGCTGGGGTCTGGGCTGTGGGGGTGAGTCCCTTTTCCAAAAAGCTCACTGCTTTCACTTCCCGCAAGCCAAGCCATTCGCACTTGGCACATCAGGTGAGGAACATCCGAGTATCCCTGGATTACAAAGCACGCCAGGTGGAGTTTTTTGATGCCGATACAGATGCCTCCATTTTCACTTTTTCTGCAGCTTCGTTCGCTGGGGAGGCCATTCGTCCCTTTTTTTGTCTGGGGGGAGAAGGACTTGAATTGAAGTGTGGAAACTGAGCAGAATATTCACCAGCCCTGGTCTTACCCTGAAAACAGATAGCTAGTGGAAGCTTTCCTTCTGGTGCAAATAGCAATTGTGGGGGGGGTGTATTAGGGCTGTGCTAATGGAATCTTTCCTTCAAGTGCAAATAGCAGCTGTGGGGGTATATTAGGGCTGTGCTAATGGAAGCTTTCCTTCTGGTGCAAATAGCAACTGTGGGGGGGTGTATTAGGGCTGTGCTAATGGAATCTTTCCTTCAAGTGCAAATAGCAGCTGTGGGGGTATATTAGGGCTGTGCTAATGGAAGCTTTCCTTCTGGTGCAAATAGCAACTGTGGGGGGGGTGTATCAGGGCTGTAGTAATGGAAGCTTTCCTTCTAGTGCAAATAGCAGCTGTGGGAGTGTGTATTAGGGTTGTGCTGAGACCCCACTGATCTGCCTCGTGGTCCCTGGGTCTGCACATCACCCACGTGCGGACAGGGATGTCCCACCCTCTGACAGCCCTGGATTGCTCTGGGTTTTGCAACCCAATCCAGGGCTATTTGAACCCGACTCGGTTGATGCCTGGATTCCCCCCCCCTCCCCCAAATCAGCCTGATTCAGTTTGGGACTCAGCCAAATGCACTCTGCAGCCCTAGTAAGTACAGGAGGAGAAATTCGGTTTGATTTGCATGCTAATGCAAAAATACCAAATTTACACTCCCCATAACAATGTGGGAACCAAAGCCTAGCTATCCTTCAAAATCCACACTTCTCAGAATTTTGCTATGCAGAATTAAGTAGTCTTCTAGCCAGATAATACGTACATTAGGGAGAATTGTGCTTAAAACCACATATATTAGTCACTATAGCATACAAACATGCATTATGTCTAGGGAAACTACTTGCAAAAATGGGTATATTGGCCAAAATTGCATAAGGAGAAATGCACACTAAAATCTCTATGCTGAGCTTATCCACCTGGATTTTTAAAAATTCCAATCATATTCCTTAATCAAGAAACAAGCTTTTTTTCTGATGAAAATATGAACAATTATTGCATATTCTATGCACTATTCTACATATGCGTATGCACTCTAGAATTCCTAAAGTAACCAGTATAATCCAGCATGCTTGAGTAATTAGTGTGTGAAGAGGTTAAAACCATAGAGTAAGCTGTCCTGCTAGGCTTCATCTATTTTACTTCCCCCTCACCTTGGGAGGAAATGGGTAACCAAGCCTTTTGGATTTCTGTATGGAAGGCTCTCTGAACTGGTCATTCCACTCCTTTGTTTCAGACCAGAATGGAGTTCTGAAACTAGCATTTTCCTATACCAATAGTTTAGATACTTTTGCATTCATGTAGTTGAGCAACGATTTTGACTGAGTGCGTATCTTTTCTGTCTGCTGTATGGAAAAGCACATGAAAAGCACATGAATAGTTTTGTAAGGAAACCATTTTATGTGTCTATCTCTGTGCTGGAGAATCAATATAGCTTAGAAAGAGCTTTTTTAAAGGGGTTTACAGCCTATATTTCCATGCTTTTCTTTGCTGTATGTTTTGCGATGTTAAATCTCTGCTGGGGTTTTCTCACCAAAGCGTGCTTGCCCCAAACTTGGGCCTAGACTTCTAGTATGCCAACAACCAGCACATAAGCAGATACATTAAACAATGCACATCGCTGTATATTTAACAGTATGTATCAATAAACTTATAAAGTTACTCTGCAGAAATGTACCACAGTGTGTTGTTTTACTCTTTTATACTTATTATACACATACCATACTTTTGGGGGGAAATGTATCATTATACATGAGTGGAGCACCATTACCTTCCCACTGAAAAAAACTCAAATTTATCTCTGCACATCTAGGGACAGGTGAAGAGATGCCATATAAGAAGGGTCAAGTATGATTTTCTGACAAGATTTCCATACCTCTTGTTTAGAAAGTAAGCCATAACACAAGGACGTATGTTTTTGAATTCATCTGTTCATCTTTCCACATCCATTGGCCAAAAAAAATCACACAGAGGAACTTACGGTCTTCAAACAAAAACATCTTGGAGGTCCAAGGCCACAGAGAGGTTAGGCTGGCCTCGACCCGAGCCAGGGCTTTTTCGGCCATGGCCCCGATCTGGTGGAACGCTCTGTCACAAGAGACCAGGGCTCTGCGGGACTTGACATCTTTCCGCAGGGCCTGCAAGACAGAGCTGTTCCACCAGGCCTTTATAAAATTTCATAATTTGATAATGAAATGATTTTAGAATGTTTTATCATTTTACTGTTGTTAGCCGCTCTGAGCCCGGCTTCGGCTGGGGAGGCCGGGATATAAATAAAATTTATTATTATTATTATTATTAAAAAATAAATTTAATTTTTCATGACCCAAAACACTTCCTTCTCTAGATTGAAAGAGCAAGGTATTCAAAGTGAGGCTACAAAGGAACCAGTGGCTTATGTAAGCAGATAATACAGTGCTCATTCCCTATGTAGTTCCTGGGAGGAAAGGAGTTTTTGAGGGAGAAAGAAAGGTGCAGTCTCTAAACACCCACATGCTCTGTAAACCTGGTCAACATTATGTCTGAACAGGAAATTCCAACACAAATAGTGTATGCATACACTGGGCCTGCTTCAATGTCCCCACATATGCTGTTCCTCACACCCCATTCTGCCCAGCTCATATTGAGCTCAAGCCAACGTCTTCATCTTCCAAAGCAACTTCTCTATTCCGAACTTAAAAATGGAAAGCGCAATGCTGGTGGTCAACAAAAGAGGTTGAAAGACTCCCTCAAGGCAAATCTTTAAAAATGTAGTATAAACACTGACAACTGGGAAACACTGGCCTGTGAGCGCTCCAACTGGAGAACAGCCTTTACCAAAGGTGTCATGGGTTTTGAAGACACTCGAACTCAGGATGCAAGGGAGAAACGTGCTAGGAGGAAGGCACGCTTGGCAAATCCACACCGTGATCAACTCCTGCCTGGAAACCTATGTCCCCACTGTGGAAGGACATGTGGATCCAGAATTGGCCTCCACAGTCACTTACGGACTCATTGTTAAGACCGTGTTCATGGAAGACAATCTTACTCGCCTACAAGTGATTGCCAAAGAAGAAGAAACCATCAGCATTCCTCACACAATCAGTGTATAAACCTTATTAAATAAATAAGTAAACAAGTTACGTAATTCTGCCACAGCAGACAGTGAGATGAGTAACTTAGCTCAAAAACTTTTCATGTTCTGAATTCACACGCCTTCTTCCATTCCCTACTTGGAAGTAAGTCCCATTGAACTCAATGGCGTTTGTTTCTGAGTAGACCTGTACAAGACCTCTTCCACATTTGATTTTCTCCTGCACTTTCTAAGCACAGACCCGAGATTTATTGGTCCATGTCTGAGCGGTTGGGGGGGGGGTGTCCCACCACTTACCCCAGGAAAACCGGCTCCACACCACTGAATCAGAACAAATGGCAATCTGCACAATACCCTAGTGGTGCTCGTTCCAATTCAGCAGTAAACAATTTTCCAAAGTGAAGCAGCGGTGGGGGGGAGGGTGACACTTTCGGACACAGACCAACAAATTTCAGACCAATACAGGAAGTGCGGCACAAACTTAGCAAGAAAAGAAAAAGATGAGTGACAGAATAGCATCACATCAGAGCTGCCATGTGTCAGAAGGCTCCGGGGAGGGATGGAGGTTCCAGTCTTAAGAATTCTCCACGCTGCAGCCTTGTTGCTAGGCAACAGCCTGTGGGCAATCTGGTCCTGACTTGAGCTCCAAACAGAGTCCCACTCCTAGTCCCCATCTACCAATCTCTCTGGCTTCTCCTCCGCTTCAGAGGGCTTGCTGGGGAAGACAGCTTCTCCAAACACACCTAGAACGAAGGGAAGCCCTCAACACCCCCTAAGTCTTCAGTGGCTGCTTATTGGACCACTTGTTTTGAACTTGGTCACCACTACTTGTATGTTTGGAGCTTTGACTCTGGTCCAAGGCAGCCAGGATTTTTTTTTTTTAAATATAGGTTTAAGTCCAGTTTGATTCAAGAAAACAACTCATAAAACTGGTTTTCAGGTTTCTGGCCAGATTCTGCTGGTCGTTACACAGCCCAAAAGGAGCAGCCCCACACAGATAATTTTCTTGTAAAGGAGAGGTTTGAAATTTGAAACAAGACTTAAGAGGCGGCCCATGGCGTCAGGAAGTGCCGTGTTGGAGTGCTGCGAGGAAGCGACTTGGTCCATCTGCCTGGAGTACTTCAAGGATCCAGTGACCATCAACTGCGGACACAACTTCTGCCAGGCCTGCCTCACCCTCTTCCTGCCCTCAGTGCAGGGAAACCGTTCAGCAGAGGAACTTCCGGCCAAATCGACAGCTAGCAAATCTTGTGGAGCTGGTCAAGAAACTTCAGGAAGGGAGGAAGGAAGATGGCAAGAGGGGAATGTGTCCGAGGCATCAGGAACCCCTGAAACTCTTCTGCAATGATGACCAAGACCCCACCTGTATGGTGTGTGACAGATCCAAGGAACACAGAGAACATAGTGTGTTCCCCATGGAAGAGGCTTCCCAAGAATATAAGGTAGAAAAACACCACCGTGGACTGACGCCAACCTTGTTTTAATTTTGGTGCCAGGAAAATGCATTTTTGTTTTCCTGGGTGTTTGGGAAGCACAAATACTCGTAATCTTAAATTACACTATTAGACCTGTTTTTCTAACAGTGTAGTATAATACAGTGGTACCTCGGGTTACATACGCTTCAGGTTACATACGCTTCAGGTTACAGACTCCGCTAACCCAGAAATAGTACTTCAGGTTAAGAACTTTGCTTCAGGATGAGAACAGAAATTGTGCTCCGGTGGCACGGCAGCAGCAGGAGGCCCCATTAGCTAAAGTGGTGCTTCAGGTTAAGAACAGTTTCAGGTTAAGTACAGACCTCCGGAACGAATTAAGTACTTAACCCGAGGTACCACTGTATTATTGCTACTGCCCAAACCACTTTATTATGGTGTGTATCTGAAGAAGTGTGCATGCACACGAAAGCTCATACCAATAATAATAATAATAATAATAATAATAATAATAATAATAATAATAATAATATATTATTTATACCCCGCCCATCTGGCTGGGTTTCCCCAGCCACTCTGGGCAGCTTCCAACAGAACACTAAAATACAATAACCTATTAAACATTAAAAGCTTCCCTAAACAGGGCTGCCTTCAGATGTTTTCTAAAAGTCAGACAGTTGTTTATTTCCTTGACATCTGATGGGAGGGCATTACACAGGGCGGACGCCACTGCCGAGAAGGCCCTCTGCCTTGTTCCCTTTACCTTCACTTCTCGCAGTGAGGGAACCACCAGAAGGCCCTCGGAGCTGGACCTCAGCGTCCGGGCAGAACGATGGCGGTGGAGACACTCCTTCAGGTATACAGGACTGAGGCTGTTTAGGGCTTTAAAGGTCAGCACCAACACTTTGAATTGTGTGCAGAGCAAGCTGTCACCAAGTCAAGAGCGATCAAGGAGGCAGTCACACATTCTCCCTTTTGCAAACTGCTGGAAACCTTGAAAACAGAAACTTCCTCCGACCCTTACCAAAATCAGAGCAGAATTTCTAAGGGAATCCCTGAGCCACGAGGTAGGCTGAACTCCCCAGAATAAAAGCCGTCTCTGCTCTTGCAGGAGAGAATTGAGGCCCAGCTGAAGTCTCTGCAGAAAGAGAGAGACAAGCTTGTGGACTGGAAAGTGATAGAAGAACAGGGAAGTCAAAAGTGCCTGGTAAGCATCTCTTCTCGCTCGGAGAGGGTGCCACTGGGCGCTGGCTGCTAGATCCCTCAGGCCACATTCTTCCTTCCCACCCCGTCTGTGTGTGTGTGTGTGTGTGTGTGTGTGTGTGTGTGTGTGTGTGTTTCCCCCCAGATGCAGCTGGAAGAGGAGAAGCAGAAGATCAGATTGGAAGTGTTTCTGGCTGGCCCTGCTGGATGACCTGGAAAAGAAGATTAAGTAGAGGCAGGAAGCAAACGTCACCAGGCTCTCCGATGAGATCTCCAGCATCAGCGGGATGATTGCAGAGATGGAGAGGAAATGCCAACAGCCAGCAAGGGAATTTCTGCAGGTGAGACTCATAGTGGTGAGGAGGAATGGAAGTTCCCCCAGAATGTCTGCTTTATATACATTATTTACACAGTGGGCCCCACGTGATTGGCTAATTCCGGAATTCTCCTGTAGGCCAATCAGGTTGCGGATTCACTTCCACCTGGAGCTGGATTGGGTGGCTCCTGTGGACCAATCAGACTGCTGCATTCTGGATCCTATTGTTCTAGGACCAATCAGACTGCTGCATTCTGAATCCTGTTGTTCTAGGACCAATCAGACTGCTGCATTCTGAATCCTGTTGTTCTAGGACCAATCAGACTGCTGCATTTTGGATCCTATTCAACTCAGTACACAACAGACCCCACTCCTAGCTCCTTGTGTGATTACTCATCTTGGAATAGATCTTATGAATATTTCCATAGGCATCTGTGAAAACAGGAGGGTGGATTAGATAGGCCATTGGCTTCATCCAGCAGAGCTTCTCTTAAGTTAAAAATGGGGGGGGGGGGAATAAGGGTGATATATTTTTGGATAATATGTTTTGTTTTAATTTTGAATAAAAAATATTAAAAAGAAAGAAAGAAGCTGGTTGCTGCTTCTGTTGCTAATACAGTGGTACCTCGGGTTACATACGCTTCAGGTTACATACGCTTCAGGTTACAGACTCCGTTAACCCAGAAATAGTGCTTCAGGTTAAGAACTTTGCTTCAGGATGAGAAGAGGAATCGTGCTCCGGCGGCGCATCGGCAGCAGGAGGCCCCATTGGCTAAAGTGGTGCTTCAGGTTAAGAACAGTTTCAGGTAAAGAACGGACCTCCAGAACGAATTAAGTACTTAACCTGAGGTACCACTGTAGGTATTTCCTTGGAACGCCCCCTGTGGGAGAGGAAATTAGTTGAAGAAGAAAACACTTTGTCGAAAAGTGGGCAGGAAATGAAGGATGTGACAAGAGACTGGAAGCAAGTTCAGGCCATCAAAAGTAATGAGGAGAAATTCCCCATGTGTGAAATCAGAACAGCTCCGATTTCTTTTATCTCTGAAGAACTTAAGGAAAGATGCAGATGATAGGCCTTCCTCCCTGGAAAGATGTTCTCTCTGCATCTATAGAAGCATATAATGATCATTAAGCTTACTGTTAATGACCGAAAGCCATCCAATATAAAGTCTCTAGTCTGGAAACCTTTTCCCTCCGGTCTGTGTGTACGTGTAAAAATATATATATCCCATCAAGCAGCACAGAAAGTGAGGATTATCTGGTAGTGGGTTTCAGGCAGGGATTCCTTGCAAGCCTTACCTGGTGATACCGGGAACTGAATTAAGGAACTTCTCTGTGTAAAGTATGCAAAATTATTCCTCTGAACTGCAGTCTCTCCCTGTATGGCTTCTCCTGGGGCATTTTGATCACTGGCAGTTTATTTATCCACTCAATACATGCCTTTTTCTTTACAATTAAATTTCTAGCCCACCTTTCTTCCCAAAGGAGTATGACACACACACTCACACACCAATGTCTTTTGTTAAAAGTTTCCAGGCTTGCTTACTATTATGGGCTGTATACTTAAGAGCCCGTGTTGGCATTCAGCTGTTAACAGAATTTTATGGAATTCTGGGTGATGTGGGAAAACTGGACAGAGACACAAAATAGACTGTATAAATGCTGTAACTTCAATCGTCCAGTGATGCCATATAGGGGACAATTCAGAAGAGAGAAGTGGGATTCTCATAGTTGTGGCAACGGGCAGTGGCTTAGATGGGTTTTTCTTCTTCAAAAGTCAATCAGTCCAATCCATGGAGCAATCTATCAATGATCCTAGGCATAATGGCTTTATGCCATCTGCAGGATGAGAGGCCTGATGCAGAATAACTGGCCATCAGCCACTGTGAAACAGGATACAGTGGTACCTTGGTTCTCAAACGCCTTGGTTCCCAAACGCCAAAAGCCCGGAAGTAAGTATTCCGGTTTTAAAACGTTTTTCAGAAGCCGAATGCCCAATGTGGCTGTCGGCTATTGTTTCCGGGGCGCCTGCACCAATCAGAAGCTGCACCTTGGTTTTCAAACATTTTGGAAGTCAAACAGACTTCTGGAACTGATTAAGTTTGGCGCTCTTTTTTTTGCTATTTATTTTGAGTTTTTGCTTTTGAGGCTTTTTCAGTTAATTTGTTTGTATGACTGCAGAAATGGATAAAACAAAACAATGACGATCATCAATGCAGGTCAGAAAAAATAATAATTCTAATTTTTATTATCTACTATACTATCTTATTTATTTTATAGTTCAGTACATTGATTATTGCTTTCATTTTATGGCTCAATGGTCTCATTAGATAGTAAAATTTATATTAAATTGCTGTTTTAGGGGTAGTTTTTGAAAGTCTGGAATGGATTAATCCATAACTTTCTGTAGGAAAGCGCGCCTTGGTTTTGGAACGCTTTGGTTTTGGAACAGACTTCCAGAACGGGTTAAGTTTGAGAACCAAGGTAACACTGAACTGGATTAGATAGGCCTTTAAACTATTTTTTTTATATACATGGAGGGCTCTTTCCATGCCCATGGGTCTCACGGAGGAGCTGCTACTTCCAGCCCAGTGTAAAATGCCTCTCTCTGCCGCCAACTCACACATAAAGTCACTTGACCATCCCACTCTTTCTGCACTCTGGGTTTCAAGATCGCTGAGAGGCGGAAAAACTATTAGATAAAGCAAACTTTATTAAGAGAGACCCTGTCTTGGCCCCAACACAAGAGGAGCAGCCGTCTTCGGCAGAAGCAGCAACAGCAGGCTTTTCACTCCCAAGAAATCTCCATGTCCAAACCCTCACTCCTGACTCTCCTGAGGAAGTCGTCATAGTCTGCCCTGAAGATGCGTGAGCAAGCCGGCACATCGAGGAAGCTCAGCTGGTTTTCCGAGGATAACAGCAGGTGGATGGTGCTTCCGGACACCCTCGTTTCCATCAAGGAGAGCTTCTGGAGGCGAGTCAGGGCTGTGGCCGGCGGCTCCAGCACCTGCTCAAACACGCTGTCCAGGGAGAAAGGCAGGCAAGCCAGCAGCAAGCTTTCCAGTTGGGGCGAATGTCTGAGCAGGGACACAAGGCATGCTCTAAACACGGCTTTGTGCTGGGAAGGAAGGGGGCCTTCTGAGTCAGGGTACATCAGGAAAATGTGCCGGAGGTGGGGGAATTGATGAGGTGCGGGGCTGAAATTTTCCTCCAAGTCTTCGACCATTTCCTCCTCCTCGTCGTCGTCGTCGTCAGGGGCACACACTGCTGGAGGAGGGAGGTTAGCCACCAATTTACGGAGGTTCAGGCAGTGGCCCAGGAAGGTCCAGAAGGAAGAAGCATCTTCGCAGAGAAAGCCGCTCAATGAAAGGGAGTGCAGCTGTGCTCCGAGGGCGGCCGCCATCGGCAGAAGATCAGCAACATCGCACTGGCTGTCGTTGTCAAGGGTCAGGCAGGAGATGTGGCGCCACGATGCAAAGTCCTGGCCAAAGCCAGGGCTGCCTTCGAGAATCAGAGTCACGTCGGCCAAGTGCGGGCACACGGCTAAAGCGGCGGGCAGGCAGCTCAATGCCACATCGTCCAATTCCGTGAGGGTCAGCGTGAGCCCGTGGCCGCTATGGGCGGACATCCTGCGTCTCGCCAGCTCCTCCAGGGAGGGGAACTCGGGGGCGACCGGGATGTCGTCGAACTGCCGCCTGTAGATCGCGCACACGGCCTCCAGAACAAAAGGGTGGTCCAAGACCGTCAGGCTGCGCAAGGCCAACAGCAGAAAGACCAAGTGCTGAACCATGCATTGGAGGAGAGGTCTACCCATCAGGTATCTGGCTCTGAGCACCTTCAAGGCCGGGGAGCGGAGCAAGCCCGTGGCGGGGTCGTAGGCCAGGTGGAGGAGGCACTCTGGAGACAGCCTGCTGCAATCGACGACGTCCAGTTCGAGAAGCTGCCGGCAGTGGGAGCCCACGGCAGCAAGCACCCGGGCGTTGCACTGGGTGTCCGACAGGTTAAGTTGGATGAGGCTCGGCAAAGCTTTCACCAGGTCGACGAGGGAGTCTGCGGGGATCCGGCAGCAGCCTCTGATATCCAGGGAAGACAGGTTCTGCCGTGTCAGGGAAAGAGAAAGGGAAAGGTTTGTTTTTGCTCACGTACAACGGCGTTTGCCGACCTCCAGATTCACCAGGCTACAAATCCCATCAGCCGCAGCCAGCGCAGAAGGCGTACGGGGCAGCACCAAGTTGGCAGAAGTCATTGTAAATACAGTGGTACCTCAGGTTACATACGCTTCAGGTTACAGACTCCGCTAACCCAGAAATATTACCTCAGGTTAAGTACCGTATTTTTCGCTCTATGAGACGCACCAGACCACAAGACGCACCTAGGTTTTGGAGGAGGAAAACAAGAAGAAAAGAAATTCTGAATCTCAGAAGCCAGAACAGCAAGAGCAGTGAAAGCAGCAATCCCTCTTGCTGTTCTGGCTTCTGGGATAGCTGCGCAGCCTGCATTCGCTCCATAAGACGCACACACATTTCCCCTTACTTTTTAGGAGGGAAAAAGTGAGTCTTATAGAGCAAAAAATACGGTACTTTGCTTCAGGATGAGAACAGAAATTGTGTTCCGGCCAGCGTGGCAGCAGCGTGAGGCTCCATTAGCTAAAGTGGTACCTCAGGTTAAGAACAGTTTCAGGTTAAGTACGGACCTCCGGAACGAATTAAGTACTTAACCTGAGGTACCACTGTAAATGGCAGGCTGTGTATTAATGTGTTGGGTTCCATGGAGCCTGTGTGTGTGTGTGTGTGTGTGTGTGTGTGTCCCCCTTAATGTCTGCCCTACAGGAACACCTACCAAAACATGGCACCCTTTGCCTGTTGTCATATGTTGCACAAAATGCACAGAAGGCAGAAATTGCTGGTCCAGCGTTCCACTGCTAATGGTCTCTCTCTGCTAACAAAGCATCGTACTAAGAGCACAGTGGCCCATAGTACCAATGCAGTAAGTAAGAAACACATACAAGAAACCTCGCCGATTTATTGTCGAATTAGCTTTTGCGGACAGGAAAACAAAGGGCGTCGACTTGAGCACAACTCTCTATGCATCTACACTAGCCCACGAAATGTGCCACCATCAGTTCCGTCTGGGGGTTAGGGCCTTAGGGCCACATTCCTCCCTGGGCAATCTTTCCAGGGCCGGATGTCAGTGGTGGTTGTGGCGAGAGGCAAAACTGCCAAGCACAACGCATGCGAAAGTTGCATGCTCTCTGCAGGACTGGAATGTTTTGCTGCTGGAGGCAAAAAATAAAGTAAAAAACCCACAGCTGCTAGCTGCTATCACTGTACAGTGGTACTTCTGGATGCGAACGGGCTCCTGAGTAGAACGCAACCCGCAACTGTGCATTGCAATTCGCCGCTTCTGCGCATGACGTCATTTTGAGCGTCTGCGCATGCGCGAGCGGCGAAACCCGGAAGTAACGCGTTCCGTTACTTCTGGGTCGCCGCGGAGCGTAACCTGAAAACGCTCAACCTGAAGAATATTTAACCTGAGGTATGACTGTTCTTCGTCACTGCTGCCATGCTCCAGCCTTCCTCCGTGAGCACATTATGCCGTGCCCCCTACTGCTACCACAGAGGGAAAGGGCTTAGCAGGGGGGGCAGCGGTGGGAGGCGGGGCACAGCCACGGGAGAGGCTGAACCACACTATTTTCCCTCTGCACTTTCTAGACACAGGTACACACTTTTCCAGACCGTGTCAAAGCACTCCTTGCTGCCGCCGCCCTCCCTGTGAAAACACACACTTCAATGCTTTCTCCAATCAATGGAGAACCCAAATTGCCATTTGTTCCGATTCAACGTTACAGAGCGGGGTTTCCCCGGGGAAAGCAATTGGAGGTGTTTGGACACGCAAGACCTTTCCCAGAATGCGTGGAGCGAAAGTTAAGTGTGGGAGAGCCCTTTGGTTCACGCAGCGATCATTTTATTAAATGGAGGCTTTCCTTAACTGATCTCCAGTCTCTCTCTCTCCTGTGGATCGTGCGCCCAGACTGTTCTGAGATAATCAGATGGCCCAACATCAATAGCAATAATAATAAATAATAATAATATATTATATATACCCTTGCCCATCTGGCTGGGTTTCCCCAGACACTCTGGCTGGTTCCCAACAGAATATTAAAAACACGATAAAAGATCAAACATAAAAAACTTCCCTAAACAGGGCTGCCTTCAGATGTCTTCTAAAAGTCAGATAGTTGTTTATTTCCTTGACATCTGATGGGAGGGCGTTCCACAGACAGTGGTGGAGGAACATGCTACCGCCCCCGGAGTGGAGAACAGGCGGTGGCGTGGCTGACACAGAGTACAGGGACATGGCACGTCGCCCGTGGGGACATGGCGCATTGCCGCGGGGGCGTGGCATGTGGCACCCATCCCGGGAAAGGGTTGTGTACATATCGGAGGGGCGGCCACGATGGAACCCTTTCCCCAAATGCTACCCGGTGCAGCCCACTCCCTCATTCCCCCTTCGTACACCAGTGTCCACAGGGTGGGCGCCACTACCAAGAAGGCCCTCTGCCTGGTTCCCAGTAACCTCACTTATCGCAGGGAGGGAACCGCCAGGAGGCCCTCAGCACTGGACCTCAGTGTCCGGGCAGAACGATGGGGGTGGAGACGCTCCTTCAGGTATACTGGACCGAGGCCGTTTAGGGCTTTAAAGGCCAGCACCAACACTTTGAATTGTGCTCGGAGCATAGTTGCCCCATTCAGGACCAGAGTCTCCCCCTCACCTACCCGCCCCATCCCCCCAAAAACAGTACAGTGGTACCTCGGGTTACAGGCGCTTCAGGTTACAGGCACTTCAGGTTACAGACTCAGCTAACCCAGAAATATTACCTCAGGTTAAGAACTCTGCTTCAGGATGAGAACAGAAATCGTGCTCCGGCAGCACGACAGCAGCAGAAGGTCCCATTAGCTAAAGTGGTACCTCAGGTTAAAAACAGTGTCAGCTTAAGAACGGACCTCCGGAAAGAATTAAGTACTTAACCCGAGGTACCACTGTACTTCTGTCTTGTCAGGATTCACCCTCAATCTGTTAAACCATCACCCATCCTCACACCTCCAAACTCTCACACAAAATAGAGAGAACTAATTAAATAGTGGAAACCAGGCCGCTTGGAACGGGTGCTTAAACTGAGTCAATTGCTGTGTTGTTACCTGTTTTGACTTTCTTAAGAAGGAGTGAAGTTGAGACCAGGCCAACCAGGGACACCCCCAAATTTCTCTTTCACTGCAGGGACCAGTAAGGAACTCTGCACATAAAGCTTCCACAAACCATTGTTTCTTTGAGTGCCATTCCTCCACACTAAGAGCCGTGTGCGGGCGGTGTGGGCGAGAGTCTCTCTCCCTCCCCCCCCTCTCTCGGGCGGGGAAGGGCCGATGGAACTCCTCGCGCCAGGACGACGGCAGCCCCGACGTGCTGCTTAGCATCCCCTCCAACCAGTGAGGCATCTTAATGTAGTGATTTCCCCCTCTGCATCCCTTTCATAACTATTTTTATAAAACATTTGTCCATCCATAGTTCAAATTTTTACTACAAGTTTTCTGTCAATCCTACCAATATATGTAACCCTTTACAATAGCTTTTCAACTAAATTATAAACTTTCCCCATTCTTTATTAAAGAGGTCCTCTTCCTGGTTTCTAATTTTGCCTGTAAGCTTTGCCATCTCGACGTCGTTCATCAGTTTTGTCTGCCCCTCTTCTTTGGTGGGAGTTGTAGACCCTTAGGATCATCTAGTTCAACCCCCTGCAAAACAGAGTCATTCGCAGCAAAAGCAGCATGGCTTCATCAGTGCCGGATTTATGTATAAGCTAAGCAAAATCCCTTATTTTGGCTGCTGATCCCTAATTTTCGAGGCTGCTGGTCCCTTATTTTCAAATCTGTAAGTTGACAGCTATGGCCAGGAGATAGCAAGAGAGGAGTCCCCATTTTAGAGGAAGGAGCTGCCCCCCAGGAACCAAGTCAGAGCACAAAGCATGCACACCGCTTACCTTGCAACGCACTGCAATGATGTCAGCAATGGCCTTGATGACCAGCCTTGGGCACGTATTCAAGCTCAGCACCGTCAGCTGTGGCACCAGGAGGAAGCGCAGGACCGGTCGGTTCAAGTGATTGCCTTCCTCCATTAACTTGAACAGCTTCTGGACAAGGGAGTCAGCTGGGTGGGGAGGAAATACCCAGATATAAACATAAAACTTTGCACAACAATTAGACACATGCTTTCCTCAGGTGATTAGGAGCTAGAAGCAAACCAGAAGGTGCAGAGGGTGACAGCAGGACATTACAGGGAAAGTTCCCCTGGCTACAGGGAACCAGCCAGAGGGCCTTCTCGGTAGCAGCACCCGTCCTGTGGAACGCCCTCCAATCAGACGTCAAGGAAACAAACAACTATCTGATTTTTAGAAAACATTTGAAGGCAGCCCTGTTTAGGGAAGTTTTTAATGACTAATGTTTTAATGTATTTTGTTGTAACCGCCCAGATTGGCTGGGGAAACTAAGCCAGATGGGCAGGGTATAAATAATTAATAAAAAATGCTATTAGTATTAGCCAACCAGTCACTGGCATGCTCCCTGGCAAAGACTTTGCCGGATTTTGCTTAGCTTTTAAAATCTGGATAGCCAAGTGATCTACCAGAACAGGAGGCTGCGTAGGAAAAGGTGCTGCTAAGAGCAAGACTATAATAAAAATAATAATATAATAATAATTATTTATCATTTACACCCCGCCCATCTGGCTGGGTTTCCCCAGCCACTCTGGGAGGCTTCCAACAAAATGTTAAAATACAATAGTCTGTCAAACATTAAAAGCTTCCCTAAACAGGGCTGCCTACAGATGTTTTTTAAAGATAAGATAGATGCTTATTTCCTTCATATCTGATGGGAGTGCGTTCCACAGGGCAGCCACCAGTACCAAGAAGGCCCTCTGTCTGGTTTCCTGCAACCTCACTTCTCGCAGTGAGGGAACCGCCAGAAGGCCCTCGGTGCTGGACCTCAGTGTCTGGGGTGAACGATGGGGGTGGAGATGCTCCTTCAGGTATACAGGACCGAGGCCGTTTAGGGCTTTAAAAGTCAGCACCAACACTTTGAATTATGCTCAGAAACGTACTGGGAGCCAATGCAGGTCTTTCAAGACCGGTGTTATGTGGTCTCAGCAGCCGCTCCCAGTCACTAGTCTAGCTGCCGCATTCTGGATTAGTTGTAGTTTCTGGGTCACCTTCAAAGGTAGCCCCACATAGAGCACATTGCAGTAGTCCAAGCGAGAGATAACCAGAGCATGAACCACTCTGGCGAGACAGTCCACGGGCAGGTAGGGTCTCAGCCTGCGTACCAGATGGAGCTGGTAAACAGCTGCCCTGGACACAGAATTGACCTGCACCTCCATGGACAGCTGGGAGTCCAAAATGACTCCCAGGCTGCGCACCTGGTCCTTCAGGGGCACAGTTACCCCATTCAGGACCAGGGAGTCCTCCACACCTGCCCGCCTCCTGGGGAGCTTTGCTCTAGACCACAACTCCCATCATCTCTGACTACAGGTCGTGCTGGCTGAGGCTCATGGGAATTGGAGTCCAACAGCAGCTGGACGGCCACCTGCTCCCCAGCTCTGCCTTAAGAGATGGAGCCTTCCTACCCAGGCAGCTTTTCTAGCCAGGTGAGCGTCAGAACCAGTTTTTACAGGACCACCTGCATAGGATGCTACAAGAAGAGAAGAAGAGTTTGGATTTGATATCCCGCTTTATCACTACCTGAAGGAGTCTCAAAGCGGCTAACATTCTCCTTTCCCTTCCTCCCCCACAACAAACACTCTGTGAGGTGAGTGGGGCTGAGAGACTTCAGAGAAGTGTGACTGGCCCAAGGTCACCCAGCAGCTGCATGTGGAGGAGCGGGGAAGCGAACCCGGTTCATCAGATTACAAGTCCACCGCTTTTAACCACTACACCACACTGGCTCGCTTGCCAGAGATGCAAATTGCAGGATGCTACAGGGCCAAGACTTTGCCAGATTGCCTTTTTGAAATGCAATCTGTGGCTTGGCCATGGGGTCTTTATGGCCGGTCTCTCCTCTGCCTCCCATTTGTCGTGCCCCTCTTACGCAGGCAGATGTAGGGCTCTGCAACAGAGCGGACACGGTGTCCATCCTGGTGGTTTTCCGCACAAGCTTTGGCCCAGATGCGCTGGATATTTTTAGCCACATTCTCCAGGCACAGCCATTCCAGCGAGCGGACCGTTCTCCTCTTGGGCATGGAGCTGCTGGAGACAGAAGAATGAGAGAAAGGTGAGGGGGAAAGCTAGGCCTTTGCAAGGTAGGTTTTCACGTCAAAACTGTAAACACCACGACTGATCTGTTAAGATCCTGCCAAGGACTCTTTGCTTTCTTGATTACAGTGGTACCTCGGGTTACATACGCTTCAGGTTACAGACTCCGCTAACACAGAAATAGTGCTTCAGGTTAAGAACTTTACCTCAGGATGAGAACAGAAATCACACGGCAGTGGCGCGGTGGCAGTGGGAAGCCCCATTAGCTAAAGTTCTCAGGTTAAGAACAGTTTCAGGTTAAGAACAGACCTCCAGAATGAATAAAGTTCTTAACACGAGGTACCACTGTATTGTGTCAGGTATGCACAAGCTATTTCCTGGCACCCCACAAATCCCAGGTAGGCTCCCCTGGTACTGATGTCCTTTCAGAGGCAGGTGAACTGGTGTATCTAATTTTAACAGAATGATTTTCAATGAAAACAAAACCAGACGTTTTCTTTCAGTTTCTGAAAGTTTCCCTGTTAGGAGAAGGTACAAATTTATACAGTAAAATGATTTCTAACTCAACTTTGTATTTCATATTCTTTGGTGCTGAATCCTCATCAGCCTTGCTAAAATCTGTGTCAGCCAGCCCAAAATTAGCCAAGTATTTCAAAGGTTGGCAAAAACATTAAGTCAGTACTTGCTGGCTGGTCACTGGGTGTAATGAAGTAGATCAGCTAATGCAGGGGTCAGCAAACCTTTTCAGGACCATCTGCGGGCTGAATTTAGAAGGCAGTTGGGCCGAATTCCGGCCCTCAGGCCTTCATTTGCCTACCCATGAGCTAATCCTTCTGACTTCCAGATGTTTAAACACTAGCAACTATATATGGCTGCTGAAATAAAAACTGAGGGTGGGCAAGAAGAGATTAGGACTAATTATTTGTGTGAAAAGACACTACAGTGGTACCTCAGGTTAAGTACTTAATTCGTTCCGGAGGTCCGTACTTAACCTGAAACTGTTCTTAACCTGAGGTACCACTTTAGCTAATGGTGCCTCCCGCTGCAATTTCTGTTCTCATCCTGAAGCAAAGTTCTTAACCCGAAGCACTATTTCTGGGTTAGTGGAGTCTGTAACCTGAAGCGTATGTAACCCGAGGTACCACTGTACTTCTATTTTTGTTTTCAAGTGCTTTAAGGCTGTTATGCACCAACTTGGGAGGGCAGTGCCCCCTTATTAGGTACTTCACAAGGGTAAAGCATCCTAGACTGAAGTGATGTTCACCCGTCTTTAATTTCAATCTTGCATTGTTAAGCTTTGTAACCCACTCTTTACCAGGCGGTGCCAGAAACGGGTACATCCACACATTATCAATTTAACAAGCTATAAGCAATAGGAAAGGGATCTGGGTGGGATCTGGGATCTAGGGCTTGCCGATCGGAAGGTCGGCGGTTCGAATCCCTGCGACGGGGTGAGCTCCCGTTGCTCGGTCCCTGCTCCTGCCAACCTAGCAGTTCGAAAGCACGTCAAAGTGCAAGTAGATAAATAGGTACCGCTCCGGCGGGAAGGTAAATGGTGTTTCCGTGCGCTGCTCTGGTTTGCCAGTAGCGGCTTAGTCATGCTGGCCACATGACCCGGAATCTGTACGCCGGCTCCCTCGGCCAGTAAAGCGAGATGAGCGCCGCAACCCCAGAGTCGGTCACGGCTGGACCTAATGGTCAGGGGTCCCTTTACCTTTACCTAAGCAATAGGGCACCATTCTAAGCGTATTCCTCAGTCACTGAGCCACTATGGGGAATGCAACACTCGGGGTTGGCGCATATCGGAAATCTAACGGGGGGGGGAGCGAAAAAAGGAATAGGATTTTGCAAGGCTCCCTTGTGCATGCTGGCTACAGACCCGTCGAGGACACACTCCGGAACAGAGACGCGGAGGGAAAATCGGAAGGAACAGCCCGCGGCTGTTGGGACTGGCCACCTCGCGTTTGCGTTTTGGAAATCAAACCGAATTCCTGGCTCAAAATAAGACGCACCCCGGGGTTAGGAAACCCACGAGGCGGTCGCGGGGGGCTCACGAGCTGGGGCCAAGGCCGGGGGAGAAGGGGAAGCCACCAAGACCATGCTGCCCCCCAGGAAAGCACGGCAGGCGCCTCCGCCCCAGAATAACGCCGGGGAAAGCGGAGCAAAAAAGCGCACTTGGGGTAGGCGCCCGAGAGACGCGCCCCGTCCCGGGCCACCTGCGTACTCCACTGAAGCGGGGGGGGGGGATGAGAGAAACGGGAGCGGAGGGCACCCGTTCACCCCCCAAAAATGCACCCTGGCCGCCCCCCTTTGACAACCGTCTGGGGGCAGGAGTGGATCTGCCCACCAGAAAGCTCCGATGGTTCCCACATTTCCTCTCCCGTCTCCAGGCTTCGCTTGCGGGCAGCAGCCGCCCTCCTGCGCAGATACCGCCCGCTTCTCCCGCGCTTACTGCAGCGCCCAGGACGCCCACCGCCCTCTCCTCCCCACTGCCTTGGCGGGGTGGGGGGTGGGAAGGCAAAGAAGCCCTGTCCCGCTCCTTCCTTCCCTTCCGCCGCCGAGCTTTTGCCTTGCCTCTGCGGGCGCGCCGTCGAAAAAACAGGAGCGAAGACGCACGTGGCGAGCAGGAACCAAACTAAGACTCGCGGCGGGGGCGGGGCCTCTTCAAGGTTCGGCCTGGGTAAACCACGCCCCCTCATCGAAGTCGACGTTTTCCTAGGCAGGATTGGGTCCCAGCTGTGTGTTGCACCTGCGCAGTGCCGTCGGAGCCCGGCAGGTGTAAGCGCGCCCTTGATGGGCGAAGGCGGCCTTCGGAGCGTCTGGCAGCTTCGAGACCGCGCTGCGATTGGTTGGCTCCGGGAGCGAGGCTTGAGCGTGGGGGAAATCCTGCGGGCAAAGTTGCCTTGAGGGAGACCTTGAAAAGGCTGCAGCCCAAGAGTTGCTCCAGGGTTGTTTTTCATGCCAGGGACGCTTCTGGGATTTTTATTTCTAAATACATCAGTGTTTCCCAGACTTAGCTCTCCAACTGATTTTGGTGGATGCAGGGACACCCAAAAGGTGCTCTGCTCCCTGCCAGGCTGAGGCATAGCTGTCAACTTTCATATTTGAAAATAAGGGATCAGCAGCCTTGAAAATAAGGGATCAGCAGCTTCACCTGTCCCGGGGTGTCTACGGGATATCTAACAATCTGGGATAGCAGTGGGAAGCAGCGGGAAACGGCGCTGGAATAAGGGAATCTCCCGCAAAAAAAGGGAAGGTTGACAGCTATGGGCTGAGGAGCTGCGGGGTCTCCTTCTCACAGTGGAGTGGCCCCCTCCTGTTCCTTTTCTCAACGCCACAAGCAGGCAGAAACTCCGCCCAGCTCCACCTGCAGACGCAGCTACAGGCGTCACCCACTAGTCCCTGAATGCTCTGCAAGCCCCATCCTCAGGTCCCCTGCAATACAGTGGTACCTCAAGTTAAGTACTTAATTCGTTCCGGAGGTTCGTTCTTAACCTGAAACTGTTCTTAACCTGAAGCACCACTTTAGCCAATGGGGCCTCCTGCTGCCGCTGCGCCGCCGGAGCACGATTCCTCTTCTCATCCTGAAGCAAAGTTCTTAACCTGAAGCACTATTTCTGGGTTAACGGAGTCTGTAACCTGAAGCGTATGTATCCTGAAGCGTATGTAACCCGAGGTACCACTGTATTAGCAACAGAAGCAGCAACCAGCTTCTTTCTTTCTTTTTAATATTTTTTATTCAAAATTAAAACAAAACATATTATCCAAAAATATATCACCCTTATTCCCCCCCGTTTTTCCTCCCTCCCCCCACCCTCCCACACAAAACCCACCCCCCCACCTTCCCTCAGTTCCAGTCTTTGGTTTCTCCGAGAATGCTGTTTTCTGCATGTTACAAAGTTGTATAGATCCTCAAACTATTTAGCTGATTCTTATCAATAAAAAGTTTGTGAATGTTTATTCAAAGTAGAAACCAGCTTCTTTCGACGCCGGACTCTGATCTGCAGACGTTCTGGTGGGCCCCTGCCATCAAGGGCGCCGCCTGTAAATCACCAGGTGGGGAGAGATGCTATTTCTTATTTAATAATACTTCTTGTATTTTTTATTATTTTGCACCCTCTCAGCAGCTCAACACCCTATTCCGCTCTAAATCCAGAGTTGGCCCAGCATCTCTAGGTAAGGTTGGGAGACGGTGGCATAACGTAGGTTGCCAGTGCCCGGGGCAGGCAAGCTACCAACACCACTGAAGCACCCCACCCCACCGGAGGGATTCCCGCTGCCCCTGCCCCCTTTTACCCATTAATATGGGCTTCCTCAAGCCTCATTCATTTAGGTTCAAAACTCCATTCATAAAGTACCTCTCTGCTCAGATCCCTGACAGCCACGCAACAGCGGCCCTCAGGGTCAAGAGGAAAATGACACCAACATATCTGCAAAGGCATTGCATCTGCCTGGGGAGGCCAGCTCAGTTTGCAGAAGGAGCCTGCGACTCCGGGACAACACAGGAAATCACTGAATACGGCAAACATAGCGATTCACTGACTCTACATACTGGCTCAATGTTATTCTATGAGAAAACTTTAGAAGCGCATAAGATATCACTCGGCGTATCAGTCTTCTCTGTTCCAGTGGCATTTAGGACCCAGGGAAGTGAGGTTTCAGGAGAGGGGTTAGCAAGCCCACTCCAGTTTGCCATAATCCTCGAGATGTAGAGTTTTGGATTTGATATCCCGCTTTATCACTACCCGAAGGAGTCTCAAAGCGGCTAACATTCTCCTTCCCCTTCCTCCCCCACAACAAACACTCTGTGAGGTGAGTGAGGCTGGGAGACTTCAGAGGAGTGTGACTGGCCCAAGGTCACCCAGCAGCTGCATGTGGAGGAGCGGAGGCGCGAACCTGGTTTCCCAGATTATGAATCTACCGCTCTTAACCACTACACCACAATCAGATCTGCAGAAGCTTTCCAAGGAGTCATAACCGGTGATATCCTGCCAGACGGGTCACCATCTCATTCACAATGCTTACTCACCCCATAGTGGAATTAAACCCTAACAAGACAACGGGGTGTATCTGACATGACTCAGGAAGTAAGGAATTGTACTTTCTATTGTACTGTAATGGAGTAAGCAAAAAAACCAAAACACCTATACTTGATTGACAGGGGTGTGCCTGGATCTCAGATTTCTGCCTGACACCATACCTTTTCTGTGACATATCTATGATGTTTTGAGGATGCATCTAGAAATGTATTACGCCAGTGTTTCTCAAACTTGGGCCTCCAGCTGTTTTTGGACTACAATTCCCATCATCCCTAGCTAGCAGGACCAGTGGTCAGGGATGGTGGGAGTTGTAGACCCAAAACAGCTGGAGGCCATGGGCATAGCCAGAGTTTTTGTTGGGGGGCAGGACTTGATGGGGGGCAGAACTGACGTGATTGGTCAGTTAGTTCAGTATTTCTGTTGTTTTACTTGATGTGGGGAGGGGCAGCTGCCCCCCTCTTCCCCCCTTGGCTAAGCCCATGCTGGAGGTCCAAGGCTGAGAAACACTATACAGTATTATGGGAAACTCTGAAAACTTTCAAAACCTGAAGTAACCATTTTTCCTGGTTTCTGGCTGCTTCATCTTTGGAGTTGAAAGTCTTGTTGCAACAATAAATATCTGACCTCCTAGCTGCTGTTTTGCTTCTGAAGCCTTTCGCTTGTGACCCCCGATCTGAACCCATGAGATTTGGGACTACAGTGGTACCTTGGGTTACAGACGCTTCAGGTTAAAGTCTTTGCTAACCCAGAAAAAGTACCTCTGGTTAAGAACTTTGCTTCAGGATGACAACAGAAATTGCACAGCAGCAGCAGTGGGAGGCCCCATTAGCTAAAGTGGTACCTCAGGTTAGGAACAGTTTCAGGTTAAGAACGGACGTCCGGAACGAATTAAGTTCTTAACCCGAGGTACCACTGTGATGACAATCATGTTCATTTGCTCTCTGCGGCCAGTCCTCAGTGCAGTGCCCTCCATGGCCAATATTCATTTGCCCTCCATAACCAGTTACATCCATAACCAGTACATCCAGGTTTTTTCCTTTAATTTTTTTGGGGGGCCCCCAAGAGAGTGGGGCCCTAAGCCATAGCTTGTTTAGCTTATACAGTGGTACCTCGGGTTACAGACGCTTCAGGTTACAGACTCCGCTAACCCAGAAATAGTACCTCAGGTTAAGATCTTTACCTCAGGATGAGAACAGAAATTGCGTGGCAGCGTTGTGGCAGCAGCGGGAGGCCCCATTAGCTAAAGTACCTCAGGTTAAGAATAGTTTCAGGTTAAGAACGGACCTCCAGAACAAATTAAGTTCTTAACCCGAGGTACCACTGTAGTTGGCTCCGGAGAGCGCCCCTCCCCGGCTGGTTCCCTGCAACGGAAAGGAGCCCAAGGATAATCTCTAGCCCAACCTCCTGTCATGCAGGAATCTCAACTAAAGCATCCATGACAGATTGCCGTCCTACAACGTCTGCTTAAAAACCTCCAAGGAAGGAGAGGCCAAGAACTCCCCTCTACACTACTACCCCATCCTATTTGCCCCAGCTACACCCCCCCTGTTATCCCCCCCACACACACACACCGCCCCACAGCCTTAGAGGCAGATCAGCCTCCCTTGCCTGCAGATCACAACTTGCAGCCTCCACTGAAACCACATGGCGGCAGAGAACCAAAACAATGCAGCGGATGCAGAGGAGGAAGAGGCGAGGTGGGCGGGGCCCTTCCCTGGCTCTGCACCTCCAAGCCACGCCCCCTCATTGGCCACGCCCCCTTCGCTCGCTCACAAAAACAAGGCTAGCTGAAGATGCACATCAAAGCTTACAGCTCTTGTGAGCTCCAACATCAGCAGAAGTCAGGCAAGGTGTGCGCGCTGTGCCTTAAGGGGTGTGTTTGTGTGTGCGATGTTCTGGTTTTCTTATCTATATCCAATCATGTTCTGCCCCCCACCATGAGAACTTTTGTTATTATTATTTAAGCAACTAATCAGGGCCATCTTAAGCATATCCGGCGCTGTGGTGCAAAGATCCCACCGGCGGCGCCCCCCGCCATTTCCCAGAGTTGTTGACCTTTTTAAGGGGGGGACCCCAAAGTTGTTGACCTTTTGTAGGAAAGGCTCCCCAGAGTTGTTGACCTGAAATTGGGAATTCCACAGATTTCACTACAGGGAAGGAGAGGCAAGATCTGGGGGTGAGGGGAACCTACAACCCTTCCTTTACTGGATGAAAAGAGAGAGAGAAAGTGGGACAGAGGAAAGCAGAAAGGAGAGGGCATTTATATATATATATAAATTAGTTTTTTAACATACCATTTTCAACAGTAATTAAACATACTTTTACATCTTATTCGATTTTTTTGACTTCCATCAGTCCTGTCTGAAAATTTTCCAATCTAATCTCTTAGTATGCACTTCTTATGTTCCCTATTACATTTCAAACTCATAACCAATATCTCTATCTTTTTCTACTTTGTAACGCTTTGTATATTTCTCCTTACAAAACCTCTTGTAGTCCCACTAGCGTAATTTGTTGATTACAGTTGCTCTTCAAATAATTCATATACTTCTTCCAATCTTCTGTAAATCTCTGGTCCTGCAGGTTTCGAATCCTTCCTGTCGTTTGAAAAGAGAGGACATTTAACCCACCGACGGAGAGGAGAGGAGGGTGGTGGTCAGGAAGCTGAGCCGCGGTAGAAATAGCGTCTCTCCCACCGCCCATGCAGGTTTCGTGGCCAAGAAAGAAGGACAGCAGGAGGGTTTTTTTTAACACAAACACACACGCCAACCCCGGTTGCTCCCTGATCCCTTCAAAGTGAGTGGGTGTGGTGGGACAGCAGCAGATTGTCCTCGCCCACAACCACACATGCAGCGTACGGGGTGTGCATGTGCAGCCCACTGCATTTCGCAATGCACTTGGGCACGGCACACTGGGAAGCCGCCGCACTGAAAAGGAAGAGACGGGGTCCTCGCTTGCTGGTGGGGAGCTCTGACAGGGAGCTGCTGAGAGAGACTCCAGCATCCCCTTCGAAACCATTCCCCCCGCCTCTTTGGGGCTCCCCTCCCATGCTCCTGCCGTGCACAGGAGGCTTGGGAAGCAAGCTGGACACCGGGGCGTGCAGGGAAAGGGGAGGCCACCGGCAAAGCTGCGCAGCTCCCCCACTCACTGGGTCGCCCCTGAGATGTCTGTGCCGTGGCCCAACGCGCCACTAAGCCCTATGGGAAAGACGGCTCTGCAACTAATGTGGAAATGTAGAGAACTGAGTTTAAGGCTGGAAAAATGACAACGTGAACTCAAAAAGGACAAACTGGCTCACCCTTAAGAACCAAGCAACACCCGCATTTAGAGCACAGTGGCCCTTGATTCTCTCACCGCTGCTGTTTTGTTGTTCTTGTCCTTCTGTTTAGCTAATACAGTGGTACCTCGGGTTAAGAACTTAATTTGTTCTTAACCTGAAACTGTTCTTAACCTGAGATACCACTTTAGCTAATGGGGCCTCCCCCGCCGCTGTGCGATTTCTTTTTCTCATCCTGAGGTAAAGTTCTTAACCAAAGGTACTATTTCTGGGTTATTGGAGTCTGTAACCTGAAACATCTGTAACCTGAAACGTCTGTAACCCGGGGTACCAGTATAAAACTAAATTTAAAGGGTTTTTTAAAAAAAAATTATACAGAGAAAGGGAGCGCCACTTCCCTCTTTCTTGAGACAGGGGTCTGACGCTTTTGTTAAGGAAGTAAGAAAGGGATTGTGAGAAACCTTAGTTCACTCTCTCAACTCCTCAGCTGGGGCGGGGAAGGACAGAGTTGTTTATCCGTTAAAAGGAGGGAGGAGAAGGAACATAACAGAAACCAAAAGGAGCTATTGCCTCTCCCCAATTCATTATTAAAAATAGATGTGGCGAGCACAGTAAAGGCAAGGCTTAATCCATTGTTATCCTCAGTGGGGCTCTTGTATGCCCCAGAGCTTGCCCTCCCTTGAAGTAAAAGCAGGAGAGTAAACACCTTGGCAGTAACAGGAATCAGAAAACGAAACCAAGGCTGTCCTTTCGCCCAGGGAGAGGCAGCCATGGCAGCAGGAACCCCTGAGAAGCAGCTTCGCGAAGAAGTGACTTGCTCCATCTGCCAGGACTACTTCGAAGACCCAGTGACTACAAACTGCGGGCACAATTTCTGCCGAGCGTGCCTGAGAGACGGGCTGGAGAAGAACCCTTTTTGCCCTCTGTGCAGAGCAGCCTTGAAGCCACGGCAATTCAAGCCCAACAGGAAACTGGCAAACATGGTCGAAATAATCAGGAAAATGGAGGAGGGGAAAAACGCTAAGCTGTGTAAGGGGGACCAGGAACCCTGCAAGCTCTTCTGCAAGGATGACCAGGTCCTCATATGCGTGATCTGCAACCTATCCAAGGAGCACCGAGATCATCACGTCGTCCCTGTGCAGGAGGCGGCCCAGGAGTATAAGGTAGGGAATTGCCACTGTTTGGGGGTCCAGATGGATAGAGCAGGAGGAGACACAATAGATGAGTCTGAAATGGTACATGGTGTGGCGAGCACTGCTGTTCTTTTGTTTAAGCCAGCGCTAGGCAGAAGGTGGGACGCGGGTGGCGCTGTGGGTTAAACCACAGAGCCTACGACTTGCGGATCAGAAGGTCGGCAGTTCGAATCCCCGCAACGGGGTGAGCTCCCGTTGCTCGGTCCCTGCTCCTGCCAACCTAGCAGTTTGAAAGCACGTCAAAATGCAAGTAGATAAATAGGTACCGCTCCGGCCGGAAGGTAAATGGCGTTTCCGTGCGCTGCTCTGGTTCGACAGAAGCGGCTTAGTCATGCTGGCCACATGACCCGGAAGCTGTATGCCGGCTCCCTCGGCCAATAAAGCGTGAGCGTCGCAACCCCAGAGTCGGCCACAACTGGACCTAATGGTCAGGGGTCCCTTTACCTTTACAGGCAGAAGGTAGTTTGGGATCTGCTGGTGGAACTGTAGGTGATTTGCAATAGGTTGGAAAGGCCTCTTGATTCCCAAATGTTTAATAATAATAGCACAATTGTAGCTAAGCGGCATATAAAGTGTTTAAGTGTTTAAATAAACGAAAGACCTACAATCTAAGTATGCAAAATAGAGGTGGGGTCATGTAGCGAATCACAAGAGGATTGTGTCGGTGGTGGTGTTGTCGTTGTCGTCGCCCTGGCAGCCAACACCAGGAAGCTTTGAAATTAAGAGCTGGGCCTCATCTACAGTCCATCGGATCAGACTTGGCTTTATAAGGAACTCAGTTGGGGGAAACTGGACTGGCTGACTAAGCAAAAGTCTTTTTTTTCTGTTTGTGCAGGGGAAAATCGAGGCCCAGATCCAAGCCCTGGAGAAAAAGAGAGAAAACATTTTGCACCGGGAACAGGCTGAAGATGAGAAGAAGCAGAAATATTTAGTAGGTGTTTGTTCCTCCAGCTCCAGTACTGGGGATGAACATTTTAGAAGTCGAACGGACTTCTGGAACAGATTCCGTTCAACTTCCAAGGGACGACTGTACTACAAATTTCACACAAGCTCATTCTTGTCATTGTGGACACATTCAAAGCAGATGCGCCCCCAGACATTTCCAAATGACTGAATTATTCAAAATGCAATTTAAAACAAGCAATTTAAACTATCCTCAATGCACATTTTGAACCGACATAGCCAGTGGCAGAGAACGGGCAGTGCGGTGCAGGCGGTCTGCCCCAGGTGTCATCCCTGAGGGGGGGTGACAAAATCCCCCCTGGGTGGATCACCGCCACGCCAATAGGGATGCCCATAGGGATGGGACAGGACATGCGGTGCCAGTAGAGACAGGGTGCACCATGGGGCCTCAGCTGATCTACAACTGGGGGGAGGCAGTGGGCGGACAGTGGCTGTGCCGTGCAGTCCCATCCTGTCCCCCGTGCGCACCACGTCCCTATGGGCGGTTCGCCTTGCCCCTGTGGGCGGTTTGCACCACCCCTATGGGCAGTTTGCCGCCCCAGGTGCCCAAGAGGCTTCCTCCGCCGCTGGACGTAGCAGGCTGTTGAGGTATAAGGTGCCCAGAAAACCTTTTAAGAGAATACATGGGTACGGGTCTTGTGGAGACCGTCAGTACTTGCCAGAGGAAGGGAAGCATCATGATGTCAAAACGATCAACAATTACCTGACATTCAGAAGACATCTTAAGGTAGCCCTGTTCAGGGAAGTTTTTAATGTGTGATTTTAGTGTATTTTTGGTTTCTATGGAAGCCACCCAGAGTGGCTGGGGAAACCCAGCCAAATGGGCGGGGTACAAATAATAAATTATTATTATTATTATTATTATTATTATTATTACTACTACTATGTGCCAAATTACAGTGGTACCTCGGGTTACATACGCTTCAGGTTACAGACGCTTCAGGTTACAGACTCTGCTAACCCAGAAATATTGCTTCACGTTAAAAACTTTGCTTCAGGATGAGAACAGAAATTGTGCTCCGGTGGCACGGCAGCAGTGGGAGGCCCCATTAGCTAAAGGTTAAGAACGGACCTCCAGAACGAATTAAGTACTTAACCCGAGGTACCACTGTAATTCGTTGCTACAGGCACACACTGTTGCTTAATTTGGATGGGTTGTATGTCCTCCCCCTCATCCCCCTAAAAATCTGCTCTGGAAGTTCCCCTATCCCCCTGGAGCAGACTTGAGGTTGCCTGGGGGTTGTAGAAAAGGAAAGGGGAATTCTGTTGTGTGAACAGAAGTGTGTTGTGCAAGTGGGACAGCAGCGTCAGATACAACCCAGTCTCCTATTCCCCTGTTTGCCACCTTTCCTTATGTCTCTTTTCCCCCTTGCCGCTCTAGTCACAGGTGGGAGTGGAGAAACTCAATATCAGGTGTGTTTTCAAGCAAATGCAGAAGTTCCTTAAGGAAAACGAGCGCCGTTGGCTGGCCCAGCTAGGAGATCTGGAGAGAGAGGTTGAGAAGACATGGAAAGAAAATGTTGCCAGCCTCTCCGATGAGTCTTTCCGCCTCAACACGCTTATCAGCGACATGGAGAGGAAGAGGCAGCAGCCAGACAGCAAATTCTTGCAGGTGAGACTGGAGACAGAGATGGATCCCACTCTCTTGTTATGAAAAAACGTGCCTAGACTTTCCGTTGTTGTGCCCATAACCTAGGTTTAAGGTGTCATTTAGCTCCTAGCTTTCATATCTCAGTTTCTAACACTGTATAATAATTATTAAATAAATCTGAAACAAGGCAACTAACTGACACAGCCATCCTTCAAAATTCACACTTCTCTGAATTTTGCCATGCACGTCTCCAGCAAAACACTGTGTATGCATTATGCTAAGGAAAATTGATGTACAAAAATGTGTGTATTTGAGGGGGGAATGCATAGAAAAATGCACATTATTAGGAGACTGATGAATTTCCGTGAAGGACTTCCATCGCAAATAGTTTTGGAAACGTCGAGAACTTCATTTAGGGCTGCAAAAACCAGAAGCTGCAGGAAAGTGGAATTAACAGATGCACCTGTCCCAACCTGAGACCCATTTCTCTCTTTCTTTCAGGACATAAAAAATACCCTGAGCAGGTATGTGACTCTTTCTGTGTCCGCTTGCTGTTCTTTCTGGTTTTGATGGTCTCTTGCAGCAAAAGCAACAAATGATGTTGCGGCACCTTTAAAGACAAATGGATTTATTACGGCATGTAAGCTTTCGTGGATGACTGTTCCCTTGATCAGATACCTGATGTTGTTACCATGAGTTTCAGGAACACAGCTACAATACATAGTTGGAGAGGGAGGGGCAGTATCGTAAACAGTGAGGTCAAAAGGAAGTGAAGGTTTTGAGCAGTGGACTCCTCTCTCTCTCTCTCTCTCTCTCTCTCTCGCTTTCACTTTGTCTCACTCTCTAACACTCACTCACCAATTACGGCGGTACATTCTGGAAGACCGTTTGAGTTCTGAAACGTTCAAAAACCGAAAACAGTCGAAAATTAGGCTTCAGGATCTTGCACACAGCAGAAGCTGCGTGGCATATTCAACTTTCGAGGCGTGTTTGGAAACCGAAGCATTTGCTTCCGGGTTTACGGCGTTCATAAACCGAAATGTTCGACAATGGAGACATTCGCAAACCGAGGTATTGCTGAAGGAACCTTGTCACAAGTAAATAAAATATCCGGTCTGCCGCTTCATGCTACAATGGGATAAGGGAATCTGCGGTTCTTCTGGTGCTGCTGAACTTACAGCTCCCATCATGCCTGACCATTGCCCATGCTGGCTAGGGCTGATGGGAGCTGTAGTCTAACAATATCTGTAGGGTCATGGATTCCCCAGCCTTGTGATTCAGGCCTGCAGGAGGACACAGTGCTTTCAAACCATTCTTTTAACTGGCACTCAACTTCTTTCCAGGTGTCAGGAGGGGCAACTGAGGCAGGTGGTGGAGCTTTCTCCAGGGCCTGAGGAAGGACTCAGAAGTTACTCTCATAAAAGACTGGTTCTCAAAAAGGTCATGGAAGAAATTGAAGGTATTGGGGGACAGCTCCAGGAGGCGGGCGGGTTTTCCAGATTGGGTGCATGCAAAGCGAGGGGCTGGCTTTCTCTGCAATGTCCCAGGTGTCTGACAAGTGAGGCTGTGTCACACCTCTTCCCGTTTCCTAAAATGGGGCTCAGGGTGTCTTCCGTAAAAGGATCCTCCTCCTCAAAGGCCACCTCTGCACCATACATTTGAAGCACTGTTATTAGATCACTTTAAGTCATGGCTTCCCACCCCACCCCCAGGAATCCTGGGAATGGTACCTTGTCAAGAGTGCAGAGACATCTTCTCACTTCACAAAAATACAATTCTGGGAGTGGTTGAACAATCAAATCCTTCTGAGAACTGTAGCTCTGTAAGAGGAATGAGGGTCTCCCAGAGTTTGGAGACCCACAGACTAGACCACATTATACTGGCTTATCAGGGATGCCAATTTGAATAGAATATTGTGGGGCCCAGGTAAGCCCCGCCCCACTGATCACATGACACAGTGCACACACACCATTTGAATGGGAATGCCCATCAACTTTGTGGGGGCCCGGCCCCCTCAAATATTTCATTGTGGGGGCCGAAACCCTCACAGCCCCTAGGAGTTAGCTCCTACGCGGCTTATTATTGACTCCATCTAATATATGGTTTCTAAACTTGCATCTGTGCATATTAAACTGCACGGGAGTAGCCAGCTTGGTGCTTTCTAGATGTCACCAGTCTCAACTAACATAGTCAATGATCGTAGTCCAAATAGCCCCAGAAGGACCAGAGGAGTATAGCATCTAGATCAAGGGAAGTAATAGTGCCACTGTATTCTGCTCTGGTCAGACCTCACCTGGAGTACTGTGTCCAGTTCTGGGCACCACAGTTCAAGAAGGACATTGACAAACTGGAACGTGTCCAGAGGAGGGCAACCAAAATGGTCAAAGGCCTGGAAACGATGCCTTATGAGGAACGGCTAAGAGAGCTGGGCATGTTTAGCCTGGAGAAGAGGAGGTTAAGGGGTGATATGATAGCCATGTTCAAATATATCAAAGGATGTCACATAGAGGAGGGAGAAAGGTTGTTTTCTGCTGCTCCAGAGAAGCGGACACGGAGCAATGGATCCAAACTACAAGAAAGAAGATTCCACCTAAGCATTAGGAAGAACTTCCTGACAGTAAGAGCTGTTTGACAGTGGAATTTGCTGCCAAGGAGTGTGGTGGAGTCTCCTTCTTTGGAGGTCTTTAAGCAGAGGCTTGACAACCATATGTCAGGAGTGCTCTGATGGTGTTTCCTGCTTGGCAGGGGGTTGGACTCGATGGCCCTTGTGGTCTCTTCCAACTCTATGATTCTATGATTCTATGATTCTATAGGTTCCCCATCCCTCCTTGGGAAGAGACTCCCCCCAACCAGTCTCAACTCTTTGTGGATGATTATGTGTTGGACTACAGCAGGGGTAGCTAATGCAGTTCCTTCCAGGTCCTGTGGAGAGACTCCTGCTCATGTCAGCCCTAGCCAAGCTGGAGTCCAGCATGTTAGAATTCCTGCTCCATGATTGCAGTCATGGGATTTTTGTCTATCACATGACGGTATATGTTTTGTCTCCACAGAGTGGGAAGTGACAGGAACAGGATGTTTGTGTTACTGTATTCCATGAAGTGGGACTATTGTCCTTTGTTCTTTTTCTTTTTGCTGTCTGATGCTAGAGAGAGAGGGAGCCATGTTGCAGTGTTCCGTGTGTATTTATATGTAAATAAAGTAGATTAGCCAAAATGCTAACCTGTTACGCATGATGTGCAAACTCAGCAGATCCCTAAGTGTGCCGGTGTCAGTTAGCATTGGTCGCTGTGATGTTCGGGCTGAAGAAAGCTTTTGAAGCTCCCGAACGAAAGACCAGGAGGGAGAGAACATGCCAGTTGGGCATGGTTCTACTCGAGTGTAGGCTGAGCTCCTGACACAGCAACATCTGGAGAACCCCAGCTACCTCTGGACTAGAGCATTTCTCCTGGTGGAGATGGAAATGGAGGGGGTGGAATCTATTGCCTGGCAACTTAAGTATCCATTAATGCAGTCACCCACTTCTTAAGCAGGAACAGAGTGCAACAGCTCTCTCCTGATCTGCAATTCACTGGTGACTGGTATTCACAGCCATGCTGCCTCTGACAGTAGAGGGAGAATATAGCCATGGAGCCAGTGTGGTGTAGTGGTTAAGAGCAGTAGACTCGTAATCTGGTGAACCGGGTTCGCTTCCCTGCTCCTCCACATGCAGCTGCTGGGTGACCTTGGGCCAGTCACACTTCTCTGAAGTCTCTCAGCCCCACTCACCTCACAGAGTGTTTGTTGTGGGGGAGGAAGGGAAAGGAGAATGTTAGCCGCTTTGAGACTCCTTTGGGTAGTGATAACGCGGGATATCAAATCCAAACTCTTCTTCTTCTTCTCCTTTGATTCTTCCTCTCCATCAAGTTGCTTCCCTTTACTCCTAAAGCAGTTTTCAAATCTAAAAAAGAAGAAGCATAGATTTGTTCACTAGTGTTGTTTAAATGCTGGTTGTACGAAGTTATTCTGTTATTGACTCATGTTGCTGTGTGCCTCACCTGAAGTAAATTTGTCCTCCTTTCCTTCCCATAACAGAGTCTTTGAAAGAAGCACTGAGCAAAGGTAATTTTGTGGTATTTTTATGGGAAGCAAAACTCTGGTGAGGGGAGACGATGGGAGGAGTCCCTCATTTAAAAATGAGAGATGGGGAGAGGAAGGCGTTTGCATTGCACCAGGTGAAAGGTGGGGAGGAAATGATGCAGTTTTGGGTTTTGGCGAGGTTTCCTGGAGGACTCCTAAGGAAAGGAGAGAGGAGGCTGAGGGAACCCTCCACAAGGGAGGGTGTTCAGAAAAGGGTAAGAGGCTGCCAGCTCTGCAGGCAAGAGGCGAAAAACTGGGCTCCTGAGCCACACAGGGAAGCTGCAGAAAGAATGTACAGTGGTACCTCGGGTTAAGAACTTAATTCATTCTGGAGGTCTGCTCTTAACCTGAAACAGCTCTTAACCTGAGGTACCACTTTAGCTAATGGGGCCTCCTGCTGCCGCTGCGCTGCCAGCACACAATTTCTGTTCTCATCCTGAGGTAAAGTTCTTAACCCGAGGTACTATTTCTGGGTTAGCTGAGTCTGTAACCTGAAGCATCTGTAACTTGAAGCATCTGTAACCCAAGGTACCACTGTAGTTGCTCAAGGCAGCCGTGGACTCCAAAAGGTCGAAAACCTCTGGTGTAGACAATACTAAATCAGACTGCAGGGGGTTAGACTACATGCCCTTTGGGGTCCCTCCCAATTCTGTGAGTCTGTGATTCTAACAGTCAGCCTTGTTATATGGCTTCCTAGGTTTCTAATTAAAATGCTCATCTCAGTATTCTGTGAGTGTTTCTTTCGTCGTTCTTTTTTTTCATGAACTGACATACTTGCTATATGTATTATTATCTCGCTTTACGTTTCTCCACATTTTATTTCCCAAAAACAGAGCCGGCAAAGGAAACAATGAGCAAAGGTAAATATTAGCAGGGAAATGTAGGAGATGGGGGAACTCTTGATGGGTGATGAAGGCTTAAATATCTATAATGAGGTTGCATCTGGCAGGTGGTTCCACACACCTTTCTTTCAGAAATGTCAAAGAACCTGACTGATAGAGGCAGACCAGAGTAGCAGCTCACAGAGATTGCAGATGTGGATTGATTATTATTATTATTATTATTATTATTATTATTATTATTATTAAATGCCTATATTGACGTTCCTTCCAATGGAACCCAGGAAGGCAAACACCAAAATAAAATTAAACACTAACCACCACCACCAAATTAAAAATAAAATAAAAACTTTTTTTAAAAAAATAATAACATGGGGGAAAAAACATTTTTGATGTCAAGATCAGTTAAAACATTTTTTTAAATTGCCAGCACCCAGTCATTGCTCTTCTGCTTTAAATTGCCAATATAATCGCAGTTCTTCCAGACTTAATAGATTCCAAACAACTTTCTGCAACCCTGTGAGCAGAATCTTCTCTTTCCATCTCCGGATGTTGTGAAGAGGGAAGTTTTCAATGGGACCATAATGTGAGGGGCAGTATCAAATTCTCCCTCCCCCTTTACTGCACTCTCAGCTATGATTCATCCTCCTCAGTCGCAATTGATGGGGTGGGGAGAAACTGGCTCAGCTGTGATGCTATTGAAAAGGGAAGGGTTAAAGTGATAGAGCTGATTTATAGGGAGGAGAGACAGACCATAGAAGCCCCATAAAAAAGTGAGTTAACTAAGGGCTTATCCACATTTACCTTTTGCCCCATGCTTCCTAGGCACAGGTTGTGCACTTAAAAGCTCTGCGTCCCAGTATTTGTTTGTTTTGCCCTAGCGCTTTCCTCGCAAAAACCTGCTCTTTAGTGCTTAATCAGAGCAAACATCAATTCAAGTTTTCCCGCAGATTGCCATTTGCTCCGATTGAGCTTTAAAGAGCAGGTATTTGTGGGAAAATCTCTGGGGATGAAGAAAGGGTGCCTGGAAAAAGTGGGGTGGGGAGGCAAGTGTGGACAAGCTCTCAGTGTGGCTGTTCTGCTTTAAATTTCCAGTGTGGAAGCTGAGCGAGGGTGTGAGCTGACCCCGTGATGTCCTCTGTTTTTTGTTGGTTGTTATGGGCATGCATTTTTGTGCTTTTATATTGTGAACCACCCTGTTATCTTCAGACGAAGGGTATAAGAATCAGCGAGAATGCTGATTGCTAAAAATTGGAAGGGAGAGAAAACACCTACGAAGGAAGAATGGCAAATTAAATTATGTGAATACTTAGAAGTAGCAAAAATGACAAAGGTAATCAGGAACCAATCAAACCAAAAGAATTTACAGAGTAAAGTGCAAGTAGATAAATAGGTACCGCTCCGGCGGGAAGGTGAACGGCATTTCTGTGCGCTGCTCTGGTTCGCCAGAAGCGGCTTAGTCCTGCTGGCCACATGACCCAGAAGCTGTACGCCGGCTCCCTCAGCCAATAAAGCGAGGTGAGCGCCACAACCCCAGAGTTGTCCGCGACTGAACCTAACGGTCAGGGGTCCCTTTACCTTTACTTTTCTCAAAGTAGATAACAATAGATAATTATGTAAGATCAATGAATTAAAAGAAGAAAAAGGACACAGTTAAAAAGTAAAGAAGAAGTAAGGAGCCGCAATGAGGTGGAGGGAAGTCACTCTTAAAGATTTTAAGACTTAATGTAGCCGTATTATTTGATGTTGACTTATTTTGGTTTTTTGTGTATAGCTTATTGCGTCTTGAATAACGGATGGAGTAACTGTACTAATAATCAAACTCAGTAAAGAATATATCCAGAATATCCAGAATCTTTGGGCGAAGGGTTTTCCATGGGGAGGGAGTGGGCCAAGCGGAAAACTGCTTGGACCCACGCTTTCTAGGTACGGGAACAGCAGAAGTGTGGGCGAGCCCCAAAAGGAGGGGGGAAAGGAACAAGTTCAGCAGCAGGCAGGGGAAGAGGAGGAAATGAGAAACAGTTTCTACCCAAATGCAATTTTAGTTTTAAAGGCAGTGTAAGGAGTCTCTATGGGAGTATATTGTATTTAAAAATGGGGTATCAGAGTTTTTAGGGGGCTAACCAGGTTGGGATAGCTGGGATAGCAGCCTTGGTGGGTTTTGAATGTTTTATGTACATTTTTCAATTTTGTCGTTTTGTATGGGACAATGACAATAAAGATTATTGTATCATATTGTATAATAATAATAATAATAATAATAATAATAATAATAATAATAATTTATTATTTATACCCCGCCCATCTGGCTGGGTCCCCCCAGCCACTCTGGGTGGCTTCCAACAAAACACTAAAATACAATAACCTATTAAACATTAAAAGCTTCCTAAACAGGGCTGCCTTTAGATGTTTTCTAAAAGTTTGATAGTTATTTTTCTCTTTGACATCTGGTGGGAGGGCGTTCCACAGGGCGGGCGCCAGTACCGAGAAGGCCCTCTGCCTGGTTTCCTGCAACCTCACTTCTCGCAATGAGGGAACCACCAGAAGGCCCTCGGCACTGGACCTCAGCGTCCGGGCAGAACGATGGGGGTGGAGACGCTCCTTCAGGTATACTGGGCCGAGGCCGTTTAGGGCTTTAAAGGTCAGCACCAACACTTTGAATTGTGCTCGGAAACATACTGGGAGCCAGTGTAGGTCTTTCAAGACCGGTGTTATATGGTCTTGGCGGCCGCTCCCAGTCACTAGACTTGCTGCCGCATTCTGGATTAATTGTAGTTTCCGGGTCACCTTCAAAGGTAGCCCCACATAGAGCACATTGCAGTAGTCCAAGCAGGAGATAACTAGAGCATGCACCACTCTGGCGAGACAGTCTGCGGGCAGGTAGGGTCTCAGCCTGCGTACCAGATGGATCTAGTAAACAGCTGCCCTGGACACAGGGTATTGTATGGTAGCGTAGATGGCTCTGGGGAGGCCCTGGTCACTCGGCAGCCACTGAGCTCAACATTTTCTTTCCTCTCTTTTTTTAACGCCGCTCACCTTCTTTCCTTTCTCTCTCTTTCCCCCTTCAGTGAACGTGATTCTGGATCCCGACACGGCACACCCTTTCCTGGTTCTCTCAGAGGACCTGACCAGCGTGAGATGGGAAGACGGATATCGGGGCCTGCCTGAGAACCCCGGGAGATTTGACAGGGAATTCTGTGTGCTGGGCTGCGAGAGATTCACGTCGGGAAGACACTGGTGGGAGGTGGAGGTGGAAGAGGAGGAAGGGGCGATGTGGGCCTTAGGGGTGGCGCGAGTTTCCCTCAGGAGGAAGGGGTGTTTCAGCTTCAGTCCGAAGGAAGGCATCTGGGCTGTGGGGAAGAGACCGCACGGCCCGCCTTGGCCTTGCCAGCTGTTTGCTTTAACTTCCCCTGAGTGGACTCCTTTGGCCTTGAGCCACGAGCCCAGGAAGATCCGGGTGTCCCTGGACTATGAAGGGGGGCAGCTCCACTTTTTTGATGCCGATTCAGATGGCTTGATCTTTGCTTTCCCTTCAGCCTCCTTCTCCGGGGAGAGGATCCTACCCTTTTTCCAGGTGGTCTCAGGGGTCACAATGAATTGCTGAATCTTGAGGAGAATCCTCATATACACCACACACAACACCATTAATGGAGGCCCTGTCGACTCCAAAAATTTAGGTGGGGAATCTGAGGCCCCTCCAGATGCTCCCATCATCCCTCATGCTGGCTAGGGGCTGGTGGGAATGATGACCAACATCTGCAGGGCCACAGGTTCCCCACCTCAGATCTATGCTGAAATATACTCAGAGTCGAGAGTGGATTTCATGCTCTTTATTCAGCTCATAGTGGTGAGGAGGAATGGAAGTTCCCCTAGAATGTCTGCTTTAGGTACATTATTTACACAATGGGCCCCACGTGATTGGCTAATTCTGGGATTCTCCTGTAGGCCAACCAGGTTGTGGATTCACTTCCACCTGGAGCTGGGTTGGGTGGCTCCTGTGGACCAATCAGAGTGCTGCATTCTGAATCCTATTGTTCTAGGACCAATCAGACTGCTGCATTCTGGATCCTATTCAACTCAGTACTTAACATATGCTTTTCTCAGAGCCAAGCAAGAGGCTAGAGTCTGGGCCCCTCAGGGCAACACATTTATCAAGCATTCGCCCTCATTTGCTTACATAGAGGTTTGGCTTTATCTAGTCTTTCCCGAATATTCCTTCTGCTTTGCTGGTGTGGCAGTTACACGAGGACAGACAGATGTTTGTTCTGCATTCATCCACATCCTGATTGGATGGGGAACAAAACTCCTTCATTGATTATTCGGATAAACACTTTAGTCTTAACCGATTGCATATTTGCTGTATTTTTTGTCTTTAAACCTTTCACAAGTCACTTTGTGGCTCTTTCATTTCAAAAGGTGATGGATAAATAAATAAATCTCCTTATTTGCTTTCAGAGTGTATGCGTGCCTCCCTGTTATTAAGTTAGCCCGCACTTTTTAATGCATTTCTTATATACTTTCGAAACTGCAGGAAGTCTGAAGGGAAGTTCCAAACACACCAAGCCTAACACACCTAGACATTCTATCATTCTTCAGTTCATTCCAAGTTCATGAACAAAACAATATGGTCTGTTCTTAATGCATAGCTGACCACATCTACGGAACTTCATTATTATATTCTTTCATGTTATGATCAATCATTAGTAATTGTTTTAGTCATGTTATATTAATCTTTAGTTATAATTTAATTAGGAGGATTCATGCCTGTCTAGTTCCAGCCCCATTTCTCATCCTTTGATCTATCAATGATAAATAGTCATATGTAATTCCCGCCTTGTACCTATGTTAACCAATCAGCAACAAGATGCTTTGTGTTTGTATCAACCAATCAGCCACAAGCACACCTGTGGCAATGTTTGTAATATTCAATAAAAGAGAGTTCCCGGGGCTTGCCCCGGGGAGACGCCTCTCATATGACACCTACCACTCGTCTGTCGTGATTTCAACCCAACAGAAGTCAGATTCTTTTTTTCATTAAGTGGGTTTGTTGAGTTGGGATGGGTGACCAGCTCCACTTTAAATGCTCACACCTTTAAATCAGGGGTAGGCAGCCTTCTCAATCCAGCCCTCAGACGGTCCAGGAATCAGTGTGTTTTTACATGAGTAGAATGTGTCCTTTTATTTAGAATGCATCTCTGGATTATTTGCGGGACCTGCCTGGTGTTTTTACATGAGCAGAATGTGTGTTTTTATTTAAAATTCATCTCTGGGTTATTTGTGGGGCACAGGGATTCATTCACATTTTTTTCCAAAATACAGTCTGGCCCACCACATGATCTGAGGGACGGTGGACCGGCCTATGGCAGAAAAAGGTTGCTGACCCCTGCTTTAAATGTTAAAACCTAAGTTTCTGGTGCAAACTTGCCACAAAATATGTAGTGACTGTCTGGAGGCGATTTTAGCCACTTCTGGGTATTTATTCATTTTATTTATTTCATAAAAATTATACCCCATGTGATTCTTTAAAAAGAGATCTTAGAATGGTTTACAAAAAGAATAAAACATAAAATATTGGTAAACACAGTTAAAAGCAGCAATTTAAAGAAACAAGATAAGGAAACAAGATAAATAAAGAATTGTGTAAACTAATCATGGACAAAGTAACAATTTCCTTCTAACTTTATCCAGCCCATCTAGTTGTAAAACAATTCTGAAAACAAGTTTCCTAACATGTTCTAACTTCTATGTAACTTAGCATCCTAATATTTTGAAATACAATGCACACTGCATAAACATAAATAAATTTAAAATACTTTCCAGCTATCAACAGGTTAGAAGATAGGAACAAAACAAGAGGGCAAGAAAAACATACATTTAAAGAAGATTGGAAAACATTTATTGAGTATATGGGAAATAACTCTGTACAGCTGAAAACACTGGCAGCATTAAGATAGATTCAACAGAGCAAATAATTCTTGATGGATGTAAAAGTGGAAAATTGATTTGAATGGTTATAGTAAAATATGCAGGGATTTGGATATGTAAAATGAACCATGGAAAGAAAAGAAGGGAAGACACTGGATATTTTGAAGTTTGTAAAATGTTTATTTGAAATTATAAAGCAGAAAATTTAATAAAAGTTATTATATAAAAGAAGAAGAAGACGATACGGACAAAGCTAGAATGAATGGGCTGTATGCCTTTCATTGCCTCTGGCTCCATCATGTTACTTGGAACCTTGCGCTATTAATCTATAGTGTTTGATTTTTGTATGGTAATTTGTTCTAATATGTTTAGTTCTGGCTATTCCATTTTACTTTTGTTTTAAGAACATAAGAAGAGGCTGCTGGATCAGGCAAATTGCCCATCTAGTCCAGCATCCTACAGTAGTAGTAGTAATAATAATAATAATAATAATAATAATAATAATTTATTATTTATACCCCGCCCATCTGGCTGTGTTTTCCCAGCCACTCTGGGTGGCTTCCAACAGAATATATTGATTCATCCGGTATTAAAAGCTTCCCTAAACAGCGCTGCCTTCAGTTGTCTTCTAAAAGTCCGATAGTTGTTTATTTCCTTGACATCTGAAGGGAGGGCGTTCCACAGGGAGGGTGCCACCACTGAGAAGGCCTTCTGCCTGGTTCCCTGTAACCTCACTTCTCTCAGTGAGGGAACCGTCAGAAGGCCCTTGGAGCTAGACCTCAGTGTCCAGGCAGAATGATGGGGGTGGAGACGCTCCTTCGGGTATACTGGGCCGAGGCTGTTTAGGACTTTAAAGGTCAGCACCAACACTTTGAATTGTGCTCAGAAAATTATAAAGTTCTCTCATGCTGCCTCTTGAGTCCTTTTCCTCTAAAAAGTCCCAAACGTTGCAGCCTTTCTTATTTTATTTATTTATTACACCACTTTAGCCTTCCAAGGATCAAAAGGTGGTGTACACAGTTCTCTTCCTCCCCATTTCATCTTCACAACAACCCTGTGAGGTGGGCTAGGCTAAGACCAGTGATCCCCTTGATCAATTTAACAGTCCTTTTCTGAACTTTCCCCCCTTTCCTTTGCCCTCTGTTTATTATACTGTTTATTATAAATAAATATATGAAAAACCATACTCTATATTAATATATATATTATTTTATTATTGTTTTTCTATTCATGTAAACAACCTTAAAATAAATATCAATGTAATGAATCGGGGAAAATGTTTAAAAGTACTTTTCAAAAACAAACAAACTCAGAGTCCTTTTTGTTGGGGATAGTTCAGATGGAAATTCCCAGGTGTCAAAAAAGGTTATTTACATATGCCTCTACCACCGCCAGTGTTTTGTTATCCCCAAAATGGAAAATGAGTGATGTCCCAACTAAAGAACAATGGCAACTTAAGATGATGGAATATATGCAGCTTGCAGACTTAACATATAGAATAAGAGAACAAGAAGAACATACGTTTAAAGAAGATGGGGAAATGTTTATTGACTATATGGGGGAAATTGTGTACACTTGAAAACGTTGGCAGCATTAAGATAAATTCAACCGTGTAAATAAGTTTTGATGGATGAAATCATGGGATGCTGCAAGGTTTAGTTTATGTAAAATATGCAGGGATTTAGGTAATGCAAAACGAAACATGGAAAGAGAAGGGAAGTCATTGATATTTTAAGGCTCTCTCTAGCTTTTTTTTAAGCTGCTTCTGCTCTGAAAGCGGCTCCTCCAGCTTCTACCGCGCGGCTTACTCTCGCAGGATCCTCCTCTGCTTTCCCCAGGGATCAACCCGCAAGGAAACGCCCAGGCAGTCTCGGAAAGGAGAAACGAAACTTAAAAAGAGGGTGTCTCTTAGGGCTCTCCAGGGAGACGCAGCGATGGCTGCCGTGCAAGGGCTCTGCGATGAAGCGACGTGCTCCGTCTGCCAGGACTACTTCCGAGACCCGGTGACTCTGGACTGCGGGCACAACTTTTGCCGCGCCTGCCTGGCGGGTCTCTGGGAAGGGTCCGGCCCCGACTCTCCCTCCTGCTGCCCGGAGTGCAAAGAAGCCGTGCAGCCCAGGAACTTCAAGCCCAACCGGCAACTGGCCAACGTCGCGGAGCTGCTCAAGAAACTCCAGGAAGGAGAAGGAGGAGGAAGGCGCGCATCAGGCGCGGGGCAGTGGCGGATGTGCCAAGCGCACCAGGAGCCGCTGAAGCTCTTCTGCAAGGACGACGAAGCGCCCATCTGCGTGGTATGCGACAGGTCCAAGGAGCACCGCGAACACCGCGTGTGTCCCATGGAAGAGGCGTCCCAAGAGTACAAGGTAGGGAAGTCACCGCGGTTGGGTGGGTATCTGCCGGGATAGCGCCACGCGCTTTTACGCGCTGAGGCTCACTACTTGCGCGCACTGTTGTCATTTAGTTGTGTCTGACTCTTCATGACCCCATGGACCAGAGCACGCCAGGCACTCCTGTCTTCCACCGCCTCCCGCAGTTTGGTCAAACTCATGCTGGTAGCTTCAAGAACACTGTCCAACCCTCTCGTCCTCTGTCGTCCCCTTCTCCTTGTGCCCTCCATCTTTCCCAACATCAGGGTCCTTTCCAGGGAGTCTTCTCTTCTCACGAGGTGGCCAAAGTATTGGAGCCTCAGCTTCAGGATCCAGTGAGCACTCAGGGCTGATTTCCTTCAGAATGGATATTCAAAAGCATCAATTCTGCATCAATCAGCCTTCTTTATGGTCCAGCTCTCACTTCCATACATCATTACTGGGAAAACCATAGCTTTAACTATATGGGCCTTTGTTGGCAAGGTGATGTCTCTGCTTTTTAAGATGCTGTCTAGGTTTGTCATTGCTTTTCTCCCAAGAAGCAGGCGTCTTTTAATTTCATGGCTGCTGTCACCATCTGCAGTAATCATGGAGCCCAAGAAAGTAAAATCTCTCACTGTCTCCATTTCTTCCCCTTCTATTTGCCAGGAGATGGGACCAGTGGCCATTATCTTAGTTTTTTTGCTGTTGCGCTTCAGACCATATTTTGCGCTCTCCTTTTTCACCGTCATTAAAAGGTTCTTTAATTCCTCCTCACTTTCTGCCATCAAGGTTGTGTCATCTGCATATCTGAGGTTGTTGATATTCCTTAAAAATATAAATTGCAAACTGGCCTTGTCAAACACCGACGTCGTGGGACAAAGGAAACTATTGCCGTGAAAAATCAAACATGGAAAATAAAAAGAAAGCATTGCCAGAAACATACAAGATGCACCACAAACGAATCGTTGTCAAGCGGTGCACCTCAGAGCCGTGCGCCTGATATATCAAGCACGTGGGGTGGGGGACAGTGTGGAAGCTCGGATGGAGGGCACCTTCTCTTGTTTTCTTTTTTGCGTAGGGTTGCGCCCCAGGAAGGTCAGGTCCGTGCTGCAAACAAAACAACGCAGGAGGCAGCGGACAGCTGTGAGTCACTGGTCTCTGTAGCTGCAGCAGGCATTGTGACTGTGATTCTCCAGGCACACTCCATTGTCTCTCCAGGCAGACAAATGTATGGGTTTCCTAAGCTGTCTGTTGGCACCCGCCCACAGGGCCCTGTGCCTCCTGATTTAAAAAAATGTCTTTTTAAATTGGTAGGGTGCCCTGTAGCACTGACTTCCAGCTGCCAAGGCTTTTAATTCCCCTTCTCCGAAGAAACCTGGGCACAGGGGGCCTTCCAAGGAAGAGGGCAGGGCCGTTGGAGATTTGCTTTCTGGCTGCCTACTAAAAGACTCTTTTTCTAAGGGGGGTGAGAAAGGGGATTCCAGTGATGCTTGAAGGGGTGGGGGGGACAGGGGAAGGGCAACCAGAGAGACTAGTGGTTGTGGCGTGTTTGTGGTGTGCGGCTATGGGTGGGCCAAATGATGTGAATCATTCAAAGGTTCTGCCTTTGAAGACTGGGGTGTGACTACTTTTTGCATTGGAAATTGGTTTTGATTTTTTTTTCCTTTTTAGCTATGCAGAATGCCAGAATAGGAACCCAGCTCCAGTTTAGGATTATGTTGCTGTTGTTGTTGTTTAGTCGTGTCCGACTCTTCGTGACCCCATGGACCAGAGCACGCCAGGCACTTCTGTCTTCCGCTGCCTCCCGCTGTTTGGTCAAACTCATGCTGGTAGCTTCGAGAACACTGTCCAACCATCTCGTCCTCTGTCTCCCCTTCTCCTTGTGCCCTCCATCTTTCCCAACATCAGGGTCTTTTCCAGGGAGTCTTCTCTTCTCATGAGGTGGCCAAAGTATTGGAGCCTCAGCTTCAGGATCTGTCCTTCCAGTGAGCACTCAGGGCTGATTTCCTTCAGAATGGGGAGGTTTGATCTTCTTGCAGTCCATGGGACTCTCAGGGAGCAAAGACAAAAAAAATCCTCTGCACCCCATTCTGTGGTCCTGATTTGAGCCAAGATCCCTGGGCTGCCAATTTGTGGGTCAAACTAGCACTCATGAAGATGGTGAGGGGATTCCCCAAAAACCTTAAGAGTTGCTTTTGGGAGGAATGGGGAGGGCATAAATGGGAAGGGGAGGATGGGTGAAAGTGGGGAGCTATGGTTTGCAGAAGAAATTGTAGTTTCCAGTAAGGCAGAACCACCTGTGTGGTGTATTGGTTTAGAGTGTTGGAGCAGGGCCAGGGTTCAAATTCCCACTCGCTTGTGAAACTCATTGGGTGACCTTGGGCCGGTCACTGCCTCTCAGCCTTGCCTACGGTATCACAGGGCTGTTGTGGGGATTAAATGAGGAGGATGGGGAGAACCACGTATGCCAGCTAGAGTTCCTTTGGAAAAGAAGGTGGAATATAAATGCAATAAATAATAAATACATTAACCATTATTATTATTAATAATAATTAATTAAATTTATATACCGACCTTCCCTCAAAGATCTCAGGGCAGTTCAAAATATAAAAAATGCAGAATAAAAGCACAAAATAAATAGCTGGAAGCAAAACAAAAAAAACCCTCCCCCGCAAACACATTTAAATGGCTATAAATAAAAAAGCCATAAAATCATAAATCATAAAATACCAGGGTTAGCTAATGTGATATCTTCCAGATGTTGTCAGACTCCCAAGGCTGTGTGTACACACCATAGGCTTAAATCACACCACTTCACCCAAAGAATCCTGGGAACCGTGCGAACGACAATTCCCAGCACCCTTCACAAACTGCAGTTCCCAAAATCCTTTTGGAAGGGAAATGTGCTTTGAATCTATAGTGTGTGTGTGTGTGTGTGTGTGTGTGTGTGTGTGTGTACACAGCCCGACTCTCGCCAGCCCCAGCCAGCATGGCCAAATGAGTTTAGCCACATCCGGAGGGCAAAAAGTTAGCTACTTTGAAGATAGCTCAGTTGGCATGAGACACTTAATCTCGGAGTCATGTGTTCGAGCCCCATGTGGAGCAAAAGATTCCTGCATTGGAGGGGGTTGGACTAGATGATCCTTATGGTCCCTCTCAACTCTACAATTCTATGATGCTATGATTCTCCCCTAGCCCATCGTTCTCTGATCAGACGTGTATTTTTTTTCCTGGGCATCAGGTGGACTGACCTCTGAATAATTGAAATTGAAATACTTCATTGCCACTTGTACAACTTGTATACAGTGAGATTACACGCGCACCCCCCACTCAGCTCTCTTAATCTTAATTCCCCTCGTTTACTGACGCACACCCACCAAACCTGGAAGTCAGTTGCCCTGTTGTGATCTTTTCATTCAGCAGCCTAACAGCCCATGGATAGAAGCTGTTCTTTACCCTGTTGGTGCGACTAATCCTGCTTCTATATCTTCTGCCTGAGGGCAGACAATCAAGAAAGTGCCGGCCAGGGTGTGAATCATCCCTGAGAATTTTCCTCACTCTCCTGAGGCAATGTTCTTCTGCTATTTCATCCAGCGGATTCATGGGACAGCCCATAATATCTTGTGCTGGATTCACCACCCTCTGTAGGAGGGTGAATGTCGCAAAACTCTTTTATATTTTTTAAGGAACAAATCAAGGCCCGCCTAGAGTCTCTGAAGGATGAGAGAGAGAAACTTGTGGAGCAGAAATTAGCCGAAGAGTTGAGGAGGCAGGAGTGTGTGGTAGGTATTTGTTCTTGTGGACCATGCATTTAGACTCCCCAGGCCACCCTGTCACTAAAGAGAAATAGCCTCCTGTTTGTTGGCTTGTATTGGTGTTGTTCTGTGGAGGCTATGGACTCCTTAGACTAGGATGTACAGGGTGGAGCTGTTTGATTGCTTTCCAGAATGCCCAGCTGAGCTGCTGCTTGTCGCTTTTCAAGAACATGGACAGGAAACAGATTTGTCACATACGCATCCCTGTTTACACACACATTCAGATCACCTGTGTGTTGGCTCCCCAAAGTGGCAGCTTGTTGATTGCCCAGAACACAGCTGCCGTTGGAGGACTGATGAATGGAATGAACCGTAGGATGAGTAATAAAGTTCCACAGGGGACGGTACCTGTTTGTACCTGTTAGAATGTGTTTAGAAATCTGGGTGGGACGTAAGTGGCGCTGTGGTCTAAACCGCTGAGCCTCTTGGGCTTGCCGATCAGAAGGTCGGCAGTTCGAATCCCTGCGGCGGAGTGAGCTCCTGTTGCTCTGTCCCAGCTGCTGCCAACCTAGCAGTTTGAAAGCACACCAGTGCAAGTAGATAAATAGGTACCGCTGCGGTGGGAAGGTAAACGGCGTTTCCGTGCGCTCTGGTTTCCATCACGGTGATCCGTTGTGCCAGAAGTGGTTTAGTCATGCTGGCCACATGCTGTCTGTAGACAAACACTGGCTCCCTCAGCCTGCAAGCAAGATGAGTGCCGCAACCCCATAGTCGCCTTTGACTGGACTTAACCGTCCAGGGCTCCTTTACCTTTTTACCTTAGATTAGTTGGGCAAAATGCCCCATTTCCTTAATCTATAGCAGTGTTTCCCAGACTGGCATCTCCAGCTGTTTTCAGACTACAATTCCCATCACCCTGACCACTGGTCTTGCTAGTGAGGGATGATGGGAGTCGTAGTCCAAAAACAGCTGGAGACCCAAGTTTGGGAAACACTGATCTACAGCTTATGAAAGAGCTTTATTATGAACAGTCAGCATGCTTTGACTGAAGCTCCTCGTCTCCCTTTGCCCCTTTCCAAATTTCTCTGTATTTCCCCCACTCTGCCCGCTTTCCTCCGGTAGGCGGGGTTAGAAATGGAGAAGCAGAAGATCAGAATTGCCTTTGAGAAGATGCAGGAGTTCCTTGAGGAGAAGCTGAACCTGTGGCTCGGCCAGCTGGAAGATGTGGAGAAAGAGATGGGGAGGTGGCAGGAAGAGAACCTCTCCAGACTCTCTGAGGAGATTTCGCAACTCAGTGAGCTGATTGTAGAGATGGAGGACAGGAGCCAGCAGCCTGCGAGTGAATTCCTGCAGGTGAGACTCAGCACAAAGGTGCCAGGTGGGCAGAAAGAAGGCACAAGCCTTTTGTTTTACGCAGTCAAGGAATAGAAAGGGCAAAGGAATTTCCTTGCTATGAAAAGGAGCCCAGTGCTTGTTTTGTCTTGTGTGACTGACACCTCTTCCCCCCCTCTCTCTATTTCAGGACATCAGAAGTGCTTTGAGCAGGTATGTGGCTGTGGCGATCACACAGGGTCCCCGGACGTTTAACGGTCTATTGATCCCTGTGTCACCACTGTGTTCACTTCCCCGCTGCCACCAACCAGTTACTCTCTGGTAAAACACTGAGTCCAGTCAGTTGTTAAAAGCGAACCAAAAAACCAAGTTCATTTTACAAACATTAACAAGTTTATGGTTTCTCAGATAATATTCCTGTCAGTATCTTAACTTTTGTTTCTTTACCAGCCTATACCTTCCTAAGACCTTCTGACTGTTCATTAAATAGATCTATATCCCGTGCTTTTTTTTCTGGGGGTAACAGGGGGACACATGCCCCTAAACATTTTGTGAATCTAAGTTTGGCCACATTGACAGGTAGTATTTCAATATGAGTAGGAAAATGAGGGTACAGTGGACGCTCGGGTTGCAAACGTGATCCGTGCGGGAGGCACGTTCGCAACCCGCAGCACCATGTCTGCGCACGCGCGGGTCACGATTCTGTGCTTCTGCACATGTGTAAAGCACAATTTTGGCGAGCGCCGAAACCCGGACGTAACCCGTTCTGGTACTTCTGGGTTCAGCGCGGTGCGCAACCCGAAAATGCATAACCTGAAGCGTCTGTAACCCGAGGTACCACTGTACCCTAAACATTTTTTTAGGGGGGAAAGCACTGTATATATCTATACAGTGGTACCTCGGGTTACATACGCTTCAGGTTACAGACTCCGCTAACCCAGAAATAGTCCCTCAGGTTAAGAACTTTGCTTCAGGATGAGAACAGAAATTGGGCTCTGGTGGCGCAGCGGCAGTGGCAGACCCCATTAGTTAAAGTGGTGCTTCAGATTAAGAACAGTTTCAGGTTAAGAACTGTTACAGTAAAATCTGGGTGTGGGGCTACTCTGCCACCCAGCTCGTTGGACTAAGTCCGCGGGTCCCTCCGGAAGAAAAATGAGCTCAGCCGGAGACAGGAGCAAACTGCAGAAGATCCAAGTTTATTGCGCAACAGGTTCAAGATGAGATTGAACAGCGAGAAAGGGGTGACATGAACTTTTGAAATTTCCCTCCATGTCCCAGAATACAGTGCAAAATACATCCTAGTTACATCATGAATACATTAAGAAGAGGTTGGGTTACACAGATTACATCATGAATACATTAAGAAGAGGTTGGGTTACACAGATTACATCATGAATACATTAAGAAGAGGTTGGGTTACACAGGATTAACATACGGAGGAGGGAGGGGGGATTATGCAGAGCTGGAGATATGCGCAGATAAGCACATCCTGAGAAGACAATGGTCCATGTATGCATAGTCTGTCACCTGGCATCGCCCGGAGGAAGGGCTTGGCAGAGCGATTTGACAGGATTAGGGTCTTGACACCTTGCTTGAGGGATTATGGAGGACAGAGGAGGTGTCATGGAGTCCTAGAGAAATTGAGCAAATTGGCACGTTGATTTTCTATGAATTTTATAGATTTTAGTCCCTTTTGACATTGGCAATTGGAAATAAATGGATATATTGTAGTGAAGAAGAAGGTGAAGAAGAAGACATGCCCCCCCCTTCCGTATCAGAACGAATTAAGTTCTTAACCCGAGGTACCACTGTATATCTCTTCCTTATTCCCTACATCTATATAACTCTTCCTTATTCCCTGACCATATTCCCTTCCAGGCATGAGAAGAACTCAGTAGGGCACATGACGGACCTTTCTCCGAAGATGGAAGAGGCGCTCAGGTTTGCGTCGCAGAAAAACTCTGCTTTAGAAAAGGCCTTGGAGAGCTCTCAAGGTAATTTGGGTACCTTAAGGAGGGAAATGGAGGTCTCACAGTATGCACCAGTTCCAGGCTGGGTTCAAGGAAAGTAAGAAACCTTATCCTGTCCCTTCCCTATTGGTGGTTCTTGGTGGTTCTTTTAAGACGCAGGAATGCTGTATCAAAAAGAAAAAGAAAAAAGCCTGCTGCTGTGCTTTGCTTCTCCATGGCTTAATTTTCTCTCTCTATCAGTACGGATCTTTTACTCCCCTTCAGTCTGAACAAGGGTAGTGTTGAAAGGGGTGGTGCTTCACAGAAGCAGTTTAGAAAGTGGTAGTTGCAGAATGAATGACTGATGAATGGGAAGGCTTCTATACACCCCAAAAGCCATGAAAGACAGATGTTCATTGCCGCTCACAGTAAAAACTAGGGGTAGTCTAACAACTGCATAAGCTTTCTGCAAGCAAAACAGGACAATTGCTGAATAAATAGTTACTCTGAGGGGAAACCCCCAAAGATCCACTTGGTTTGAGAGGGTTGTGGTTTTTTTCCCAATGGTGATATTTAAATTTGTTTCTCTTTCCTCTTCTTAATAGATTCTCTGACACAAGCCCTAAACAAAGGTAAATTATCTTTAAAGCATGTGCCCCACATTGATATGGGAAACTTCCGAGGGGATTGAGTTGTTATTATTATTATCATCATCATTATTATCAACAACAACAACAATAAAAACATTTATTGAATTTATAGACCACCCTACACCCGGAGGTCTCAGGGTGGTACACAGAATAAAAAATCAAAATATAAAACGACAAAATACATCATCAAAATAAGAAGGACAACATGGGACGTGGACAAAAGCCCCTTGTTCAACGATGTGATGATCAGATGACATTTTGCAACTGACTGGGCCAACCTTTTTGGGAAATTCGGTCAGAAGTATCTAGGCTGGGGGCTGGTTAGGGTTGATCTGAGGGGATTGTAGAAGGGTTGGCATGTTCATGAAGACAGGAGTGGGGTAGAGCCTAAGACTGTGAGGTGTGAACTCAACTCTGCCGCCACTTCAAATCAGCAGACAAGCTCTTAACCTTACTGAAATATACTCGGAGTCGAGAGTGGATTTCATGCTCTTTATTCAGCTCATAGTGGTGAGGAGGAAAGGAAGTTTCCCCAGAATGTCTGCTTTATATACATTATTTACACAATGGGCCCCACGTGATTGGCTAATTCCGGGATTCTCCTGTAGGCCAATCAGGTTGCGGATTCACTTCCACCTGGAGCTGGATTGGGTGGCTCCTGTGGACCAATCAGACTGCTGCGTTCTGGATCCTATTGTTCTAGGACCAATCAGACTGCTGCGTTCTGGATCCTATTGTTCTAGGACCAATCAGACTGCTGCATTTTGGATCCTATTCAACTCAGTACATAACCCCTTACCTGTTTATTCACCTGTGAAACATCTTGAGTTGACTGAAAATACAGTGGTGCCCCGCAAGACGAATGCCTCGCAAGACGAAAAACTCGCTAGACGAAAGGGTTTTGCATTTTTTGAATCGTTCCACAAGACGAATTTCCCTATGGGCTTGCTTAGCAAGACGAAATGTCTTGCGAGTTCTTGCGAGTTTGTTTCCTTTTTCTTAAAGCCACTAAGCCGTTAATAGCTGCTAAGCTGTTAATAGCCGCTAAGCCGCTAATAGCCGTGCTTCGCAAGACGAAAAAACCGCAAGACGAAGAGACTCGCGGAACGGATTAATTTCATCTTGCGAGGCACCACTGTAACCTCAACAATCAAAACGATTCCGCATGTCAAATAAATCAGATTCAATGCAGATCAGACTGGCATGGGGTCTACCATCACCCGTCCTCTCTCTCTCTCTCACTCTCTGTCTCTCTTTCTGTCTGTCTGTCACGCAGTGAGTGTGACCCTGGATCCGGAAACTGCGTCCCCAAAGCTCCTCGTCTCTGAGGACCTGAAGAGTGTGAGAAGGGCGGGAAAGAAGCAGGATCTGCCCGACAACCCGGAGAGATTTGACTGGATGCCCTTTGTGCTGGGCCGCGAGGGATTCACCTCAGGAAGGCCTACGTGGGAGGTGGAGATTGAGACGGTAGACCAAGCCATGTGGGCTCTGGGTGTTGCCAAAGACTCAGTCAGGAGGAAGGGTCCGTTTAAGCTTAATCCGAATGAGGGGGTTTGGGCTCTGAAGAAGCAGTTTGGCGAGTCCTCACCTTTTCAGCTCGTGGCTTTGAGCTGCCCCGAGCCGGTCTCCGTGACTGTAAGGCAACTGCCCAGGAAGATCCGGGTTTCCCTGGATTACGAAGGGGGTCTGGTGGAATTTTTTGATGCCGACGCCAACGAATGTCTCTTCACTTTCTTTGCAGGGTCATTCTTGGGGGAGAAGATCCGCCCCTTCTTCCTCTTGGGTTTGGGAGTCACTCTAAAGTGTTGAATTTTTTTGTGGTGGGGTGTGTGTGATGAGCAGGGAAAACCCCCCACCAAAACCCACCACCCTAAGTAGTCAGCATTCTGGAACCTTCTCAGAGGTTGCTGTTTTAAGACTTTTAAGGCCTCAAAAATAGAATAAATACTCATAAATGCACACATATCTAAATATATGAACCATGTGTTTGAAATAGTACAGGAGAGCAATCCTGAAGCCATTTTGACTCTTCCAGTGACCTCAAATATTCCTCTGCAGTAAGGAGGAAGATGGGGAAAGCCTTCCCTTTGTGTTTTTGCTTACAAATCCTGTCTTAAAGCGCATATTTGTGTATGAATAGGGTGAGCCTGTGAGCTGGAGTCAGGAACTAAAGCATTAACCATCAGAAAAGAATGGCCAGATTGCCCAGGTAATACAATCAGTGACCTTTATGAGGTATCCTGACAAGCAGGATTTCTGCTGGAGACCACCTCCTTCTGTGATGTATGTATGATGTTTTGGGGGTGGTCTTGGGCTACAGGGTGGGCAATTTCAAAAGGCTATATAGGGGTTTGCGCACCATTGTTCTGGATTCCTCCTCCCTCCTGCGTGTGGTGAGTGGGGACCCTTTTGCAATAGTTTAATAAAGATCAGGCTTACTAGCTGCTTTGCTTCTCAATATACTCTGGTTGGCCTCTGTTATTTTCTCCTACCGATAGGGAACATTAGAAGGACTCTATATGGGCTCCTGGATACCTCATAAAGGAAAGAGGAGCAGTTTTTCTTTTAACATTGTGTAACTAAGATCATGGCCACTGGGCCCATCACCTCCTGGCAAATAGAAGGGGAAGAAATGGAAACTGAGAGATTTTACTTTCTTGGGTTCCATGATCACTGCAGCAGTCATGAAATTAAAAGACGCCTGCTTCTTGGGAGAAAAGCAATGACAAACCTTAAAAAGCAGAGACATCACCTTGCTAACAAAGGTCTGTATAGTTAAAGCTATGGTTTTCCCAGTAGTGATGTATGGAAGTGAGAGCTGGACCATAAAGAAAGCTGACTGGCGAAGAATTGATGCTTTTAAATTATGGTGCTGGAGGAGACTCTTGAGAGTCCCATGGACTGCAGGAAGATCAAACGTATCCATTCTTAAGGAAATCAGCCCTGAGTGCTCACTGGAAGGACAGATCCTGAAGCTGAGGCTACAACACTTTGGCCACCTCATGAGAAGAGAAGACTCCTTGGAAAAGACCCTGATGTTTTGAAAGACGGAGGTCATAAGGAGAAGGGGACGACAGAGGACGAGATGGTTGGACAGTGTTCTCGAAGCTACCAGCATGAGTCTGACCAAACTGCGGGAGGCAGTGGAAGACAGGAGTGCCTGGCGTGCTCTGGTCCATGGGGACACAAAGAGTCGGACACGACTAAACAACAACAACAGGGGCTAAACAGCTTTCAGGCAGGACTTCCAGTTCCCAAGGTTTTAGGACCCTTCATTGGCAAAAGCAAACAAACAAACAAATTGCAGAGTTCAAGGATTCCTTTGGTGGCTGTGCTTTGAAATAAATATAATATCTTAAATATCTTAAGGGCTGTCACAAGGAAGTTGGAGCAAGCTTGTTTTCTCCTGCTACAGAGGGTAGTACCCAAACTAGTGGATTCAAGTTACAGGAAAGGTGACGGGCAGTTCCCCAAAATATTAAAAAGAAGCTATAATACGTTGATGCAGTGCCAAAGGTGAGAGGAGAGAAAATCAAGGGTTCTAGACATTGTCACTACTTCATCTCAATCTTTTGACCCTAAACAGAGGAAAGCCACCCTTATCTTGCTTCTTTGTTTAAAAGTTTTTGAGGGAAGAAGACAGGATTATGTTGAAGCAAAAGGAAGCATCTAGCACAGTTTGAGTTTCCTTGCACTGGTTATGATATGTAGGAAGGAATCTGTTGCTCCCTTCACACATTAGACCTAGACCCAGCACTGAACCACTGCCTTCTCTTAATAGCTGCAAAAGTACAGCTGCAGGCTGCTCACAGGTGGAAAGGCATTCCAAGAAATAGGGACCACTGTGCAATTGGGCTTGGTCCTATTTGCACAGAGTGCCTCTGGGTGAATAGATGCTCTCAAGCCGACATCCCTTTGCAAATGTCCAGGGATCTTGTGACGCAATCCCCACTTGCCCTTTCTACTCATGGGAGACCTTTCACGCAGGCAGCGTGAAAATGAAGCTTAGGTCTGTATCTCCCTTGCAAGTGTATGTTTTGGGGCCTGTAGCTTTCTAGGTCTGGTGTTTTGTGAGTTTGATCTGGTTTGCATTCACACTTCCTAGTCAGTCTCGGATTTACGTATAAGCTAAACAAGCTATAGCTTAGGGCCCCACTCTGTTGGGGGCCCAAAAAAATTTAAAGGAAAAAAAACCTGGATTTACATTTCCAAAATATAAGATAAAAAAAACAAATAAAATGGAACCTACGGTACATACAGCAACAGTGTTTTGTGTTGTGTAGGCTCCTATGATGTACATATTTTGTTATGTGCAGATGGCTTTAGATACCTGTTGGGTCCATAAATTACCATATAGCATATATTCAACACAGAAAACAGTGACAATTTGTTGTTGACAAAGGAGAGCAGGACATACAAAGGGCCCCATTACCTTCAGTAGCTTAGGGCCTCATCAAACCTAAATCCGGTCCTGTTCCTAGTTCACACTTCCCAAGATTAGCACAGATACAATGATGCAATATATGTGGAGACATTTGAAAGCTATTTCCATGTTCATCTTTAAAGAAATCTTCAATTCAGAAACACATGGAGACCTTCCCCTTTGTGAAGATGCTTGCTGCTTTTGCTGATGTGTGAAATCCTGAATGTTACTTGCTTGCTCTTTGACAGCCATGGAGAAAATAAAGTTTGTCTTCTGATTTGTTGTCTTCTGCATTTTCTTGGTATGGAGAAAAGGGCCACCTCTATGAATATCCTCTTTTCAGGATTGCGCTCTGAAGGGGGAGAAAGTTTATTTATTTACATAAGGGTGGTTTTTTTCCTCCCCTCTCCCTGCCGCCTCATTCTGCCTCTTAAAAGAATCCAGTGCTGGTTTCTCAAGATCACTCACAAATCAGGGAGTTGTACTAGGAAGCTCATGCTGCGGGGGGGGGGGGGGAGAGATAGAAATTGAATTCCATTTGCTTTTAAAAGCAGGGCTACATAATTCACATTTTCTGATAAAAAAACGTAAGTAACCATACTTGGAAACGGGCGTTTCTCCAGATTTTGTGACGCCGTTCTCCAACCAAGTTATGTGTACAGAACATGCCTCTACTAGGGCAAAGTGTGCAGAGGGAGATTTATTACAATAGGAATGGAAGTCAAGAACTGGGGTTTTGAAATACTGTGGTTAAAGGTAAAGGGACATTAGGTCCAGTCGTGACCGACTGGGGTTGCGGCGCTCATCTCACTTTATTGACCAAGGGAGCCGGCGTACAGCTTCCAGATCGTGTGGCCAGCATGACTAAGCCGCTTCTGGCGAACCAGAGCAGCGCACAGAAACGCCGTTCACCTTCCCGTCGGAGCAGTACCTATTTATCTACTTGCACTTTTTGGTGTGCTTTCGAACTGCTAGGTTGGCAGGAGCAGGGACCGAGCAACGGGAGCTCACCCCGTCATGCCCTTGGGGTACGCCCATGGCCTCACATGGCTTCCTCAGTCTGCGTTGTCTCTCCCTTGAGAGAACGACTTTGAGCCAAAGCAGACGAGATGCATTTTTTAAACACATGCTTGCTAATCTGCCTATAAAGGAAGTGATTTTGAGCCAGCCAGATTAACACACCCACCCATGTGTTCTGTTGTTTTAAGGCTGCTTTCCGCAGCAGGCTTCACTTCTGCCCTCAGAGCTGGGGGGAGTGGGGGGTGGGAGAGAGAGACATAAAACAGTTGTTTAGTCGTGTCCGCCTCTTCGTGACCCCATGGACCAGAGCACGCCAGGCACTCCTGTCTTCCACCGCCTCCCACAGTTTGGTCAAACTCATGTTCGTAACTTTAAGAACACTGTCCCACCATCTCGTCCTCTGTTGTCCCCTTCTCCTTGTGCCCTCCATCTTTCCCAACATCAGGGTCTTTTCCAGGGAGTCTTCTCTTCTCATGAGGTGGCCAAAGTACTGGAGCCTCAGCTTCAGGATCTGTCCTTTCAGTGAGCACTCAGGGCTGATTTCCTTCAGAATGGATAGGTTTGATCTTCTTGCAGTCCATGGGACTCTCAAGAGTCTCCTCCAGTACCATAATTTAAAGGTCACTTTCCAAGGTCACTTTCCAAGATAAAGTGAGGGGGGAGGGGGAGCGGGCAACATTTTGTAAAATCGGATTATTAAATCGGCGACAATATTATCCTTGCAGAAATGTATTATACTTGTGTATGATAAACAAATGGAATAAATATTTCAGAGAATTATGTAGAAAAAGCTACATAACAAACTGTGCGATAGAATTAAGACAACAGAAAAAGTACAATGAGGATGATTGGAAGTTTCTTACAGAAAATTTTATTGGATAAGATATGTTATAACTGATATTCTTTACTTACTGTTAATTTTTTATTATTATTATTTTCTTTATCTTTTTTCTTTTTCATTTCCATGTTTAGCTCTGTTGTATTCATTTGTAATATATTTGTAAGATGGTATTTTAAATCAATAAAGACGATTAAAAAAAAATTTTAAAAAAATTGGCGACAAGTTTCTGAGTCACTTCTTCGCTTGCAAAATACTTGGGGACTGGACTAATAACTTTCACATGCATCCAGTTCTCGCCCCACATGCCAGCTCTTGCAGCTGAGCTCAGCTGGATCCGCCCCTGCCCGGAGGCATTTCCAGGAAAGGACTTCCCCAAAGTCCTAAAATTGTTCAAAGGCTGGAAGGGAGGAGGAGGCGGCAGCAGCAGCAGCAGCAGCAGCCATGGCGTCCGGAGATCCCTTGCAAGGGCTCCGCGAGGAAGCGACTTGCTCCATCTGCCTGGATTACTTCGCGAGCCCGGCGACCATCGAATGCGGCCACAGCTTCTGCCGAGCCTGCCTCGTCCAGTACTGGGCAGAATCCGGCGCGGGCCCTTCCTGCCCTCAGTGCAGGGAAGCCACCCAGCAGAGGATCCTCCGGCCCAACTTGCAGCTGGCCAATTTAGTGCAGCTGGTCAGGCAGCTCAAAGCGGACGCGGGAGAGGACTCGGGAGAAGCCAGCCCGGCCTCTTGCAAGGACGACCCAGCCCTGCTCTTGGGGGCGGAGTGCGACCCATCCAAGGGGGATCCTGCCCCCCACGACTCCTCTCCCGCAGAAGAGGCTTCCCTGCAGTATAAGGTTGGAAACTTCAAGGGAAAGAGATTTGCTTGTTTGTTTGTTGCATTCCTGCAGTGCAACTACTGCATGGCGTTCCTGCATCGCAGGGGTGACCTTTGGGGTCGCCTTCAACTCTGCAATTCTGTGATTTCCTATTCTAGGGTCATCTAGTCCATAGGTAGGCAAACTAAGGCCCGGGGGCCGGATCTGGCCCAATCGCCTTCTCAATCCGGCCCGCGGATGGTCCAGGAACCAGCGTGTTTTTACATAAGTAGAATGTGTGCTTATATTTAAAATGCATCTCTGGGATATTTGTGGGGCATAGGAATGCGTTCATTTCCCCCCAAAAAATATAGTCTGGCCCACCACAAGGTCTGAGGGACAGTGCTGAAAAAGTTTGCTGACCCCTGATCTAGTCCAACCCCCTGCTCAGCTAATGCATCCAAACTTGGCTTAAAAACTTCGAAGGAAGGAGAATACACAACCTCCTGAGGGAGACAATCTCACTGTTGAACAGCTCTTACTGTTTCATATACAGTGGTACCTTGGGTTAAGTACTTAATTTGTTCTGGAGGTCCGTACTTAACCTGAAACTGTTCTTAACCTGAAGCACCACTTTAGCTAATGGGGCCTCCTGCTGCTGCCGCGCCACCGGAGCACTGTACCTCGGGTTACATACGCTTCAGGTTACAGACTCCACTAACCCAGAAATAGTACCTCAGATTAAGAACTTTGCTTCAAGATGAGAACAGAAATTGTGCGGTGGCAGCGGGAGGCCCCATTAGCTAAAGTGGTGCTTCGGGTTAAGAACAGTTTCAGGTTAAGAACGGACCTCCAGAACGAATTAAGCTCTTAACCCGAGGTACCACTGTACGCACCACTTACTGATTTCTATACCAACTTTCTTTTCTAGACAGTATTATTCTTCATATATTTTGCCACTTTATATTTCGGGGGGCGGGGCGGGGATCTCAAAGCAGTTTACAATAGAGTTTTACAGAGCAAAACACATTCAGGCTTCAAAGGAAATATTTTTAGATCCTTCTCTAAGTGACACTTCGCTTTCTGCATATATTGTTTGCCTACTTGATGTATACAGAAGAAGGCTAGGAAGCCAGTTTGGTGTCGTGGTTAGAGTGTGTCAGACTGGGACCTAGGAGATCAGGGTTCAAGTCCCCATTCGGTCAGGAAGCTCACGGGGTGAGTCACTTGCCTCTTAACCTACCTCACAGCCTTGTTGTAGGGATAAAATGAACCATGTACCGCTTGTTGAAATGCAATAGGTAAGCTCTTCTGCTGACCTGCCTAAGAAAGCTGGGGAGGCCACCCAGAGAGAGATGTCAGATGACAACCAGGCATCCCAAGATCTTCACGTGGTCAAAATTGGAGTTGCAATTAAAATAAATAAATAAATAAAAATTATTAAGTACAAATCAGAAAACATACATATTTACAACAAAAGAAAATACAAAGAAAAAAGAAAATACATATAACCGAGGAAAAAAATTAGAGAATACTTTGCCTCTTTTCATGTTTACAGTTATTTATACCTCTATAAAATGCTATACACGATAAAGGAGTGAAATGAAAGATATCAGAAAAAAAGAAAAAAGAACAAAGAAAAAATAAAGAAGTAAAAGAAAAGGATCATAGGTGAAAATTTTAAAAGTAGATAAGTATTCACTATACATAGCCGTTTCCCATCTATATTTATATTCAATTCTCTTCCCCCCCCCCCCACTGTGAGGTAGGTTAGTCTAAGACAGGCATAGACAAACTCGGCCCTCCAGATGTTTTGGGATTACAACTCCCATCATCCCCGAGCTAACAGGCCCAGTGGTCCAGGATGATGGGGGTTGTAGTCCCAAAACATCTGGAGGGCCGAGTTTGCCTATGCCTGGTGTAAGCGATAGAGAATGGCCCAAGGTCACCAAGCAAACTTCATGGCTCAGCATGGATTCGAACCCTGCTCTCCCAGTTTCCTGGCTTTCTCCCCATCCCTCCTTCCACAGAAGCAGTGGCTTCTCTCTTTTTTTTTTTTATAAGATATTTATTGAAATTTTCAGAATATTACCAAAAAAAAAAATACAAAATAAAAATAGTTAAAAACAACTCAATCTTTCCATTACTTATTTTTCATTAGCTTATTTCCCGGACCTCCTCATGCCTCCCTTTTTTGTATTCCAGTTCGGTTTGTTGGTTCAGCAAATCCTTCCCCTCTTTATTTATCCAAGTCTTAAATCTTAAAATATTGTAACGTTAAATTTTTACCTGTTAGTAATCCATTTTTCATATTCCCTTATAGCATTACAGCTGGAAACCACTTACTTTCTATCCAACATCATTCTAACATTCATTAATTTTACAATATTTCTGTAAATAGGCTTTAAATTTCTTCCAATCTTCTTCCACCGACTCTTCTCCCTAGTCTCGGATTCTGCCAGTCATTTCCGCCAGTTCCATATAGTCCGTCACCTTCATCTGCCATTCTTCCAAGAAGTAGTGGCTTCTCACTGCAGTTATATAAATACCATTTTTGGTCAAGAGCATAACTGAGAGGTGACTTTCAATCTGCCGTTCCGTACATACTGACTTTGGAGTAAGTCCCACTGAACTCACTGGGGCCTACTTCCAAGTAGAGACACGCAAGTCTTGCTTTAACACATATTTCTTGCTTTGGTGTCTCTGTTTTTAATTATCTTCTGTGTCAGTCGCCTCGAGGCAGTGGTTTAGAAGGGGATAAATACTTTGGTGATGATCATGGCATAATGGAGGGAAACTAAAAATAGATGCATTAGAAAGAAACCACCAGTGAGTCAGTGTGTGCGATCCGACATGAATTGAACTCCTGACAGAGAAAAAAATGCTTTCCTGATTCTGCAGAGGAAAATCAAGTCCCACCTGACATATCTGAAAAAGGAGAGAGAAAAGCTGGTGAACCTGAAACTTGCTGAAGAGATGGGGAGGCAGGAGGGTCTGGTAGGTTTGTGTTTCTTATGGGTGATGTTATGGGGCTGTGTGTTGTCAGGTGGAATCCCCATGGCCTTCTGGAAATTTAACATTTCTGGGAATTTTGAAGCCATGGGTGGGGAACGTTCCCCCCTCACCTGGGGAATGGAGGCACAATTTAATATTGTGGTTAAAAAATAAACAATATTTATGTTTTTAAAAGGAACTTTTACAGATCACAAGCCACTTTGTTACTTTAGAAGCATAAAATATACACTAGTGGCCAAAATTGTGGAAACCTTTTGGGGAAAGTGTATTTCCGAGGTTTGATGCCTCATAATATCATTTTTTTGGGGGGTAATACCATAAAACTATGTACCAATAGAAAGATAATTTAATGAAGAATGTGATGCGGCAAAGGGGCGAAAGTGGGCCCCTTTTCTGTACCCGCAAGTTTTGTGAACAACCATGCCAAAGAACCTCATCATTGCACCTCTGCCCCCTCGCCCAGTTTCTTTGCGTTCTCCCCCCATGCCCAGATGTTATTTGAAACGGAGAAGAAGAAAGCCCGGTCTTCCTTTGAGCGAATGATCCAGTTCCTTGTGGAGAAACAGCACCTCTGGCTGGGCCAGCTGGAAGATCTGGAGAAAGCGATGGAGAGGAAGCAGGAGGAAAACCTCGCCAAACTCTCAGAGGAGATTTCCCGACTCAACGAGCTGATCGTGGAGATGAAATGGAAGTACCTGCAGCCCGCGAGCGAATTGTTGCAGGTGAGTATACAATACCCTGTGAGGAGCTGAAGAGGACTGAGGGGTGAAAGAAGCCACCAACTCAAGTCTGGTCTCCTTGATTTTTGGGCATGTTGTTTCCACCCACATCCTGGATAACTTTCACCAATAAGCAAAGTCCTTGCCTCATGGGGGCTGCCATGATCCTGTGTTGCTGGCCTTGGCTGGCTGAGGTCCATAATTCCAATGCCTCCCTGTGAAGGGAGGGAACTAGGTACAGCGCGGGAGGAAAGTATTTGATCCCCCGCTAAATTTGCCCGTTTGCCCTCTGACAAAGAAATGGCCAGTCCATAATTTTAACGGTAGGTTTATTGTAGCTGTGAGAGTCAGAATAGTAACAGGAAAACCCCCCAGAAACCCAGAAGAGATTGCTGTGCATTATAATGAGTGAAATAAGTACAGTGGTACCTCGGGATGAGAACGGGATCCATTCTGGAGCGGCTAACAACGATAAAAGTAACACAGCATTCTAAAATCAATTCATTTTAAAATCAATTCAAAATCAAATTAATGGCAACCATTGCGCTAGAGTTCTGTGAGGATTACCAAAGGAGGGAGTCAGGCTGTGCCCTGGCCAAAGGCCTGGTGGAACAGCTCTGTCTTGCAGGGCCTGCGGGAAGATGTCCTGCAGTCCTGCAGGGCCCTAGTCTCTTGTGACAGAGCGTTCCACCAGATCGGAACCACGGCCAAAAAAAGCCCTGGCTCTGGTTGAGGCCAGCCTAACCTCTCTGTGGCCCAGGATCTCCAAGATGTCTCTGTGGGGCATACCAGGAGAGGTGGTCCCGTAGGTACGAGGGTCCCAGCACCTTAAACCTGATCCTGTACTCCACCGGGAGCCAGTGCAGCTGGTATAGCACTGGGTGAATGTGATCCCGCAGCGAGGACCCCTTAAGGAGTCTCGCCGCGGCATTCTGTACCCGCTGGAGTTTCTGGGTCAGTCTCAAGGGCAGCCCCACGTAGAGCGAGTTACAATAATCCAGCCTGGAGGCGACCGTTGCGTGGATCACAGTGGCTAGGTCAGGGAGAGAGAGGTAATGGCAGTTTGTTTTCCACAGACAAGGAAGGGGGCAGAGGAATCCCCATTGAACAAGTAGTAGCCCTGTGTGTGATCTGCCTGTGCTGCTGGCACCCATTTCTGTCTCTCTCTCTTTATCTTTCAGGACACCAGAAGTTCCTTAAGCAGGTACGTGGCTCTTTCTCTCCATCCCATTTCATAGAAACATAGAATTGTAGGGTTGGAAGAGACTGCAAGGGTTATCAAGTCCAACCCCCTCTTTGCATCAGGAAGTTTAGCTCCCATGGAGTTATTTGGAAGAGAAAATATATTATTTTCCTCCATCTCGCTTATTTTTTTTACTCCCCTCCTTTCCCCCCTGCTCCTTCTCCTTCCTTTTCCGATTTCATTTGCCACCAACAGCTTAAATCCCATTTAAAAACAAACGAACAAAACCCAGATTTCTGCATATGGCTTCCTCCGAAAATCCGGCTTACCCCTCACTGAGTTACAGTTTCCAGCGATTTTAATAAACCACAGCTTCTAGGAATCTTTGGGGAGTTGCCATGTGCTTTCAATGTATTTTGTGTGTGCAAATTTAGACACCCCCCCCCCCCGGAAAGATCACAAGAGGATTTAGGGACATAAGTTGGGGTCCCCTAAGTGCTGTGGACTCCAGCTGAAAGCTGCTTATATCAAGGTCTTCCCCAGCCTCTGCAACATGAGACTATTTTTAACGTGAAGCATCACTGAGTGATGAGTCCTTGCTTTGTATCTGCACCGGAGCTCCTCATCTCTCTTGTTTGGCCTTCCTGATCCCCCCAAAAAACAGCAGCAAGGAAATTTCATTGAGACAGGTTTGTATAATTAAATTGGCTTAAAGCATTCTGGTGCATCAAACTCCCTTTTTTAAAAAAAACCCCACAGCCTTTTTCAGGAAGGAAAGTGATGGAGAAATGCGCTGGGAAATGTGGAATAATAACCTCCACGCAAACAAATCAGAATGAATGCTTCCTAGACAGTGGACTGTGCATCACCTCCATGCAAGGTTTATGCCAACTGGTCAGGATGAATGCTAAGAAAATTGGTTATCTGGAAGTACCTCAATGCTTACAGGGGGGAAAATGTTTTCTTACTTTTTTAAAAGTTATTTATGATTTTCAATTTTTTACATTTCAATAATTTTACAATCATTTTAACATTTCAAAACTCGACCCCCCCCTCTTTTTGCCGTTCCTTAAATTTATTTATTTTAATTTTTGCATATTCCAAATTAACTTAATCATTTATTCATCTACTTATAAGCCTGAAGGTTATTACCATAATCCCGCCAATGTTCTTATCTTTTTACAGTTGGTTTGTAAATATTGAATAAACCATTTCCATTCTTTTATCAAAAAGTTTATCTTGATTTCTTATTTTTCCAGTAAGTTTCATCATTTCTATGTATTCCCTAAGTTTTTGCATCCATTCTTCTTTCACCGGCACTTCTTTCCATTTTGGAGCAAATAACATTCTTGTCGCTGTAGTCGCATACATGAATAAATTTCTGTAGGGTTTGGGTAGTTCTGCCCCTATAATTCCCCAAAGGGGAGCTAATATGTTTTACTACTGCTCCATAAACACGACTGTATTCCCTTCTAGGTACGAGAAGAATTTGGGAGGGCATGCGGTGGTCCTTTCTCCCAGGCTGGAAGAGAAGCTCAGAGTTTTCTCGCAAAAAAATGCTGCTTTGGAGAAATCTATGGAGAACTATAAAGGTACTGAAGGAGGACGGGAAAGGACAGAAGCTGGCATAGGGTTAGACAGGCAAAGTAGTGTTCAGCTGTCTTCCTACTGCCAAGAGCTGCAATAATTATAATTATTATAATTATAATTATAATTATAATATATTTATACCCCGCCCATCTCTCAGGGTTTCCCCAGCCGCTCTGGGCAGCTCCCAACAGAATTTTATTAATAATAAAATTAATAATACTAATACTAATAATAAAGTGATAAAACATCAAACAATAAAAACTTCCCTAAACAGGGCTGCCCTCAGATGTCTTCTGAAAGTCTGGTAGTTGTTTTTCTCTTTGACATCTGAAGGGAGGGTATTCCACAGGGCAGGTGCCACTACCAAGAAGACCCTCTGCCTGGTTCCCTGTAACCTCACTTCTCGCAGTGAGGGAACCACCAGAAGGCCCTCGGAGCTGGACCTCAATGTCTGGGCTGAACGATGGGGGTGGAGACGCTCCTTCAGGTATACTGGGCCGAGACCGTTTAGGGCTTTAAAGGTCAGCACCAACACTTTGAATTGTGCTCGGAAACGTACTGGGAGCCAATGTAGGTCTTTCAGGACCAGTGTTATGCGGTCTCGGCGGCCACTCCCAGTCACCAGTCTGGCTGCTGCATTCTGGATTAATTGCAGTTTCCAGGTCACCTTCAAATGTAGCTCCACGTAGAGCGCGTTGCAGTAGTTAAAGAGATAGATAACCAGAGCGTGCTCCACTCTGGCGAGACAGTCTGTGGGCAGGTAGGGTCTCAGCCTGCGTACCAAATGGAGCTGTTTCCTGAGAGGGCATGGGAGTTCAACACGGTGCAGTTGGGGCAGCAGCAGCAGCAGCACCAATCTGATGACCCTGCTGCCTCACCTTCACTGCGCTGGCCTCCACACGCCTTTCCCTTTCAGTAACCACCAGTGACGCTCGGCACTGGGAAAGCGAGTGAGCCGCTCCGTGCAGTCTGCGGCAAACGCTTCTAGCCATGGATGCAGCTATCTGTCAGCTCCCATTCCAGGCAGGTCACAAGGAAAGGCAAATCCTTTTAGATGGGGACCTGTCTTCCCTGGAGCTTCCTGGAAGTGTCTGAAAGGGCATCCAAAGAATTGGATAAGATGACAGGAAGGATTCGAAACCTGCGGGATCAGAGATTCTCAGAGGACTGGAGTAAATATTTGAAAAGCAATTGTAATAAACAGATTACACTAGTAGGACTGGAAGAAGTTTTGTAAGGAGGACTATGCAAAATATCGCAGAGAAGATTATGAAGAGAATTATTAGCTAAGGATTATTAAAAGTAATAGTGAAATTAATGAAATGTAGATTAAGTGATAAAGACTGAAAAATCTTCAGATGTGGTTGATGGAAGTCTAAAACATTGTATAAATTAAGAAAATGTGTTATATGGTGTTTGGGAATTATATGTAAAAATCAATAAAAATATAATAATAATAATAATAATAATTAAAAAAAAAAGAAAGGGCATCCAAAGAACCATTGCCATTGCTCCATCACCTAGTGGTGGCTTGTGCTGATCGAAATGCGGAGTTTCCTGCCCACAAGGGTCCTGAGATTGAATGCTTATTATGATTATTATTCACAAAACAAACCGCCGCTCAACGTATGATGGTCTGAATAACTTTGTCCACCTTTTCTTCTTCGTTACAGAATCTCTGGAGCAAGTTCTGCAACCAGGTAATTTTCTAGGAATAAAAGGAAATGTTGGCGCCCAGTTGTGCACGTCATGAATGCACAACGAACAGGACATTTCGGGAGGGGGGGGGAGTGTCTCTGTGTTGACCGAGAATCAGCTTTTAAACTTGTCACCCTTTCCTTCCCATAACAGATTATTTGAAGCAGACCTTGCAGAAAGGTAAATAACTCAATGGAATGGGAAACGTTGGGTGGGAAGTTGGAGATTTAGCGGCTGCCCCTTGCTCAGTTGCTTAATCGGGTGGCAATAATAATACAATGGTACCTCGGGTTAAGGGACACGGGTGGCACTGTGGGTTAAACCACAGAGCCTAGGGCTTGCCGATCAGAAGGTCGCGGTTCGAATCCCCGCGACGGGGTGAGCTCCCGTTGTTCGGTCCCAGCTCCTGCCAACCTAGCAGTTCGAAAGCACACCAGTGCAAGTAGATAAATAGGTACCGCTCCCGCAGGAAGGTAAACGGCGTTTCTGTGTGCTGCTTTGGTTCGCCAGAAGCGGCTTAGTCATGCTGGCCCCATGACCCGGAAGCTGTACGCCAGCTCCCTCGGCCAATAAAGCGAGATGAGCGCCACAACCCCAGAGTCGGTCTCAACTGGACCTAATGGTCAGGGGTCCCTTTACCTTTACCTCGGGTTAAGTACTTAATTCGTTCTGGAGGTCCGTTCTTAACCTGAAACTGTTCTTAACCTGAAGCACCACTTTAGCTAATGGGGCCTCCCGCTGTTTCCATGCCGCTGGAGCACGATTTCTGTTCTCATCCTGAAGGAAAGTTCTTTATTTCTGCGTTAGCAGAGTCTGTAACCTGAAGCGTATGTAACCGAAGGTACCACTGTAATAATAAAATAAATTTTTATTTATATCCCGCCCTCCCCAGCCAAAGCCAGGCTCAGAGTGGCTAACAACAAGAGCAGAAGGTCCCTGTCTTCGCCCCTGCCCCTCGCTTCAGCACCTTAGCCCGATCCTTTCGCCGACATCATCCCTCCTCCAATTTCATTCTCCGCCCCTCTCTTTCCCACAGCGAACGTGACTCTGGATCCGGACACGGCCCACCCCTTCCTCATTCTGTCCCAGGACCTGAAGGGCGTGCGGAGAGTTCAGAGGGAGCAGGACTTGCCTTTCAACCCCGAGAGATTTGACACCATGCCCTACGTGCTGGGCTGCAACAGATTCACTTCCGGAAAGCACTGGTGGGAGGTCGAGGTGTGGGGCAAGGCGACGTGGGCCGTGGGGGTGGCCACGGAGTCGGTCAGGAGGAAGGGGGGCGTCGACATCAGCCCCCACCAGGGGATCTGGGCCATGGGGAAGCCGCCCTGCTACTCCCCCTCCCCCTGCCAGTTCCTGGCTTTTACTTCCCCTCAGCCGACGGACCTGACCTTGAGGAGAGAGCCCAGGAAGATCCGCGTGGCCCTGGATTGCGAGGCGGGCTGCGTGGAGTTTTCCGACGCCGACACGGAGGAATTCATCTTCGCTTTCCCTCCGAGATCCTTCTTTGGGGAGAAAATCCGGCCCTTTCTGCAGGTGTGCTGCGATGTCAGCCTGAAATGCTGAAGCCCGCCGTGAATCGCAAACTCTACGGGGCCACCGCTCTGAGAGGAGCAAATCCTCTCCGAAACCTCTCCGTTCTAGATGGTAAGATTCTTCCATCTGCAGACAAGAAAAGGCAGCAAATAAAAACAGTCTGGGTTCGATGGTCCCTTTCGTTACCATTCTTTAATAATAATAATAATAATAATAATAATAATAATAATAATAATAAAAATTTTTATTTATATCCCGCCCTCCCCAGCCAAAGCCGGGCTCAGGGTGGCTAACAACAATAAAACAGTACAAAAGTACAGCACAAACAACACTCTAAAATCATTCATTATAAAATTGAAATGATCGTTCTAAACAAAATAGGAAGAAGCTCCAAATACAGTGGTACCTCTGGTTGCGAATGGGATCCGTTTTGGAGGCCGCTTCGCAACATGAAAAGAATGCAACCTGCAGCGGCGCGTCTGCGCACGCGCAGGTTGCGATTGGCCACTTCTGCGCATGCGCGTGACATCATTTTGCGCGTCTGCGCATGCGCGAGTGGCGAAACCCGGTAGTAGTAGTAGTAATAATAATAATAATAATAATAATAATAAATTTTTTTATTTATATGCCGCCCTCCCCAGCCGAAGCCGGACTCAGAGCGGCTAACAACAGTAAAATGATAAAACATTCTAAAATCATTTCATTATAAAATTAATTCAAATCAGATTAATGGCAACCATTGGGCTAGAGTTCTGTGAGGATTACCAAAGGAGGGGGTCAGACTGTGCCCTGGCCAAAGGCCTGTTGGAACAGCTCTGTCTTGCAGGCCCTGCGGAAAGATGTCAAGTCCCGCAGGGCCCTAGTCTTTTGTAACAGAGCGTTCCACCAGATTGGAGCCACAGCCGAAAAAGCCCTGGCTCTGGTTGAGGCCAGCCTAACCTCTCTGTGGCCTGGGACCTCCAAGGTGTTTTTGTTTGAAGACTGTAAGTTCCTCTGTGGGACATACCAGGAGAGGTGGTCCCATCGGTACGAGGGTCCTAGGCAGTATAGGGCTTTAAAGGTCAAAACCAGCACCTTAAACCTGATCCTGTACTCCACCGGGAGCCAGTGCAGCGGGTATAGCACTGGGTGAATGTGATCCCACGGCAAGGACCCCGTAAGGAGTCTTGCCGCGGCATTCTGCACCCGCTGGAGTTTCTGGGTCAGTCTCAAGGGCAGCCCCACGTAGAGCGAGTTACAATAATCCAGTCTGGAGGTGACCGTCGTGTGGATCGCAGTGGCTAGGTCAGGGCGAGAGAGGTAAGTAACCCTTTCCAGTACTTCCGGGTCACCGCGGGACGCAACCTGAAAAAACCGTAACATGAATCAAACGTAACAAGAGGTATGAGTGTAGATTAAAAGTGGTATTGATTCTGGGACATGAAAGGCTATGTCTCTGAGATGGTGGTTGTCCAACTTTTGTCCCCACCTACACTCAACTCTCACCTGTGGCTTCTAGAAGCTGTCAGCCTGGGACAGCAGCCACACCCCAAGAACGGCTTCAACCGGTCGACTAAAAACCAGGTGAGGGGAGCCGATGGACCTCAAACCCATGGTGAGTTAGGGACTTCTCCTGCACGTGAAGGCAGGCTCCAGTGGATTGAGCAGATGAGACCAAGAGTAGATCCAGTGGTCAAGAAGGTGGTTTCTGCCCGTGCTGTAGAGGAAAACAGGGGGTAGGTGGGGCTCGTCATCCTGGGAAGGGAGCCCAGCTAGGAGAAGGAAAACTCTAACCCTAAACCTCTACTGCCTTGCGGGAGATCTTTGGGAGAAGACAGGACTAAGGAGTAGTCCCTGCTCAAATCCAGTGTAGAGTCCCTAAGACGGTTGGTTGGCACCCTGTGCAGATTCCAATACAGTGGTACCTTCGGTTAAGTACTTAATTCGTTTCAGAGGTCCGTTCTTAACCTGAAACTGTTCTTAAACTGAAGCACCACTTTAGCTAATGGGGCCTCCTGCTGCTGCCGCACCGCCGGAGCACAATTTCTGTTCTCATCCTGAAGCAAAGTTCTTAACCTGAGGTACTATTTCTGGGTTAGCAGAGTCTGTTACCTGAAGCGTATGTAACCCGAGGTACCACTATATATAGTTAGCAGAGTAAAAAACTTAAAACACATTGCAGGATTCCCAGAAATAGACCACAGGCAATTAATGTTTCATCCAGCAGAGCTTTACTGCTACTGAAGGCAAATGAGCAGAATGGTCACAAATCCAATACATTCAGGATTGGCACCGTCCGTAAGAAATCCAATTGCAGCAGACCTAACTTAAACTTACAATAACTTATCATAAGACTAAATCTTGACACTGTATACAGGACACCGCACCAGAAGGAAGAGAAAGAGTGAAACCCAGGATCCTTCTGGCTTTACTGTTATAGTCAATATGACCTTGACAAAATAAAAAAATTCCTTCCAGTAGCACCTTCGAGACCAACTAAGTTATTGGTATGAGCTTTTGTGTGCATGCACACTTCTTCAGATACACACGAAAGCTCATACAGTCATACCTCATGTTACGTCCACGTCATGTTATGTTCTTTCAGGTTATGTCCCGCAGCGAACGGGAAGTACTGGAAAGGGTTACTTCCGGGTTTCGCAGCTTGCGCAGAAGCACAAAATGACATCATGCGCAGAAGCGGCGAATCGCAACCTGCGCATGTGCAGACACGCCACTGCTGGTTGCGTTCTTTTCATGTTGCGAACAGGCCTCCAGAACGGATCCCGTTCGCGACCAGAGGTACCACTGTACCAATAACTAACTCAGTTAGTCTCTAAGGTGCTACCGGAAGGAATTTTTTTATTTTGTTTTGACAGAGACCAACACGGCTACCTACCTGTAACTACGACCTTGACTGAAAGAGATAACAGAACCAGTTTAATCCAGCTGTACTCAGCTTCTCTGAAGGAATAACTCGAACATCATGAGCCTCCTGCTTGCTTCTTTCACACAGAGAAGCTTCCAGAACCCTCTGAATTAATTAGAATTAATTCTAATCATTACTTAGCTTTTTAAAAACCCTTTGGGGTTGAGGGAATGGTTATTTCAAAACATTGCAATGAAAGGAAGCTTCTGACCTTGACTGTTTTGAGTTTTTTTCACTGATTGCTGCTTATTTCCAGCACTTTTTCCCTGCATAGGAGTGAATCTATAGGCCCCCCTTGGAGTAATTCCAGCAACTTCTCTCACTAATACAAGGGATGTGTAATGTGCCTATTCATTCTCTCTCTTCCCACCCCTCCTTTAATTTTATGACACTGCAAGATAAAAAGGATGACTACAGGAAGCTTCACAGCAACACTGCCATCCTTCAATTATTTTTATTGCATTTTATTGTATAAGATTTCTTACCTGTCTTTCACCACAGGGTCCCGGGGTGGGTTATGGCAATGTAATATACAGCTATAAAAGGCAAAGCCATTGCAGCTATCGAAAAAGAAATAATTCAGGTAAAACCGTTCTGTGGAACGGAACAGAGTAATATAAATTCAGCCAAAGATGTGGGTCTTAAAAAACACAATACTTTAATTGTCAAACTGTTAAGTGGTACATTTAGCATTTTTAGGTAACAGTCACATCTTATGCGGGGTGCATTTGGGTTATGCAATATTCATATTCATAAATAGCTGACAAAAGGGTTCAATACATGTAATCATAAGACATACCAGCTAAAAGCAGAAGTTTATCGAGGGACATACAAAACGCTTGGCCAAGGTTTCACATACAGAAACTGCTTTCAGATGATAGATAATATCTGAAAGGACAGCAGAGCAAGGCCAGATAGATGTGTATTTATGGTACAGGATAATGTCATGGTTCTTGTTTGGAAAAAGAGATTGAAGGACAGGATGAAAGGCTATCTCTGAAGGGCACTTGGCAGCTTGGGGAGCAAATCGGCAAGAGGTGAGGTAGACTGAGGGAGAAGTGATGAGTAAGCTGGCAAGGAAGACCTGGACCTAGACTCGCAATAGTTTTTTGTATGTGTTTGCCTTCCGTTATTTTTCCTCTTGCACTTTATTTCCTCATTAAATTATGTTGCAATAAATCTTTCTAAAATCATCCAAACTTGTCCTCTTTCTCAGTGCTTGTGTGGTTCAGAAGGCAAGGAGATCTCAGGTCTGTGTATTCAAACCGAGTGGCACGGGATCTCATTATAAATCAAAACCACCAGAATGCCTATGTTATGCAAACCCACTTGAAAAAACATGTAAACGTAATACAGTGGTACCTCGGGTTAAGTACTCAATTCGTTCCGGACGTCTGTTCTTAACCTGAAACTGTTCTTAACCTGAAGCACCACTTTAGCTAATGGGGCCTCCTGTTGCCGCTGCGCCGCCAGAGCACGATTTCTGTTCTCATCCTAAAGCAAAGTTCTTAACCTGAGGTACTATTTCTGGGTTAGCGGAGTCTGTAACCTGAAGCGCATGTAACCTGAAGCGTATGTAACCTGAGGTACCACTGTAGGCTGTATAATAACAATTGTGAAGTTATTTACTAGAAACTACTTCTCCAAATTAGATACAGCTTCTCATAATGTCAAGATCAACATCGTGACATAACATATTAAAATATAGCTTATTCAGTTAACCACCAAGTCCAGTGTGTACAAAATGTGATTCCTATTTTGTCAGTACTGTGCCAGCATCTACCAGTGCCAGTTTCTTTCACTGATTTCACTTTCACTTATCATCTTCATTAAACATTTACAAGACTATTTCATGGTACTCCTCTAAGGAATACACCAGACAGAAAAATACAAGAGAAGATGAAGAAATTGGAAATGAATGTACTACGGGACTAACAAAATAGGAATCGCATTTTGTACATACTAGACTTGGTGATTAACTGAATAAGCTATATTTTAATATGTTGTGTCACAATGTTGATTTTGACATTATGAGAAGCTGTATCTAATTTTGTAAGGTAAAAGTAAAGGGACCCCTGACCATTAGGTCCAGTCGTGACTGACTCTGGGGTTGCGGCTCTCATCTCGCTTTACTGGCCGAGGGAGCCGGCGTACAGCTTCTGGATCATGTGGCCAGCATGACTAAGCCACTTCTGGCGAACCAGAGCAGCGCACGGAAACACCGTTTACCTTCCCGCCGGAGCGGTACCTATTTATCTACTTGCACTTTGATGTGATTTCGAACTGCTAGGTTGGCAGGAGCAGGGACCGAGCAACGGCAGCTCACCCCGTCGCAGGGATTCGAACCGCCGACCTACTGATCAGCAAGTCCTAGGCTCTGTGGTTTAACCCACAGCACCACCCACGTCCCATTTTGAGAAGTAGTTTCTAGTAAATAACTTTACAATTGTTATTATACACCTATGACGTTTACGTGTTTTTTCAAGGGGTCTCATTATAAACACAAAACAAAAATCCTACAGAGGGAAAGACAGACAAGTATAGATCAAGTGAACAAATTTGCTGTGCACCAACACCACAGCAAAGCAATTGTTCTTGTTCGTTTACGGGGCAGCACCCAGCTGTTAATACGTAACAGAATACTTCCTTTGCATGAGGGTGGAGAAAGGATTTTGCGTGGCGGGATGTCACATGCATTGATAAAATGCTTTTACAAGAGCAGCTGACGTACATTATTATTAATAATAATAAAATGTGTACACTGCCCTTCACCCAAAGATCTCAGGGCCGTAAATACAAAAACACAAAATAGATAATAAAAACCAGAACGAGAGAAGCCAGTAACACCCCCCTCCCAACTCTTAACGGAGAAATCCGAGGGCTCCCTTGGACAAAAAAACCAAGGACACCAGCCAGGAATACCAGAGCAAAACAGCAGCTAGTAGGCTTGGTCTTTATTGAAGACTGTCGCGACAGGACTCCCACCTGCCACCAGGTGAAACAAGATGGAAGCACCCGAACAAAAGAGAACCCAAATTTTATTAGCTACTAATCCCTCATGCTTCACCCCTAAGACTACATCACAACTACATCATTGACACATCACAAAAAAGGAGGGGTTGAAGGAGGAGTTGTGGTGGTAACCTGAGTGTCTTGTCACCTAGCCGGTTCCTCCTTCCCCCCTCCCCATGAGTACTTTCCAGGTGACAAAGGGGAGTTTGCAGTTTCCTGCCCCCAGAGGGAAGAGCTGATCACTGTCCTTTGTTTCAGTCCCTGCTGAATCCACTCCCATATGCATAGGACCATCAAGGTTGTCATGCCAACTGGGTAGGGCTTGGCTGCCTTGTGTCAGGTCACCCCCCCTTTAATAGTCCTTCCTTCATGGTGTAAAATAAAAGTGGAAAGGTGCAGATCCAATGTATGGGTGATTTTCTATGAATTTATAACAGAAGCGTCGCGTATGTCGTGTGTGAGTGTCGTGTTTGTACAAACTGAATGGTGTGGGGGGGGTTTTCCTGCAACACCCCCCCCCCAAACACATGCTCAGTTGGTTTGAGCGTGGTGCTGATAACACCAAAGTTGTAGGTTGGATCCCTGTATGAGACGGCTGCATATTCCTGCATTGCAGGGGGGGTGACTGGATGATCCTGGGGGGTCCTTTCCGACTCTGAAAAGAACATAAAATGTTACTCAGCTAAAGGCCTGGCAGAAAAGGAATGTACATGATATAGTGCAGTCAGTAGTGTATGACACCCAATCTTAGGGTTGTGGGTTCGAGTCCAACCTGAGAAAAAAAAAAAATTCCTGCAGGGGGTTGGACTAGATGACCCTAGTGGACCCTTCCAGCTCTACAGTTCAATGACGCAAGGAAGGTGGGATTTAAGGAAATAAATGATAGCCTGGGGGCTTGCTGGGCGCCCCTCCCCTCCAAAAAACCCCCAAACATTACGGAAAGTACCGCACGCAGAAGAGTTAACATTTGCTCTGCCCCGCCGTCCCTGATTGGGCGACGGAGTTCGAACTCCCCAGGCTGAGCCCTTTCCGACCAATGGGAAGAGGCAGGCAGCCTCGAATTTCTAGCGTGGCAGTTTGCTCGCCACCCGAACTAACATCGAGCGCAAAGGTTTGGCTTTGCTCGTCTGTATAAAAAAGCGGGGCGGGAAAAGTGCAGCTTTTAAAAATCACCATTCTTCGTGCGCTCTTTTCTCCTATGCAAAGAAGGCAGCGTGCGAGGTGCTGAAAAATCACTTATTGTCAAAGGCACTCCCCCTTTATTTTTATTTATTAAATTTTCATTAAATATTATTTATTAAATAAATATTTATTTTTATTTTCTCCCTGACTCATTATGGGATGGAGAAGCAGTAAATTAGGCAAGGAGGTTTGGGTGCAAAGCTCCTCATCGTTTTAATTTCCCCACCCCCCACATGGCGTCTCGAGTTAGCAGGGAAAAAGGGGGCAAAAAACAGCCAGGCGGATCCGCCTTGCAGCCAGGGGAGCGGCTCAGTTAAAAACGTGTTTGCTGCAACCCCCCCCCCCCAAACCCTGCTATTTTATTGAGGTTCCATGTGCCAGTAAGCCTCCCCCGACTCTCTCCAAATCTGCATTCGGTATTAGACTTGATCCCCTATGTGGATCCCTAGGGGAAAGCACTAGCGCCCTTGAGCATGTGCAAAGCGCCTCCGCCCTTTGGGAATCGGGTTATATGCTTAAGCGAAATACAGTGCGCGGAATCGCTGCAGCTCGTAAAGCGGGGGCTTCCATTTCTCGTGCGTATACAGCCCTGCCCCACACCAGGCAGGGCACACCTGGGTTACCAGCGCCGGGGGGTAGAAGCGGAAAGCTCTGCAGCTGCTACTGCTGCTGCCGCCCACGTGCTTTCGCCCTGGACCACCCAGCGCGCCGCGCCTCCCACTCTCTCACCTGATTGGGCGAGGGGTCGCTTGGAACGTCGGGAGAGCTCGGCTGCCCTGGCCAATCGCAGGCGGAGGGAACGTCCGAACTTTCCGAGCGGATCCCGGATCCTTTGTGCGCTCCCACGAGACTCCAGCGCGCAGGACAGGTGAGAGCCGGCGTTGCGTGCTCACGGAAGAGATTTTTTATTAATATTTATTTCATTTATATCCTTCATTCCTGCCTGGGCGGTTTGCAACTTTAAAATACTGGAACAAAAAGGTGGTCTAAAATGCAAAGGGGGAGGTGGGTTTGTTCTTTGGCCTTGAGTTTTTTCTCCTCTCCCCCCACCCACGTCAGAAGATTTGTGGGACTGACTTTGTTTTTATATATTTCTAATATTAAAAAAACTAAAGAGCATAAAGAAATACCATTGCAGCAGGTAGAAAGCAGTTCTGGAGTTCCAGAGCTGAATAGACCACATGCACCTTCCAGCTAAAGATCTGTTCCTGATTATTTCAGCTCCTGGCAGCCCCCCCCCCCACGTTCATTAGTTTAATTTGGGGTGGGTCGTCATTAAACAGTTTGGATCTTGAAATATTTGCCCATCTACTTCAAATCAACTAGTAGATCCTGCTCTGCACATGTCCTAATTTGAGAAACGGCTTTTTCGCTCTTTGATTCAGAGGCAGGCAAAGGCTAAGAGCATGGGTAGGCAAACTAAGACCCGGGGGCCGAATCTTGCCCAATCTCCTTCTCAGTCCGGCCCACAGATGGTCCGGGAATCAGCGTGTTTTTACATGAGTAGAATGCATCTCTGGGTTATTTGTGGGGCATAGGAATTTGTTCATTTCCCCCCCAAAAAACATAGTCCGGCCTCTCACAAGGTCTTATGGACAGTGGACCAGCCCCCTGCTGAAAAAGTTTGCTGACCCCTGGCTAAGAGGAACCTGTGGTTTAGGATCAGGGAAATCTCCAGGCGTCTCACAAAATGGGGCGGTGGGGTTCGAGATGTCACCTGTCTGTTTGGGGGCTAGATCTGTTGCCCACATTATTTTGGAGGATCCTGGTTTAACTAGCAACAGGTTTCCTTGCCATTCCTAAATGGTTTGGGACTGGAATGAGCTAACAAATTAATCCTATGTTTTGCCAGGTGTTGTACTAAAACAGGCCCCATAGGTAAATGTAAAGGGACCCCTGACCGTTAGGTCCAGTCGCGGACGACTCTGGGGTTGCGGCCCTCATCTCACTTTACTGGCCGAGGGAGCCAGCATACAGCTTCCGGGTCATAATAATAGTAATAATAATAATTTATACCCCAGCCAAGACCGGGCTCAGGGCAGCTAACAACCAATAATAAAAACAAGTTGATTAAAATACGATTTAAAAAAACAAGATTAAAATACAACATTAAAACATTAGGATGCAGCCTCTTCACAGGAGGAGAAAGGAAAAAGAAAGAGGGGGAGGGAATCAAACTGATTCTAAGCCAAAGGCCAGGTGGAACAACTCTGTCTTACAGGCCCTGCGGAAAGAAATTGGATCCTGCAGGGCCCTGGTCTCATGAGACAGAGCATTCCACCAGGCTGGAGCCAGTGTTGAGAAGGCCCTGGCTCTGGTTGAGGCTAATCCGACTTCCTTAGGGCCTGGGACCTCTAGGGTGTTGCTATTTATGGACCTTAAGGTTCTCCATGGGCCATACCAGGAGAGGCGGTCCCGTAGGTACGAGGGTCCTAGGCCGTGAAGGGCTTTAAAGGTCAAAAGCAGCACCTTGAACCTGACCCTGTACTCCACCGGGAGCCAGTGCAGTTGGAAAAGCACTGGGTGAATATGCTCCCATGGCAGAGACCCTGTGAGGAGCCTCGCTGCAGCATTCTACACCCACTGGAGTTTCTGGGACAGCTTCAAGGGCAGCCCCACGTAGAGCAAATTACAGTAGTCAAGCAAAACTAGTGGCCAGCATGACTAAGTCGCTTCTGGCGAACCAGAGCAGCGCGCGGAAACACCATTTACCTTCCCGCCGGAGTGGTACCTATTTATCTGCTTGCCCTTTGACGTGCTTTTGAACTGCTAGGTTGGCAGGAGCAGGGACCGCCGACCATCTGATCGGCAAGCCTTAGGCTCTGTGGTTTAACCCACAGCGCCACCCGCGTCCCTAAAACAGGCCCCATAGGCAGTTACTAATCCTATTCTTAAAAACAAACAAACCACTGATTGATTAAGGGGATCCACTAGCTAGCCTAGCTCCATCCAGCTAACACAACTCCCCTTGGTTGTTCTAGAGAAGGAAACACACAGTCTGCATTGGAGATCTCAAATGAAACTGATAATTTTGTCCTTATGCTTCAGGGGGAGGTAGCCATGGAAGCCGAGGGTGCTATTGAGGGGCTCTGCGAGGAGGCGACATGTTCCATCTGCCTGGAGTACTTCATAGACCCAGTTACAATCGCTTGCGGCCACAACTTCTGCCAAGCCTGCTTTGACCAACTTTGGGAGGACCCCAATGTAGACTCCTGCTGCCCTCAGTGTCGAGAGAGGATCAAGCAAAGGAACTTCAGGCCAAACCGTCAGCTGGCAAATATGGTTGAGATCGTCAGGAACTTCCAGGAAAGGAAAGGATTGAAGAGAAAGTGGGAAGAGCCCCAGAGGCAGCAGGAGCCCCCGAAATTCTTCTGGAGGGATGGTCAGGCACCAGGGGTTGTGGTTTGGGACCGGTTGCATGCTGACCAGGGCCACACTGCGTCTTCTATAAGCAAGATATCCGTAAAATACAAGGTAAGAAATTGATATGGCAGGTGGTCCTAGGAAATCGCCCTGGCTCTTTTTTGGAGGGTTCTGTGCAGCCCTATGAGTTTCCCCTGGAGTAAAAGGTCATGCATAGATTACGCAGGAGATGGGTTGAGGATTAAATTTAATTTGTAGATTAAAATGCAAACCTCTTATCCCACACATGTAGGAGAAATACAAAAAGTAAACGCGCTGTGGTGATTTTTTAGCATAGTAAAACACCAGTTATTTTTATTGACTTTCCATAATTTATAACAAATTGTGTCCAATTTTTTTTAAAAAATTAAAAACTGGCTCTCCCCGCCATGTCCCCTCTATTTTTCTCCCTTCTTTGCTGCTCCCAATACAATAACTTTTCCAACTATCATTTCGAAATACATTCATCCCATCGCCGTACACATCACCTGTTCAATTACCTATTTGTGGTATGGATTTTATACCTTATTATAACCTGTCCTCAAAATAACAATTGAGAAAAATCCTCTTTTATCTATCTATAACAACCATTAATCAATTTTGAAACACTTCCCTCTGATAATAGCATTCCCTGCCTCTCACACCGCCAATCTCCCAGCGTCACCCACCCCTCACATTTCACCAGATTTAATCCTGAGTTTTACATACAACCAACTCATTAATAATCCATATCTCTTCTCTGTCAGAAAATCTCAGAAGTCGTCATGCTGGTATATGCTGTGGCCCATCCTCTCCCTTTCACTTTTCTTATTTCTAGCTTCAAGGAAGGAGGCTGTTGTAATCTCAACAAAATCCAGATCTCCTTTTTATACTTTTTATTTGTGGTCTGCTGACCTCCCGCTTTGAGACTCCTTCGGGTAGTGATAAAGCGGGATATCAAATCCAAACTCTTCTTCTTCTTCTTCTTCTTCTTCTTCTTCTTCTTCTTCTTCTTCACCACCCCCCTTGCAGAGAATGAGCCACACATTTTTAGTAAGATAAACAAAAAAATGTTTACAGTGGTGCCCCGCAAGACGAATGCCTCGCAAGACGGAAAACCCGCTAGACGAAAGGGTTTTCCGTTTTGGAGGTGCTTCGCAAAACGAATTTCCTATGTGCTTGCTTCGCAAGACGAAAATGTCTTGCGAGTTCCTGCGAGTTTGTTTCCTTCCCCCCCCTTTTTCCCAAGCCGCTAAACCGCTTATCAGCTGATGGCTAAGCCGCTTATCAGCTGATCTTTAGCCAACTTAACAGCTGATGCTAAGCCGCTTATCAGCTGATCTTTAAGCCGCTTAACAGCTGATGCTAAGCCGCTTATCAGCTGATCTTTAAGCCGCTTATCAGCTGATCTTTAAGCCGGCTAAGCCGCTAATACTGTAGCGCTAAGCCGCTAAACCTCTAATGGGCTTGCTTCGCAAGACAAAAAAACCCGCAAGACGAAGAGACTCGCGGAACGGATTCTTTTCGTCTTGCGAGGCACCACTGTACTTGCATTTCAAAGCAGGCAGCAAATACAGGAAAGAAAAATTATCAGGTGCAGCATACAAAAGTTGGCTTCAAAATAAGCTCTGTGTGTTTGGGTCATTTTGGAAGCATGGTAGATAGTTTCCTAAGAGGCAGGAGGAAGGATAAAATATTTTCCTTTGTTACAGAATTCCCACCCAGAAGAGACCAAGGAATGAGCGCACATAATGTCCTCTCTAGGAAGTTTTAGAACCCTCTGTGTACTCGCCCTTTGCACACCTAGCAAAACATGCATTTGTGATTTGGCTGCAAACCCCACAAAGGTGGCACCGCTCTTCCAATTCCAAAACAATGCTCTATTTCCACAGAAATATCCTACTGTTGTGTGCATTCCCTCACCCCCAATTGAATATCTGTTTCTTTTTTAAGTTCAAGGGAGCAATACTGCTTGGCCAGAAGGAACCAGGCGATTGCTTCACAGAATAAAACCACAATAGGTCAGATTTACAGCACAGTGAGAGCTGTAAGACTTCTGTAGTCACCTTAACCCGGGCATAGGCAAACTCGGCCCTCCAGATGTTTTGGGACTACAATTCCCATCATCACTGACCACTGGTCCTGTTAGCTAGGGATGATGGGAGTTGTAGGCCAAAACATCTGGAGGGTCGAGTTTGCCTAGGCCTGCCTTAACCAAATGCTCAAGTCAGTCACTACAAGATGCCTAAAACCCATCAGGGTTGGCATCAACTGGAACTGTGAGGTCATTCCAGATTTGAGGGGATTCTGCATAGGACCCACTCACGTATTTTATCCTTTGCAAATGCTGGTACTGGTAAGAGAGAGACGCCACTTGGTCTCAAACACAAGGTTGGTACAGTGGTGCCCCGCAAGACGAATGCCTCGCAAGACGGAAAACCCGCAAGACGAAAGGGTTTTCCGTTTTGGAGGTGCTTCGCAAAACGAATTTCCTATGGGCTTGCTTCGCAAGACGAAAATGTCTTGCGAGTTCCTGCGGGGTTTTTTTCCTTTCCCCCCCCCTTTTTCCCAAGCCGCTAAGCCGCTTATCAGCTGATCCGTTAAGCCACTAAGCCGCTTAACAGCTGATCCGCTAAACCGCTAATGGGCTTGCTTCGCAAGACGAAAAAACCGCAAGACGAAGAGACTCGCGGAACGGATTCTTTTCGTCTTGCGAGGCACCACTGTATATACAGGGGGAGCAGACAGTCCAGCAAATAGTCAGGTCCTAAACTGTAGGATTTTATATGTCAATGCAAACATGATATGTAAGAAATTTCGGAGAACTAAAAAATGCTCCAGCTTAAGTTTTAGGCAACGAAATCTAAGAAAACAGGACTTGCACAGGTGGCATAATTTGGTGATTGAATGAAAAGTACAGTCATACTTCAGGTTACAGACGCTTCAGGTTGCGGGGGGTTTTTTGGGTTACGGACGCGCTGAAACCCGGAAGTACCGGAATGGGTTACTTCCAGGTTTTGGCGGTCACGCATGCGCAGAAGCGCTAAATCACGCTTTGCACAGAAGCAGCGAATTGTAACCCGCGCAGACGCGCTGCTGTGGGTTGCGAAGGTGCCTCCCGCACGGATCACGTTCGCAACCCGAGCGTCCACCGTAATGTGGAACAGGCCGTGATTGCAGGAGGAGTTAAAAATGTGAATGTGTTGTGTTGTGTTAAAACAATGTGACACAACCGTTGCATGCAAAGACTGCAGCGTTCAGGATTAAAATTCAGCTACAATTTAAGTCTTGCCGCCTCTTCTTTCTGAGATGCCTTCAAAAGAACTGGCAACGGATGCTCAACCCCACCTGAACTCTCTCACAAGGCCAACTAATTATATGCAGCGTGTATCAAGTTTCCTAGCTGTATGGCAGTTCAGATTAAAGTTAAGGCTGGGGAAAACCAGCCCCAAAATCAAATCAATCCAAGAGGTAAAGTCCAAGATGTAGGGTTCAGGTAAACGGTGAGAAAAAATATGTTTTTAAGTAAAACTCACAAGTCTTGAGCTCAGCAGAGGCAAAGTAATGGGAAAAATAAAATGGGAAACTCCTGACTCTCTTGCCCAAGCAGGCTAGCTCAAGAATAACTATGAGCAGCATTGATCATGAAGAAGGGGGAAAATTCAGATACGCATTTGTTGGTACACCAGTAAAATATGTATAGCTGTCGAGTCTGCGGCCAGAAACCAACCAGGTTTCCCATTAAGTGTCTAACACAACCCATATCAGCCTTTTCAGAATACAGGGCCACAAAGGAGTGTGGATGACCCTCCAGCTGTTGATGAGATGCATAGTTAAAGTCACCGGTCTCAAAGTACCGTATTTTTCGCTCTATAGGACACACATTTTCCCCTCCAAAAATGAAGGGGAAATGTGTGTGCGTCCTATGGAGCAAATGCAGGCTCCTTGGCTTCGCGGTGACGCGCCTGACCTGGAAGCCGGAGGAGGAATAGAAGGGTCTCCTTCTGTTCCTTCTCCAGCTTCGCTGAAAGGCGCTGCGCCTTCTCCCTCTCTGCGCAGCGCCTCTCCTTCACAGGAGAGGCGCTGCACAGAGAGAAGAAGGCGCAGCGCCTCTTGAGCGACGTGCCTGTCATGTGAAGCCGGAGGAGGAAGAGAAGGGTCTCCTTCTGTTCCTTCCCCAGCTTCGCTGAAGGGGCGCTGCGCAGTTCTCCCTCTCTGAGAGGGAGAACTGCGCAGCGCCCCTTCAGCGACGCGCCTGTCTTGGCTTCTGCCTTAGCCGTGCGCAGCCTCTTCGGGCAGGGGGAGCCTTCATTCTGCTGCCCTGAAGAGGCTTGGCGCTGTTATCCCAGAAGCCAGAACAGCCACACGGTATCCCAGAAGCCAGATCCCTCTTGTTGTTCTGGCTTCTGGGATTCAGAATAATTTTTTTCTTGTTTTCCTCCTCCCAAAACTAGGTGCGCCCTATGGTCCGGTGCGCCCTATGGAGCAAAAAATATGGTAACCCTTGGCTGACGCTCATTTTCCACCTCTGCACTTTCTTTGAAATCTTTTTCCCCCAGGGACAGTTAGAAGCAGAGAAGCAGAAAATCAGATCCGCCTTCCAGAGAATGCAGGTATTTCTCCGGACAAAACAGCGTCTCTGGCTAGGTGAGCTGGGAGATCTGGAGAAAAAGATTTGGAGGAGGGGTGAAGGAAACTTTGCCGAACTCTCTGGGGAGCTTTCCCGACTCAGAAACCTGATCGTGGCGACGGAGGCGAGAAACGTGCAGCCATCATACCACGTCTTTCAGCCCCCGAAGGAATCCCTCCAGGTGAGGCTTAATGCAAAGGTGACTTCCAGGTCTCTTGAACGAAAAAGAAAATGATCCTGTGTCCATCCATTTGTTTTCCACAGGCCGGTGGGGGTGGGGAATTCTCACTAGAACGAAAAACAGCCCAGTGTTTTTTCCTGCCTGTGTAATTGACACCCATTTATCTTTTTGTTTTTATTTTTCAGGACATCAGAAGAGCCTTAACGAGGTACGTGGCTCTTTTTTTTCTCACATACACCCTTTCTGCTTTCATGTGGAATAAATTTGCTCCCTTTGGTGTGTTTCTGGAAAGCAAACGATACTGTTTCCTTCAGCGTTGCGTGAGGTTCATATCTTTGCTCTTTTAATTTGGTCTTCCTCCCCCCAATCCCCTTTCTTTCTAGCCTTGCTCACACTCCTCTTCCTTTTTCACCCCCTGTGAAACAACCTTGGTTTCGTTTGGGGGATGGGGAACAGATTTCTGTAAAACAGGCCCACGTAAAGGCACTCTGGAGTACAGTCAGTTGTTGGAAACCATTTCCTTACACCAGCAGTAGATGAAGGTTCTGGAGTTTTATTTCCTCTGCAAAGGGTGACTTCTCTACAACCTCACAATCAGATGCCCTTCAGATTACCTAGGAGGGAGTAGTGGCCTTTTTACCTTTAGACTTAAAGGTAAAGGGACCCCTGACCATTAGGTGCAGTCGTGGCCGACTCTGGGGTTGCGGCGCTCATCTCGCTTTACTGGCTGAGGGAGCCAGCGTACAGTTTCCAGGTCATGTGGCCAGCATGACTAAGCTGCTTCTGGGGAACCAGAGCAGCGCACAGAAACGCCGTTTACCTTCCTGCCGGAGCGGTACCTATTTATCTACTTGCACTTTGACGTGCTTTCAAACTGCTAGGTTGGCAGGAGCAGGAACCGAGCAACGGTAGCTCACCGCGTCGCAGGGATTCGAACCACCAACCTTCTGATCGGCAAATCCTAGGCTGTGTGGTTTAACCCACAGCGCCACCCGCGTCCCTTCACCTTTAGATTTAGTCCTCTTCTATACAGTCGTACCTTGGAAGTCGAACAGAATCCGTTCTGGAAATCTGTTTGCCTTACAAAACCAAAGCGCGGCTTCTGATTGGCTGCAGGAACAAAATCGTTCCAAAACCCAGAACACTTGCTTCCGGATTTTGATTGTTCGGGAGCCAATTTCTTCGGGAGCCGAGGTGTTTGAGATCCAAGGTACGACTGTACTTGGGATCCTTTTTATTGAAGCTGCCATGGAAAGAACATGCAGACATGTTCACGTGAAGTGCCTGCCCTGCCACTGGGCAATCGGCCCCTGCTTTCTTCTGCGCTGGTGTTTCCATTTTGGCCAGGCCAGGCCCACCTGCTCTTATACCTGTTGCCGCCTGCGGAGTAAAGACTCAGGTCGCCAAAAAGGGGGCGCTTGCAATGTCTGATGACTCAGCACTTTGAAGCCCCGCGAATCACCAACGATCAGCTGATTGCCTTCTGTGGCAAACATCAGATTGTCTTCCTGCCTAAGGCAAGTATAGGAGACTGGGTCTAGGCCAGTGGGCCAGGTCTTTACCTCTCCCCACCCCCCATGACCCCATTCTGGCAGAGGGGTGGTCCTGGCCACCTGCCAGTCACCTGAGACCGATGATTTCATGGGACTCGTTTTCACCTGCACAGTGTGAAATTAAACCGCGTATGTGCCATCAGCTGGTTATTGGGGCTTTAAAGTGGTTTGTGTGAGTTGCTTGCACCCAAGTAGCTTAACTGCACACGACCTCTGTTGATGTTTGCTTCATCCTTTGACACTCGTATTTTGTTCTCGGCACTGGGCCTTTGCTTCCTTCCCTGCAAGCTTCCTAGGCAATTTTTATAAGGTTCTCCTCCAGGGTGGACGGGTGATAGAGAAGGAAATAGAGGAGGCTGTCCCAGTTCAGGATGAATTTGACCGGATTAGAAGCAGTTGGCTCAAAAGATGTCAGGCCGTGAAATGGTAGCTTAGGGCTACCCGATAAGTACACCTTGAGTAAGAGCTCAGCCCTCTCGTTTAATGTTTCGAGAGCTGTAGTCTGCTGCTGTTATTTAAACTTGACTGCGTTCCCTTCCAGGTGTGAGAAGAAAGCATCTGAGCACGAATCGGACCTTTCTCACTGGTGGGACGAGATGTTCAAAATCGCTGTGGAGAAAAGTTCTGCGCTGGAAAAGGCTACGGAGAAGTATAAAGGTACCGCCAGAAGCATAGCAGGGTTTGCTTTACTTGGCAAACACAAAACACAGTTGCTTCAAGAAGGCCTCTCTCTGAGCCCAGAGAGGCTTTAAGAAGGCCTCTCTCTGAGCCCAGAGAGTCCTTGCTTAAAGTGCAAGTTCAAAGTCCTGCAAGTTTAGTTTTCTATTTCTTGTTCACAAGTCTTTCCATTTCTGTCTTCCAACAATCCTTCTCCACAATTCTGCGCCACACAGTACCACAGAATGCTGTAATTGGAGCTTATGGTATAGGCCAGAACTATGTGCCTGGCCACACAGGAACAGAGATAAGACAGCCATGAGTATTCTGCAGCTGCATCCTGGAAAGAAAAGCATTTTGTACCAGTTTACGGAGAATTAACTCCTTAATCTGTCCTGCCCTACGAGATTCCGCAGGATGTCTGAGGAGACATCTCAAAAAAAATCTTTCCCCCCTTTGGTTCCGCATCAGCAGAGAAGCAAGGTTCTGCTTATAATATCATGGAAGCCATTTTGAGGAGGAAAAACTGGTATCTAAGTGACTTTACTTTTAAACCTGCCCCTCACCATTCCATTCCGAACGCTGTCCGTTTGTTGTTGAAGAAGAGAAACTTTCAGAGCCAGGCCCACCTTATTCTGCAAGGCGATATATCGGAACACAGTGTTTCTCTTAGTCAACAAGGGATCGAAGCAATAGCCTTTGTTTGGGGAACCTTAAGTATAAGTGAAAATGCACCCGATTCGCATGGAAAGTGTTGCCTCTTGCTGCTTCAAAGTCCTCCTTGTGACTTGGCTTCCCTTTCATCTCCTTGCCATTAACCTGGCCTTCAGATTTAAGCAGCAAAACATTATTGCAAGCAGCATAATCTTAATTTTAAATTGGGTGGGGCTGCCCTTACGGCCATCTTTCCAGAGGCAAAAGCAGGCAGAGCAACGAACGTTAATTTTGTCGTTGGTACAGAAGGCTAGTTTCCACACACCTTCATGGATCCTTTTCTAACCATCCCCCAGACAAGCAGGCAGGCATGGTCAGAGTTCAATGGCACATTCCAGCCAGGCAAAAAAACTAGATGAATAATAATAATAATAAATACTACTAATAATAATTTATTATTTATACCCCGCCCATCTGGCTGGGTTTCCCCAGCCACTCTGGGCGGCTTCCAACAAAACACTAAAATACAATAACCTATTAAAAATTAAAAGCTTCCCTAAACAGGGCTGCCTTCAGATGTCTTCTAAAAGTTTGGTAGTTATTTTTCTCTTTGACTTCTTATGGGAGGGTGTTCCACAGGCCGGCGCCACTACCGAGAAGGCCCTCTGCCTGGTTCCCTGTAACCTCACATCTCGCAGGGAGGGAACCGCCAGAAGGCCCTCGGAGCTGGACCTCAGTGTCCGGGCAGATGACTAGTAGAGGATGTGTCCTGCGGAGATAGAGGCCTGGAGGTGGCTGCTGTTTTTATCCTTTGGACACAATGAAAACTTTCCTGTGCTTCCAAGCTTGCACAGGCAATTAAGAAAAGGTGTTTCTGAAATATTTGATCTCTGGTTTTAAGTACTAACCTGGTCTTCTGTGTGTGTGTGTGTGTGTGTGTGTGTGTGTGTTGTTTGTGGTTGGCAACTGCTTCGGCATTTACCGTATGGTATAGCAATCTACAAATATTTTTATAAGTAAACACAAAAAAGTGCTGATGTAATAGCACAGTCCTATACGTGTCTACTCAGAAGTAAACCCCACTGAATTTAATGGCATTTAATCCCGTTTAAGGGAGTGTGGGTCTACAACCTGAATGTGAAAGTGCTGAGATTCTTTGTTTGCAAAACAACTTCTTGTATATGTTATCTGATTTATTTATTTTCCTGTCTTCTGCATCAGCATCTCTGGAGCAAGTTCAAGACACAGGTAATTCTCTCAGACATTTTTGATGGAAGATGGGTGTTTGGAGGAGCCACTCAGCTGCATCTAGGAAACCATTTGTGTGGTCCATAGAAAGGGGGGAAGGGGGACTTCCCACAGCAATGAATTCCAACAGAAAATCAACTAAAATGCTAAATTTAGTTGCACTTTAATGTGAGATGTTTTTATTTCACCAACACACGTTAGGATAGTCCGGCTTTATCAAAAGATCCTAGGGTGTTGTACAACATTAAAAACATTTTACGAAACCTGATACAAAGCATAATAATAATACAAAGCAGAAAAGCGTAATAATAATATTAACAGGTCCCTGTCCCCCCCTGAGCTTTAACAGACCATAAAGTATTTAATGGTCAAAGGCCTGGGTTAAAGAGGAATGTTTTTGCCTGGTGCCTCTAATGATGGCACTAGCTGAGGCTCCCTTAGTGAAGGAAATTATCTTGGAACATGGAGATCACACGGGAAAATAAAGTAATCCATTTTATATCTCAGAAGGTGGTGGGCTTTCCTTCCTTAGAGTTATTTAAGCAGGGGTTGGATGGGCACCTGTCATGGATGCTTTAGTTGAGATTCCTTGAGGGAGGGTCCCTTCCAACTCTACAATTCTTTGAGAGGGTTTGTTTTGGTTTTAGTGCTAATCTGTCTCTAAGCTTGTCACTCTTTCCTCCCTGCAACAGCTCCTCTGATGCAAGACCTGAACAAAGGTAACTCGGGGAATGATTTGGATAATGTGGGGGTGGGAGAGACTGGATGGTTCTTAGAACCAGAAGAGGGCTGAAATGGGTAGAGAAGCAGCAGGCTTTATGAAGGCTTAGTCTCAGATTGCTTGGGGGGAAATGTTGGAGAGGAGAGAACGTGGAAGGCTGTGGGGAAGTGGGGCTTTTAGTATTGGCAACAGATCCATGGAGTGAGACCCTAGCAGGCATGAGCTTCTGTGTTCAGTAGGCCGGACGCCCTGCCAAGCCTGTGTAGATAGTGTGATTTACTTCCGTCTCGCTCCTGACACCGCCATCCGGCATCCTCTCCCCGTTTTTCTCCTGCAGTGGATGTCACCCTCAATGCAAATACCGCACACCCTTGCCTTACCGTCTCTGAGGATTTGAAGAGTGTGTGGTGGGAGGTGGAGAAGAAGAGGAAGGGGGGAAAGAAAAAGAAGAAGAAGAGCAACAACAGAGGGGCGACGGGGAACCTCCCTGACAACCCAGAGAGATTTAACGGGGAGCTCTGTGTGCTGGGCCAGGAGGGGTTCACGGCAGGGAAACACTGGTGGGTGGTGGAGGTGGAAACCTGGGGGAGGGCAATGTGGGCCGTGGGGGTCGCCCGAGACACCATGAGGAGGAAAGGCGTTATCTGCACCCATACGAACGAAGGGGTGTGGGCGGTGGGGAGGTTTTCCCGCAGCCCATCTACGCCTTGCCAGTTCTTTGCTTTCACCTTCCCCGCACCAACCCCTTTGGCCTTGGCAAAAGATCCCCAGAAGATCCGCGTGTCCCTGGATTACGAAAGGGGTCAGGTGCAGTTTTCGGACGCTGACACCGACGGTTTGTTTTTCACCTACCACACGGGGTCATTCTCTGAGGAGAAGCTCCGGCCCTTTTTCCAAGTGAGTAGCTGCGGGACTGCGTTGAAGTGCTGGCCTCGGAGCCCCACTGCTGTGAACGGAAATGATAACGCCAGAACAGCGATGGGGAACTTCTGGTTCTCGGATGAAGTTAGACTCCAACGTCCACCAGCCGCGGAAGCATTCCACATTGATCAGGGGTGGTGGGAGTTCTGATCCTGCAACATCAGAGAGGACCGCAGGTTTCCCTGTTCCATTAACAAGTTTATGGTTTCAGATAATTTTTCTTGTCAGTTTCTTAACCTTAGTTAAGCCAAGGAGAGGGCCATAGTCTAAATGGCAGGATTTCCAGTTCCTCATCGCAGATCTTGGAATATTCCACCTGCAAATGATGTAGACTGGTTTTAGAGTCTTCCTTGTGTGGCTGTACCTTTGAAATGACCATTTATTGAGATAAAATAAAAAGAGGAACAGGCTCTTTGTGTTCCACAGAATGATTCAGTAGGTTGCTGTGTTGAGTCCCCACCCCAACCCCACTTTTGTGTGATTTATAGGCACAGAAACCCTGCCAGGGGAAAAGTGAACCCAGCCAGGCAAAAATGTATAAAAAAGAGAATTCCTGTATGCCAAGAATCATGTTTGGGGCAAGGACTCTTGGTGTCAGAACCCCAGCAGAGATTTAAAGTAACAAATTATGCAGCAAAGTGAAATGTGAAAATATATGTGGTTAGACCTTTAAAATAACACCATTCCAAAATTTCCCTCTTCCTCCAGCCTAAGAAAAGGCCAGATGTTTGGCAAGTTAAAGATTAGTTTACTTACAAACTCTTCAAAGGTCCAGTTCATGTGCTTTTCCAACACCAGGCAGGAAAGTTGCACAGGCAGTAAAACAAGTTACAAAGTGGTGAGACTTCCTAGGTTATTGGTACAGGAGTGGCTGGTGAGAGCCATGTTGTGGAGCAGCCAGCTCAGCCCTCTTCACAGCCTCAGTGGAGGTAGGCTGGAACACAACAGAAAGCTTGATTACCTATTTCCTCCTAATATGAGGGGACGTGACTGTGGTGATCACACAGGGTCCCCAGATGTTTGACTGTCTATTGATCCCTGTGCCCCCTTTCCCGCTGCCACCAAACCGTTACTTTCGGGTACACCCTGAGTCCAGACAGTTGTTAACATTAAACCAAATAAACAAGTTTATTTTATAAGCATGAACAAGTTTGTGGTTTCAGATAATTTTTCTTGTCAGTTTCTTAACCTTAGTTTCTTTACTGGCCTATACCTTCCTAATACCGTCTGACTGATTATCCCAACTGTTTAACTGACTCCTCTTAACAGATTCTCTCACTCTCACATCAAACTTGCCCAACCCACTGACTTCCTCCCTCTCCCTTCTCTAACTCCAGACTTCAGACTGACTTCTTTAACAACTCTAATTCCTTCCCTTGGGTTCCTATTGGTTATTCATTTTACAATTAGTTAACCCTTTCCTTATGACCCAGTGTGATGTCACACACCTAGCAGGACAAATGCCACAGGGACATAGCTAAGTTTGGCAGGTCAGGCTATGCTATGGTAGTTTTTGGTGGGTGTAAAACTGGGTGCCAGACTCCTAATTCCCAGCTTCAGGAAGTGTTCAAATCAAGCCAGGCTATCCTGGTTAGGTGTAAGGAGGGCAGAGGAAGGGGCTCTGGCAGATGAATGTGGGGGGGCTCTACTCAAGGAGAAATAAAGCCAGTTTAGGGGAGATAGCTATGTGAACTAGCAGGCTGGAATGGTGGAGAGAATGCCAAGCCTGAATTCAGAGTCCAAGGCTCTGGCTATGGGAGAAGACCAACCCTTTAGGGGTGTTATTACTATGAACCTCTTCATCATCGGCTCAGGTTGTATATACAGTGGTACCTCAGGTTAAGTACTTAATTCGTTCTGGAGGTCCGTTCTTAACCTGAAACTGCTCTTAACCTGAAGCACCACTTCAGCTAATGGGGCAGCTGCACGATTTCTGTTCTCATCCTGAAGCAAAGTTGTTTTTTTCCTTTTTTTTGGAAAAGTTTTTATTATTAAAATAATTCAGCATTAATACACACATATTGCAAATATACAAACATACATTTCATACAATCCTTAAAAATGTTCAAACATACCTACACTCAATCCCACAGATAATTCCTTCTGGAGGTCTGTTCTTAACCTGAAACTGTTCTTAACCTGAGGTACCACTTTAGCTAATGGGGCCTCCTGCTGCCGCCACGCCGCCAGAGCACGATTTCTGTTCTCATCCTGAAGCAAAGTTCTTAACCCGAGGTACTATTTCTGGGTTAGCGGAGTCTGTAACCTGAGGTACCACTGTAGGTGTCAATAAACCATATATCCTGGAGACGCCACAGTCTCTGCTGTGCCTCAATTCCAAAAGGAAACACGAACCCCGCAGCAACGCCTGGAACCCCTGAAATGTCACCTTTCAGAGTTTGGGGTGGTGGTGAGCAACACTATTAAACCCTGCATGCGTTAATAAGACTAGCATCTTGGCCACATGAGGCTGCTTATCCCACTAAAAAGCCCCCCTTTATGTTGCTTCCTTTCAACTTGTGTGCACAAAGAACTGGATTATCCAAAACATTGCAACGGAGAGAAGCTGCTAATCTTGTTTTGTGGTCTTGGCAGTGATACCTCTTTTTAACGCCAAGGACACACAGCTGTTCCACCTTTCTTCATCTTTTGACGGTTAGCAAAACCTAGTAGCAAAGGTGCATTTGCATGCAACCCTATTTGAGTCCTCGGCCAATAAAGCAAGATGAGCGCCTCAACCCATATTCCCCTCTTTTTCCCTTTCTCCTCCTGTGATGAGGCTGTATTTTAATGTTTTAATGTTGTATTTTAATCTTGTTTTTAAGTTGTATTCATTCAACTTGTTTTTATTATTGCTTGTTAGCTGCCCTGAGCCCAGCCTTGGCTGGGGAGGGCGGGGTATAAATAATTTTTTTAAAAAAATTATTATTATTATTATTCAACCCCAGAGTTGTTCACGACTGGACTTAGCTGTCAGAGGTCCTTTACATTTATCTTTTTTATTGAGTTCTGTGAGGTTTCTTTCAAGGAAACACCAGATTGCAGCCATGTTACCTTCCCAAGGAATCTAGTTTTGGCTCAACCAGACAGGCAGGACCTGGGGGGGGGGGCACCTCAGGTGTCCCACTCCCCAGCCCCTGTTTTGCATATGGTAGGTGAGAGTTCACACCAGAAGCTTCCATGGGCATAACGAGGATTTAGGAGGGGCAGGCTTTGTGTTGGGGGGGGGCAGAACTGAGTTATCTGTGACACAATTGGCCAGTTAAGTATTTTATTTATTTATTTATTTACTTACTTGATGGGATGCGGGTGGCGCTGTGGGTTAAACCACAGAGCCTAGGACTTGCCGATCAGAAGGTTGGCGGTTCAAATCCCCGCGACAGGGTGAGTTTGTTGGTTTCTATTTCCTTCACTGAGCAGCAACTGCAGTCACAAGACAGGTGTTTACATTCCACAGTCTGTACTGTTGGAGTTTCTCACGGGAAAGGGAGACTGGATGTGACGTACACTGGTTTCCTGTTTTCACTGTGTGATTCTCTCCGAGCTGTCGAGGAGAGAGGATGCATTTTCTGCTCCTGCAGAGGCAAGATGTCTTTCTGTAATATACCAGCTTTGAACTGTAAATAAAGCAATATAGAGTATGTAGCACATTTTCCTCATCCTTCCGCTGGGCAACCAGACTCTGCTTAAATCAACACGTGGTTATGGGCTCCAGAGGTCGAATCGGAGTGCCGGCAAAGGATCGGAATGCAGAGGGACGGATCGGAAAGGAATCTGCTCTGCGCGTAGAAGTGATTGATGAGGTATGTGCTACTGCTCCGGGCAGCCTGCCAGCTTCAAGTTAATGGCTTTATGGCTGGACTTTGAACTTTTAAAGCCGGTTTGCCGGGAATAGGCAAAAGGCTCCCAGGCACAAGTCACTATGCTGGGGAAATCGAAGTAACTTTTAAGTGTGCCTTTGTAATAAAGCAGCTGCAGCAGTGACGCAGCAAGATTTAAAGCAGCATATGACGCTGAAGGCTAATGCCAGAGTCATGATGGCCCTTCAGGATGCTTGTGGGATTCCTAAGCTCAACAAGAAAAATTACAGCGACTGGGTTCAGTATGCAGAGGCAATTCTGCGGAAGAGGGTTTGTTTGAGGTGATTACAGGAACCCCCCCAGTTCCAGTTACAGATGCATGGGAAGCTAAGGATTCCAAAGCAAGGGAACTCTTACATTGATAGTATCCCCAGAAGAGCTCTGTCTATTGCGTGATAAGACCTCAGCCAGAGAAATTTGGGACGCTCTGAGAGAGGCTCACTTAAGGACAGAAGCTGGATCCACTATGTTTTACTTTAACAAGCTGCATAATATGGCTCTTGCTGAAGGTGGAGATGTGCGTTTACATCTGATGCAGATGCAAAATCTGAGACATGAGCTGCAACAGAGAGGACTCAACTTTCCAGAGGCTGTGTATTCTTTCATGATACTACAATCTTTGGGTTCAGGTTGGGAGTCTGTTGCAGCCCAGATTGCTGTGCAACCAACTGCTCAGCTGACAGTGGACTTTGTTACTGCCGTGATTTTAAATGAAGCAGATCGCCGGGGTGCTAGCTGCATGGGCAAGGGAGTCTTCACAGACGTCATCCCATAGTGCAGTGGAACCACCAGATGGCGCCAAAGCTTTGAAGGCAGTGAAATGCTACTCGTGTGGACGTCTAGGCCATATGAAGAGGAATGCAGACATCCCAGGGCCAAGACAGAGCAGCGCAGCGAGCTCATCGCGCGGAAAAGGCCGAGGCAAAGGCAAGGTCCGGTGTCTAGGACAACGCAGCACAAGGCTATGGTTTCACGCTTCACTCCAAAGGTTGCAGAGGTCCAGAAGACGTCTAGATCTTTCTTCGTTGTTGATTCAGCGGCCACCCACCACATGTGCAACGATAAGAGACTGTTTGTGTCTTTTACACCGCAGGAAGGTGCGATTCACCAGGCGGATGACCACACTATTCCCAGTAAAGGCTACGGAACTGTTGTTCTTCACAGTTTGGACTTATCGATACAGAATGTGCTTTACGTGCCAGACGCCAAACATAATCTGCTCAGCGTTGGACAGCTGAATGAGCGGAACATTGACGTTTCCTTCAAGAACAAGAAGTGCATCATCACAAAGAAAAATGATTATGTATTGCATGCAGAATATGTTGATCATTTGTTTGTTTTGTATTATGATGATGTGGTGCAGGATGACACTTGTTGCATTGCAGGTTCTAACAAAAGTTTGCATGCAGAATGTATTCACGATTTTCATCGAAAATTTGGTCATTTGCATTTTGAGGCAGTATCTAAAATGCCTGCCTTGGTTGAAGGTATGACTATTAAACCCTGCAGGTACCACATGAAGTGCAAAGCATGCGCAGCAAACAAGGTGAAAATGGCTGCGAAAGGTAAGGTGTCTAGTAGGACAGCTACAGAACCATACCAGGTTGTTCATGCTGATTTGGTTGGACCACTAGCGCCCTCTTTGGGTGGAAATAGATACTTCATGGTTCTCATTGATGCATTTTCTAGATATATTTTTGTGTACAATCTCAAGCAGAAATCGGAGGCTTTTCCTAGGTTCAAGGAATTCTGTGCTTGGTTGGAAAATGTGCATGGTAAGAAGATAAAGACTCTTTTCAGTGATCGCGGGGAAATTCACTTCTCAGCAGTTTGAAGCTTTTCTGACTGAGAAAGGAATTCAACACGATTTGTCTAGTCCTCGCTCGCCATGGCAGAATGGACTTGCGGAGCAGGCAAATCAGACATTGCTTCAAGGGTTAAAAACCTTGCTGCATGATGCCAATCTTCCAGAGAATTATTGGGCCGAATCTCTCTCGTGTTTTGTTTACAGTTACAATCGCAGGTTATCTTCAGCGATTGGTTGTACCCCCTATGAGAAGATGTTTGGCAAGAAGCCATACATCAAACACATGAAGATTTTGGTTCTGACATGTGGGTTCGCTCACCACAAAACTCCAAGTTAGACAAGCGTGGATTGCATGGTATCTTTCTAGGTTATCAGAAAGGGTCTTACAGAATAATGATGACTGACTCTAAGACAATTAAGCTCACGAGAAGTGTTGAGTACAATGCAAAGTGGGGGAGAATGTGGGAATTTTCCAATGTTATCCTGATGACGGTGATGAGACTGAGGATAGTCAAAAGCAACCACAACAGCCCACACCCACTGATGAAGGTTCTGAGTCTGAATCTGAAACTGAATCGGGTGATTCAGAGGATTTCAAGAGTGCGAAAGCCTCTATGCGACCCTCTGAAAGCTCTGATCAAGAATTGGAGGAACCATTGTTCACAATAGGTCGTTTTTCTCCTAAGAAGGAAGAGGAGAGTGTTGAAGACTTAAGGCTAATTCGTAGGTCACAGAGAGCCACAAAAGGCAAACCTCCAAAGAGATTTGCTGATGAGTTTGCTAAGATAGCAGTAACAGCTGTTAAAAGCTCCAAGAAGGTATTTGAACCTTCAAGTTTCCAAGAAATCCAGGGTTTGGATTCAAAGGAAGCTGAGCCATGGTTAAATGCCATGAAGGCTGAGCTTGATTCCTTAGAAAGGAACAAAACATGGGAGCTAGTTCCAGTAGTTCCAGGAATGAAACTGCTTGGAAGCAAATGGGTCTTCAAAGCGAAGACAGATCAAAATGGCAAGATAGTCAGACACAAAGCCAGATTGGTAGCCAGAGGTTTTGCACAGGTACCAGGTCAAGACTATCACGAGACCTATTCACCCACAGTGAGATATGAAAGCATTAGGCTTATGCTCAAGCTAGCTGCAGAGGAAAATCTACACATTAGTCACCATGATATTAATACAGCTTTTCTGTACGGATCTCTAGATGAATCACTTTATATGCTTCCACCTGATGGCGTACAGGTAAAACAGGGATTTGTTTGTGCTCTGAAGAAATCCCTTTATGGTCTCAAACAAAGTGCACGGTGTTGGCACACAAAACTCACTGAAGTATTGTTTTCTCTAGGTTTTCAGCAAGGGAAGCTGATCCATGTGTATTTGTCAAAGAGGAGGGGCAAAAGAAACTGTACTGTTTGTTTTATGTTGATGATTTATTATTCTTTTGGAAAGATGTCGCAATGTACAATAACGCCCTAGCTCAACTGAAAGAGCACTTTGACATGAAAGATCTTGGTGAGGTAAACAACTACCTATCTCTGGAAATAGAGATCAAGATGGTAACATTCTAGTACACCAGTCACGGAAAATTGCTGATGTGTTAAGCAAACTAAATCTGATGGATGCTAACCCTGTAGACACACCGATGACAACAGGTTATCAGGTAGATGACACTGAAGAAGCATTTTCTGACACTACACTGTACAGGAGTGTGCTAGGCAAGCTAAACTTCATTGCCAGATGTTCAAGACCAGACATTGCTGTTAGCTGTAATTTGCTAAGCAGACAAGTCAACAATCCTAGTGTCAAGGATTGGAAAGCTCTGAAACGCATAGCGCGGTATTTGAAAGGCACTATGCATTACAGACTGAGATTTAACAATCAGAAGTCTGGTGGTCTTGAGATATTTGCAGATGCAAGTTTTGGAAGTGACGCTACAGACAGGAAAAGTACGTCTGGAGTTTGCTACATGTACAATCAGAGTCTGTTTGATTGGTCATGCAAGAAGCAAACAACAGTTAGCTTAAGTACTTGTGAAGCTGAACTGAATGCACTGTCTTATTCACTTAAGGATTGTGAATGGTTAGTACAATTGTGCAAAGATATGAAAATTCCTGTCAAATGTCCAATCCAGGTTTACCAGGACAACAAAGCATGTTTGGCTTTGCTGAAGTCTGAAGGTTGTAAGCAAAGCACAAAGCACTTGCAATTAAAGTTGCAGCATGCTAGGGAATGTATTCAGAAGGGACTCGTAACGGTGTCCTATATGCCAGGTAATGAAATTCCTGCTGATGTATTGTCCAAGATTGTATCAAGGGATCAACACTGTACCTATGTGCAGAAGTTGGGTTTGTACTGATATTGTACGAACACGCTGCCCAGTGATGTTCACAGAAAGGGGGAGGATGTTGGTTTCTATTTCCTTCACTGAGCAGCAACTGCAGTCACAAGACAGGTGTTTACATTCCACAGTCTGTACTGTTGGAGTTTCTCACGGGAAAGGGAGACTGGATGTGACGTACACTGGTTTCCTGTTTTCACTGTGTGATTCTCTCCGAGCTGTCGAGGAGAGAGGATGCATTTTTCTGCTCTCACGCAGAGGCAAGATGTCTTTCTGTAATATACCAGCTTTGAACTGTAAATAAAGCAATAAAGGAGTAAGCAGCACATTTTCCTCATCCTTCCGCTGGCAACCAGACTCTGCTTTAAATCAACAGAGTTCCCGTTGCTCGGTCCCTGCTCCTGCCAACCTAGCAGTTCGAAAGCACATCAAAGTGCAAGTAGATAAATAGGTACCACTCCGGCGGGAAGGTAAACAGCATTTCCGTGCGCTGCTCTGGTTCGCCAGAAGCAGCTTAGTCATGCTGGCCACATGACCTGGAAGCTGTATGCCGGCTCCCTCAGCCAATAAAGCGAGATGAGCGCCAGAACCCCAGAGTCGGCCACGACTGGACCTAATGGTCAGGGGTCCCTTTACCTTTACTTACTTGATGGGGGGCAGCTGTCTCCCCCCCCCCAGGCTATGCCCATGGCAGTTCTCCTGCTTCACCCTCAGACCCTAGAGAGTGAAATATTTTGATTTCTTTTTGAACAACACATAAAACACTACGGTCATACCTCATGTTACGTCCGCTTCATGTTACGTTCTTTTAGGTTACATTCTGCGGGGACCTGGAAGTACTGGAAAGGGTTACTTCCGGGTTTCGCCGCATGCGCAAAATGATGTCACGCGCGTGCGCAGAAGTAGCGAATCGCAACCCACACGTGCGCAGACGTGCTGCTGCGGGTTGTGTTTTTTTCATGTTGCAAACGGGCCTCCAGAATGGATCCCATTCGCAACCAGAGGTACCACTGTGTATGCATATACCACTGTATATGCATATATGGTGTACATTTTTAAAGCGATAATCTTAATTGCATTATCCTTTTTTTGTAAACCGCTTTTGGAGGTTTTTCCCTATGACTGAGCCATATATAAAATTTTATGAAATAAAAAAATTATAAATACAGGAAGATTTCCTTCTCCCCCCCCCACAATAAAAGCTCATAAAGATCCCATACAAAAATAAATTTTTAAAATCTTATTTCATATCCTGGTGGGCTCTCCTTCCTTGGAGGTTTTTAAGCAGAGGTGGGATGGCCATCTGTGACGGATGCTTTAGCTGAGGTTCCTGCATTGCAGGGGGTTGGACTAGATGACCCCTGGGGTTCCCTCCCAACTCTAAAATTCTAACAATTCCTTACACGGAGGTTTTAGAGAGGGGACTCGTGCAGCCACTTTGCACAGGGAGGGTCCCAGGTTCAAATCCCCGTGGGAGGCAGCTAGCTCTTATTCCCAATTCTTCCCACCCCAGACAGCATCGCAGGAGGGGCTGGAAAGAAACGAGATTTCGGGGCGGGGTGCGTTTATGTGTTGTAATTGCCCTTGGTCCGCCCCGCCCCTCTCCCCGATTGGACGGAGGAGCGCAGCCTGAGCCGTCCTGACCAATCCCAGGCGAGGCGCTTTCGAATTTTCAGAGGGACTAGCGCCTTTTATCTTCCTGTTTTGGTTTGTCTTCCATTCGCAGCCTGGGAAAGCGGCGCTGGCTCAGCAAGCGGAAAAGCTAAGGTGATGGTTTTGTGCAGCAGGGCTGTGAGAAGCGAGAGAGCCTTTTGGGGGCGGGCGGGGGGTTGCAGGGTTTGGGTGGTCCGTTGTCCTGAGCAAACAAAACAAGCCACCGTGCAAGAAATTCAATCCTCCTCCTCTTTCGTAGAAATATTAGAAAGTATGTATTGTATTTGGTTGCATTTTCTATCCCGTTTTCCATCCAAGGAGCGCAAGGTGGCGCACGTGGTTCTCTTCCCGTTCAAAATTATGTGTAATTTATTAGTTTATTTCTGAATTCTTTTTTTTTAAAACACTGTATTTTAAATGGCTGTGACCTGTCCCGGGGCCTGGACAGGCAGTAAATCAAATACAGTCAGTAAATAAATAAATAAATCTATATCTGGGTTGCTGTTCTTTTAATTTTAATTTACCTTAATTGCCTTCTGGATTTCAGCTGCTTCTCATCTACCGTTTTTACTAGAGACTGCTTTGATTAAGCGGTTTGTAAATGCTATTAGAATGAAAAGTGACACACGTGGGTTTAGCAAAGGGGTGCGTAAGAGAAAGCGAGAGTGAGGGCTAAGTGCCAATTTTTTAAATGACCCTCCCCCTCCCTTGATTTTGCAACAGGGTGTGGTTAGCAGCCAAGAAAGCTTCAACTTTCAGGTTGGAGGCAAAACGAGGTAAGACAGGGCATTGGTGTTCCAATGTGTTAGCCCCCCTCCGATTCAATATTAAATGCTGAACATTAAACATTTCAGCTATCAGCTCCCCTTTCCCATCTATGGTCCATTTGTCCCACAGCCCCATGTAAAGATTTATTCTACAGTGGTACCTCGGGTTAAGAACTTAATTCGTTCCGGAGGTCCGTTCTTAACCTGAAACTGTTCTTAACCTGAAGCACCACTTTAGCTAATGGGGCATCCTGCTGCCGCCGCGCAATTTCTGTTCTCATCCTGAGGTAAAGTTCTTAACCTGAGGTACTATTTCTGGGTTAGCAGAGTCTGTAACCTGAAGCGTCTGTAACCCGAGGTACCACTGTACTTGAACTGTGCCCAGTAGTGTGTGAAATGGTATTCAGACATCTTGCGAAGGCGTATCTTCTTCCTCAGGAGTTGCCTGCTCCTTTATTTTATTATTGTGTTTATATCACATTTTCTCCGAAGAGCTCAAGGTAGCACCCACCCTCCTTTTTTCAGGGTTTTTTAAGCAACCCTGTTAAGCTGAGAGTTGGAGACTGACCCAAGGTCACCCAGCCAGCTTCTGGTTGTTGGGGATTTTAACATTGGTCTCCGGAATTTCTGTTTTTATAATGCTGTTTGTTTGCATTTTGTGTGTGTGTGAGAGAGATAGGTAGTCTTTTAGTCTTTATTTGTTATTTTGGTATATCCCCTGGAATTTTAAAGTGGTTTAGGCATGGATTTCGAATGAGATAAAATCTCAAAAGAATATAGTTCTTGAGCAAGTACAGAGTAATAATGACTCTGAGGCTCCCCTTCCAAAATTGCAAGTGCTGTTCTTCCTCCTCATAGGAAGAAAAGCACATTAAAAAGAAAAGGTGGAAACAGGATCCCTCTTTTGCCTTCAGCTTTGTCTAGCACAACAAAAGGATGTGGGAGAGGAAACATTTTTTTAAGAAACAGTTTGATTGGTAGAATTAAGTAGCAATGGAAAATTTAGTTTTTTCTCAGTGTACAACAGCCAAGCGCTACAGATTCCTCTTTCCAGTCCATCTTAGGGAGCAAGAGTTGTGTCTGTACTTCCATAGGTGGTGGTTTGGGTGATGGTAAAGGAAGGGATGGATTATCCCATATAAAATAATCAGAGCAGCAGAGGAGTGAATGTAAAAGAACTGGAAAAATACATTAAAAAGAGGTATGTGAAAGCAGTCATATGGACCCAGGGGATCTCAGTGGGTCTCCCTGCCCCCATCTCCCACAGTTCTAGGCAGGGAAAGGCAGTGCGGTGTAGTGGTTAAGGCTAGGACCTGGGAGAACAGGCTTCAAATCCCTGCTCAGCCATTTTGTTCACAGGGTGACTGTGAGCCGGGCATGGTCTCTGGTGCCCTTCCTCACATGGTTGTTGTGAGGAAAGACCACACACGCTGCCTTCAGCTCCATGGGGGAAAGGTGCGATCCGGCACCTCTCAGGTGGGCGCCATTGCCATCCTAAGAGAACAAGGAGGCGTTCATGGTGAGTTCCGGCACCTCTTTTTTCCCTAGAAAAACAGCACCGGATAAAGATGTACAGTGGTACCTCGGGTTACATATGCTTCAGGTTAAATACACTTCAGGTTACAGACTCCGCTAACCCAGAAATAGTGCTTCAGGATGAGAACAGAAATCGTGCTCTGGCGGCGCGATGGCAGCGGGAGGCCCCATTAGCTAAAGTGGTGCTTCAGGTTAAGAACAGTTTCAGGTTGAGTACGGACCTCCGAAACGAATTAAGTACTTAACCTGAGGTACCACTGTACAGTGGAACCTCGTGTTACGGAGAAGATCCGTTCTGGAGACCCGTCCGCAACACGGAACTGACACATGCCGAAGCGCTGCGTCTGGGCACGCACGCAGCACAATTTAGTGCTTCTGCGCATGCGTGAGCAGCGAAACCCAGAAGTAACCCGTTCCGGTACTTCAGGTTGCCGCGGGACGCAACACAAAAACACGTAACCTGAAGCAGTCACAACATGAGGTATGACTGTACAGTGGTACCTCAGGTAAAGAACTTAATTCGTTCTGGAGGTCTGTTCTTAACCTGAAACTTTTCTTAACCTGAGGTACCACTTTAGCTAATGGGGCCTCCTGCTGCCGCCGCGCCACCAGAGCATGATTTCTGTTCTCATCCTGAAGCAAAGTTCTTAACCCGAGGTACTATTTCTGGGTTTGCAGAGTCTGTAACCTGAAGCGTCTGTAACCTAAGGTACCACTGTAGTGATAAATAAACAAAGCACAGCCTCATTGGGTTGGACAAATTCATGGCAGACCGAACTATCAATGATGACCATATCAGGAAATGCTCTGCTGAATAACAGAGGGAGAGGGATGTTGTCGTCACGTCCTGCTCACAGGCTTTTGGTTGGCCACTGTGAGAAAATATTGCAGGCCTTCAATGGGCCTTTGGCCTGATCCACAGAGCTCTTGCTAACCAAGCCTGTCCTTTTGCTTCAGAGGGAGGCAGCCATGGCAAGCAGGAGTCCCACCAGCGCGTCATTCTACGATGAAGTAACCTGTCCCATCTGCCTGGACTACTTCGAAGACCCAGTGACTGTAGACTGCGGGCACAACTTCTGCCAAACCTGCATCACCCAATATTTGGGGGAGTCCGACACAGACCCTTCCTGCCCGATGTGCAGAGAACGGGTTGAGGCAAATAACTTCAACCCAAACTGGCAACTGGCAAGCCTTGTGCTTATCAAGAAAATTCAGGAAGAAGGACAAGTCGAGGGAAAGGATGGGATATGCAAGACGCACGGGGAAGCCCTGAAACTCTTCTGCATGGATGACGAAGTCCCCATCTGTGAGGTGTGCGACGGGTCGGACTTGCACAGAGGCCACAGTGTGTTTCCCGCTGAAGAGGCTTCTCACCAGTATAAGGTAGGAAATTGCCATAGCAGGTGGGTGAGGAGCAGCGTTCAAAATTAGCCAGGCGCCAGGCGCATTTTGCACCTGGCTGCCGGCCACTTGCTGGGACGCGGGTGGTGCTGTGGGTTAAAACCACAGAGCCAAGGACTTGCCGATCAGAAGGTCAGCGGTTTGAATCCCTGTGACGGGGTGAGCTCCCATTGCTCGGTCCCTGCTCCTGCCAACCTAGCAGTTTGAAAGCACGTCAAAGTGCAAGTAGATAAATAGGTACCGCTCCAGCGGGAAGGCAAACGGCGTTTCTGTGCACTGCTCCGGTTCGCCAGAAGCGGCTTAGTCATGCTGGCCACATGACCCGGAAGCTGTCTGCGGACAAACACCGGCTCCCTCGCCGTATAGAGCGAGATGAGCGCCGCACGCCCAGAGTCGTCCGCGACTGGACCTAGTGGTCAGGGGTCCCTTTACCTTTACCTTACCGGCCACTTGCGACCCATTGAAGATGCCTGGGTGTCAGGATGGCGCCTGACATCTCCACCATCTAGGGATCTTTGGATCTGGACTGTTTTCTTTTTCTTTTTTTCAATTTTTAAAATTACCGTATTTTTCGTTCTATAGGACGCACATTTCCCCCTCCAAAAACTAAGGGGAAATGTGTAGGTCCTATAGAGCGAATGCAGGCTGCGCCGCTAAGCCCAAAGCCAGAACAGGAAGACGGAGCACTGCGGAGCGCTCCGTCTCGCTGTTCTGGCTTGGGAACAGCCTGCTAGCTTCTGCAGGACAGCGGGGTGAAGGCACCCCGCTGCCCTGCAGAGGTTTGCGCGCAGCCCTCCCCAAGCTAGAGCAGCGAGACGGAGCCCTCCATCTTGCTGTTCTGGCTTGGGAACAGCCTTGCTAGCTTCTGCAGGGCAGCGGGGTGAAGGCACCCCGCTGCCCTGCAGAGGTTTGCGCAGCCGTCCCCAAGCTAGAGCAGCGAGACGGAGCCCTCCATCTCGCTGTTCTGGCTTGGGAACAGCCTTGCTAGCTTCTGCAGGACAGCGGGGTGAAGGCACCCCGCTGCCCTGCAGAGGTTTGCGCGCAGCCCTCCCCAAGCTAGAGCAGCGAGACGGAGCCCTCCGTCTCGCTGTTCTGGCTTGGGAACAGCCTTGCTAGCTTCTGCAGGACAGCGGGGTGAAGGCACCCCGCTGCCCTGCAGAGGTTTGCGCGCAGCCGTCCCCAAGCTAGAGCAGCGAGACGGAGCCCTCCATCTCGCTGTTCTGGCTTGGGAACAGCCTGCTAGCTTCTGCAGGACAGCAGGGTGAAGGCACCCCGCTGCCCTGCACAGGTTTGCGCGCAGCCGTCCCCAAGCTAGAGCAGCGAGACGGAGCCCCCCGTCTCTCTGTTCTGGCTTGGGAACAGCCTTGCTAGCTTCTGCAGGACAGCGGGGCGAAGGCACCCCGCTGCCCTGCAGAGGTTTGTGCGCAGCCGTCCCCAAGCTAGAGCAGCGAGACGGAGCCCTCCGCCTCACTGTTCTGGCTTGGGACCAGCCTTGCTAGCTTCTGCAGGACAGCGGGGTGAAGGCACCCCGCTGCCCTGCAGAGGTTTGCGCGCAGCCGTCTGCTCTAGCTTGGGGACTCCGTCTCGCTGCTCTAGCTTGGGGACGGCTGCGCGCAAACCTCTGCAGGGCAGCGGGTGCCTTCACGCTGCTGTCCTGCAGAAGCTAGCAGGCTGTTCCCAAGCCAGAACAGCGAGACGGAGGGCTCCGTCTCGCTGCTCTAGCTGGGGACGGCTGCGCGCAAACCTGTGCAGGGCAGCGGGCGCTGCGCTCCAAAGGCTTCAGGGATCTTTGAGGCTGGCGGTGGGGAAAGCAGCTTCCCCACCGCCAGCCCTACAAGCTCTGGTGAATGTACCTTGAACGCACCTTGTTTTGGAGGGGGGAACAAGAAAAAAAATCTTTTTCCCTGTTCTCCCCCTCCTATGATCCGGTGCGTCCTATGGTCCGGTGCGTCCAATGGAGCGAAAAATACGGTAATTTTCACATTAATCACATAGAAAAGAAACAAGAAAAAAAGAAACATTACAATACACAAAAATAAAGAAAAACACATAAAAAAGAATTTTAACTTCCAAATCCTAATTTCTTTACATTGATAACTGATTTTCTCGGATCCCCTCTAACTGAATTTCATTATATCGCCTGATTAGCAATTCTCCAAATTCATATTTCTAATAATATTAACTTCTTTCATTTACTAACTTCTTTTCCATTATTAATACTCCATTCCTTAATATTCATTAACAAGGTAATCTTATTCTAACCCTAGGCCTTTTTTTTACTTCCAAGAGGTTTCTCTTTATCTTATATTACAGTATTTAGCCAAATATTCTTTAAAATTCTTCCAGTCCTTTTGTGTCTCTTCTTCTTTCTGGTCGCGGATTCTTCCAGGCAGGTCGGCCAGCTCCAAAAAATCCATCATCTTCATCTGCTATTCTTCTATTGTTGGTATCTCTTGTGATTTCCAGTTTTTGGCTAATAAAATTCTTGCCACTGTAAAGGTAAAGGGACCCCTGACCATTAGGTCCAGTCGTGGCTGACTCTGGGGTTGCGGCGCTCATCTCGCTCTATACGGCGAGGTAGCCGGCGTACAGCTTCCGGGTCATGTGGCTAGCATGACAAAGCCGCTTGTGGCAAACCAGAGCAGAGCACGGAAACGCCCTTTACCTTTCCGCCGGAGCGGTACCTATTGATCTACTTGCACTTTGACGTGCTTTCAAACTGCTAGGTTGGCAGGAGCAGGGACCGAGCAACGGGAGCTCACCCCGTCGCGGGGATTCGAACCGCCAACCTTCTGATCGGCAAGCCCTAGGCTCTGTGGTTTAACCGACAGCACCACCCGCCTCCCCTTTGTGCTGTAGTGGCATACAAAAACAATCTAACATCTTTTTGGGGCAATTCCAATCCTATTATTCCAAGTAGAAAGGCTACTGGATCTGGACTGTTTTCACACACTAATACCCCCATCCTGTAGAATTCTATCCATTATATTTTATCTGCGCAGTCGGAATGAATATATTGGAACCCAAATGCATCTTCTGTGCAGCCTGAGCGAGAGCAGTCACCATTAAGGAACAGAGGCAGAAATAGGCTGATATATATGTGGACTGTCCCTGGATCAAGTGACTTTTAAAAGGGACGCTGATGGCACTGTGGCCTAAACTACTGAGCCCCTTGGGCTTGCCGATTGGAAGGTCGGTGGTTCGAATTTCTGCATCGGGTTGAGCTCCCATTGCTCTGTCCCAGCTCCTGCCAGCTTAGCAGTTTGAAAGCACACCAGTGCAAGTAGATAATTAGGTACCGAATGGCGGGAAGGCAAATGGCGTTTCCGTGCGCTCTGGTTTCCGTCACAGTGTTCCGTTGCACCAGAAGTGGTTCAGTCCTGCTGGCCACATGACCTGGAAAGCTGTCTGTAGACAAACGCCGGCTCCCTTGGCCTGAAAGCGAGATGAGCTTTCTCTGGCAAGTCTTGCCCAAAAAGGTCTTGCAAAACTAGGATCCGACACTGATTGAGCGCCGGAAAGCCCTATGCAAATGTCCAGTACTATTATGGTTATCTCCATTTAGGTATAGTATTTAATAATAATAAGTTTTACTTTTGTTTCAAACCTTCTGGTTTTCCTGTTTTCAGTTGCTGTTTGCTGTTCTGTTTCGCAATGCCTAGAGACTTTGGTATAGAAGGCAATTAATAGCAATAACGAAGCATGTGACCCCAAAGTTTCAACTTCTTATTGACGTTCTTCCCATCTCTTCCCAAAATATCACCACTTTGAGCAGGCTAGTCAGAGATGGGGACAAGAATAAGAAGAAAAAAGCAGTGATACTTGATTGTCCTGGAATAAAGGGGAGGCAGGCAGGGCAGGGAAGAATCTGTTGCCTTGAATCGGGGTTTATTTTCTAAGGAAATGGCTGCTTAATATCAGGTGGGTTGAACTCCTGACCAAGCTAAATGACTTTTCTGTTCTCTTCAGGAGAGAATTGGTGTCTATGTGAAGTGTTTGAAGCAAGAGAGGAAAAGGCTTGTGGACCGGAAATTAGCTAAAGATGAGAAAAAGCAGAAATGTCTGGTAGGTTCATGTCATTACGGTGGGGAATCTGTGGGCCAGTATTGACAGATGGGCAGGGGCCACCCACCTATCAATCAAATGACATCATGGCCAAGTGACTGATAAAGTCACCTGTCAAAGTCAACTTGCAGGGCTGAGATGGGGACGGGTTTGCCTCTCCACCACATTTCATGCAGACAATCTCTTGTCAGAGAGATTGTGGGTGCGATATCGAGTCAAGGTGCCCCCTTTTCTATACCCGCAAGTTCTGAACAACCAGCTATGTCGGTTTTTGTAATTCAGACCTCCCTGGCTTGGTAATTCAGAGGGCTCCCTGGCCCTCAAGATTGTTTAAAAAATACAGTGGTACCTCAGGTTAAGTACTCAATTCGTTCCGGAGGTCTGTTCTTAACCTGAAACTGTTCTTAACCTGAAGCACCACTTTAGATAATGGGGCCTCCCGCTGCTGCCGTGCCACCAGAGCATGATTTCTGTTCTCATCCTGAAGCAAAGTTCTTAACCCGAGGTACTATTTCTGGATTAGCGGAGTCTGTAACCTGAAGCATATGTAACCTGAAGCGTATGTAACCCGAGGTATCACTGTAACTAAATTATTAAGACTTTTCATAATGTGTTACACTAAAAAACATAATCTAAACAAAACTAAAACAGAAAAAGAAGAATACAAAATCCTCTCTCCATCGGCATAGCTAAGGGGGAGCGGGGGCCAGTTGCCCCCCCCACAGTAAAAATAAAAACAAATCTGAAGTTCTGTCCTCCTAGCAAAAGCCTGCCCAAAAAATCTTGGCTGCTTCCATGCCTCTCTCACAGGTAGATCTTATCCCACTACGAAAGAGGTAAACTCTCCCAGCTGTCCCTTGGGAGCTTCTCTTCCCATCAGTCCCAACAAGGACAAGCAATGACCAGGATGGTGGGATTTGTTGTTCAGCAATATCTGAAGGGCCCAGGGTTCCCCAACCTGACCCAACTCTTCCAGTGCTAGATTTACGTATACGCTAAACAAGCTGTAGCTTAGGGCCCCACCCTCTTGGGGGCCCCCCAAAAAAATAAAGGGGAAAAAACTGGATGTACATTTCCAAAATTATATTTCAGTTCAACAATTACTTTGATAAAATACATATTTAGATACCTATGGAGAGCCAGTGTGGTGCAGTGGTTAAGAGCGGTGGACTCGTAATCTGGGGAACCGGGTTCGCTTCCCCGCTCCTCCACATGCAGCTGCTGGGTGACCTTTGGCCAGTCACACTTCTCTGAAGTCTCTCAGCCCCACTCACCTCACAGAGTGTTCGTTGTGGGAGAGGAAGAGAAAGGAGAGTGTGAGCCGCTTTGAGACTCCTTAAAGGGAGTGAAAGGCGGGGTATCAAATCCAAACTCTTCTTCTTCTTCTACGAGGTACATAAATTACCATATAGCATATATTCAACACAAAACACAGCGACAATTTGTTGTTGACAAAGGACAGCTGGACATATAAAGGGCCCCATTACCTTCAGTAGCTTGTTGTTGTTTAGTCGTTTAGTCGTGTCCGACTCTTCGTGACCCCATGGACCAGAGCACGCCAGGCACTCCTGTCTTCCACTGCCTCCCGCAGTTTGGTCAAACTCATGCTGGTAGCTTCGAGAAGACTGTCCAACCATCTCGTCCTCTGTCGTCCCCTTCTCCTTGTGCCCTCCATCTTTCCCAACATCAGGGTCTTTTCCAGGGAGTCTTCCCTTCTCATGAGGTGGCCCAAAGTATTGGAGCCTCAGCTTCACGATCTGTCCTTCCAGTGAGCACTCAGGGCTGATTTCCTTCAGAATGGATAGGTTTGATCTTCTTGCAGTCCATGGGACTCTCAAGAGTCTCCTCCAGCACCATAATTCAAAAGCATCAATTCTTCGGCGATCGGCCTTCTTTATGGTCCAGCTCTCACTTCCATACATTACTACTGGGAAAACCATAGCTTTAACTATACGGACCTTTGTTGGCAAGGTGATGTCTCTGCTTTTTTATATATATCATATATTCAACACGAAAAACAGTGACAATTTGTTGCTAACAAAAGACAGCTGGGCATATAAAGGGCCCCATTACCTTCAGTAGCTTAGGGCCTCCTCAAACCTAAATCTGGCCCTGTTCTTCTCCCTTATTTTTCCTTAATGTATTCTCTCCCACTCCCAGAAACAGTTAGAAACGGAGAAGCAGAAGATCATGTCCGCCTTTGAGAAAATGCACAAGTACCTCGTTCAGAAACAGCACCTCTGGCTAGAGCAGTTGGAAGACCTGACCAAAGAGCTGGAGAGGAAGCAGGAAGAGAACCTCACCAGAGTCTCTGAGGAGATTTCCCGGATCAATGGGCTGATTGCGGAGATGGGAGGGAAGTGCCGGCAGCCCCCGAGCGAATTCTTGCAGGTGAGACTTAGAATCACATACACACAAACACACACAAAATGCATGTTTCAGGACCCTTGGAATGAAGGAGGCACGATCCTAGGAATGGCCATTTGCTTTCCACAGACAAAGAAATCACCACTAGGACAAGAGGAAGCCCTGTGTGTGTTTTGTCTGTGTAAAGGTAAAGGGACCCCTGACCATTAGGTCCAGTCGTGGCCGACTCTGGGGTTGTGGCGCTCATCTCGCTTTACTGGCCGAGGGAGCCGGCGTACAGCTTCCGGGTCATGTGGCCAGCATGACTAAGCCGCTTCTGGCGAACCAGAGCAGCGCACGGAAACGCCCTTTACCTTCCCGCCGGAGCGGTACCTATTTATCTACTTGCACTTTGACGTGCTTTTGAACTGCTAGGTTGGCAGGAGCAGGGACCGAGCAATGGGAGCTCACTCCGTCGTGGGGATTCGAACCGCTGACCTTCTGATCAGCAAGTCCTAGGCTCTGTGCTTTAACCCACAGCGCCACCCGCGTCCCTTTTGTCTGTGTAGCTGAGATCTATTTCTCTCTTTCTTTCAGGACGTTAGCAATGTTATCAGTAGGTATGTAGCTCCCCTTTTCGTGTCCTTTGCTCTTTGCATGGACGAGTTTCGATCACACTGGGGGGGTTCCTGCAAACAAATGACGCGGTTTTCCTTCACTGTGTGTGGTTCACACTGTTGTCTGTCTGTCTCTTTTAATTTTGAGTTGGTGCTGCCCTGCTATTTTTGCCGGGGGGGGGGTGTCCCACCCACCCACACATTTGTTTTCATTTTAAAAAACAAGCATAAATGGATCTCTGCAAAATATGGTTCTAACATTCCTTAGATACACTCAACTGCTGCAAGCAGTTTTCTTCGTAGGGGTAATATGGAAGATTGTTACTTTCTTATTTCCTCTGCAATGTGAGAGCTGTCTACCTGCTTTTGGGGTTTCATGGAGGATAAGTTTATCAACGACAAAAGGATGCCGGGCCAGATACAATCTGGGCCTGATCCAGCAGGTCTCTTCTTACTATAGGAGAGAAGCTCTTTTTTAATTACTATTTTACATTGTTTTATGTGACCCACTTGGAGGTGTTTTTTTTCTTTTATGATTAAGTGGTCTATAATTTTTATTTTTACAGTGGTACCTCGGGTTAAGTACTTAATTCGTTCCGGAGGTCCGTTCTTAACCTGAAACTGTTCTTAACCTGAAGCACCACTTTAGCTAATGGGGCCTCCTGCTGCCGCCACGCTGCCGGAGCACAATTTCTGTTCTCATCCTGAAGCAAAGTTCTTAACCTGAAGCACTATTTCTGGGTTAGCGGAGTCTGTAACCTGAAGCGTATGTAACCTGAGGGACCATTGTACTAAAAATAAATTTTAAAACATACACGAGGTCTCAGGCTTTAAAATGCCAGGCCCAGGCACTTGTTCAAGAGTGGTTCTTGAGTTAAAAGCCCGTATTGTCCTTTAATGATACAAGTTCACAGGGGAATGGCATTATTATACTATTTTGTATTTCCTTCCAGGTGTGAGGAGAATTTAGTAGAGCCTGTGGTGGACCTTCATTCCTGCTTGGAAGCCCGTTTCAGAATCGCCGTTCAGAAAACCACCGCTTTAGAGGAGGCCATGGAGAATTACAAAGGTACAGTTTGTTGATGTCTGTGCGGCATTTACACTTGGGTTTTCTTCTTCTAATAGACTTGCAGCGGAGTTTCCTTTTAACTGAGTATCTTTATTATTTACAAAGATGTACACTGGTTGGATACAAATAAAATAACACAATCCTTTCCTCTTCCACCCATCTGGCCAGAAACGACCCTTGTTGATCACGTGCCCTTAGTAAAGGCACCTGTTGCTGGGTAGATTTTTCTGTTGCCAAGCAACCTGTTCAAGACCAATTCTCAAGTTCTTTCTAGAACATTCCAACACAGTTGACATTTGAAGGAAGGGAAATGGCTACAGGTGTTCTCAGAAAGCTCCAATTTCAGGCTCCTCTGCATAGCTGTCAACTTTTCCCTTTTCTTGCGAGGAATCCTATTCGGAATAAGGGAATTTCCCTTTAAAAAAGGGAAACGTTGACAGTTATGCTGCTCTGCAACGAATGTAATTTTTAAAAGGGGGGGGGAGAGAATTCCCCTGCAAAGTCCCTCTGTAGGTCTTCAAAAAAAGGCATTGTCTGCTTCTATTTCTCCTTCACACAATATATATTCCAGCTACGGAATTTGCCACCACAACATGTAAGGCTGCTGTCTTAGATGAGTTTACAAAAGGCTCTTGGTGGCTACAAATCATGATAGCTGCAAGTCCTGTGAAGGTCCAAAAGTGTAGGTGGGTCCCCATGAGACAAGACACAGTGATAACAGCAAGAACATTTATTGAACTAGCAAAACTCGACAACAGGGGCAAAGCAACTGCTTATATACATTTCTGAAGGCCTGGGCCACTCCCACCCCCAACGTGATTGGCTGTCTGAACTTCCAAGCTGCCAATCATGACTCAGCGTTTCAGGGCCAATGGCAGAGGCCCAAATCCTGAAATGTCCTGTGATTGGATATCATGTATCGAATCAGAACACAGGGGCTCAGAATCCGTAGTCCAGACTCAAGCTCAGGCAAACACAGCCCACTGAATAAATAACAGGTCCCATCTGCGGTATATTGGAAGGTGGGTGCTTTTGACGGGGTGACCCTTTGTGGCTTGCTCAGTAGGGCAGGTGGGCATGGTTGACCGAAAAGGCTTCACAGGTATAAATGGGCAGATACAGTACCACCATTGCTCTGTCTCTGCCCCAGTTAGCAAAAAGTCTCTGAGTGCACCGGCACAAATGGAAGGAGCCTCCTCTTCCTGCTTTGGGAATCCTCCCCTCACTTTCACCTCCGTATGTCGTTGGACTCGATTACAGCCTTTAAGAATAAAGTGTTATTCCAAACAGCATGATCTCAATTTAAATGCTGACTCCCTAGGGTTTTCTGCGCCTTGAGAGAGCTGGTTTTTGTTGTTCATGAAATCACCATCAAAATAAAATTTATATACCGGCCTATACCTGCAGGGCGGTTCACAAGATAAAATTACAATAGAAAAACACAAAATACATAAAATATAAACAAAAGTGGCTGGATAACACACCCCCCCCCAAACACACACACGCAGAGTGTTAAAACAATTTTTAAAAACGTAATTACAAAGCAGTTTAAAAGAATGTAAGCAGTACTCGCTGCTGGGTGGTAAGCAGTCCTTTTGTAGTCTGGATTCAGGTAGGTAACCGTGTTGGTCTGATGCAGTAGAAATAATAATAATAATAATAATAATAATAATAATAAATAATAATACAGTGGTACCTCAGGTTACATACGCTTCAGGTTACATATGCTTCAGGCTACAGACTCCGCTAACCCAGAAATAGTGCTTCAGGTTAAGAACTTTGCTTCAGGATGAGAACAGAAATCGGGCTCCGGCGGCGCAGCAGCAGCAGGAGGCCCCATTAGCTAAAGTGGTGCTTCAGGTTAAGAACAGTTTCAGGTTAAGAACGGACCTCCGGAACGAATTAAGCACTTAACCCGAGGTACCACTGTAATAATGAATTGTCCAGTAGCACCTTAGAGACCAACTAAGTTTGTTCTTGGTATGAGCTTTCGTGTGCATGCAAAATACCAAAAGCAGATACCAAAAGCAGATACGAAAGCTCATACCAAGAACAAACTTAGTTGGTCTCTAAGGTGCTACTGGACAATTTATTTTATTTTTAATACATATTTCTTTTGTAGTCTGTCAGGCCCCACTCTAGGCCTGGGGAAGAGAGGCAGGAACAGGACCCTCAAACTCTCTGCAGATGTTCCTTCCTTGCCCATGGCCATTTTCTTTGTTTGAGGGTCTGAGCAATTTCCCTCTCCTTCACAGATTCTCTGGAGCGAGCTCTGGACGCAAACAACTTGGAGGAAGCTGTCAACACAGGTAACTTCCCTGGCAAGACAGAGAGAGGGGACTTTTTAACAGAAGGTGGTACTTACCGTATTTTTCGCTCTATAAGATGCACCAGACCACAAGACGCACCTAGTTTTTGGAGGAGGAAAACAAGAAAAAAAATATTCTGAATCTCAGAAACCAGAACAGCAAGAGGGATCACTGCGCAGGGAAAGCAGCAATCCCTCTTGCTGTTCTGGCTTCTGGGATAGCTGCACAGCCTGCATTCGCTCCATAAGACGCACACACATTTCCCCTACTTTTTAGGAGAGAAAAAGTGAGTCTTATAGAGCAAAAAATACAGTAGGCGTTGGGGTCTAAGAGAGCCCCCTCTGCATAACCCAGGGGGCTACTTTTGCAATGAGGATGTACGGGAGATGGAATAGCATAGGATGAGGGCACTGCCCTGAGCGTGAGATCAAATGGCACTCCGGCCACAAACTCAGAAAATTGGTTGGGAAACCTGGATCTTAGAGCCGCCTATTCTGAACTTGCTAAACTACTAAGGAGCAACGCAATTCCATTTAGGTGGGAATTTCCACAAGGAATATCTTTTACCTTTAAAGGGAGAAAGGTCAAAGTTAGAACATTGGAAGAGAGAGACAAATTTTTGGCTACATACGGAGAGGACCTTCAAAAGGAATTGAATTACCTTCTGGGCCTGGGGCAAAGCCAGTATCAACACCAGCACCTGGGGAACCTGAAGATCCAGAGAAGACACCACCCCTGGAGAAATAACCAGATAGATCCAGGATGTCTCTGCAATTGCTGAGTTGGAACATTAATGGTTGTAACATTCCGGAAAAAGGAAGAAAATATTTCATATATTAAAAAAGAACAATTGGACATCATCTGTTTACAAGAAACACATGTGACGAGGCTCCACAGAAAAGTGTTAATAAATAAAAGATTGGGCCAGGAATTTGTTTCGTCGGACAAAGTTAAGAAGAGAGGCGTGGTGATATATGCAAAAGAGAGCCTGTCACCTAAATTCTTATTTAAAGATGAACATGGAAGAATTTTGGCCATTGAGATACAATATCAAGGAGAGAAACTGTTGATATTAGGAATCTATGCACCTAACGAAGGGAAATCGGAATTTTACAAGAAGCTGCAGGGGACAATGCTGGAATATCTGGATTACAACAACATCATAATGATGGGAGACATGAACGGGGTCGTGTCAACTAACATGGACAAGTCACAAAGTCAAAATGTTACAAAAGACGGCAGACTACCTAAAACTTTTTTGAAATGACTGACAATATGGATTTGATTGACATTTGGAGGACAAAGAACCCACTAGGTAGAGAAGGAACATTCTTTTCTGAAGCCCAACTGACCTGGACAAGAATCGACCAAATATGGATTTCCAGAGGCCTGGCACCTAAGGTCAGAAAAGTGGAAATCTGCCCAAAGACCTGCTCTGACCATAATGCAGTAAAGATGGATATGACACTACTACCAACTGGATCCTTTAGATGGAAGATGAATGACAATTTGTTTAGAGATCAGGAAATTACCAAGAAGGCCCAAAAAGTTTTGAAGGACTATTTTGAGATAAATATGAACAATTCTGATGAAAAAAGAATTGACTGGGATGAAAGCAAAGCTGTAATGAGGGGATTCTTGATACAACAGAATGTAGTAAAGAAAAGAACACAAAATGAGAAAAAAGATAAAATCTTGGACAAATTAAAAGAATTAGAGAAGAAATTAAGAGCGAATCCAAAGTCACAGCCAACTCTGAGAGAAATTAAACTCTATCAAACACAATATTCTAAATTGATAAATCAGGAAATTGAATGGAAGGTTAAATTAATGAAACAAAAACGTTTGAGTCGGCGAATAAATGTGGAAAACTGCTAGCTTGGCAGTTGAAGAGAAGACAAAGATTAAACACGGTTACAAATTTAGAGGTTGATGGAAAAAACATTCAGAATCCAGTGGATATTAGAAAGTGTTTCCAGAGATATTTTAAAAAATTATACACCCAAGGGCCGCAAGACGAAGTTGAGATTAAACAATTTTTGGCAAAAAATGGACTATCTAAATTGTCACAAGAAAATAGGACAATCCTGAACTCTAAAATAACACGACAGGAGATTGAACAAGCTATTCAGAACATGCAACTTGGCAAATCTCCAGGGCCAGATGGGCTGACCTCCAAGTATTATAAGATATTAAAAGACTATTTGATACAACCCTTGATGGAGGTCAGCAATGAAATTATCGAGGGGAAGAGGGCACCGGATTCGTGGAAGGAAGCGTTCATCACATTAATACCAAAGTCAGAAGCTGAAAAGACACAACTGAAGAACTACCGTCCCATCTCTCTTTTAAATGTGGATTACAAAATATTTGCAGACATTTTGGCAAGTAGATTTAAAAAAGTATTAAATGAAGTAATTCATAAGGACCAGGCCGGTTTTCTCCCAGGTAGACATCTGTTTGCTAACACAAGGAACATTATTGACATCTTGGAACTTCTGCAAACAGATATAAATACAAAAGCAGTTTTAATTTTTATAGATGCGGAGAAGGCCTTTGACAATATTTCCTGGAAATTTATGATGGGAAATTTAAAAGAGATGGGAGTGGGACGGGGTTTTGAGAATGGGATTGAGGCGATATATTCAGAACAGAAAGCTAAACTGATAGTTAATAATGTGGTTACAGAAGAGTTTAAAATTGAAAAAGGGACACGACAAGGTTGCCCTATTTCCCCTTTGTTATTTATTTCGGTTCTGGAAGTGCTACTGAACATGATTAGAGGGGATCGGTTGGTGGAAGGAATTCAGGTTGGTCAGAAACAATATAAACTAAAAGCTTTTGCAGATGACCTGGTTTTGACCTTGCAGAAGCCAGAGCCCAGTACGAAAAGAGTATTACAATTGATTAATGATTTTGGTCGGGTGGCGGGATTTAAATTAAATAAACAGAAAACTAAGGTTTTGGGGAAAAATTTGACTGATACAGAGTCAGAACGGTTTCAGAATGAGACGGAACTTAATGTGGTTAAAAAGTAAAATACCTAGGGGTAAACATAACAGCAAAAATCTAAGTCTATTTAAGGATAACTATGAAAAATGTTGGACAGAAATTAAGAGAGACTTAGACAGTTGGTCAAAATTGAAACTTTCTTTGTTAGGCCGAATTGCTGCTATTAAGATGAATGTATTGCCAAGGATGTTGTTTTTATTTCAAACACTTCAGGTTTTGGACAAAACGGAGTGCTTTCAGAAGTGGCAGAGAGATATTTCGAAGTTTGTCTGGCAGGGCAAAAGCCCAGAATCAAGTTTAAGATATTAACTGATGTAAAACAAAGAGGGGCCTTGCCCTGCCGGACTTAAAGTTGTATTATGAAGCCGCAGCGTTCTGCTGGCTAAAAGACTGGCTACTTCTTGAAGACACTGATGTGTTGGACTTGGAAGGGTTTAATAATGTTTTTGGATGGCATGCATATTTATGGTATGACAAAGTTAAAGCAAATAAGGCCTTCAAGAACCATATTGTCAGAAAATCATTGTATAATGTCTGGACAAAATATAAAGACTTGCTGGAAAATAAAACACCAAGGTGGCTTTCACCTTTGGAAGCTAAGGCCCGAAAAAGACCCAATATGGAGGCTAAATGGCCAAAATATTGGGAAATACTAGACAAAGATGGAGACACTTGGAAATTGCAGAGTTTGGAGAAAATGAAAGACAAAGTGCGAGATTGGTTACATTACGCTCAGATTAAAGAAGTTTTTAAAAATGATAAGAAACTAGGGTTCCAGGTGGAGAAATCGAAATTAGAAACAGAATTGTTAGAACCAAAGACTAAGGTACTTTCAAGGATGTATAACTTGCTGTTGGAATGGAATACACAAGATGAAATGGTTAAATCGGCTATGATAAGGTGGGCACAGGACATTGGGTATAATATTATGTTTGAGGACTGGGAAAAGTTGTGGAGTAATGGATTGAAATTTACTGCATGTAACGCTCTGAAAGAAAATGTAATGAAAATGATTTATAGATGGTATATGACCCCAGTTAAACTTGCAAAAATTTACCACCTGTCTGATAATAAGTGTTGGAAATGTAAAGAGTGTGAGGGAACGTTCTTCCACCTCTGGTGGACCTGCCCTAAAGTGAAGGCGTTCTGGGAAATGATTTATAATGAATTGAAAAAGGTATTTAAATATACCTTTACCAAGAAACCAGAGGCTTTCCTTCTGGGTATTGTCAGCCAAGGGGTGGCAAAGAAGGACCAGACATTTTTATGTATGCAACAACAGCAGCAAGGATACTTCTTGCAAAACATTGGAAAACTCAAGATTTACCCACACTGGAAGAATGGCAGATGCAACTGATAGACTACATGGAACTGGCTGAAATGACCGGCAGAATCCGTGACCTGGGAGAAGAGAGAATCGAGGAGGATTGGAAGAAATTTAAGAACTATCTACAAAAATATTGTGATTTGAGTGAATGCTAAATAAGATGCTAGACTAAATAACTGAGCACCACTTAACTTAGAAGTTTTTAAGAAAATAAGTAAGACTGTGAAAGTTTAACTCTTTATGAGAACTATAAGATTATGAAACATTGAAGAGATATAAGAATTTAAATAAGATGATAAATTGCTGACAAAATGTTATAACGATGAAAGTGGGAGCGGGGGATGTGAGGAAGTCCAAAGAAAATGTGAAACTATGTTAAGACAAATGTTATATTGTTTATTATGTTTATTTTTATTGTAAAACCCAATAAATTGTGGTTGGGAAACCTGTGGCTATTTGCTGTGCCTCCTTGCCTACATTCAGCTGACGTTTTGGGGAAGAGTCTGGGGGTGATTCTGCAGCAGGTGAAGATTATCCTTTGCATGGGAAGCTGTGTTGTACTGACTCCAACTACAGTGGTACCTTGGTTCTCGAATGGAGTCCGTTCCGTTCAAGATCCGAAAATGTTCAGAAACCAGGGTGCAGCTTCCGATTGGCTGCAGGAGCTTCTTGCACTCCGCTGGAAGCCATGTTGGACATTCAGCTTCCAAAAAATGTTTGCAGACTGGAACACTCACTTCCAGGTTTGTGGCGTTCAGGAGCCAAAACGTCCGAGTCACAAGGCGTTCGAGAACCAAGGTACCACTGTATTGGCCAATCCAGTTCAGTATGGTCTACAACCAGGGTTTCCCGAACTTAGGTCGCCAGCTGTTTTTGGACTACAACTCCCATCATCCCTAGCTAGCAGGACCAGTGGTCAGGGATGATGGGAATTGTAGCTGGAGACACATATTTGGGAAACCCCGGCCTCTTCCGGTATGCCCCACGGAGAGCCTCAAGGTCCATAAATAGCAACACCCTAGTGGTCCTGGGCCTTAAGGAAGTTAGATTAGCTTCAGCCAGAGCCAGGGCCTTCTCAACACTGGCTCCGGCCTGGTGGAACTCTCTGTCTCATGAGACCAGGGCCCTGCGGGATCTGATCTCTTTCCGCAGGGCCTGTAAGACAGAGTTGTTCCGCCTGGCCTTTGGCTGGGAGCCAATTTGATTCCCTCCCCCTCTTTCTTTTTTTCCTTTCCTTTCTCCTCCTGTGATGAGGCTACATTTTAATATTTTAATGTTTCAATATTTTAATGTTGTATTGTAATTTTGTTTTTAAGTTGTATTCATTCAACTTGTTTTTATTGTTGCTTGTTAGCTGCCCTGAGCCCGGCCTTGGCTGGGGAGGGCGGGGTATAAATAAAAATTATTATTATTATTATTATTATTACTCTGACTGGTAGGGACCTTCAGGCTTCTCAGGCACGGGTCTCTCCCAGCCTTACATGGAGTTGCCCGGGATCTAACCTAGGGCCTTCGACATTACCTGTTTAGGGAAGCTTTTAATGTTTGATGTATTACAGTATTTTAATATTTTTTTGGAGGCCGCCCAGAGTGGCTGGGGAAGCTCAGCCAGATGGGCGGGGTATAAATAAATTATTATTGTTGTTGTTGTTGTTGTTGTTGTATAAATAAATTATTATTATTGTTGTTGTATAAATAAATTGTTGTTGTTGTTGTTTATTATGCAAGGCATGCGCCTCTACCGCTAAGCCACAGGCCTTCTTCCCTGAAGCCACTCAATCTTCCCTCTTTCCTACAGTGAATGTCGTTCTGGATCCAAACTCAGCACACCCCTATCTCGTTCTCACTCCGGACCGGAAGAGCGTGCGATGGGAACCGTCGTGGAAGGAGAGGGAGTGGCGGAAGAAGAACGTTTCCCAGCATTTGGACAGATTTGACTGGGAGGTCTGTGTGCTCGGCCGCGAGAGGTTCGTTTCGGGGACGCAATGGTGGACAGTGGAGGTCTTGGGAGAAGGAAGCTGGACCCTGGGGGTGGCGAGAGACTCGCTCGCGAGGAAAGGATCCTTCAACTTCAGCCCTGACGAGGGCATCTGGGCTCTGAGGAAGCCGTTTTGCGACACGTACCTGCCTCACAAAGTCTTGGCCTTAACTTTCCCCGAAACCACTCCGTTGATGTTGACCAAGGAGCCCAAGAAGATTCTGGTGGCCCTGGACTATCCGTTAGGCTGGGTGGGCTTCTTTGACGCCGATACCGACGAATTCATCTTTGCTTTCCACTCGGCATCATTCGCTGGGGAGAGGATCAGGCCCTTTTTCCAGCTGCGGGAGAGGGGATTCGCTCTGAAGTGCTGACTCTTGAGGGGGCCTCCTGTCACCCCCAAAAATCCCACCCAGAATGGTGGTGACACACTAGAGCTTTATCTGTGACTATATAAGGGCGGCCATTTTAACTGGTTTTCAGGCAGGATTCCGTTTCCTGACCACAGCTTTTAGATTGTTTCCCCATCTGCTTTATTTGCATGTTTCCAAGAAGGCTTAGAGGCCCTCCGTGTCATTACTGTGTTTTGAAATAATGATTCCTTCTAACTTATTTTTTATATATAAAAAAGCTGCAGACAATTGAAAAATTTAGGGGTATTGATCCAGTACCTTTGACAGGGGGGGGAAATGAACAGATTTGAGAATTGCCCTCACTGTGCAAGTGTCGGGGGCAAACAGAAAATGTGAACTCTACCAGAAAACCTTTTCAAAAATTATTTTGGGGTAGAAAGTAGGTTTATTTTAGGATATTGCAGTTGGAAGAAGCGTCATAACTGTGCTCACTTAGGGCTTTTGCATTTATTTCCCTGCGCTTTATTTCCACCATTCTTTCCCTCCATATGAAGGAATATATATATCTGTCCCTCAACAACTGCAAAGGGGCAAGTTTCCCCCTTGTAGCCATTCCACGCAATTGGGTCCCCTCCATGACCAGGGGTTGTGATCGCAAAGAGTGGTCTGTACTTAAACAGCTGCTCATGCCTTACTCTCTCTTTCGGAAATGTCAGAGGGCGGCTTTGGGGTGCAATTTTGGGATGGGGCTCACGGTGCGTGCCTCTGCTTCCCTTCTACACAAAGAGGCTTGTAGCTGCAATGGGGAGGTCTCACGGGTGAGGAATACGTTTATTTTGGTGGGTGAAGGGTTTATGTAGTCACGTGACATTCTAGGTCAGGTGACTGTGAATCTGAGAGCCTAGGCAGGAGTTTCCTGCGGGAGGGGGAGCCACTATAAAGAGTGGACAAGTGTGGTAGTGGAATGAGGTCAGAATAAGACAAACTTAATTCCCATCTTTGCAATACGTTTGAAGCTGTTTTGAATAGTCATGGCTTCCCCAAAAGAGTCCTGGGAACTGTAGTTTATTAAGGGTGCTAAGAGTTGTAAAGAGCCCTCTATTTCCCTCGCAGAGCTAGACTTTCCCTGGGAATGGGGAATGATTGGAAACCTCTCTGGAAATTGAGGCGTGTAGGGGTTTCCTAACAACTCTCAGCACCCGTAACAAACTACAGTTCCCAGGATTCATTGGGACTGTTCAAAGTGGCACGCTACAGCTTTAAATATTTAGTGTAGGTGGGCCCTTAGAGATTGGGACATACCCCTCAAGTGATTTGATTGCTAATAGGGAGAAATTCCCACTTTTAAAATTCTTCTTTTATTACCTTTGACACGATACTGATTTGGGAACATACAGCTCACACTTTCCTCGTAAAAGTGTCGTTACTTCTGTTTTTAGGGGTTTTTTTAGCCATCATTTGTGTGCTTTTAAAAGGATTATGTAACAGAGAATAAAGTTACTTTTTTTGAAATTTTGATTGCTTCAGCTGGCTATGTGTGTTTCCCCCCCCCCCCCCAAAAAAAACCCCTGCAGGTGTTCATAACATTTTAAAATACTTGCAATTTGAATGCTAGCAGCTTGAATTAAATACTTCTGTCCTGTCATTCTGCACTCTTACGATATTGCATCCCTGATTTTAAACACACACAAACACACAAAAGCAAGCAGCTAAAACACACCAGTTCCACTTTAAAAACCGAAGCAAAATATTCCCGATAGGCATGTTTTAGAAAACAACCAACACAAAACAGCTGTTCTCAACATTTTGGGCCTTAAAGCACTCTCTAAAGAAGAGGTGGCGAACCCGGTGACCCTCAGGATAATAGAGTTTTATAAGCAGAGATTGGATGGCCATCTGCCATGGATGCTTTAGCTGAGATCTCTGCATTTCAGGGGGTTGGACTAGATAACCCCCGGGGTTCCCTCCCAACTGTATGATTCTATGATCCTTGCAGATCCTGCCATCTTAAATTCTGTCGATGTGGAATAGCATAGACGTTGCTGAGACAGGTGTGTGAACACCTGACCATGAACCTGTTTACTAGCAAGCAGGGCATCACTCGCAAACAAAAACTCTTCTGAGAAACGAAGCTGGTGGAGGCGAGAGGACAGAGAACATTCTGGACAAAGAGGATGATTCGGAGATATCATTAATCCTCTCCAAGGTTGCAGAAAAGGCCTTGTTTTCTTCTCAGTTCTCCTCCAAGGCCAAATCAAGCACTCATTTGCCTGCCAAAGCCTTGTGCTCCGTTGACTTGCATGCAGACGGGTTATGCTTTTAGATATCATAGTAGAGTTGGAAGGCACCCAGTGGTCATCTGGTCCAACCCCCCGCCACAATGCAGGAATCCAAGCTAAAGCATCAGTGACAGATGGCCTTCCAACCTCTGCTTAAAAACCTCCCAAGGAAGGAGAGCCCAACACCTCCCGAGGGAGTCCGTTCCACTGTTGAACAGCTCTTACTGCCAGAAAGTTTTTCCCCATATGTTTACAGTGGAACCTCGGGTTAAGTGCCGTATTTTTCGCTCTATAGGATGCACCTTTTCCCCTTCAAAAATTAAGGGGAAATGTGTGTGCGTCCTATGGAGCGAATGCAAGCTCCCTGGCTTCAGCGATAGCAACACAAAGCCTCCGAAGCCTCCGCTCCGGAGGGTTTGCGTTGCTTTCGCTGAAGCTAGGAGAGTCTGGTCTTTGAGGCTGGCGGTGGGGGAAAGCAGCGCTTCCCCCCACCGCCAGCCCCACAGGCTCGGTCGAAAAGCCCGCAAGAGCCACGCGCTCTTTAAAAGGTGCGCGCCTCCTGTGGGCTTTTGCAGGAGATGGGGGAATTCCCCCACCTCCCGCAAAAGCCGCGCGCTCTTTAAAGGGTGCGCGGTTTCTGCGGGCTTTTCTACAAGGTGGGGGAATTCCCCCACCTCCTAGAAAAGCCCGCAGGAGCCGCGCAGCCTTTAAAGAGCGTGCTGCTCTTGGGGGCTTTTCCCCAAGGAGGAAAAAGGGACTGACTGGCCGAGTCAGTCCCTTCTCCCTCCTGTGGGCTTTTGCGGGAGATGGGGGAATTCCCCCACCTCCCGTAATAGCAGGGAGAAGGTCTGGGAGAAGTGCACAGGCTGCGTGCAGCCTGTCCGCTGCTCCCAGAGCTGGGGGGGGATCATATTTTTTCCCTTTATTTCCCCCTCTGAAAACGCAGTGCGCCCTATGGTCAGGTGTGCCCTATAGAGCGAAAAATACGGTACTTAATTCGTTCCAGAGGTCCGTTCCTAACCTGAAACCTCTGGCTAGGTTTCCCCAGCCACTCTGGGCGGCTTCCGACATATACAAAAAACAGAGTAGAAACAGAAAGCTCCAAAGAAAAGCAGGTGGTCTCCTCAGGGAAATACTGGAAGGGGAACTCACTCGCCCCAATAGCTGTGGGTTCAGCCTGGGCAGCCAAAAGAACCCAGACCCCAATTTGTCAAACCGGGCGCCTTTATTAAAAGTGTTGCAATGGTTGTCACTTCACCCCCACAGATACCCTTTAGGCAAAGAGGAAGGTGCCACTGCCTCAGGGTAAAAAACACCACAATATTGATGCCTCAAGCATTCATAAACAGCAGATGTTCTGTCTCACTCCAGCAAAGTTGCATAGCAACGGCCTTCGGCCTTCACTCCTTATCTTCTCTTCCCTCCAACCTCCTCCTGCTTGCGTGCTACTTTGACCTTGTCTTTTGGAAGCACAAGCTTCCCATGCTGAACCCTTCCACACATATTTCACTTTTCATTCTATAGTTTCTAGAATCACTCCAAAAGCCTGAGTGGGCTTATTCAGGCACCCCAAGCAATTTTGTGGGGGTGAGAATGAGTTAACCAGCTTTTATCCACTGCTCGTATTAAAATGTCCCATCTAAAGTTTCTTTGACATTGGCCGAAAACATTTCTCCCATGCGTTGACAAATGAGAATCAGAGAATTGTAGAGTTGGAAGAGACCTCAAGAGCCATCTACCTGAACCCCCTTGGCCATGCAGGAATCTCAGCTAAATTAGCCTGCTTTAATTTCTGCATTTTTTTCCATTCATGTCGGTTTGGACACCTTAATATTGTTTCTTTGCAATCTGTATACAGTGGTACCTCGGGTTACAGACACTTCAGGTTACAGACTCCACTAACCCAGAAATAGTGCTTCAGGTTAAGAACTTTGCTTCAGGATGAGAAGAGAAATTGTGCTCCGGCGGCGCGGCAGCAGCAGGAGGTCCCATTAGCTAAAGTGATGCTTCAGGTTAAGAACAGTTTCAGGTTAAGTACGGACCTCCGGAACGAATTAAGTACTTAACCTGAGGTACCACTGTAATGCTTTATTTCATAAAATGTGTACACTGGTACCTTGGTTCTCAAATTTAATCCGTTCCGGAAGTCCGTTCCAAAACCAAAGCGTTCCAAAACCTAGGCGCGCTTTCCCATAGAAAGTAATGCAAAATGGATTAACCCGTTCCAGACTTTTAAAAACAACCCCTAAACACTCAGAATGGAGCACGTTTGGCTTCTGAAAATAGTTCGCAAACCGGAACACTTACTTCCAGGTTTGCAGTGTTTAGGATCCAAGTTGTTTGACTACGAAGGCATTTTGAGAACCAAGGTACCACTGTATACCTCTTGATGGTAAAAAAAGAAAAGTGGTTTTGTAGAAACGATAAAATGATGAGTACAAACAGCTATTTAAAGCATTCAAAAAGTAATCAGAATCAACAATAGGCTAATAATGGACGCAAACACATGTCAAATGTTGTAAGGTGGTACCTCGGGTTACATACGCTTCAGGTTACAGACTCCACTAACCCAGAAATAGTACCTCGGGTTAAGAACTTTGCTTCAGGATGAGAACGGAAATTGCGCAGCGGCAGCAGGAGGCCCCATTAGCTAAAGTGGTACCTCAGGTTAAGAACAGTTTCAGGTTAAGAAAGGACCTCCAGAACGAATTACCGTATTTTTTGCTCTATAAGACTCACTTTTTCCCTCCTAAAAAGAAAGGGGAAATGTGTGTGCGTCTTATGGAGCGAATGCAGGCCGCGCAGCTATCCCAGAAGCCAGAACAGCAAGAGGGATTGCTGCTTTCACTGCGCAGCGATCCCTCTTGCTGTTCTGGCTTCTGAGATTCAGAATACTTTTTTTTCTTCTTTTCCTCCTCCAAAAACTAGGTGTGTCTTGTGGTCTGGTGCGTCTTATAGAGCAAAAAATACGGTAAGTTCTTAACCCGAGGTACCACTGTATTTTGTAAGTGTTATTGTCAGGTGGATGGTTTGACTGGAGATGGGAAGCTGTTCTATGGTGGCATACATTTTTGCAGGGCTTTTTTCTATTAAAAAAAAAATTAAGGTAATCTCATTTTCCTACTCATATTGAAATACTGCCCCTCAATGAGGCCAGACGTAGATTCACAAAATGTTTAGGGGTATGCGTCCCCCCAGAAAAAAAGCACTGTGTTTTTGAACGAATCTTTGGCAACAGTCAACGCCCACCTTTTAATATGAAGGGATGTGGCTTAGAACGCTTAATCTGGGATGACTCATGCTAGAGAGCCTGGCAGTTCCAGGAAACAGTCGGCGCCTTGAAACCAAAAGCAAAACATCCTCCCTTTCTCCCTTCTGCTTCAGAGCGGAGCAGACATGGCAAGCGTGCTCCTCGCCCAGCAGTTCCTGGACGAAACCTCCTGCCCCATCTGCCTGGACTATTTCACAGACCCGGTGATTCTGGACTGCGGGCACAGTTTCTGCAAAGCCTGCCTCACCATGTGCTGGAAAGAAACCCAGAGACCGGCATCTTGCCCCCATTGCAGGCAGGTAGCCCAGAGAACCAGCTTCAGGCCGAACCGGCAGCTGGCCAACGTGGTCGAAATAGCCAAGCAGTTCAGCTCTCAGGCGGAGACAACCGATTGCGAGAGACATGGGGAGCCCTTGGAGTTTTTCTGCAAGGTTTGTGCAGCCCCCATCTGCAACGTCTGCAAGAGGTCGCAAGAGCACAGCGAACACGCCTTGATTAATCTGGACCAGATTTCACAGCGGATGAAGGTAGGAAATCTCCTTCAAGCATCAATTCTCAGAACTGTGTCTTAGGTTGCATGAGCACTCTACCTGGAAAGCCCATTTTCCCCTTCAAAGAATTCTGGGCGTTGTAGTTGGTTCCTGAGAGTTGTAACCCTGCGTGGGGTGAACTATAGCGGCCAGAATTCTTTGAGGAAGGAGATGTGCTTCAGAGGTCTAGCTTTAATCCTCACCGTGCTATGATGTATAGATGGTACCTAACGCCAAGCAAATTAGCCAAAATATATCGTATTTTTTGCTCTATAAGACGCACCAGACCACAAGACGCACCTAGTTTTTGGAGGAGGAAAACAAGAAAAAAAAATTCTGAATCTCAGAAGCCAGAACAGCAAGAGGGATTGCTGCGCAGTGAAAGCAGCAATCCCTCTTGCTGTTCTGGCTTCTGGGATAGCTGCGCAGCCTGCATTCGCTCCATAAGATGCACACACATTTCCCCTTACTTTTTAGGAGGGAAAAAGTGAGTCTTATAGAGCAAAAAATACGGTATATAAATCAACGTCAGATCTTTGTTGGAAATGTAAAGAAGTAGAAGTATTGTATAAATAAAAGTTTGTAGGGAGGTAAAAAGAAATTATATAAGAAATATGTAACTGGGCGGTATAAAGTAATGGATAGATAAAGTACAGTGAGATTAATTGGAAGTCAGTTTTAAATTTCTTCTCTATAAGTTTTATAATTGTGTTCAATACCAGGAGTATATACGATGAGAATTATATTAATCTTCTTATATCTTATAGTGTGGTGGTTTGTTTGATCCTTCTGTTATTTGTTTGATTGACTGTATGCTTGTTTACCTGTATATACAGCTGTTTTTTCATTAATGTGTTTATTTTAAATTAATAAAGATACATTTTTTAAAAAAGAAGAAGAAGTAGAAGGCTCCTTTTACCACATGTGGCGGACGCGCAAAGTAGCTAAGGACTTTTGGGAGATTGATTTATAATGAGTTGGAAAAGATATTTAAGGTAGCTTTCCCAACAAGACCGGAAGTGTTGTTGTTTGTTTCCTAAGGTTAACTGGAGCAGCCTTTTCCATTTGCAGCTTCTGCTTAAAAGGGGGTAGCTGAGTCACCTCCAAAGTGCACATCTGTCCTTTAGCATGAGAAAAGTTGAGCTACAACACACTTCACCCCTGAGAATAAGGCCAGGGCAAAAGGTTATTGCAGTGATGGAGAAACCTGGCCCTCCAGCTGTTTTGGGACTACAACTCCCAACATCCCTAGCTAACAGGACCAGTGGTCAGGGATGATGGGAATTGTAGTCCCAAAACAGCTGGAGGGCCGAGTTTCGCCATCGCTGGTTAGCGGTTTCCAAAGATGGATTTGTTATCAGTAGGAAGTGGTGTCGTTGATTTTGCGGCTTAATTCTATGTTTTTATATTGTAAAGTGCCCTGTGATCTTTAAATCTTCAGGCAGAGTGTAGCGTTTAAATTTAATACAGTGGTACTTGAGGTTACATATGCTTCAGGTTACAGACTCCGCTAACCCAGAAATAGTGCTTCAGGTTAAGAACTTTGCTTCAGGATAAGAACAGAAATCATGCTGTGGCGGCGCGGCGTCAGCAGGTGGCCCCATTAGCTAAAGTGGTGCTTCAGGTTAAGAACGGTTTCAGGTTAAGTACGGACCTCCGGAACGAATTAAGTACTTAACCTGAGGTACCACTGTAGATGTAATAATTAATTGCCAATGGATTATGTAGTGCGGAGCCTACTAATAGTTCTTTGGTGATGGAAGGAATCGGGAGGAAGGATTCCACTTATAAATGGAATTAAGATTTATTAAGGATTTCTGACTCTTAATTGTTTCACAATGGCGCCACCTGCACATTTGGAGCACTATGCGTTTAATACCATTTCAACAGTCATGGCTGTTCTGGGGGCTGAACGTTGTTAGGAGACTCGCTCTTCTCCTCACAGCTACAGTTCTCAAAATTCCCAGGGAAGAGGGATTGGTTGTTAAACTAGGGTTCTCATATTTCAAAAAAGTGAAAATCTGGACACAAAGGTGTTGAGGTGTGGGGTTTTTTGGCAAAATCTCCAAAAATATTTTAAAGGAATTTCCCCCTCAGGCATTGTAGACTTCTGGAATTGTACCTCTGAGAGGCGAATGAAGGGGTCTCCAAACAGCTCTCAGCACCCTAAGCAAACTACAGCTCCAATAATTTTTTTTGGGGGGCGGGAAGCCATAACTGTTTAAAGTGGTATGGCAGTACTTTAAATGGGGATAATGACAACAGCAAAAAGACCCTTTCTTTCTCTCTCTCCACACACCCATCAAACTTCTGAAATGAGGAAGCTTGTGGGGCAAAACTGGGTTCTTGAAAAGTGTGGTTAAAAAAAAAAAAAGACTAATAGCATGTACACATACCCCACAAATGAATAAAAATGAACGCTCAATAAAGACTGGACATAAGGCACTTCCAAATGACTTGTTTATTGAGCATTAATTCTGATTTGTTCGGAGGCTATTTGATTAGCGTTAATTCCGGTTTATTTCTGGGGAAGTTCAATGACTTTTATCCCATGCTTTCCAGTGCATTTCCTTGTCACTCTCCTTATTGCAAAAATAAAAATAAATCCAATATTTTGTGGGGGGAATTGTGTCTGGGCATCAAACTGGCTGATTTCTCACAGCTCAAAAAGCCTCATTTTGTTTTCCACAGCAAGGAATCCCGACTCGGGTGCAGTTTCTGGTGAAAGAGAGACAAGTGGTTAGGGAATGGAAACGGGCTGAAGAAGAGAGGATCAAGGCATTTCCGGTAGGTCTTTGCTGTTATAGTTCCCACACTGGGGATGAGTCCTGGCTGGACAACAGTTCTGTCATCCTGGATATGTATCCCGGCAGATATATCAGGCTGTGTTCACGTTTGTTTGTTCTTAATGATTTTTATTAAGTTTCTAGGGACACGGGTGGCGCTGTGGGTTAAACCACAGAGCCTAGGACTTGCCGATCAGAAGGTCGGCGGTTCGAATCCTCGCAACGGGGTGAGCTCCCGTTGCCCGGTCCCTGCTCCTGCCAACCTAGCAGTTCGAAAGCACATCAAAGTGCAAGTAGATAAATAGGTACCACTCCAGCGGGAAGGTAAACGGCGTTTCCGTGCGCTGCTCTGGTTCACCAGAAGCGGCTTAGTCATGCTGGCCACATGACCCGGAAGCTGTATGCCGGCTCCCTCAGCCAATAAAGCAAGATGAGCACCACAACCCCAGAGTTGTGGTCAGGGGTCCCTCTACTTTTACTATTAAGTTTCTAGCAAATATAACACCTATTACAACAGAAACTCAAGAGACAAAATTAAAAATATAAACAAAAAAGATAATAAGAAAAATAAAAACACATATTAACACACACCCAAACCACACAAATTAATTGACTGTTTAAACTTCTAGCATCATTAACATCATTTGGACTTCCTCTGAGCCCTCCCTTCTGAATTTCCTTGTATTTAAATGTAGCAGTTTTCCAATATCATTATTAAAACACAACATTCCAATTAAATTCTAATTTGTTAACTTTTCTTAAAGTTCAGATCTCAGTTATTTTACCAGTGGCGTAGCGTGGGGGGTGCAGGGGGGGCTGGCCGCACCGGGTGCAACATCTGGGGGGGGGCGCACTCGCACTCGCAGCTCTCTGCCCCTACCTGGCTCACTCACTCTCTCTCACTGCAGTGCTGGCTGTGCGAATCCGATCCGAGCCGCTGGGTCGCCGCCCACTGTGGAGGGGGGGGTGCCAGGCGTGCGGTGCGGAGAGAGAGCGAGGGACTATCTGGGGGGGGACAGTGCAGCGGCCGCCCAGCGCAGCGCTGAGCGCAGGAGAGAACCACACCAGACCAGACCAGGCAGCAGCAAGAAGAAGCTGGCAGCGGCGGCAGGTTAGGGGTTAGGGGGCGCAAATTACTTGCCTTGCCCCGGGTGCTGACAACCCACGCTACGCCGCTGTATTTTACAACTCTTACTTTCTAATTTCTTAGTTTCTAATTAGTACTTTCAAGTAGTTTCTAATTTTTAATATTATAATATTTGTTCAAATGGTCTCTAAATTCCTTCCACTCTTCTTGATGTTCCTCTTCTTTCTGGTCGCGGATTCTTCCAGTAAGGTCAGCCAGCTCCATATATTCCATCATTCTCATCTGCCATTCTTCCACAGTTGGTAATCCTTGTGTTTTCCATTTCTGAGCTATAAGAATTCGAGCAGCGGTTGTGGCATACAAAAATAACTTTACATCGTTCTTGGGCATTTCAGAACCTATTATCCCAAGGATAAAGGCATCTGGTTGTGTTCACGTTGTTAGGATATTTCCGTTCCACCTTAAAAGGGAGCAGGCTTTGTGAGTCACAGAGTCTGCGTATTTTCTGTTCACAGGAAGTTTATGTTTGTACATTGCTTTCGTTTTTCTCTCTGTGCCTGAGACATCGAAGCAGGCAGTCATGTTTTTTTCTTTGCTCTGATCAACGCTGAATAAACTTGTAAATATGCTCTCCTGAGTGCACCTTTCGTTGTGCGAACTCTGCTGATAGAGCGTGCACGAGCTCTGGAACGTGGAAAGCTATTTCTGAGGCTTCGTGTTGCTAATTGACTGATACTGCGTATCTACCAGAGATCGATGGATTGTCCGGCATCGGCGTGGGGGCATGATGGAATTTGTCTCCCTGGCAGTATCCCAACACACATTTCTGCCTTGTTGTTGTTGTTTAGTTGTGTCCGACTCTTCATGACCCCATGGACCAGAGCACGCCAGGCACTCCTGTCTTCCACTGCCTCCCGCACTTTAGTCAAACTCATGCTGGTAGCTTCGAGAACACTGTCCAACCATCTGTGCTGGGTGCCCATTTGCAACTGGCTCAGTGTGTTCCTGTGTTAATATGAAGAGCCTTGAACATCTTGCGTCCAGCATACCTTAAAGCAGGGCCGGCCCAGGACATTTTGCCAGCCCTGCCACCAAGACCACCCGAGCCCTTCTAATCAAAGACGGGGATAACATGAGGGAGCAATGTTAGTTGTTTCAATGGCTTTTTTCCCCAGCCGGAGCCCGGCTTGGGAATCTCTCAAGTGGGCGCCATTCTAAGAGAACAAGGGAGAAGTTCGTGGTGAGCTTCCAGCACCTCTTTTTCTAGAAAAATAGCACTGGTTGTTTCCCATGTTAGAGAGGCCTGGCAGACCTCCACAAGAAATCAGGTGTTTCGTGTCGCAGATCCCATGTTGTGGAATGCTATTCCAACAGATAAATGGCAGGCAGCCTTTGCAGGGCTGGATTAAGACCTTTCAAGGCACTTAAAAATTTTTGGTGCTCCCATATACAGTGGTACCTCAGGTTACATACGCTTCAGGTTACATACGCTTCAGGTTACATATGCTTCAGGTTACAGACTCTGCTAACCCAGAAATAGTGCTTCAGGTTAAGAACTTTGCTTCAGGATGAGAACAGAAATTGTGCGGCGGCGCGGCAGCAGCAGGAGGCCCCATTAGCTAAAGTGGTGCTTCAGGTTAAGAACAGTTTCAGGTTAAGAACGGACCTCCGGAACGAATTAAGTACTTAACCCGAGGTACCACTGTATATCTAATTCAAAATATAAACACGTAAACCTTGGTGAACCGAGTGGCCGTTTTTACCAGTTACCTGATTCTAATTTTGTTGCATTCCCAAGATTAACGTATATCATTACTCTCTAATGTTGCTAGCTATTTATTTATTTATTTATTTATGTAGTGTGCACTGTGTGTACAGTGGTACCTCGGAAGTTGAACAGAATCCGTTCTGGAAGTCCATTCGACTTCCAAAACGTTCAGGAACCAAGGCGCGGCTTCCGACTGGCTGCAGCGGAAGCTGCTTCAGACGTTCGTGTTCCAATGAACGTTCACAAACCGGAAGAGTCACTTCCAGTTTTGCGGCGTTCGGCAGCCAAAGCGTTCGACTCGCAATGCGTTCGGTAGCCGAGGTACGACTGTATGTAAATTTTTTTCATTTATTGTGAGAGCCTTTCCCCCCCAGCTTGCACCATAAGCTCCATGGTAAATCTGGCAACGGAAAAATTTCTGCAGTGTCCCCCTTCCAAAGTCAGTACAGTGGTACCTCGGGTTAAATACGCTTCAGGTTACATACGCTTCAGGTTACAGACTCCGCTAACCCTGAAATAGTACCTTGGGGTAAGAACTTTGCCTCAGGATGAGAACAGAAATCGAGCTCCGGCGGCAGTGGGAGGCCCAATTAGCTAAAGTGGTGCTTCAGGTTAAGAACAGTTTCAGGTTAAGAACGGACCTCCAGAACGAATTAAGTACTTAACCCGAGGTACCACTGTACCACAAACAAAAATAAGGTTCATTCTTAAGAATCCTGTGGAAGTTTACTGCACTGTGGTATGTTAAAGAAGCATTATATGTAGAATTCTTTTGCAGTATCCGTCGCAGGCCTGTAGCTATGCTCCCTTGAACGGCACTCAGCTTCCACCTCTACTCCCTCCCCAATTTCTATTTCCCCTTCAGGCGGAGCTAGAGGAGGAGAAGAACAAGATCACAGGCGCTTTTGAGCAAATGCATAACTTCCTGCATGAGCTGCAGCGCTTTTGGCTGACTGAGCTGGAGGATCTGGAGAAAGAGATGAAGACGAAAAAGGAAAGTAATATCGTCAAGCTCTCACAGGATATCGCCTTTCTCAGTAGCCACATCACAGACATGGAAAAGAAGCGCCAACTGCCGCCTATGGAGTTCCTGCGGGTGAGACAGTCAAACACAAAGGCAGCTCCCTGATCCCGGGAGTACGGGTCCCTGGTGAAATATACTCAGAGTCAAGAGTAGATTTCATGCTCTTTATTCAGCTCATAGTGGTGAGGAGGAATGAAAGTTCCCCCAAAGTATCTGCTTTATATATATTATTTACACAATGGGCTGCACGTGATTGGCTAATTCTGGAATTCTCCTGTAGGCCAATCAGGTTGTGGATTCACTTCTATCTGGAGCATGATTGGGTGGTTCCTGCCAACCAATCATACTGCTGCATTGTTCTAGGACCAATCAGACTGCTGCATTCTGAATCCTATTGTTCTAGGACCAATCAGACTGCTGCATTTTGGATCCTATTGTTCTAGGACCAATCAGACTGCTGCATTTGGATCCTATTCAACTCAGTACATAACACCTGGGGAGGACACTTGGGCTCTGTACAAACTTATTATCCATTTGTTGCACAAAGGAGTAGCTTTTTCTCAGTGTGGAACCATGCATGCTCATCCTCAACATTCTGGTTTCAGTCCAGGTTGCTTCTAGAACCTTCCATCCCCCAAAGTGGGTGTGATTACTTGATACACATTTGAAGATGCTCTTTTGGATTAGATTTCTCCTGACTTTTCCTCCCTGCCCCATATCCCAGGCGAACGAAAAAGGAATTGGGGGTTGAAATCTTGGTGTACGCCCAGCCACAGTGACATTGGGCAGGTCCCAGCCCCCATTGCTGGGGCTGCCTCTGTCCATTTTCAAATGGAGGGGGGCGGGTAACGCAGAATTGATCTGCGTTAAGCTTTTATTTTGAGAACGAAAGTGATGTGTGAAAAAGCGCTTTTCCCAGGGCAACGAATGTGTAATAGGTCCAGGTTGTGTATGGACTACTTGATAGAAGAAAATACAGTCTCTGTGTCCATTGAATGTACAACGTTTCTGTGTGCTCTGGCTTCCCTCACGGTGTCCCGTTGCACCAGAAGCTGTTTAGTTATGCTGGCCACATGACCCAGAAAGCTGTCTGAGGACGAACGCTGGCTCCTTCAGCCTCAAAGCGAGATGAGCACCGCAACCCCATAGTTGCCTTTGACTGGGCTTAACCATCCTGGGGTCCTTTGTTGTTGTTTAGTCGTTTAGTCGTGTAGGACTCTTCGTGACCCCATGGACCAGGCACTCCTGTCTTCCACTGCCTCCCGCAGTTTGGTCAAACTCATGCTGGTAGCTTCGAGAACACTGTCCAACCATCTCATCCTCTGTCGTCCCCTTCTCCTTGTGCCCTCCATCTTTCCCAACATCAGGGTCTTTTCCAGGAGTCTTCTCTTCTCATGAGGTGGCCAGTATTGGAGCCTCAGCTTCAGGATCTGTCCTTCCAGTGAGCACTCAGGGCTGATTTCCTTCAGAATGGATAGGTTTGATCTTCTTGCAGTCCATGGGACTCTCAAGAGTCTCCTCCAGCACCATAATTCAAAAGCATCAAGGTAAAGGGTAAAGGTAAAGGTAAAGGGGTCCTTTACCTTTTTATAATATTGTGTGCATGGAGCCTTCCAAGAAAAGTAATATCCAATACAGTCAAACCTCGAGTTGAATGTGCTTTGGGTTGAGCGCGTTTGAGTTGCACTCTGCGGCAACCCGGAAGTAACGGAGCGCATTACTTCCGGGTTTCACTGCTCGTGCATGCGCAGACGCTCAAAATGACGTCACGCGCATGCGCATGCACAGACGCACCGTTGCATCTTACGTTCCGTTTGGGATGCGAATGGGGCTCCGGAACGGATCCCGTTCACATCCCGAGGTACCACTGTAGAGCAAAATGCCCTGTTTGTGTTCTGCCTGTGCAGCTGAGACCCATTTCTCTCACTCTCTCTTTCAGGGCCTTGGGACTACGGTGGTCAGGTACGTGGCTCTTTCTCAGTCTCCTTCCTATTCTTTTCCAGTGGCTGGTCACCCACATTGGGTGCTGTTGTTGCTGCTGCTGCTGCTGTTTAAACCATCTCTTAGGCTGACCCACCTTCCTTACAGGTTTGTGCTGTGGAAAAGAAAGCGGACAGTGCTGGGAATCTCTACAGGCATGGAAGAGAGACTCATAAGTTACACTCAGAAAAATTCATTTCTGAAGGATACCATGGAGAAATGCAAAGGTATTCTTTGGGGTCGGGGGGTCAGTTCATGGAATGAGGAAGGACGCTGTTTGTCAGGCAGTTCCGCATCTCTGTTGGTTGCTGCGAAAGTCAGAATTTTGCTAAAGAGGAGCTGACTCTTACCTGGAATGATCCAGCGGGTCTCGAAACACATTTCCCTCATTCCATCCACTTCCTAGAATTCCTTTGATGCCGTGGCCTCCTTGGCCGTGCACACACTTAGCCATTTGTAGCACAAAAATGCAGTTGATCTCAGTCTGGAATTTTTTCCTCCTCGTCCTCAACATGCTGTTTTCAACCTAGATGGATTCTAGATCCTGCCATCCCTAATGGGGCGTGTGGTTACCGTCTAGGTGTTCGAAAACCCTTCCCTTGAATAGGTTATCCATGCCTTTCCCTCCCTGAACATGCCCCAGGTGAGCGAAGAAGCAAGGAAGCGGTGTTTGTGATCTTGGTATATACATGGCAAGTTCGCACAGAATCCATTTGCGATTATATTTTTTTCTCCACATACCAGGGATACTCTGAAAAGGAGAGGGGATGAGAAAACCTGGGATTGGGGAAGGCGAAAGTGTGGGGAGGTGCTGATTTAGAGAAGACCCATCATATGGATTGACGGAACCTTACGGCCCACATTAAACAACAGTATGGACGAGCCCTTAGCTGAGAAGAGGATGGAGAGAAAACTAGAAATAGTTTTCTTTGCTTGTCATTGACTCTGGCGCCATCTGTTTGCCTTTATGCCTGCCTACCCCCCATTCCCAATGGCAGAAATCCACTGCTGATCTATGAGCAGAACGTGTGCCAATTTTATTCACAATTGTAGTTTTTCTTTTTAGGCGATGCATATCCTTGTTTTTCGTCCGTGAGTAATTGGCCACCTGACCCATCTTCTGCCCCCCCCCCCATTATATCCACGATAGGCCTCATTAACCAAGAATTTAGTATGAGGGTGGGGCTTGGGGGGCAGGGACGGTTAACAAATGATATACTTGATGGACTTTTGACCACGTTTTTAATTAGTTGCTCTTTCTTCTGTGTAACAGAGCTGCTGATGCAGGCACCGAACAAAGGTAAACTATCTGTAAGGAATGGAAGAAAAGAAAATGTTCACCAGTGTCAATCCCTCATTCAAGTATTTCAACTGGTTGCCTTCATTTTTCTTTTATTTAGTTTGTTAAATTTATATACCCAATCTTAATTAGAATATCTCAGGGCCTTAGGCGGGTGGCTTGTTGCAACCCTCTTCGGGAAAAGTCAATTTATTTCCTTTCATATGAACAGAAATTGGGCTCATTAATGAGAGGACAACTAAGATGCTTGATGGCAGGGATTCCACATGTGGTATAGTCAGTGCCTGCTTAATCCAGAATGGGGCAGCTAGACTGGTGACTAGGAGCAGCTGCCGAGACCATATAACACTGGTCCTGAAAGACCTACTTTGGCTCCCAGTACGTTTCTGAGCACAATTCAAAGTGTTGGCCTTTAAAGCCCTAAACGGCCTCGGCCCAGTATACCTGAAGGAGCGTCTCCACCCCCATCATTCAGCCCGGACACAGAGGTCCAGCGCCGAGGGCCTTCTGGTGGTTCCTTAACTGAGAGAAGTGAGGTTACAGGGAACCAGGCAGAGGGCCTTCTCGGTGGTGGCACCCACCCTGCGGAACGCCCTCCCCTCAGATGTCAAGGAAATAAACAACTACCAGACTTTTAGAAGACATCTGAAGGCAGCCCTGTTTAGGGAAGTTTTTAATGTTTGATGTTTTGTTGTGCTTTTAGCATTCTGTTGGGAGCTGCCCAGAGTGGCTGGGGAAACCCAGCTGGATGGGCAGGGTATTATTATTATTATTAATAATAATAATAATAATAATAATTTAGGAATGTGGGACTTCCAAAATATCCATATGTGAGTGGGGGTCCACAGTGCCTCTCTGTCCTCAACCTGCCTGTAATTGAAGGAGTGGTCCTTTCCACTCTTTGCTGGGCCCCAGAAACAGGCCTGGAGTGTTTTCGAGTCTCTCTCTAGTAGTGAGACTGAGCCTTCACCTGGCATCATCAACCACCCAACCTCCTTTGTCATATCCTCCTCCTCTTCTTCTTCTTCTTCTTCGCAGTGAGCATCACTCTGGATCCAGGAACCGCCCACTCCTTTCTTGTTGTAACCGAGGACCTGAAGACTTTGAGAAGAAGAAGGGAAATGCAGGACGTTCAGGACAACCCTGGGAGATTCGACAGCATGCTCTACGCGCTGGGCCATGCAAAATTCACCTCAGGAAGATATTGGTGGGAGGTGGTGGTGGAAGAGGAGAAGGAGGAAAGGGAACGGGCCAACTGGGCCGTAGGGGTTGCAAAAGAGTCTGTCAGGCGCAAAGGCTTTGTCCGCATGAGTCCTTCTGAGGGGATCTGGGCCATTGGGAAGGGAAAGGATGAGTCAGCCTCATCTGATCCCTTCTGGGCTTCAACCCTCCCTGAGCGGACCCCTTTGAGCTTGAGCTATGAGCCCAGGAAGATCCGGGTGTCCCTAGACTATGATCAGGGCTGTGTGGAATTCTATAATGCCCACACCGACGACTTGATTTTCAATTTCCAACAAGCCTCATTCTCTGGGGAGAAGGTCCAGCCCTTTTTCCATGTTTGGTGGGGAGCTGGTCTGAAGTGTTGAGTCCTGAGGACGATCCTCACCGCCCCCTGCTCTACCACCCCCACCCTGAGAAGGTGACAGCCTAGCATTTTCTCTGCAGTGTTAAGAGTTTGTGGGTGCCAGACACCCTAAATTTCTGGATCCAGTAAATGTTAGAATTTAATCTGTATGTGGAGTGTCAGAAGTGGATGCCAGATAGTAGGTTTAGCAAGCATTAAAATATAAGCCAGGCCAGCTCCCCCATGTCAGGAAGTACCTGGGAGACGAGCTATGACACCCACACCAGCTCTACCACCCCCAACCTGAGAGGAGGTGATAGCCTAGCATTTTCTTTGCAGTGTTAAGAGTTTGTGGGTGCCAGACACCCTAAATTTCTGGATCCAGTAAATGTTAGAATTTAATCTATGTGTGGTGTGTTAGAACTGGATGCCAGACAGTAGGTTTAGCAAGCATTAAAATATAAACTAGGCCAGCTCCCCCATGTCAGGAAGTGCCTGGGAGACGAGCCATAGCTCCCACAACATTATTTTTCCACTTTATTTTGTACAACTTTATTTTGTGCAACTGAAAAACTTTAAAATGTTAATAATAATAAAAACTACATGGTGGAATGAAGAAAAGAAGGAAGGAATGGGCCATTAAGAAAAGTCAAGGAGAATGGGATTCTGGACCAGATAGCTGTTGGGTGGGGCCCCTCCTGCAGTTCTGAGTTGGTTCAGAAAACAAAGCAGAGTTTGAAAGGAGAGTCTTTAGAATTGGTGACCTAGGGGGAAAAGGTTGCAGTCTGGTAAAGGCGGCAAGCTGGGGAGAGGGTCAGAGCACAACGGTTGATGTTATTTTCTATGGAAGAGTTTGTTTTTTGATAAATAAAAAAATGAAAAAAACCTACAAACTTTTGCAATCCTATTTCATGTTCTTCACACACACATTCCTATGAGGTCAATAAAGGTAAAGGGACCCCTGACCATTATTAGGTCCAGTCGTGGCCGACTCTGGGATTGCGGCTTCTGGCGAATCAGAGTAGCGCACGGAAACACCATTTACCTTCCCGCTGGAGCGGTACCTATTTATCTACTTGCACTTTGACGTGCTTTCAAACTGCTAGGTTGGCAGGAGCAGGGACTGAGCAACAGGCGCTCACCCCGTCGCGGGGATTCAAACCGCCAACCTTCTGATCGGCAAGTCCTAGGCTCTGTGGTTTAACCCACAGCACGTCCCATGAGGTCAATTTGTTGTTGTTGTTTAGTTGTTTGGTTGTGTCTGACTCTTTGTGACCCCATGGACCAGAGCATGCCAGGCACTCCTGTCTTCCACTGCCCCCCACAGATTGGTCAAACTCATGCTGGTAGCTTCGAGAACACTGTCCAACCATCTCGTCCTCTGTCGTCCCCTTCTCCTTGTGCTTTCCCAACATCTTTCCCAACATCAGGGTCTTTTCCAGGGAGTCTTCACTTCTCATGAGGTGGCCAAAGTATTGGAGCCTCAGCTTCAGGATCTGTCCATCCAGTGAGCACTCAGTGCTGATTTCCTTCAGAATGGAGAGGTTTGATCTTCTTGCAGTCCATGGGACTCTCAAGAGTCTCCTCCAGCACCATAATTCAAAAGCATCAATTCTTTATGGTCCAGCTCTCACTTCCATACATCACTACTGGGAAAACCATGGCTTTAACTATACGGACCTTTGTTGGCAAAGTGATGTCTCTGCTTTTTAAGATGCTGTCTAGGTTTGTCATTCCTTTTCTCCCAAGAAGCAGGCGTCTTTTAATTTCGTGACTGCTGTCACCATCTGCAGTGATCATGGAGCCCAAGAAAGTAAAATCTCTCACTGCCTCCATTTCTTCCCCTTCTATTTGCCAGGAGGTGATGGGACCAGTAGCCATGATCTTAGTGCACTATACAGTAGTGGAATAGTAGACTTGCAGAACTAACCTTTTGTTTATCTATTGAAACATGCTGAGAGTAGAAAGGACATTGACTGGAACAGTTGCTTCAAAATGTGAAAGGAAGGGTTTTCCTCTGATTACTTCCTCTTTTGATGCTGCTTATCTAATTTCTATTCCCACCCCCCCCACCCCACCCCCACCCTGCTGCTAATATAAATAATTACTCCAGTTTCCGGAGTCAAAAACAGTGGGGTGGACAGCCTCAGCACTTACAGTAATAGCCTAAAATGGGTTTGAGACCCTAAATGCCCCTACTCCAGAGTAACCCACCCGAACAGTGGGTGATTTACTCCTGATCGACGCCTCATGATCACGTCACCCTTTTTAAAATTTTTTTGCAAGCAAACAAAAATTTGCACAGACTTAAAGCCAGATGGGAAGCCACAATGCAGAACAGCTTGTTCACCGTATGTGAAAGGAACTGAGCATTTCCTAGAAATGATTAAGCAATCGTGAGGATTTGAGGGAAAGCGGAGGAGATTTATGCCCATTTTATGCATGGAACATAGCAGAACATGCATTAAAAATGCTACACAGTGTGCATAGAATTCCAGATCTGATTCCCCAGAGAACTTAAAAATGGAAAATGGACAGTTGCAGAGTGCTAAGGACTAGAGATGATAATACGTCTGTTTCAGTCTCACTCTGTTTCTTATTGTTCTATACTTCAATTTACCGTATTTTTTGCTCTAAAGGACACACTTTCCCCCCTCCAAAAATGAAGGGGAAATGTGTTTGCATCCTATGGAGCGAATGCAGGCTCCTTGGCTTCAGCGATAGCAACGCGAAGCCTCCAAAGCGCAGAGGGAGAGCTCCCCCTGCGCTCCCGAGGCTTTACATTGCTTTTGCTGAAGCCGCCTGAAGCCCCCGGAGCGCAGGGAACTCCCACTGCGCTCCGGGGGCTTCAGGCAGCTATCCGCAAGCCTTCTGAGCACAGCAGGAGTTCCCGTTGCACTCCGAAGGCTTGCAGATGGCCACCTGAAGCCTGGAGAGCGAGAGGGGTCGGTGCACACCAATCCCTCTTGCTCTCCAGGCTTCGCTTCATTGGAGAGGCGCTGCACAGTTTTCCCTCTCTGAGCAGCGCCCCTTCAGCGAAGCGGGAGGAGAAATGGAAGGGGCTCTGTTTCTCCTGCCACTTCGCTGAAGGGGCGCTGCGCAGAGAGGGGGAGAAGTTTTTTTCCCCTGTTCTCCCCCTCCTATGGTCCGGTGCGTCCTATAGAGCGAAAAATACGGTATATCCTGCCTTTCCTGCAAAAGGAGCCCTGGCCAACTTAGGCAGAAGGCAGCATTCTTTGGAGAGGCCTGGGACCCCATCCTGACCTCTTTCACTAGAACTTTCTTAGGTCCAGCTTGAGAGTCTCCATGGCCCCACCAAGAACCCTGGGAACTATAGTTTTCCCCTTGAAAAGGGTGCCATTTGTGGCATCCTCAACAAACCACAGTTCCCAGTATTCTTTTTTGCGGGGGAAGATGTGCATTGAATATGCTTTAATTGTATAGCACGGATCCACCCTAAAAGCTTTTATTCATGCTAATCAGTAAAATTGGAAATAGAACTAGCGTGGCTTTCTGACCAGAGATGTTCTATTGTAGGAACCATTAATGCCTTCATGTTCTGGTTGCCACAAGATCCCTTTGCGGCCATCGCTCATCCACAAGCCTAGGGGCTGAGGTCCTTTCACACACACCCCAATAAAATATTTGAGGCAGCTGCCCGCCCAGTTGATGGCCATTGCCATTCAAATGGTGTTCGTGCACCCCGTCATGTGATCAATTATGTGAGGCGACGCTTACCTGGGCTCCCCATTCAACTTGGCACCCCTGTCGCCAAGGGCATAAACGTGCTTCCTCACACCACTGAGGCTGGGTTAGGTGAAAGATGTGCACCTGTTCTGTTGACCTGTATCCGAGATAGATAAGGTACCTCCAGAATGGAATTCAGTTATGTACTGTCAAATTCAGATTGCACCATTGAAGTTGATTTGGCGCTGTTGTGGATTAAACCCGCTTCCCCTACAAAAGCACTGGGGAAATGCTGGGGAAAAGCACTGGGAGGTGTCAGATAACACTTGCTTTGACGCAACATCATTTAACTTCCCTGAAATCAAATCAGGATGTTCCATAAACAGCCGGTGTCCCTGTAAGCTTTCTCAAAACAAATCGGACTTGTTCTCCGGAAGCTGATAGCTGAATAGATATCACTGGGCAGATTTCATCAAGGCTGTCCAATTCTGGAATTAATTTCTGACCAACTGGAGGCAACAGGGACAATTCCGCTCAGGGTCAGCCCAAGACATTTTGCTACCCGACAGAGAAGAGCAAATCACACACACACACCAGTCAAAGCGCACCCCAAATTATTTTGGAATCCTATAAGGACTTCTTCCTTTCCCTAACTGGAAAAAACACAGCTGTGATAAATAAAACAATTTGAGGCCCTTTCATGATGCCAAAATTCATGTCACCTGAGGCAGCCCTAAAGTTGGGGCTGGCTCATTGTAGGGCACTGTCTCTGCATTTTGATGTGGGGTGGGGTGGAATACAGATATTTCTCAAACAGGGGAGCTTATATTGCTGGTGCTAGTCTAAGCAAGCAAGCTGTCCTAATGATCAGTTTGTTGCATTTGATTTTTGTGACTGCCAGCTGAGTTAAGTGTGGTTTTTCCTACCTTTAGCCCAGTCAAGGTAAAAGTGAGAACGGAATCCCCAAACCTTTTAACAAGCTTGGTAAGTTGACTGTTTTTGTGCTGGTTTTTCATACATATTTTTCCGCTTGGCTACAGGGAGGTGTGGGGTGGGGACTCCCGGCCATAGCAATAGTTTGGAATGGGGATTGACTGAGCTGATTTGACAGAAAATCGCCTCAAGGAGTTCAGATGAGGAGGTGAGGAGGTATGGTTTTGAGAGAGGAAACCTTTAACTTTTAGCTTTCCATTCTCTTTGCCAGATATCGGGTGCGTTAATGATGTACAGTTATATCCCTAAGATGCTGAAGAAACCCTGAAAAGAATCTTTGTGGCCTTTTGGGTTGAGGCATAAGCTTTCATGGAATAGTCTACTTCAGAAGGTGCATGAAGT